GACCACCTCCTTATAATATATGCATTATATTGACAATTTAAATTTCGTCTTTTCAGTAATGGAGATGTCGTCTAAGCGAGATCCGCTGTATAATTTGTCATAGGACATCGTACATCTCCGAACACTGCACAGTGCGGACAGGGGAGAGAATCCGAGATTATCCGTCTGGTGTAAAAAATTACGGTATGCGACAAAACAATACCCTTGGCATTGCTCGCCCTGCCCACTTCGTCTCCCCCTTGCACATTTGTATCAGCCCCCAATTCCACGTTCAATACTGAAACATACCTAACGTATCACGTAATTTTTTCCCTACCCACTTATCAATCAAATCATCAACCGTGATCACTGATCAGCAAGCCCAGGCAGCTCTAAGCGAAGAGAAAACCATGCTCAAGTGGGTAATTGATTCGTTTCGACTTTCTCTATTTATTGCACTGTGATTGGTCTGAGATACAGAGATACGTAGACGTAAGTACAGAGGTACTGATGTACAGTTTTAAGGCCACCTGCCGTATTACCATTTTGATCTGAGCGCAGCATGATCCTGTCGTTGTCGTCACTGTCGTATACATCATTGGCATCACTGTCTCGTACCAGATGTCTATCGCCGTGTACAAAGGAGTAAAGTCCAATGATCTTCGCAAATTGTATCATACGTTTATGCAAAAGTGCTTCAAGAAGGGAGGCCTTACGCGACGTTACATGAGTCAGCAAATGGAGTTTCAACTGGGGGAGGCAAAAAGTGGATCGGGAAATCTTCCGGATGCCCTATGAGTTGTTCCGTGGTACCTCAGTAGCAGGTAATCACGTACCGTAGTGAACCCCATTCGCGCAGCAGAGAACAGAATTGCTTGAAAGTCGTTAGTGGTGACCTTTGATTTCAATAGACTTGACTTTAAAGTATGGAATTCCTAAAGAGGCAGGTCTCAATGATGAAGAGTTTCACGACATGCTTGGCGTTTGAGTCTGGTAGTTTATCAATTATCAAATATCATCACCGCATGTCGAGTATAGAGCGATCAAACAAACATAGCATGAAGGTCGGTCAACATGCGATCGACCGCTTCGTTTACTAGACCGTCCATTTGCACAATTTTGCATTAGCCTTGAAGGAGGGGTGACCTCATACGAGAGTACATAATACCACGACCGGCATGTACATGATGTAGCGTTGATCTCGTGTTCCAAAGCTTCTACGGCGTTACCGAAAGTGGGAGAATGGAATGTCGCTCTGCAACGGAAGTTTAATACGACATGGCTGTCAGTGAGTTGATACACGGATGCTTGGCCGCATCAGTGTCCAGTGTCATGTAGTCGGCATGGCGACATCTAGATTCTATAATATGTATAAAAGTGGACGTACTATGTATGTATGTATGTACGGATGCGATGGTGGTACAGACAGAGTCCGACATTCCCTCAGAACGAAGCGGTGAAAAACCGTGGGAAAGCACAGGCTAAGCCTCGATATTATGTCATAGCGTACATTAGCGGGATGTAGTCTAGCCAGTTATGGCTACATCCTCGGCTGTTAGCTGCTCTGATTGGCTGCAGATCTGTGGCTAGTGCAACCGAACTCTGGTTTTGTGGCGCTAAGCAGTCTGGCTCGACTATTCTTCACCGACCTTCGCTATAGTACTGTCACTACTGCGTAAACCCTTCACCACCATGATCATATCCATAGTATGGCAACTATTGCTGTGCTAAGAGTCATTTTGATTAATAGACTGTACCTAGGAATACTACCTGTATGAACTCCACTACAATCCTGTGTACTTGCTTCTCTGTAGGCCTCGCCGAGTCAACAAAGCGCTTGTGCAACAATATCCATTGGCGCATTGTCGAACAATACCTCAAAAATACAGTCAACCGTCAACGTCCACATCTTTTTCTTTTTTGTGGTGGTGACCCGACATCTCTTCCGACTGGCTTGAACAATTAACCTAGATGACGGAATCCCCGTAACTTCATTAGCAGACGTCGCAAACTACGGAAGTTCCGCTCAGCCTTGTGAGATGTCGCCAAGCCACTCCAACTCTCCCCACACAACAACACATGATCGCAATTCATGCCGAGAGCGGCTAGTCGGGCGGCTGTAATTACCTCAATACGATGTACTTGATACGTATTACGTATGGATTACATCTCCGTACGTATGTAAGTTTCAATCATTTCTCTCAAAGACACCTCATCAACTCAATCTGCTAGACTGCCTATAGAATCAACAAGAACTACAACGACACAAAGTCCCTTATCTATACATATTGACACATCATCCAAAAACTCAAATCACGACATCAACAAGGGTTCAATATTTCGAAACCATCATCTTAGGACCCTGATTGGCCAAGCCATGCGTGTACGAGCTTTACCTCTTCTCGTTTAGCATTGGCTAGGCTAGAGGCTCTGCTGTTTCTTGGCTCTTTTGTCTTGATGGTTCGGCCATTCAGCGATCATTTTGGTGTTGCTTATTACGGCCGTAGTGTGCAACAGCGATTCTTGCCTGCCTTGTGCTTTTTTTTGCTTTTTTGCTTACATGATATGATTGCTTGCCTCGGATCCAAATCGACGGGTTTTGACAACTTGTCATCCCGCGCCGTCTGACCGTTTAGATTAGCTTAGCTGCGCTTCTTGAAACTGAAATGTGTGATACTTCGTATAGAGCAAACACCGATTGTGGCTTTTTTTTTTTTGGATTGTTGATGCTCTCATCACAATCAACAACAGTCGTAAGTTTTCTGTGATTTGTATCATCCCACATTTACAAACGTCCTCGCGTATCGAAATGATCGGGGTGGCCGGTACTGGAAACAACTCAAAGCTCCATAGTCGGAATTCTATGAATTATGAAATCGTAGTTTTCGAATATCTACCGAAATTGTCTAGTCGCCTCATGTGCTAAACAGTATCTTAGTTATGGATCATGAGCCTCAAGTTTCAGACCAGAAACGCTCGCTTAGGAATTAGCCACAAGCCGAACAAGTCTGACATTATCTCTATAACGATAAACCCTGAAGCTTAATCTCTCCTTTTCCATTCTTCCAGATACCTGGTACACTACGGAGTAGTAAGGCGATTTTCCCTACGTACTTCCCAATGCGGAAATAGGATTTCGAGCTCAGAGCTCCTTAAAGTTTGTTATTCCCGCGCCCTACGGCACATATATTCCAACGGTCGAAATTTGACCGAAGCCTACTGATTACATATTGCAATCCCGAAGGATGGCTTACCATTTTGGATGAAACAACATTTGATCTTTCTTTGTGGTTTCGACAGAATTTGTCATCCTAGGTCGATTTGTTTCATCTTTACACTTTCGGCATCTCCTTTTTGTGAGTTTGAATGATCGATTAGGCAAATGGGGAGATTATGCTTTTATACCTAGGTGTGTACTCTGTCGATGAAACGGGGGAAACACGCCCAAAAATGTACGTGGAAGTATTGATCCGCCGTGCACATAGTAAAAGTCCAATGTAACGGCGACGCCGTTCTATCTGGTATTTAATATGTTGAATAGATGAACTTTGGAATATAGTTTATCAGGTAGCATCCAACAATCTAAATAATCTCAATGTAGAAATGTAGACGTAGAGTATGAGTGCAAGCCAGACCGTCTCGTTCACGGCTGCTAATTGGCCGAAGCGTGTTGTCCCTGCTTACCAGAGGGCCTCGAGTCGGAATCGGGGCGGTCTGCAGTCACTCAAACTACGTACGCACTAAATTATTATGGAGAAGACTGTCTGCACTGCACACTAGTCAGTCATTACTTCTAATTAAAAAGTCCAAGCCCCTTCATCATGCACTCCAATGGATACTTTGGGTAGGGCATGGAGGCTTGGCCAGTCTGGCAGTGCCTGGGGCACTCTACTTTTAGACAAGTCTGTTAAATTAAGAATTACTCAGGCTGGGCGTCTAGGTAGAGGCTTAGTCCATGCCAGCAGTTTACTCTCTTTGGTGACGGTTCGGTATGCGTAATTATCTAGGGCTTACAGTACCGTACGCAGCGTGCCAAGTGGGTTGTTCTCCAAAGTCTCAACCGGTCCTGTTTGCAACGCATGGTATGGTATGTACGTGCGTACGTACATACCAAAATTACAGTCCTGCAACAACAAGAGGGTGTGGATCTCACCCGGGCCCCCCTGATCCACTCTGGTTCCACAAAACCACGCTAAATTAACCCCGGTCCGTCGAATGCGTTCGGTATCCACTCGTGTACCGAGTAAGTAATCAGCTAGCGTATTACGCTCTGTACTGACAGAGCACTCCGTACGGACTAGCACTCTAGTGTACTTAGTGCGTAGTCAAATAAGGATGCTTATGAGTTGTTTGCTTTTGGCTTGTCAAATTAAAATAAATTGCCCAGCCCTGACTGGGGAGCCCAGTAGACTGGGAGAACAACTTTTAGTCCGTAGGGCAATCAAATCATCGACCAGTAAACCCGCTCTGCTTTACAAGTCTTAAAAGCAATACAGTTTAAATTATCCTCCCTCCGCCGTCTATCTCCCGTGCTTTTGGTTTTAAATCTCTCGTCACCTCCATTCTTCATTCTCCATCACTCACACAAATTCTTCTTCTCACCTGACTTTACAGTAGATAAAACATTTTATCTATAAAGGCATTCTTCCTTCTTGTCTTGTCTTGTGTATACCCTTCCAGTTGTTTGTGTCTGCCTTATCCTTACCCCATCCGGTATCTCTATACCTACCTCTCTCCCCGCGCCGCGCTTCCGCAGCTACAACAACAGTCAAATTCGGATTTGTCAAGCAAAAAGATTGTCGCAACAAACTGCATGGGTGAATCGAATAGTCTTTGATCGCATTCCCCTTCAACAACCTCTTCTCTGCTAGAAGAAGCTGGTATGCTTGCTCGCACCCACCGAGGATCATATCACCCGGGCTAATTTACATTTCTTCTAGATACCTGACCGGTTTCACTTCTCAGCCTTTCTACTTAAACATTACGAAGCGACCGTTCGCTTCACATCACACATCACAAACATGTTGGCTTTAGAGTCCTCCCGTCAACAACAGTTCCCGTTCTTCTCGCATGATCAACTCGCTCTAGATCCCGAACTCATGGATTCATACGGGTTTTCCACCATGCAACAAAACATGCAGTCCCAGCCTCAAGATCACCGCCCCTACCCACAACAGAACTTCTATGATTCTTCATCGTCGTGGACTGAACAGACTCCAGACATGGAATTCCAACAGAAGCAACAGCACCAACAGATGCTCTACCCTACTGGTCCTAACTCACCTCCCTCTATGGCCGCTTCGCACTATTCCGCTGCTTCCGGTCCTTCTATTGCCAGTGCTTCTTCCTCAGCCATGGGCTCTCCTTACTCCGGCGCTGCTCATACTTTCCAAGAATCATGGATCGACACCGCTAATGGGTTGCTGGGCATGCCCATGATGATGCCCGAGATCGACTACCCCATGGCCAGCATGGAGGGAGACTCTACCTTTGGCGCTCCTGCCAAATTTCCCACAGTCGGTATGCTGCTCTTTTAACAGGTTGTTTTTTCTTGCGCTTACATGCATAGATCCTTCCGCAATTCATCACCCTATTCCTACCTCCATGCCATATGAAGACCACCTGGGTCACTCATCTGGTTTCGTTTCTCCTGCTCAGATTGGCTCTCCTATGCCTAGCCACCAAAACCTCGGTTTGGCGCACATCCCTCAAATGAACACCTCATCTCCTTATCTCGGTGTACAGCACGCCAGAAGCTCTAGCGTCGCAGGCAGTGCCTACGAACGACCAGCATCCATCATCTCTTCTCTCTCCCCTCGCTCGCACCCCAGCCCAGCAGCCAGCATTACCGACGTAGAGGATGAAGGTCGCGAGAAACGGCGATGCCCCTGGCCCGACTGTGGCCGCTCCTTCAAGGATCTCAAGGCTCACATGTTGACTCACCAGAGCGAGCGACCCGAAAAATGCCCCATCGTCAACTGCGAATACCACCTGAAGGGCTTCGCGCGCAAATACGACAAGAACCGACACACCTTGACTCATTACAAAGGGACAATGGTGTGTGGATTCTGCCCTGGATCCGGATCAGCAGCTGAAAAGAGCTTCAACCGCGCGGATGTATTCAAGCGCCATCTCATGTCTGTCCATGGAGTGGAACAGACTGCGCCCAACTGCCGCAAGAGAAGTCCCACATCATCATCAATGGATCAACAAAAGCCTCTCCCCGGATACAGCGAAGATGCCACTGGCAAATGTTCTACTTGTTCCGCCACATTCAGCAATGCTCAAGACTTTTACGAGCATTTGGACGACTGTGTTCTTCGCGTTGTTCAACAGGAAGAGCCCAGTGAGGCAATCAACCAGAAACGGTTGGCCGAAGTCGCAAATGATGAGGACGTCAAGTTGACCATGGAGAAGCACAAGCTGCAGGATACAGCTAGCCCCGTGGGCAGTGACGAATATAACGAGGATGAACTTAATGACGACGCTGACGATGCTGATGACGCTGACGAATCTAATATTAACAACCTCCACAAAGATGGCCGATCCGGCAAAGGTTCGCTGTCAAAGTCTAACAGCCAAAAATCATCATCGCGAGTTGTCCTAGGAGCCAACAGCGCGATCTCGAAAAACAACAAGCCTCGTGCCATCACCCGACGACGTGGGAACAGAAACAGCTACCCTCAATCATGGGGCACGCCAGCCGCCAAGATGAAGACTAAGAAGCGAGTCCTCTGCGCCTACGACGGTCCTCGTCGTCTCTGGAAAGACGAAATGATGCTCGACAACGAATTCGAGGTCCGCGTCGCTCTCCCCGGCGGTGCCGGCGACGGCACAAACCGGAATGCCTACGTGACTGACCTTGATGTCGTCAGCCTTAGAAGGATTGAAGGTGTCTTTAGCGCAACTGAGGAAGAGCGTGGGCCTTGGCTGCCGGACAACTCGAACCGTCTGATGGGTCAACCGGCTATGCTTTTGCCGGAGGTCACCCAGGAGGAGTACGGGTTTGACATCGATGAATTGATGGCATACAAGGAGCCTTACAACAGGCAAGATGGCTTGCGTGTTTAGTCTCTCATCTATCATATGATACTCTACTCTTTACCTGTATCTATCATCGTCTCATTTTTTGTTTTCGCATGTCATGGAGCGTGTTTGTCTTTCTTCTTCATTTTAAGCGATCGATTGGGTTCAAATCGGGACAATTCGGTGGCCTCATCTTTATCTTTCTCAAAGAGAAAATTAACAATATATTTGTGTTAATACGTCTGCTGTCTTGGTTTGTGGCTATTGTTACGATGACTGATCGAAGGATCATTTCTTGTCTTGGACTCTGGAAGTTGGGACAATGTTTAAAGATTACTTACTATACTCAATTGAATTGTGATACCACTCTATACCTAGGTACATTCTTATCCTCTAGTAGCCTCATCTCGCTTTGTATTTATAAACCTCTCAAAAAAAGCTTTAACGGACTCCAACATCGGCCTCTCCTCATGCCCGGCGCCCTCAACTCCAACCATAACACACTCCTTCACTCCGACCTGTTGCCAATTCTTACACAACCTCGTCGTAGCCCCATACCTCCCATCCCTGAATTTCGCCATAACCTCCTCATCCCCCCTCTGATCTTCCCTGATCCTGCCCCTCGCAATCGCATAAAAAATATCAGTATCTCGATCCCCCGCCACAAACATCGTCGGAATATCCTTAACTGCCTGCAAATCAATCGGCGCATCAAAAACATCCTGCCAGTCCTCAACACCATCCGGAAATTTTCTTTCCCAATCCAGCAACGTCTGCGTCCCCGGCGCACCACACGCCAACGCCGCTACACGCCGGGAATGCAAATACGCAAACCGATGCACAAACTGCCCCCCACCACTAAACCCATACAAACAGAATCTCGATGTATCAATCCTTCCAAATCGGGCAGCTGCCTCATCTATCATCGCCAATAACACCCTATCATACCGAACGTCTTTGTACTTGATATACTTGTAGTTCACCGTGTCCTGCGGATCGATAAGTCCCACTGGAAACAGAGGGGCGAGTAGAGCGCATCCATGCTGTTCTGCGAATGAAGAAAATTCGCGGCGGAGTGTGTAGGGATTGCGACCGCTACCGTGGATCAGGACTATGAGGTTTAGGGATCCCGTTGTTTTCGGGAGAGTGTAGTAGTTGCGTGGGATGTAGAGAAAGTAGCAGAATCGAGGGTCTGAGACGCAGGTCCAGGCGGGGCTGCTGCCGGTGTAGAGGAGTTCGTGAGCGATGAGGGGGTCGATGTCGTCGAGGGATTGGATTGAGTCCATTTTATGATGCCCGGGAGTGCAATTATTACAACATACGTTGTTTTGTCGAGGTCTTTGGGAGATTTGTAGATAGATAAAAAATCCCGACAATCGGATCATCTCCGTTCCTCGTACGAAGTCCGTTTCTCCACTCCTTTTTACCCCAGATTCGATTACTTTATATCTCTTGCTTATAAACTCCTATAACACCTGGTATCTCGACTATATACATTCCATGGCTGACCAATGAATCAGCCTTCTATGGCAATAATCACAAGCGCGCATATATCATCCACTTTGCCTCCCCGGTACCAATGACCGGGGTAATATCTTTGGGCTTCTTTGGCGAAAGGCCCGTCTCGCCGCATGTCGACGCTGGCTAGTTTCGCTTCTCCGACTATTGAGGATGCGAGAAGGGCTTGGAGGGTGTGATGGTTTTGGAGGTGTGGGATGGGAGTGATTGATGAGGTGGATGAAGGAGATGACGGCGAAGAAGGAGAGGGTGAAGGAGAAGGAGATATTCGGTGTAATCCACCAGGTGCAGTCAATGCCTGCAATTCCTCAGACGGACGAATTGCCGCATTCTTTGAACTTTCCGTCCATGCACCCGTGGCCAGCATTCGACCGGTCACTATCTTCAAAATGTCCTGATTATTCAGATTATCGAAAACACCGTCTGTAGCCAGGACGAGAACATCTCCATGCTGCATGGATAGTGTCGATACGGCAGCATCGCGCGGCGAATCCTCGAAATATACGCCGCCAAACATGTGCGCCTGTTCGCGCATTCTGCGCGGTATAATGTTCAATTGGTATGGTGTATTGAATGCATGTGTCTGCGGCGCGGAATACTGGTGCACAGCGCCGAGTCGAAAGAGTACCGAGCCCGAGTCTCCAAGGCTGTGAATAGGTAACATGTCAGCAGGGATCATTCAGTCGCAACAAGAATAAACATACTTTGCCAACTCGACACTTCCATCCGTGTGCGCAACTCCAACAGACGCCGTGGTTCCACCTGCAGTGATACTTTCATCCGCCACCACAGAGTTATAACCCTTCTGCAAAAGCTCCTTCGGCCGTAATTTGCGCTGACCCACCTCCTCCGTCAACGCATGCTGTGCCATATACGTGCACAACCCATGTGAAACATCGGCAGGATCGATTTTATGTTCCGCCCACCCGCCAACTCCGTCCGCGACCGCAAACGCAATGGCGCCAGTATCTTCTGTGCCTACTCTGCTTGCGAAAAACGCATCTTCACCACTCGCCGGCCTCTTTTGCCGGGACCTTCCCTCGTCAATGTTATCGAGCGCAACGCCAATGGCTTCGTGTACGGTAGGCTCGAAGTTGTATGTATGTTTCTCGGGGTTGAAGCGGCGTCCCTTGGCTGAACATGATCCGGCGACTCGGTAGGATATTCGTGATGACGACGAGGACGAGAACCGCCGACTTGCTCGGAGCAACCGCGATGTGTGACGAAGCGCACGATCTCCAGCGTAGTAGCCAGAGGAATTTGAAATTATGTGTATAAGGGTTGATCGCGCCGTGCAGATGTCCGTCGCTGCCAAGGTCCGTGTAGCCAGGAACATCCTCGCTGGCAGTAACAAAGTGTGCAGATTGCTGGTTTGGCACTTATATCCGACGCCTCTCCAGCTCTGGTACGCTCGGGAACTTTGTATTCTAGGTCATTCGCAATCCCATAATATGCGGGAGTCGCTAAAGGTCCTTTGTCCTGGCTTCGCGGGCGATCGTTTCGATAGTGTGGAGACTCAAACGCAGCATCTGCGCTTGTATAGTCGTTGATCAGCTTCGATTGACTTGAGCTATATATAGATATACGCATAAAAGCGACAGTGAGGATATGTACGACGTGCACAGGGAAAAATCCCTAGCAAAAGAGATGGCAAGTGGGCCAAGTTGACAGGTCGAAAAAGAGAGATTTACCGCGACTATCCGCCGTTTCGCTTTGTCGGGGAGGAGCTGCTCCACTCGCTAACATCTCCGGACAATTCAGTGCTGAATACATTGTCTATATGCATAGGCAAAAAATATGGTTTACTGCTTGATATGTCCTGTAATTTGATGTATGTACAATTTATACCGTAAATTGATAACGCCAACGACTTGAGTATTATCACATTGCGGAAAATAGGCTATTCAGACAGAAGACAAATCCAGAAAGAAACAAATCAAATTGGTTATAATTTACTCAGGCCCGTCAGGTAATGACTTGATCGTGTCTTGAATGAGTTGTATGAGCTCATCAATATCCGGCCGATCAGCAGGTTCAACCTGCAAGCACTTCCGGACAATATCCTTGACAGACTCACTGATCCCGCCTTCGCCAGAAGATTGCGATGACCCGGATGCAGCAGGAGTGTTCGACTTGGCCTTCCCTTTGGCACTGCTGGAGTTCTCATCGGGAAATCGCCAATCACCACCCAGAACACACATGCTCAAGCTACCTCCCGTTTCCTCGCTTCTGGCTTCAAACGGGCTTTTACCGACCAAGCAAGCATAAAGTGTGCAACCAAGGGACCATATGTCAACCTTGGTATCGATGATAGAACCGGTCTTGACGTCGAATAATTCAGGAGCTCGGTATGGCATGGTGCTATGCTCTGCCGCCGTGTCTTGTACCGCCAAGGCGAGAGATCGTGATGTGATGGCAATCGGACTTGGTGCTAGGGAGCCCAAGTCCATCAGAATTGGCGTTCTTCCGTCATCATCAATCATGATATTTCCTGAATATGTATAATTAGCTAAAGTCCCGCCGGCCGAGTCAGAAACCTACCAGGTTTGATATCTCGATGGGCATAAGGTCTGAATTCTCCTTCACCCACACCTTCCTGACTGCGAGTCACTTCATCATCCATTAATGGCTCCTGCTCAACATCATCGTCGACACCATGTGTATTCCTCCTTTTTGGCTTCCCAACCTTCCGCGATAGTTCTTCATCCGCTTCCTCCCCCTCTCTTCGTACACCCTTAGCTTGACGGGTAGATGCAGAACCGCTTTTCACTTTGTATTGGTGCATAGCTTTTAGAGCTTTGGCGACACCTAGCATGAGCGTCATCAATTCTTTCTCGGGGAAGCTGGTGTGATTGACGAGGTTCGCGTTGATAGCATCTTGTAGATTGCCGCGCTGGTAGTATGGAAGAAGAATATAGACCGTTTTGGAGCTCGAATCGTCACCACCTCGGAACTTGTTTGCCGATTCATTTACCACGCAGTGGTCATAAGACCGAATGATATAAGGATGCGGCGAGAAAAGGCTGTATGCCTCGACTTCTTTCAGCGCTTGCGACACGGATTCTTGGCCGAACGGGCAACGTATTTTCTTCAAGGCGAACAATTCCGAGGTATTTTTGTCTTGGACCAGGTAGACGTAGGAAAATCCTCCCTACCAAGTATATGATCAGCTCGTTTCTATCGTCTTATCCGGTGTCAAGATTTGCCTACCTCGCCCAGTAGCCGGAGCAGCTTGAAACTGCGGTTGTTGATCTTCAGCTGTGGAGAGCTAGGAAAGCAGCACATGCAATCCGTAAATGTATAGAGAAGGTCGAAGAAGTACTGCGCCATCGTATTATCGAGACTATCGCGCTTTCACTTGTATGCAGTTGAATCCGACCGAACCGGGGGGTCTTGCGTTCGTTGGGATGAATGGAAATGCGCAGGATTGAGAGCTTCCAGAGCTTCCCGTACTGCAGACGCAGGTCTCAAGTAAGGCGGCGATAGATGATGTCGTTGATCATATGTAGACGCGGGATCAAGAGTACAGGCAATGCATAGAGCACTGGCGAATTGTTTTTGTTAAGAAATATTCAAATGTAAGTGGTAGTAGCAGAGGTCCAGAGTGAAGACGTAAGCGTCAGCTCGGGCGGGTTAGATAGCGCCTGCCATTCGCACAGCAGGAAGGAGCATCCATGGTTCCTGCCGTTCCAACACGGTTAAATCAAAACATTCAGTCTATTCTTTATATTTTCTCTCTCTCCTATTCTCTACATACTACGTTCTCTCATCTCACTGATGATTGTATGTATGTCAATGCACAGCGTCCTTGCCTACTGGTCAGTGGTTACCCCTTTCTCTCGTAAGGAAGGTCGCCCGCAAAGGAAAATGCTAATTAACCTGCGTGAAGACTCGCTCTCATTGGCCGAGCGCCGATATCTCATAATTTATCTCTCGGACATCCGACAACAACAGACTTGTCTGCTTCATCCATGCAAGCAAGGACTGCCCTGTGTCTGCGGCGCCTTGACATTCCAGAGTCTTATTGTTTAACATAATTTCATTCATCCTGCTGTACGCAGGATGCATCACCGCTGATTATTAGTCCGGTTTGATTGTTTGATCGATTCGGTTCTGAACTTGAAGGACCCGAACCCACCCCCCACCAGATCGAGTCGTCGAGCTCCTGAGTCGACACTCTTCTTTCTTCAAACGATTCGAACAGTCGGGACAGCACTTCGTTCATCGAGTTATATCCTCCGTTCTGGTAACGACTTTAGTTCCTCGTCCGAACGGACATCATCCAGTCACAGAGCCTCGAGCGTTCCGCAGACAGTCGATCGGCCGACGTTATCACAATGGCTCCCTCCGATGATATCCGGGTCGGCGACCAGGTGAATGTCCCCGGAGGCATGTATGGTACAGTACGATTTCTGGGAGTCGTGGATGGGAAGCCAGGTCGGTTTGCAGGAATTGAATTGGCCACCGAACATGCTGCCAGGGGAAAGAACAATGGAGATGTCGATGGACGAAGCTATTTTAACACGAGCGTTCCCGGTGCTGGCATCTTTGTGCCCATCAATAATTCGAAATATGTCACCAAGAGAAACGTCGTCACGCCTCCAACTCCGTCTCGTCCGTCTGTGGTGACCAATTTCAGTAAATCCGTCGGTCCACCGTCAGTGGCTCGCCCCAAAGTGCGCCGTCCATCTCTTCCTCGCCCGGAATCCCCACGAAGTGCACCATCGACAAAATTGAACTTTGGTGCCCTACGCAGTCCATCTGCTACTGTTCCCAAGCCAATGTCGGCCAGTTCACTAGGTCCTAACGGCTTTCCACGTAGCCCTCAGAAGCCCTCTTCAAGATTGTCGAATCGACCTTCTTCTAGACTTAGCGTGGACGAGGACGATATGCCTGTATTGGCTAGGTCGACCATCGGGAGACCAAGCAGTGGTGGTCGTGGTGCTAGTAACCAGGAGATACAAGGACTACAAGAGAAGATCAAGTCGCTAGAACAGGAGCTTCAAGCACGTGATAGGCAACTCGACGACCAAGCCTCTGTCCTGACGGAGTTGCAGCAAAGCATCACGGAACTGGAAGGACAAGATGGGTCTTCAGTCCGGGCGCAGCTACGAGAAAAGAACGAAAAGATTGCACAGCTTACGGCAGAATTCGATAGTCACCGCGCGGATTTTAGAAGCACCTTGGACACTCTCGAAGTGGCAGCCACGGAAACGGAAAGGGTCTACGAAAAGCGCTTAGACGAGCTTATGCAACAGAATCGGGAACTACAAGATCGTGGTGAAGACGTGGAGGCGGTTGCCCTGCAGTTGAAACAACTGGAAGAGCTAGTTTCTGAATTAGAAGAGGGTCTGGAAGATGCGCGACGAGGTGAAGCTGAAGCGCGCGGTGAGGTAGAATTCTTACGTGGCGAGGTAGAACGAGCACAATTGGAACTGAATCAGGAACGGGAAAAGTCAGCCGCTGCACTGAAAGATGCCGAAGGCCGGTGGAACAGTCGCGAATTAGAACAAAAAGACGACGAAATTCGAGGCCTGAAAGCAATCATTCATTCACTCAGCCGTGGCGACGTTAACCCGGCTATGTTCATTACAAATGGAACAGGTGATTCGAGTTCCGATACTGGACGTATTTCTGAGCTGGAAGAGCGAATCAAGGAGCTTGAAGGCGTTGCGGAGATTCGGTCGAATCGTATAGATGAACTGCAGAGAGAGCTCGGTCAAAGTCGTAGCCCTCTTGGTCGCGACTCCCCCGGCCGAAACTCGCCAGCACGCAACTCTATAGGATGGAATTCCCTCGGACGAAACTCGATGAATGGATCGAGGAGTCGAAGCGGCACTGTTACTATTGCTCCACTAAGACAGATGAAATCGTCTCATTCTGCCAGAGGAAGCCGCAGTAGCAACCCTGTAAGTCACGGGCATAGCCTGTCGGACAGGACCGTGGTGCCCAATGATTGGCAGGAAACAAATGGCAGTGGTGAGCAAGGTCCTCTGCCGGTCAGCCCATACCGAAATTTCTCCAATCACCAGGACGATAACGATGACCTGCGTGATTCTGATAACCAGTCCTCTGAAAGTGGCTCGCTCTGGTGTGAAATCTGTGAGACCAACGGCCACGACATCCTTACCTGTACGACGTTTGGTACAAACACAAATGGTACTGATTCCAGTCACCAGCAATATGAGCACAATGACAATGGATTTGAAAAACCTCACGAGGAGACCGCGTCTCCGACAGAAATCCCAGCGAAGAAGGAATCACCGGTGATTGCCCACCAACCTGAAGAGAAACCCCTCTCAGAGCCTGTGGAGGTTACCTCTCCTTCAGTTGAGGGTTTGAAAGGCATGTCATCTTCGATGGGACCTGTGGCGGGCAAAGCTTCAGGAATCATTGACGAAAGCAAGTGGTGCGCATTATGTGAGCGAGATGGACACGAGAGTATTGATTGCCCTTTCGAGGATTAATCAGTTATGATGGGGATGATTGCATGCCACGATATGACGACAAGTATTCCATCTTTCATATGCTGTCGCCATGATCTTCTTTCTGTCGTTTTTGATATTCGCTTTACCATCTTTCGTTTACCTTCCCTGGTCTAATTTCCCCTTGTACAAAATTGTTCTCTTTCTGTGCATTTTTCTATTAGTCTGCTGACTAGCTTAGCGAGTTCCTTTTTTCTTTCTTCATTCCGAAGCCTCCTTGACATTCCCTCTGACTACTATGTTATGCATGAAGGGCCCTTGACTGTCATACCTTTATCTATCCATTATTTACTGTATTAATACATAATCATCCACAAGAATGACGTTATCAACATGGTAGAGATCTCTACGACCTCCTTTTAGCTTATACCACCAAACCCAAAGATCTGGAATAAATCACTCCGGAAACCTCGAAGGCTGTACAACCTCGCCCTCTGCAAACCTCACCGCAGCTACCGCACCACAAGTCCCACAAGTCCTCTTCTTCTCATCCGCGCCAAACTCCTCCACAACCTCTTTCACCTGCGTCCCCAAATCCGTACACACAAATCTCTTCTCCCACACAATCGTTCCTTTCCCCTTGCACTCTTCACTCACGCAATACCACCTCATCGCATCCTCCTTGCCCTCAGGTCGCGGCTGCTCCATTACCACGCCAATTGTGTCTTTAAATCGAACGGGGCAATGAGGTGTGTTTGCCGGTAATAAGAACAGCGAGCCTTCGTGAACAGGTATGTCTACAAATGTGGGTGGATTCGTGGATGTGTCGACGGTTTTGAGCAGCATGGAGCCCCGGTATTGGTAGAAGAATTCGGGCGTGGAGTTGAGATGGTAGTCTGTGCGAGCGTTGGGGCCGCCGACGATCATGACGGTGTAGCCGGAGGAGGTGGAGGGGTGGTAGACGCAGTAGTTATTAACGGGAGGTTGGAGGAGGTGCGAGTTGGCTTCGAGCCTGTTGCTGTTTAGTTCGTCGTGTCGAAACGTTGGTGATATGGGGGTTGGCTTACCATTTCGGAATGTTGAGGGATGGAGGGAGCATTGTGTATGCTTTCTATTCTGTTCGAGTGTATGAGAATATGCAATCAAATGAGACTTCGTAGTAACTACAGCCTGAATGTTGATATAGTTGTATCGAGATGATTAGAAACCCGATGAAGTATGAGGGGAACGGATGAGGGGTTTTTAACTCTGGAAAAAACCTCCGCCAACGCGACAATTACTAAGAACCTTTATCTCCTGCTCCTTACCTAGTTACATTCAATCATTCTCCCCTCTTGATATCTACATCAACTATTCAAGGGCGCACGAGGTCTGGTTGTGGTTCAATGTTGAGTTGCATTGCCTGATTCTTTGCTATATCCATGTGACTCATGTAGTTCGACAAGCAATCTGCCACACCACTTTTCACTACAACAACTACGCTAAAACCTGCTTATATGTAAGCCAACCTTCATATATGCATCGAATGTAAGAGAAACTTGTCAATAATGTTCTTGATTGACAGTGTATAATCAATTAATTCAAGAGAAAATATTATGACGCTTATTGCAACTCTTATCGATAAGCACATCACGTGCGCTTATCGTACAGTATCGCGCTTTACCCTTTCCAGAATTTTGATCTTTTCAATTTTTTGAGGTTTTGTCCAGACCTTCTACCTCGACCAATTTCGACGACTAGCCCGGGGAAGCTATATCTTTACTGACTTGCCATATTCTATAAAACTGAGGACTTGTTCCTCTTAATCAGAATCGAAAATGGCGCTCTCCCAACCCCCCGTGCGCCTCACATCGCACAAGAACTTCGCATACCGCCTCGTCCTCGCAACCCTGACCGGCAAACCAGTACACATCTCCCAAATCCGGTCCAACTCACCCTCCAACCCCGGTCTCGCGCCTCATGAGATCTCTTTTCTACGTCTTCTCGAAGCAGTCACCAATGGCTCCCAAATGGAGATTTCTTACAGTGGTACCATCGTCGTATACAAACCCGGATTGATTACCGGTAGCGCGGCTGGGCTGGGCACGACGAGTAGTGGAGTGATCGAGCATGAGATACCGTCAAATTGTACGCGAGGGATCAGCTATTTCCTAATTCCGTTGTGCCTTCTAGCGCCGTTTTCAAAGGCGCCTATGAATGTTTTTTTCACGGGACCTGGAGTTATCACTTCCGCGACGTCGACGGGCGACATATCAGCCGATGCGGTACGAATGGCAATCTTGCCGCTGTACAAGATGTTTGGAATATTCAATAATATCGAGCTACGCATAATGCAGCGCTCGAACCCAGGGCATAATGGGAAGGGAGGTGGAGGAGAAGTGCAGTTGGTCTTTGGTCATCAAGTTCGTTTACCGAAGACGATACATTTTATGAATCCGGGAAGGATAAAGACGGTTCGCGGCGTGGCGTATTCGACTGGTGTGTCGGCATCGAACAATGCGCGTATGATTCAGACTGCGAGGGGGGTGCTGAACCCGCTGGTGCCTGATACGTATATTGCATCTGATGCGTCGGCGGCACCGCTTGTGCCTGCGCCTGAGAAATCGAATCCGGGTGGGAAGAAGAAGATTGGGTTGGGCTTTGGGTTGTTTCTTGTCGCTGAGTCTTCGACTGGGTGTTTGTTTTCGGCAGATATTGCTTCGCCGCCGGATGGAGGTGTGCCGCCTGAGGATATCGGTAAACAATGTGCATATCAATTGTTGGAAACAATTTCAAAGGGTGGATGTGTTGCTCCCGCGGCTGCACCGACGATGTTGATGCTCATGGCCATGGGGTCGGAGGATGTTGGGCGATTACAAGTGGGCAGAGAGGTGATTGGGGATGAAGGAATGGTTCAGTTTGCGCGCGACTTGACCAAGTTTGGAGCCGCTGGATGGGGTATTCGAGATGCGCCGGGTGATAATCATGATGGTGATGTGGTGATTAGTGTTGTTGGAAAGGGCATTGGAAATGTGGGACGGAAGATTGCTTGATTCTCCAATGCTAGTTCGCATCTATTTCAACGCAAGACGGTCAAGTCGCACGCACCATATTACAGAGGCCTCACTTGCGACTACCGCATCCGCCCTATCTGTCTTTGGGGAGATGGCTGAAGCGAATCGCACCCGTCATGGCCGATGCCAGGTTTTATTCTGGCACAGCCGACAGTTCCACCTCCGACGAGGCAGATGACACCTACGTATTTTTACATCTAGATACCCTATCATGTACTAGACATTGCAATTCGATGTATATATATTTTACTGATTTACTTTCGAACAAGTTACTCGTGACTAGTCATAGATGACGAACGCTTCACATTGCATATCTTTACCCTTAGCTATATACCGATAACAAACAGCCATCACATTACAAAGCAGCAAGCGCCACAGCAACAGCAACACCGCCCATGGCCCACTGCGCATTACCAGTGATCTGTGGCATACCACCCGTGCTCGCAACGGAGGACGTAGCCTTGGCCGATGCGGTACCCGTAGATGACGAAGAGGAGCTAGCCACAGTCGACAAACCAGAGGAAGTAGAGGCTGCAGAGCCGGTTGAAGCAGCAGTCGAAGCAGCAGTGGTAGCAGCGCTAGCAGCAGCCTTTGTAGTCGCAGAAGCAGTGGATTCAGTCGCCGAAGCACCGGTTGTGGCGGCGGCGCCACCAGTGACAGAGCCGGCGGTGATGGTCACGGGCATCCAGCCGGATTCGAAGTCGTCAGAAGTAAAAGTGGTGGTTGTTACGCCCTGGTAGTTTGCGTAGGAGCCGCCGATGGTCTCGGTGCAAGCGGCTTGGGAAGCGCTGGCGTCGATGTCGCAGTGGAGGTCGGCGTAGGCACTTTTTTCCATTATTAGTTGGGTTCACACACAGAGAAAGAGAGAGAAATATTAAGACATACAGAGACTTATCGCCGTCAACCATCTCAAGAGACATGGTCTTGGGTCCTTCGATCATGGTGAAGCCAGTAGCGACGCCGCAGTCGGTGGGATCTGTGCCGGCGGCACATGCGATCGAGTATGTGGTCGCCGTGGCGTCCTGTGTGAATACCTTCATTAAAATCTCAAAATTTCTTGGAATCAATCGCTAGATATAACATACACCACCAATAATAGAAGCAACAAGCGGTTGCTGGTCGAATCCCGGAAGCCAGATCGTGGTCACGGTGTCGGCGGCGACAACGGTGCTCAAAAGAGCCATAGCAACGGTAGTAGAACGCATTTTGATGTGTATGTAAAAGTATTAAAGGGCGATAATTAGAGCGCGTAAAGTGATTGAACGAATGAATAGAATTTGACTGAATGAAACGAGCGACTCAGTTGAAAAGACGATTAACGAATGTGCATATGGCGGATCGAGCAGAGAGAAGAAATAAAGGTCGGACTGATATGTGCCACATGGCGGCGAGTTCCTTTTAAATTTTGGGGTAAGACAAGTCATTTCTTCACAAGGTAACAGTCTCCTGCCTAGGAACAGCGCGTGGCCTACAAGAGCCTAGCACCGACTGACTTAGGGCTACTGATTGGGTGCTGATGGATCTAGAACGGGCCTCAGGATTGAGGCTTGAAAAATAAAGCTTGGCACCTTTTGGCTAGTTTCAGAAACCTGGCACGCTGATTGGCCGATTTTGCAGCTAGGGTTGGAGGCTCTTTTGGTTTCTGTCTAAATATAGCTTAGTGTCTGTCAAAAACGCTGTATGATTGGCTGGTATAGATTTTAGCTTGTGCTTTTTTCCTTTTTGGGTATAAGACATGGCGGCCTACAGCGATGCTTCAAGTTCCCCTGAATGATAAGCTCCGATCTCCGATGCATAGAAGAACTCAAGAGTGACACCCATCGAGTTTCACATATCTTATAAGCACCTGCATATTCATGCAGATCTTATAACACTGCTTTATATGTCACCAAGTGATGTAACTGTATGCCGGTGTATTCGATTCTTCAGAAGACCAATGAGAATGGATAGCTATGAAGACATCGTTGCATATTGATTCTACCTAGGCGTAGTCAGGTAGCAGTAACCGGGGACGCTATTACAGTAAGTTGTATAGCATTCTAGGACAAGCGGAGACAATGTTAATAAACATAAGGATTTGGATCCTTCGTCATGTTGATTTAGTACTCAATACATCTATTCATCAATCTCTGGCCGCTATACTACTTTTCTTCTGCGGAACACGTATATCTTTGATAGTTTCCGCAAACATCGGTCTTTTATAATCATTCTGGGAATACGCCGCAATCGCAGCAGAAAAGACCGAGAACGAGAAGGACAGAAACTCGGTGAATGCTCACAAAATTACCACGCAGTCCTGTTCAGGAACTGTGATAGAACACCCATCTTGAAGACCGAATAGGCTCTTCAACAGATGAAGCGGAAAAATGTAAGAGAATGACGACAAGCTGAATATCGGAGTACGGTACTCATGTGGAAGCGAACACTATGACAACGAAATATGATTGTCCGCGTGAAGCTCGGTGTTATCGGACTATGCAAAAGCATGATCGAATAGACCGAGGAGCTGACCCGGCAGTCATAAAGGGTGGGCTACAATACTCGGACGTATGGACTATAAATTGAGATTCGAAAGAAGTACAAAACAAGACATTTGGTCGCTCCAAAAGCAATTCAATCTTAAAAGATCGAAGCTCATCTATTCCCATTCACTTTCACGATGTCTAGTCTACACGAATCTGGCGAGGCCGCGCCCGACACCTTTGAGAAATCGGATAGACTCGAAGGCGAAAAAAAAGAAACTGGATTCCCTGAAGGCGGAACCAGAGCATGGATGGCGGTATTAGGTGCATTTTGCGTGTCATTCTCAACGTTCGGATACATGAATGCCTTTGGGTAAGCCTGCTCTAATCCACCCTGTAACAAAGCTAGCTGATGTGTCGATATAGGGTGTACCAAGATTACTATACCAAATACACCTTGCGCTATGAAACACCATCTAATATCGCTTGGATTGGGTCTGTTCAGATCTGCTTCTTGTTTTCTGGCAGCCTCGTTGGCGGGCCGTTGTTCGACCGTTATGGTGCTTCTGTACGGACTTGGAATAACGACATCTATAACGTCTCGCTAATTATAGTGTTATAGATTATTCACATACCGGCAATCTCCGTGGTAGTCTCAGTGATGATGACCTCCCTCTGCAAATCATACTATCAATTCATGCTCGCTCAAGGCATCCTAGGTGGAATCGCTTCCGGCATATTATTTACCCCTGCCATGACATGTGTCAGTCATTACTTTCAGAAACGACGTGCTGCAGCTGTCGGAGTGACTGTTTCTGGATCATCCATCGGTGGTGTCGTACTTCCTATTGCTTTGAGTAAGATGTTGGCGAATGAAACTCTGGGGTTTGGCTGGTCTGTCCGCATCGTGGGGTTCATAATCCTATTCATGATGTTGATAGCAATGGCCACCCTTAGAGGGCGTCTGCCTCCTCGCAGAGATAGAATTCTCCTACCCTCAGCTTTCACTCGTGTTCTTTATACCTCTATCACACTTGGGATCACGTTCATGATGTGGGGCATTTTCACGCCGTTCTTCTATCTCCCGCAATATGCGCATTCCCACAACATGGATTCGCAGCTTTCTTCCTACCTTTTGTCCATTCTGAACGCTGCCTCAATCTTTGGCAGAGTTCTGCCTGGCATAATTGCCGATAAGGTTGGTCGATTCAACGTCTTGATTATCAATGGTTTCTGTACAGGGGTATTACTTTTGTGCTGGATTGCGGTCAAATCAGAAGCTTCGATCATTGTATTTGCGGTCTTATATGGTTACTTTTCAGGGGGGCTTGTTTCTCTTATGTCTCCTTGTATTGCACAGGCATCTCCAAGTCCAGATCAGATAGGAACGCATCTCGGGATGTCCCTGGCTGTCGTTGGCATTGCTGGTCTGACTGGAACCCCGATATGCGGTGCGTTACTTGAGAAATATGGCGAGTATACACAGCCCGCTATTTTCAGTGGCGTGATGGTGTTTGTTGGTGTTGCCTTCGTCGTTGTGGCAAGATTTTGTCTACGGACTAAAGTTCTGGCAATCGTGTAATCACATCTAATCCCTCGAATGAGGAATTTCTCTATTTGTATTTATATTCTCTTTTGCTTCATTTCTCGCTTGGCTAAATATCTGAGCGGTTTTTGCCCAGAATGTATATATCTAAGCGTTTTTGTCCGAATAACTTTCTCTACTCAGATTGAATTACGATGATTGGCAATTTCCTAAAACTGGGACTTGAATTATTGAACTCTTGTGAGAGGAGACGCTTCACATTTAGGATGAAATAATAGAACATGGCATACACGGAAATATCACTTCAGTCAAAAAGCTTGTAAAAATGTGTAAGCATTGCTGTCCTTGAAGAAATCAAAATCATCTGAGAGCTATTGACCTCTGTCAGCACAAGCACATTATAGAAACAAGAAGCACTTACAATCGAATCAAAAAACCCAGTCGTGCCGTTGGAGAGCATCGAGTTTGTATCTTCTTGCAGATCAGGTTCGCGAGGAACGCTACTATGACATCGAATGAATATAAGCGTGACCTTACTTCAGAAGAATAGATGCTTACACTGAATTTGGATTTGATCGAATGGCAGCTTGCCGCAACTGAAACGCTGTGCATATAGCGACCACTCTATCAGCTGCCTCTTGGTCGGATATTAAGCATGAATCTGGCCATAACTGAGATTTTAATAGACCAATAATCATGCTGAGTATGTAGTACTCGTTCAGTCCCTCCAGCACAACAATAATTCTCTTTTCCAAGACTTGCAGCGCGTTTTCAACTGTGGCCACGAGGCATTTCGAGATTATAGGGGATATTGCTATAGTGGTTGATTGACTAGTATCTGTCAATCGTTGTCAATGATTATACTTTGCTCCTAGGTTCAATCGAGATGATTCAATTTTGTCGGTCACTTACTCTGTAGTCTGATATCTGTGTAGATTTCATGACAAATATTCAACGCTGCAAGAATTAATCCAACTCTGCAGGCTTGCTCCGGTACTTTTTCTTCTTGTATAAGACTTTGGTAATGATCAAGCAATTTCAATGATGCTTCTAACCTTGCACGTCGGCATATATTTGATTTGAATGAAGGTGGCGCTTGAACCGCGAATTGAAAATAGAGCAAGAGCATATACTGGTACAGGTGAATGAGCAAGAGCCGCTTCACGTACATTGCCTTTTGCTGTTGCCGTGGATCATTTCCCGCATCATTTCTCTCAGGGATACTCTGGACTTCTTCTTCCAGCTTCTGTCCAAAGACTAAGACCCGATCGAAATCGTCTTGCTCGCGACAACTATTTACAGACGCACATATCTCCAATCTGACAGTCAAGGAGCTGCACAATTGAGATTGGAAAAATGTATCTGTCAAAACGTCGTTTGGCATCTCTTCCGGCAGATCATTGTCAGAGTCTCGAAGTTCCTGGAGACTCTTATCATCAATATTAAGAGGCGATTTCAAGTGAAAATCTTCGACGCCAATATTTGGCGGCATGCCTCGTTCCACCGCTGCTTGCAGGTCGAGTTCAACGATCGTCGCCCATAACCTCCGACGCATCTCTCGCTGATAATGTGATATTCTCGCTGTTGAGGGAGCTTCACGATGGTAGCCTGCGGCCATAGCCCATCGAATAACTGCCCCAGTAGACATCCAGAGCGAATTCTCTTGAATATAATTCGCACGCTTTGCAATGAGCAGGAGACAATGTGTAGCTAGAATGTTCCACGACTGAGGAGGCTGATTTGTCGGTAAATGGAGCCATGACTCTGCAGCCCCTATCCAACACATGACTTGGTCGCGAATAGGTTGCTGACCCTCAACATCGGTGTATATCTCCGAATGAAATATTGCAGCAGTAGCCGAGACCAGAAGCAGTTGCACCAGAAATGAAGAAGGCGTACAAAGCGGGCTGGTCCAATGGCAATTGTACTCTGCTATAAAAGCCGATTTATCGAGAACTCGATGTAATACCTCGAACCGGTCAAGATACGTCTGCACCAATGTATCTGCAACTGACTTCATTGGGACCAGCTGCGCTAGTGTGGATGCTGTTGCAACCTCATGTGCTGAAGGACGCTGCCGATGACCATCATTTGCTGGAGAGTAGATCTCGTCGCGAAGGGAGTTAATTGCTGGGTTTTGAGTCTTGACTTGAGCGATGTAGGATCGAAGCTCGGCAAACTATATCACACTTGAGGAAATGGACTTCATTGTAAGATGGGCGAGTTCGACGTACCTGTTGATAAAAGTTTAAGGGATAGCTATACCCATAGAATATGGTGAGAGTCTCTTCTCCTTTCAAGTGCGTTGCTTTGACATTCGATTTGGAGGGTTTTGATGATTTTTCCGTTTTATCTGCCAACGAGACTGGCGTACGACAGGGCTCTACCATAGCACCTGATTCCATCCGCGGCTGAGTATCATGGGCAAAGGCTCCATTCACTAACGAGTTCCTCGCTGTTTTGTCACGATAGGTACATCTTTCGGCGTTTCCAGACTTTACACAACGGCTGCAGCATGGAGACTCGCGTCCACATTTTAGCTTTCGTTGGTAGCATTGGATACACGCCAATGGTGGACGTCGTCTCCTGACTCCCGGCTTGATCACCCGTAGCGAATCCATTGAAAAGAGGGTCTGTCGATTTTCAATCTCTGATTCTTTGTTCTTAAGAAGGTACAGATAAGATCTTTCCGCGCTGAAGATGCATGTGTAGGGCTGGTTCCATTGGCTCGGCAATTTCGGCGAATTGGGGGGTCGGCTCGGACTTTTACGTCGTAGTGGTAGATTTCGTAAATATGCTCCACCAGATTTTATCAAGTGACTCATTGAAATCAATACAGGCTTTCTCCCATATGAGTGAGGCTTTCCCTTAGGTCACGCCTTACTACTGTGTACGTCCTACGTAGGATCTTGGCAGTCTCACTTATCAAAAATGTGGCAGCACATCTCATAATATTATGCTTAGAAATTAGAATATCCGTTATAGAGCCTGGGAAGTAGAGCGGACTGGACGATTCAGATAACTATTCAAGTCTCGAGCCGAAGAAGAGAATCGACCAATATAAGAGCAGGCTTGTACTTGTGAGGTTACCAGCAGGGCGACCACAAACGGATTACCGGTAGGCGGCAACGCTAATGCAAATATTAATGTCATTGCACGACAATAACCACCATCTTCTTCCTTGATCACCCAAACTCGAGAATAATGTCTGCCGCGACAGTGGAGGGTTCGACCTTACTTGGTCTCCCTGTTGAAATGCGAAGCCAGATCTTTGACTCAATCTTCGAATCCACCACACTCTACGTCGAACCAGGCTGGCGCGATGAAGACTACAACTACGAACTTTCTTCTCCTCCCCAACTCACCGAGAAATTAAACCTTGTTTGCCGTACTTTCAACAATGAAATTGGCGACTCATGGCACAAGAAGGTCACCTATTATTTTCCCAATACGGTTGCGTTTATCGATGTCATGTCACAGTGGCCAGAGGAGAGAATCAGACAAATACGACATGCCCATATTGTAGCATATCCCCTCCCCATATATCACCACAACGCAACATTCTATACTACACATTTCATGTTCGAAGCCCTGAAAATGTTCCCCGGTCTACAGCTAGACGTTCTGACCGTGGAGAATATATGGCTTGAGCCTAATGGCGAGCCCCTCGACGGTTGGTGTATAGGCGCCACGACCATCGACGTTACATGCTTGCTCCAGAGCAAAGGCTGGAAGGAATTCCGTTACCTTTCCGGCGTGCTTCCTTTGACACCCAGTCAAGTTCGCAATATAGATGAAAGAATCACCAAAATGAAAGCAGAGCGTAACGAGCCTGGCTTTGAGTACCACATCACCCGCCACAGACCGCAGCTGGCTGGACTGCAGTCAGTACATCCTGATGGCACTGTTGAATACAAGGATAGTCAAGAAGATCGAGACGAGGTTGAGCACTGGTATAAAACCCATCCCGAAGAGCCGCCACAGGATCAAAGTTTGCCCGAGGATACGGAGAAGGAGGTGATGGTGTGGGCCAAGAGAGGTACTGCTGATTATGTCCAAGATGGTGAGAATCTCCACCCCGCAATCAAGGAGCTGCTGGATCACAAGCCTTGGCTTCAGCATCGGAGAGATGGCCAAATGCTCGTTAGTGACGGCATGGATGATCCTGCCGGACATCTTTGAGTGACTGGAATCTGTGGACGGAGAGCGTTAGTAGAGTTGTAGGGTAGCACATGACTCCACTCACTGTTCTCAGGGAGTATCACATTCCCATTGCTACTTTCGTGTTCCCATTGAATGCCCAATCTAAACTTCACTTAAGCAGCACAGGATCCTTCTGCGTATTAGTATGATTGAAAGAGGTATTTATTTCTAGTGATATCCCAATTGATCCTACAAGGATTTTCTCTACTTTCGAAGTGGCAGGCACATCTATTGAGCCTTGATAGATCCTACGTTTGAGTTCATCTACTCCATTCCCATTTCTCCAGTTCTGTCCTCCTCGACTCCGTTTCCCTAGTGGCCACTCCTATTCTCGGAGGTATCCTCCGCCGCTGCACGATAGTACTCAGGTGTTGTGGACAGCTTGGTATATGGCTTACATGCTGTATCCTCTATCTAAAAGCCCGATCCGAGGGTCCAAGTTGCAGATTCGGTATAGGTTGTTAGTCTTTTTAAAGGTATGTAAGCCCGACGTATAGTACTTCTGCATTGCTCAAACCGGCTTGCCATTGTGCTTATCAGGTAATTCTGGCGTCGAGGAGCAAGCTGAGCCACTTCACTGGGTTCCCATATCTTACAGCGAGCTTGAGGCTTATAGCATGCTCATACCTAGCCTTTCAAGCAGGCGTTCCTTATCCGCTTCATTGTCTCCAGCTGAAGCGGCCTTTAGCGCATTCCCATAACATCTACCTTGAATTTGAAAGTTGACCCCTCTATCAAGCAACAGCTTCACGATCTGCTTATGACCTCTGGATGAAGCCGCCTGTAAAGCATTGCCATATTGCCCGCCTGGGATGTTGACATCTGCACCTCTTTCAAGTAGGTGAGCCTCGATATCAGCCATAGCTGTCCGAAGGAGGCTCGGGGGCTGATTCAAGAAGCACATGTTTTGAAACTTTTGATTCCGTATTGCTTTACCAAAGTCGTATTCGAAGAGACTACCGCATCCATTGCGTGGCGCACTAACCACGATGTCACCTAGGAGGATATCATGCTTCTGACTTGGGGCGCCTCCGCCAACACTGAACATCAGGCCAATTCTGACGTCGGGAAAACTACGTAACATGTCTCGTGCGACACATGCAGCTGCAGCTTTACCGTATGTCCCGTGAGGAGGGATGCAATCACCACATTATGGTTCTCATTTTTTCCTAGGGTGTAGACGTTGTAATCATTTTTAGGAATATATCTTGGTTTTCAATGCACTTCATCGAGGAAAGCCTGAACGGCATTGTATTCGCAAGATATGGCACAGATCCATTCAACGGTATAATCCTTCTAGATTGTTACTCGGTGTTCCAGACCGTCGAGTGAGGTGTTTGGAACCCTAAGATATCTTTCACAGAACGATGGGGTTTCAAGACATAGGATATTCGGTTTAGCTTCAAGAAGATGGTTGAAAGAATTAAAAATGGGACAATTTAGTAGAATCAATGTCTTTCAGCCTTGCATGCCCGCTCAAGTGAAACCAACCACCCCGCAGAATCCGTGATAGTAATAGAAAGCGGCCGAGGCACCGAGTACAATTTTGTTAGACTCAAGGGGGCAAAACAAGGGAGTTGTTTTGGTGTCCGTAGTGATATATACGAGTCTCAATTTGTCTTTGCTTATATAATGATTAGTTCCTAGATAGCTAAGTGACACCATTTGAAAGCCGGTTTATGCCATTAGCTACAGGTATACGGAATAGGTTATGTGGGAATAGCTTCACAGGAGACATCACAAGCCTCCTCACAGGAACCGCAGAACATGCCCTAATGCCATCTTGATTCACGGATGACACGCCCTATATAATCCGTTGCTTCACTACATCTGGCACATACGACCATAGGGTGTGGAAAACAGGGCTTCCCGTCCGCTCAGCCGTACTTAAGCCACACGCCGGCTGGTTAGTAGTTGGGTGCACCAGCGAATCCCAGCTGTTGTATGTAAAGTTTTTTGTATTTCTGCTGGACTTTCTTTTTGATTTCTCAAGTTTCATAAGCCCCACGATCTACATTAATATGCTGCGTTGTGGCAAGTTGGACCTCGTTGGTTGACAGCTTTGATATGCTTGGCGTGCTGATAGGAAAAACAGATCCCGAGTAGAATTCTCTTGTCAGACATAGAGCAGTGCAGGAATTGAGCGGTCGATGACTATGAAAATGTTATGAAAATTGCTTTTGCAACTGTAGATATAGTACGATTGATAGACGTTCTGCTTGAAAATGTGAAGCCAAGATGCAATTCAAGCGTAATCAGAGAAACTTTAAAAGGAGATGGCTCTTAAGGCATCCTCGCACAGTGTCTTAATACGAACCCATCTGTTCAACAAGAGATCAATTTTATCATTCTTTCCGTCTCGGGCACCCAGTTGCTGTTCCATTTGTATGTCCTTCAATGATTGGATTTTGACTGTGCTTTCCTTGATATAGGTGCCAACCCAATCATGAAGTATACTTGTGGTTTTATTCTCCTCGTCCTGGATGCGGCCCAAGACGTAATTACGCCACTGACGACTCGTCATGTATTTGATGCAAGCAACAGCCTTGGCGCGGTGGCAGACACCAACTGACGTTACTTTGTAGTTCCTAAGTCAAATGTTAGAATCAAGATTTGGCTAGGGTTACTTGAGATTTCCATACCCGTAGAGTTTCTGAGAAAGTAGTTCTTTCTTGTGGGCAGCTGTGAGCTCTCTATAGACGATATCGTCGAGATAAACGGCGTCCGACTCGTTGTCTTCAAGACAAAATCCATCTTCCTAACCTGTTAGTATCACCTCTAAGAATGAAGGACGTCAACACTCACATTCAACCAAGAGGAAGTCATTCGGATGTGATCCATAGCTCATGAATAGCTCTTCACCCTTCTCTATGTAGAGCGTCATCAGGGTGAATTTCCTACTCTGCGCTCTTGTCTCCTTTGGAACGAATATTCAGACTCCAGGTTTCACCACTTACCAAATTGTTGAGAAGCTTTAAATGTGTACGCCTGTCCGTCAAAATCTACTTCGCAAGGCTTCACACTATGTCAAATCACAACTTCAAGGTGGGCTTGAATCGTATTCAGGAAATACTTACTGCATTATCATCATGATTGAAGTAATCCGCAAAGGGAACCAAGGCTATAGCATCATTCCAGTCTTCAGGTTCGCTTTTGCCTGGAGAGACATAGTAAAAACTTCTAGTATTTAGAATGAGCCAATGATATGAAAATAACTCCCAGCTTGTGTCCGGCAACACTGAGATAACAGCCTTCCATGCATCCTGAAGTCTTTTTTCCTGGTGCGAGAGCATGTCAGTATATCTGTGCTCATACGCGGTGTCAACAGCTCCCTTCTTGAATGTACTCCAGGATCCGGAAACAGAAGGGGGCAGAAGGCTTTTGTCAGCGGGTGACACTTTCGACCAAAAAAGTGGCAGAGTCTCCTCAAATTCAAGCCTAGACGGCCAAACTTGACGCCATATGTCCCATTTTTTCAATAAAACCGGATCTCCATGGGTGAGAAAGGCAGCAAGAATGGCATGAAGGGATGTCCCGTCGGGAAACCTCCGAAGAAAAGAGAGCGGCACTGAGTCGATTGTAAACATCGCAGACAAGGGCACTGTAAGCATCGTCTCTCCGGTCTTTATTGCATCAGATAAGAGCTCTATGCGTACAAAGATAAGCATACGTACACGGATTCTTCTAGTGGCTACCATCCCAAGACGCCGACCTGGAATATAGGCAGGGGCCACGCCATTTATTTCTATTCCTTGAGATTCCGACCAGCGAATAAAAGCTATATGCTCATTTCCCAACGACATAATTGTGTTGCATTTGTCATAGACGAGATCGGGTAGGAGACAAGATCAACATGATGTACTGAATTATCATCGTAAACAAACGGCTTTTAAGTTTGTCCGCACCGGAAGATCAGCGCTATGCCAAGAATGGCTAGCTCAATTCTTTCATCTTATCCCGCTCGAACTAGCTCAGAAATTGGTTTTTTCTTAATTCAACCAGCTCGACTCGACCTTTCTGTGTGGGTTCGTCTATTCATTGTCGTCACTGATCAGACCGGAGGGGCAGTGAGCGGTTTTTGCAGCATAATTGTCGGTGCTAGATCTTGGACCTGTCTACAAAGCACTATTTCAATATTCGAACAGTTAGTATTTGGAAGAAATTGCCCATACCACCTCGATCTGAGCTCATCGTTGTTTTGTTCTACAGTAACACCATGTCGAACATCTTAGAGCAAGAAAAGTTCTATGGTGACCATAGCTCCAACCGTACTCCTGTCGACACCAACATAGATCGTGATTCATCAATGAAATACTGGAATGAGACCCCTGCAACAGCCAATGCCATGCTAGGTGACCTCGGTAACTTTTCCTGGTATTCGCGTATTGATCTGCGCGGCTCAGCGAATTTCTTAGCCAAGGTTCGTCGTTTGTCACCAGGTACTATGACTCATGAAAAATTCAAGCTTGGTGTAGATTGTGGTGCAGGCATTGGCCGCGTGACCAATGGGTTTCTCCGGCATGTTTGTGAAGTCGTGGATGCAGTGGAGCCGGTAGAGAAATTTGCCTCTATTATACGCGAAGAATCGCATAGCCATGATGGGTTGGTAGGAGATGTCTACGTCACTGGTCTGGAAAACTGGCTACCAATGAAGAAGTATGACCTGATTTGGTGCCAATGGTGTGTTGGTCATATCACAGATATTCAATTGACTGAATATATCGTACGCTGTCGAGCTGCTCTGACAGAGACCGGAATAATGGTCATTAAAGAAAATTTATCCACAGAGCCTACTGGGGCTGATATGTATGATGATTTGGATAGCAGCGTGACACGGTCGGACCAGAAATTTCGAGAGCTTTTCAAAGAGGCAGGGATGATTTTGATCACTTCCGAGATACAGCTTGGGTTTCCGAAAAAGTACAAACTTCTCCCAGTCCGATCCTACGCTTTGCGGCCCAAAGTCAGAGATTGACAGCGTCAGATACGTTGTTTGAGGCCAATTCTACCATACAACCCAATCACATCGTGTGTCTAGTCAACGGAGAGATATGAAATCACAACTTTTTTTTGCTCTTCGAATCGAGTTTGCCCAGACAATCTCATTCGATGTAGTATACAGAACCATTCCTTGCCGAGAAACCCTTTTCACTAAGAGGAGTTTATGTAGCTGAAGCCGGTGAACTTATTATAAAAATCATCTTTCGCCAATTCCATCACTCATCCATCGGCAAGACAATCTTCTCTAACGTGCAAGATCAGGCTTGTATGCTAGTAGGTCTAGTGGCCATATTCGTGTTGCTGTACATATAAATGAATCTTCTTAGCCAAATGATTGGAAAATTTGAGAGTAGGTAAAGGATTGCCCATAGTGGCTTTCGCTAAATATTCATGTAGATTAGCAGAGAATGCCCCACATAGAATCAGATATGATCTAATTCTCGTTGTTCCTCGAGGCTCAAGATTGATCTGAGACTTTTTTGATATTCGTTGGCAGAATTGGGTGTTCTGCGTATACCTGTGGACTGCTTCCAATAGGAAACACTGTATCGCTTGTCGGAATATGTGTGCATTTATTGAATTATTGACTATTGTAGACATTTTGCTGAGGACTGTCGGACTCCAATTCCTGTTTGAGCCATTTGACCTGTTCGTAGTTGTCCAGCGGCTCGCAAATAGTATCTCCAAGCTCTACCCTCCGAATCCCATGAATCGAAGAAAGCTCACGGATTCCGGGGTCGGCCCGAAAATCTGAGGGAGATATGCTCGCTATTAAATCAGGTTCGAAGCAGAGACGTAGAAATTCTAGCCTGCGGCATTCCCTCAATAATTGAACGCATCTCGGCACATGAAGAGCAGGAAGCTGTAATTGATCATCTTCTATATCCGAATTTTGATCCATTCGGTGGCGAACGTCACTTCGGCTTTCCCAAGAGAATTCAACTGATTGGAGATTTGCTCGTCCAATTTCGCCAATGGAAATGGCTACCTTTAAAAAGTTGTCTATATCGTCGAGCCGAAAGAAAGTATTGCGGTATGCTATGGAAAGCGCCTCCTGACGTATCTGCTTATTGACGCGGAGAATACTGAGATCACTATTTAGTGGAAAATAGAAGCCGCTTGGATCACCCAGGGCCCCAGCGAAAGTGGTCGAATTGAATACATCAACGTCTCCTAGTTGCCATTCGCCGTTGGGAATCAAGAACGTATATATTTTGTCACGAAGCTCTCGCGGGAGCTTGAAGAAAATGGATGAGGGTCTGTAGCTATTATCCCTTTGAAACTATTGACCCTCATTAGTCCGGGGATAACGAAGTGGATATGGATGTATGTATTACCTTTGTCACAGTCATGAACCTTGAAGCTTCGCTTTCGCTAAGTCGAAGAGGTAGATAGAAACCGGAGTCATGATATATACGAATCAAAAAACGATAGAGACCAACATTGTGTGTGCATTCCGCCACTGTAGAATTGCCGTAAGCCGAAATAACCTTGTAGTAATTAGTGCCACAGAACTAAACTCCATATGAGGAATCAACATTGTTAGGTAAAATCGACTTACTCTAGGTTCTCCAGGAAGTGGAAGTTCATTTGACGAAGCTGTTCCTCGGATCGTCCTTTTTCCATGTTCATCAAGCTCCCTTAAGGCCCTCTCGTATGAACTTTTGGGAACGGCGGTAAGATCGGAGTAAAACGCGCCAACATCGTCCTCGGCGTTTTCCAAGGAGTCTATTTTATAGCCCAGCTTGCTCTCAATCTGATCAAGCGTGAGTAACTGCCTTCGTTTAGCCATTTGGCGATTTATAAGTTGCTTTCTCTAAGCGTGCAGCCACCGAGGGCTTCGAGCGCGTAAGTAATAGCATGACCCCGCAAGGGATAGACTCAATTTTGATTGGCCAGTTGCAGCTCAATATCCGTCATGATGCTTGGGGTGACTAGTTTCAGCCGATCAGGCTGTCAAATAATTAATCCCTGATGCCTACCTTCCCCCATACGAGTGTCTTTCTATAAATGAAAAAACTTCGGGTGCTAACATAGTCTTGAGTTGATGTTATATTAATAAGCAGTTACAATGAAAACATCGAAAGAAACTTTGACTCGTCAGATGGATTATTATATTAATAACGACCCGAAGTGGAATTTTAACTTACAAGCCAAACGTTCAAATTGTAAAAAATCGCGTAGCCAAACTGCAAAAAATGGGCGAGTCAGTGCTCAGATCAAGCTATGTTTACTAGATTTCAAGCTTGCATTCTTGCTTCTAAATTATACCCCATAGCAGCATTTCATTCGCTTTTCAAACAGTCGTTACTCGTTACCGGATCTGAAATAGATAACCCATCAAGGGTGTTCTGTACAACGCCGTGTGAGTCTGGTTCACTTTTTATGAGTAACTGTACCATATCCTCGTCGTCCAAAACCTTTGCCATCTCGAGTGTACTGTAGCCATCTTGGCTTTTGTTTGCAAGAGATGCTCCTCTTTCTAGGAACAATTTCACCAACTTGTGGTGCAAATTCTCCGTGGCAAGAACTAGTGGTGTTCTTCCGCGGCTATCAAGATCGTTTAGATTCGCTCCGACCTCAATCAAGGCCATCGCTATTTTTTCTCGACCATTTACAGCGGCAATGTGTATCGCTGCCTGTCCGGATGGATCCTTTGCCTGGATATCAATGCCTGCATCAATAAGCGACTGCACAATTGCAATATTTCCAATATCGACTGCAAGATGCATCAGGGTGAAGCCATCGACGCTTGTTTGAACGTTTGCCCCATGTTCAATAAGCAGGCGCACCATACTCTCGTTGTTCCCTTCAACAGCCCATGCCAACGGTGGCTTCTCATCAGATCCGCGTTTATTCGGATCTGCCCCATTTTCAAGAAGCACTTCGGCGGCTTTCATCTGTGCTTGAAAAACAGCTAATTCAAGGGCTGTAAATCCTCCGGCATCACTCGCGTTGATATCTGCCCCTTTCTCAAGCATGCTTTGAATCCTACCAACTTGGCCCTCCTGAGCGGCGTAACGTAGACCTGTGAGTGCTGTACTTCCTTGAGCTTTTTTGTCTGCAAGCCTGGTAAGTTTGGCTTTTTTTCTGACATCATGAAGTTGCGATGTCAATGAATCAATTGTAATTTGTCCATTTTCGACTCTGCTTTTTAGTAGTTGTACTAAATTGTCATGCTTCTTCACAACAGCACAATGTAGAGGTGTCCACCCATCTTCATCTTTAATGTTAGGTTCTGCACCGTTTTTCAATAGCAATTGAACAATAGATTCAGACCCTCCTAAAGCTGCTTTATGAAGAGGCGTAAGTCCAGTAACATCCTGCAAATTAACATCTGCGTTATGGTCAAGCAGTATTGCAGTCACTGTGGTTGAACCACTTTGTGCAGACCAAATAAGTGGAGTTTGCCCATTGTCATTCTTAGCATCAACATCGGAGCCCTTTTCAAGTAACAGACGAACGACTCCCTCGTACGAAACCGCCCAGTGTAGCGCCGAATTGCCGTATTTGTCCTTGGAGTTTACATTGGCACCATTTTCCAATAGAACCTGTACAGTAGCCTCGTGGCCTACTGTGGCAGCAAAGTCCAATGCTGTACTGCCGACCCAGTCCTGAGCATTAATAATGGCGCCGTGTTCAAGGAGAATTTGCACTATTGCATCTTTTCCTTCCTCAGCTGCTAGATTGAGAGCTTCGTTGATTCCGTCATCCTCGGTATCTAGCTCCACACTGCTGCTTAATAGCACTTTTGCCAACTCAACATCTCCGTTCACAATCAGCCAATTCAAAGCTGACCATCCCTCATTATCTTTTATAAGATCAGCCCCTTTGTCTAGAAGAAACTCTAAAGCGGCTTTATGACCGACTCTTGCCGCCCAGTATAGCGCAGATTCCCCACGATAATTCACGGCGTTAATACTTGCACCTTTATCAAGCAAGATACGGAGTACTTCCACATGGCCATTTTCCGCTGCTATGATCAATGGCGTCGCTCCGTAACTGTCTTTAGCATCTATATCGAAATCGCTTTCCAACACGAGCTCTAGTACCTTCTCCAAGCCCCAGTATGCCACAACATGTGAAGGACGGAAATTTTTTGGATAACGAGTGAACCAATCTTTGGTTCGATACCGGGTAACATGCAGTATCTGGACCGAAGCCGCCAATTTTCTGCTTTGGTCAAGAAATTCTAGGATTGATTCTAGCTGTTCAGGGAGCTGCCTTTGGAAGTGGCGTCCCCAATGATGGGAAGCGTAATCGAGTAGGCGAAATTCTTGCAAACGCTGCGACAACGTATCCCCATCAAAGCATGGCCCGCTTTCGAAAGTATCGAACGATAGGTATGTAAGACAAAGCCTTGCGAGCTCATCATCAGGATCAGGGACAAGTTCCTCTGGATGTTGTGTAAGAAATTCGTGAAGAGTATGATGGACTAGGCCTACAATGCCGCTCTGTTCATCAATCCTGATAAGGCCAATAGAAACTTCTAGAAGAATGTCTTTGTCCGGTAGGGCGTCTTCATCTAGCGTGTTGTCTTGCAATTCGATACCTAGCGCATGGCGGATTTCCTCAATGTCGAGCGGCCGTTTGGCGCAATATATATACGAAAGCGCCTTTTGTGCAAGTTCGTAATCCTGCGGTCCTCGACTCTTGATCCTTTGCATAGTAGCGCGATAAGTTTCATAAACATCTGGTGACAATGTATCCATGGCGGCCCGCACTTTCCTAAGGTTGTTATGACCCCGCAAGAGATCCATTTGCAGAGAGGCGAGTAGGAACCTTATAATCTTAGTCAGCTTCATTAGCTTGAAAGGCATGGTTTGAACTAAACTTACATGCCATCGGCATTCGATCTCACGAGCTGAATTATCTTGTCCTTCAATCCGCCGTCCTTGGTAAGAAGTTTGCACAGTCTGGTATCGTTGTTGATCTCAAATTCTAAGTAAGTCTCTACGTCAGAGTCGCTTGCTGAAATCTTTAGTCGAACAAGATTTCCGAATTGAGCAACATCGTCGATGTAAGGACGAGAGGTGAAGAGAAAACGCACAGACCCTTCGAGTCTTTTCAATGATTGCATGAATCTGTGTCTATTTCTCGTCGGGCATTCGTCCTAAGTTAGGTAAGCGCAAGTCGTTTTTTGCAGTCCGAATTTCAGAAGGGGGGATTCTCACCAGGGCGTCAACAAAAACGTAAGTGTCAGAGAATAAAGAACGGAGAGAAATGGCAAGAGATATCCACTCGTCTTCACTCGGATTTCTTTTACGAGCCGCATTCTTCTCAAGAAAGTCCTTCACTGCGGGAGGGATCGGATAAATTTGTTCTACCATCTGGCGACATATACTTGCTACGAGTCCGAGTTCGGAGTGTGTTGTGGGATCGTTATGGTCAATATAGAGGTATGCAATCGCCGTTTTTGTAGCTTGTGTAGCATCGTTGACGTAACTGACTGCGATGGATCTGGATGAAATATGAGTTTCTTTGTCTGTTATTGGGATTACCGACTACGCAGTGTCTTCAGGGTACTCTGATCCACCGAGCCGTTCTATCAGATGGCGACTCACGTGAAAACGCTTTTTCCCGCCCCGGCTTAACGTCGCAAGTTAGCTGTTGCGAGGAAAATATTCATTGGCTCTAGCAACGAACTTACGATCACCATAACACCAGAGAGTAGAAGTCTGGTTGCCCTTGAACCATTGCTGGAACTCGGTACTTTCCAGTATCCACTGTCCAGTGGCCTCTGAGCGCTTTTCGAATGTGTCTCTTTGCTTTTCATGGAAGCTTCGCGTTGATAGTGCTTCGAGAATCTTGTCACGTTCATCGGCGGCCTCTCTGCCTGCGAAGATACATCATTAAAACATTGAATCTCTGAACGGAAGGTCGAATAGGCTAATGACGCCATACTTAGAAGAAGCTTTTCTACACGTTCTGTCTTCTCCTCTAGAATGCGGCTACTATGGGCTGCTGCCTTTGACTGCTGGTTTAACATTGCAAGTGTAGCATTCCTGATGATACCTGCTTCGCTGTCGATTGCTTTATGGAAGCGAGTATATGCAACGGCCAATTCATCATCCTCACCTAAAGCCAATGAACGAAATGCTTTCGCTGGTAGGGTTTGAAAGGTCAGTATACTGTCTCGTTTGCAATATGTGTTGGCGTTTTGAGATCACACAAATACATCCAGGATCAACGACCCCTCTATCGAGAAATCCAACGAAAGAAGTCACTCAACTCACCAATTCGCTTCTTTTTGATATACTTCGCAGAAATGCCAAGAATATCCAAAACTGACACGAGGACTTGTATCAGAATATCCTTAAGCTCCGGTATGCTTGACATGTCCATCTCGCCCAACTTAAGGACTTTAAGTCGGCTGAGGTAAGAGTCTACGTCTTCAAAAAACTCAATGATCTTATCGTAGTCGGCCGATACTGAACTAATCGCCTAGGAATTGTCAGAAACTAGGTATCGAACGAACAGAAATGTGTCTTACGCCCATGAAAAAACGCAGAGCTATGAATATTGCGACGCTAGGAGGAGAAGCCTATTTTGATGTTATTATACAATGCTCCTAAATGCGGAGGGGAACAAGTTTATTGCTTACATTGACAGCTGCCTGCGCAACCACATCACTTACGAAGTTGATGCGGTTCATGAACTTCGTTAAAAGTATCCTGAATTTATCAAATTTTGAACCACTGTGCCTGAACTTCTTGAATGATGATTCTTTGTCTGACAGAGTGTCTACCAAGTCATCCACAGACTTTGCGGTTGGTAAAAAATCGACTTTGGTCATGCTATTACGCTCATAGCGATCGATCGCCGCTCGCCAAATCACTGCGATATCAGAGGCTGGGTGGACAGTAACGGGGGTGTTTTTACTTGCGCACATCGCCGCGATTTGGAGTTATACAGGGTATATTAGCAAATGCGAACGATAGAATATCAATAGACATATAGGTGAAGGGATGTGTCAATTGATCCTTTGCTGGAAGAGCAGGGTAACTTTGAAGGGCTTATCAACTTTTGTGGAGAGGGGTGTGGTACGCTGTACGCCCCCAGTCGAGACTTTACTCTAGATGTCTCTAGTGCGAGGGGCATACGCCTCCAATCGAGACTTATCCCGATCATAGTCTCGACTGCAGGCGTACGTGACGCGTATAGCCTCAGCCAGAAGGCTTGCACTACACCTTTACCAGGCTAGGGCCAAACCCTCAACTTGGCCGACTCAGCCCAACACAATGAGCAGTCTGTCGGGGCCTCATGCCACTTTCAGCACGGAAACAAAGGTGTCATTCTTTCAATATATACGCGACAGTCCAAATAATCGCCGTGTATCTCAGGAAGAGAGAGATAATATAATCCAGTGGTTAACCAATCCCCACAAGCGGCCGTCATCACAAAGCGAATTCAGTCGACGGAATTATGTTAGGAAGACGTTCATTTGGGGGGACGGCTCACAGCATCTGCTCGCAGCGCCAAAGACGAATGGGGCACAGAAACGTATAGTGGTTACCGAGGATAAGATTGCGGATGTGGTAGAACATGTTCACGAAAATAACGGTCACGCCGGCTGGGATTACACTTGGAGAGATGTCAGCATATCATACTATGGAATCTTGAGGTCGGATGTCATAAACCTCCTGAAGCAATGTCAAATTTGTGCCCATAACCCTTCAAAGCGACCCAAGGAGTCCATTACTGCAACCCCGGATACCCGATCGGCTGATAGCGAGTTCATTGACTTCTTAGATCAGAGCGAACCGCCGTTCGACGCCTCTGCATGAAGTATACGAATTATGGAAAAGCTGTGGATAGCCTGAATACCAAAAATGTTGGCTTGCATGCTAACTACATCTGGATTGGTTACGGAGTTCTATACTGAGTTTAGCGATATGTTTAACAGTATTGGAAAATTTTCGATTGTTCTTTTAACTTTACTTTCTCCATGTCTTTCGTTGCTTCGACAAGCTTAGGAGTTGATACTCGATAGACATAAGCTCAAGACCTACCCAGACTGTCGACATATCAGCGGTCGAAGCGTACGGTTCTCTGAAAAAAAGCAACTCAGTCGCCTTGTTGATCTCTGAATAGCTTGAAGAACTGGCTTGAGACTGGAATCTAAGCGCACTGAGATTTGTTAGCTTTATTCTAGTATATGAACAGCAAATACGCTCACATAAATTTCGTGAGTATCCACAATGTGCGATTCCTCGTTCGGGATGTTCAGCGCCCAACTGCTTTCCTAGAAGAAGTCTAGCAATGATAATTATTATGTCACTCGCTGGGCATATTAAGGAGAAGCTGTCTCATAGGATATGGTCATCACGCCAATAAGAGCTGCAGTCTAGTAGGCCGGGTCTACTGGACTTTCGAGACTCCTATAGACTGCCTAAGATGTAATTGCAAGCATGGAAAGTGCAGCCATCAATATCCATCTCCAGCCTTGTACTGACATCCAGCAGCCCACGCTTTATATAGTAGATCTGTGCCCTTCATTAATGCCTCTTTCTTTAACCTTGCAAACCTAGTAGTTTTCTCCTTAATTTCAGCCGTCAATAGAATCCCCTGATTATTATCCTGCAACGGCCTAGCTTCTGCCAACCCATCTAGACTCAAGCGTGTACGAGCGTCTTCATCCAACGTCCCCTACATCTCGATTGGTTAGTACCTATACACATTTATCTGGAGCAATGCTGAAGAAATTTACATTCATAGAGCCGCTGTAAATGTACTCTTGTTAGGAATAACACCTTGACATCTGTTATGTTATATAATGAGGGAGTGAATGCTCATGTCAAATGGCATTAGGCCTAGGGCTGTTGCACCCTCATAGGCCACACTGGTGTCAGAGCACTCTTTCCCGAACTTAGGACCAAAACACTCTCACGGTCTTTCCGGGGAGGTTAATTATTTGGCTATATTCTTAAAGATAAAGATGGATTCCCTTTTTTACAAAAGTGTGAAGTATACTTAGAATCGGTGAGCCATGAATAGGCTTGTTCTCATAACAAGACAGCCGGGTGCACAAGCTATAGAAGAAGCATGTATCCATCGATATCTATACCTAAAATTTGATAATCTTTCATTAAAGTATAGGCAATAGAAAGGGTACCCATATTAATATCCAGTATAGTATCGAACATGTCATGGGACACTATTGCTCTAGGGTGGGCAACCTTTGTTTAAATTGAAGACAGTGCTTGTCGCACTAAGAAGCTAAGAATGATGTTTGAAATTGGAATATACATAGAACCAAGACATTCATTCCACAGTAGTCTCTCTCTGTTAACAAGAAGGAGATTTCAAGGTTTCAGGTTAGGATTTATTCACGGACACTCTTAAGTTTTGTGTAGGATCTTGGGTAAAAAAAAACAAGAAGAATGAATAGCCATCTTTCAATGTTCTATGTATCAGAATGTTCAGATACACAAACCTATGATTTCAAGTAGTAAGAATTCTAACAGCTCTTCTGCACCCATTGATAGACTTTGTTATGACCTGCCCCTGTTCCTGTTTCTTTAATTATACCCCTGCTTTAATGCTCCTTTGGATGCATACAGCACATTGTACAAAAGCCATGAAAGGAAAGATGCTAGTCTTTGAAATAAACTGATGCTTTCCTATTAGTTAATTCAGCTCGTTAAAAAATATATGCAAATGAAGCTAGAATTCAAACTTGTACTGGTTCTGCTCCTTCATTACCAACTTCTTCCACGTTCTTTCCTATATTTCATAGTGTACAGGAAAGGCGGACCAGCAATGAACGAGACAATGATAACCAGCTCGAGCAAAGCTGAAACGGCATGGACGGCCAAAAATTGTCCATTTCTCGCTTCAATAGATCTGAAACTGAATTTCGATCATGGAAAGTTTGTGCGTTTGACATTTTCCCTTTTCTTACCTGGAGTTCCGAGGAAAGAATACAGGCTAACAGAATATAAATATTCGAGTCTTCGCTGAACTCGAATTCATATTCTACAAAAACTTTGATATGTCAAACACCAGATTTGAAGACGGAACCAATCTTAAAGAATACATTCGCAACAGAATCATGACAGAAAAAGGAGTGTGGAAAATGGACAACGAAGCACGACGGATCGGAAACGACGGGGGGTTGACGTTGGTTGAGGAACTGGTAGATCTGAAGGAAAAGGACGGTCAGATGGAAAAGGTACTGACAGATCTGAAGAAGGGGCTGGAAGACCTGAAGGAAAAGGACGGTCGACGGGACAGGATGTTGTGGAAAGTCCGTGTTTCTGAGCTTGAAAGAGTCTTTAAAAAACATATGAAGCAGCCCGCTTTGAACGAAACGAGATTGTCCATGGTGCAGACATCTTCAACGACTATCAAGCTCTGAGGTACGCAGATCGGCTGGACAATCAAACTCAATTCAAGACCGCATCGGAAGGATTTAAAAAAGTCTATGGGCTCCAACTGAATTGTCTTAGTGACGACACGCTTTTCAAAGCACCGGAAGGAGTGATTGAAATGCTAACTATGAGAGGGAATTTAATCTTTCTCAATTGCTTCCGGAATCACAAAGAAGAGGCAGGTATGGTACAAAAGCAGTGCGATAAAGCCGTACACAAATGGCTCAATTCTATTGAGACAAATGGGATGCCATATCCGGAGGATGCAGTAAAGGCTGACTACGAGAAAGTCAAGAAGCTTTACGATAGCGTTAGAGCCTATGAAGCGTGGTGCTAGCAACCTCATTCTTTTTGTTTTCTATCCTTTTGCCACGTCATTCATGTAATTTTTATTGTGGGAGAGGATCTGTTTGAATTGGGGGTTAGAAATGAATGTATGTTGGTAAACTTAAAAGAAGCTCAACTTCGTATCTTGAATTATTCAATTACTATCATGCGCAATCTTCGTTTGGCGAATACTGTCACAAATTGTAGGACGAAATTAAGGATAGCATGTCGCTACAGGCTCATTCAGGCTGATTCACAGCCCCTCTGCTCGTTTTGACTGGTTGGGTAGAATTTCCAAAAGAAATAATGGTAGGAAATCAGTGAAGCTTCATCATTGCTAAAGAAGACAATATATCAAGGTGGAGAAGTGAGTGTTTGACTTCCATTGATCCTAAATCATTTTGTATACATGTAATCCGATATATCCAATCCAGCTATTCGTCAGCAATGAGATTCAATTTAAATATTAGCTCGCAATCTCACGCGCATTATGAGGCAAAGTCAATTACTCGCACTCTACGACTCCGATGAGACGACATCTATACTCGACGACCGCTTCAACAATATTGATCTTTAAGTATAGATTATGAACTATCTCGGTTTTTTGTATTTTGAGTCTATAAATGCGTTCCTCGTTATTTGTGTGGACAGGAGTCACCCGAATCCGGAGGATGGGGTCAGGTGTGTAATTCTCGTGTTGATAAGCTCGATAACACTTATTTGCAGTCGATATGACAATGGTCTCGTTTGTAATGATCCCCAGGGGATGTTCGGTCATTTTGCCGCTGCCTAGAGTAGACTAAGCGCTGCTAGAGTAAGTTCCGGATTGGTGATAGTATCAACCTGTATGCATAGTTGATATGAATGCAATCATAGGTGGCGCTTCACGGAAGAATGGTCGGAATGATGAGTGTCTAAGCATTCTTCATAAAAAGCTTATCGATCAGAGTGATCCCAAATCCCTCCAGAGACTTCAGCAGTCGAGATTGATCTTGAAGCGATTTCCAGGAGCTCGGTGTCGGATGAGGAATACTTGTGTAATTTGTCATTTGTAACGTCGATAATGGCAATTTTAATATCCGTCGCCAGCCTTGTACTGACGTCCAGCAGCCCACGCTCTATAAACCGGATCAGCGCCCTTCTTCAACGCCTCTTTCTTTAACCTTGCCAACTCAGCAGTCATCTCCTCAACTTCAGCTGTCAATAAAATTCCCTGACTATCATCCTGCGACGGCCCAGCTTCCGCCATCTCATCCAAACTCAACCGTATACGAGCGTCTTCATCCAACGTCCCCTCCATCTCCTGCCACTTCTTAAGCTCATCGTTCGCGTCCCGAATGCCCCACAACGTCCGGTAGTAATAATTCACCTCCTCCTCCCCACCAAAACAGATCCCATACCCATCACACAAACAAGCATTCTGCGACGGGCACGAAACCTCCTGCCCCGTAAAAACCAAATGCCAAATATACTCCCAAACTCTACCAGACATCGTATCCCGCATATCCGTATTAATCAACCACTGCCTATAATGCACGAACCGCTCCCTCGCAATCGTGCGTACCCGTTCTCGCGACAGCGCAAACTGCGCACAACACGGCTGCGAAAGCACCTGCGGAATTGCCATATCTGGGAAAATCTCACTCCAAGCTTTTGCGATGAGTCGTTCTTCCTTTTTGCCGACGTCCTCGTCGATAGCGCCCGGTTTGAGGTGGTTGGGGCAACCCGGAGACCACATGCAGCGCATGTTCATGTATCCTTCGCGAGTGACGCGTTCGAGGCTTATACGCCGCAGCATTTCGGCTGCGTCGAAGTCGAAGATTTCTTCGTTATGCCATGCGAATTGGTGGGCATGCATAAACGCCATTATATCTGGCAGATTTTCGTAGTTATCAATAACATAAGTCAAATAAACCATTGCTTCATGGCCCTTGTTTTTCGGTGGATGTAAAGGTGCAGTGGGATCATCGACCACATAGATGGAAACATTCCATCCGCTACCCTCAAGTTCCGACTCTGTCCACGTAGTATTTTCACTCTTTGTTTTCGCCATCACAAGAGTCTTCGAATAATATGATCCTTGGCTTTTAGGAATCCCCGGTAGGAATGCGCTAATGTTGAATGGCGGTGGAGAGCCATCTGGCATATATGATGCAGGCCGTGGAGAATGGATCACATCTCCCAGTCCTACTTTTTGGGGTATGCTGCGCCATTTGTCGCCAGAGAAGAACAAGTGCCATGCTGCAATGATTAGGGCAAAGGTACACACTGAGATCCCAAGGCCGGGCAGAGTGTAGTTCGACCGATGCATGAGGGATGAGTCAGATGGGGTTGTGAGATGTTTTGTGGCACTGCGATTAACATCTCAACTCCCAGCATTAAGTATTATAAATTAATATGATGGTTTTCGTAAAAGTACGTGGAATATACAACAGTATGAGATTGCAAGGATGAGAGCGTCGTCATCGCGAAGAAAGGGGCACAGCCACGTGCTAGTCCAAGATTGGCCTAGCTCAATATCCGATCACCGTTTGCATCTTCATGCTTACTTCCTAAGCTTCTCTCTATATAAAATTAAGAGATATACTAGACTTCTCTTTTATCGAGATAATATATATAATAGACCTGACTATGGGCCAGAACGCCAGCTTGGCTTAGAGTTCAAGGTATAGAATTTTACCCTGGTACTATGTTGTTCTCAACACAACATTTTTGGAGGACTCGTTATCAGTTGTCAATATCTCTGTGGTGAAGAGATTTTATGTTGAGACAAACTCAACCTCACAGTGCCTATCATGGAAATCTTTGCTAGCTATTTCACACCATATGCGATCATCTCGTATGCTCGCCGCCTTATGGTGTAGTTGGTAGCTCCAACATTTTACGTACATGTTTGTCGTAAACCCCTTGAAGAAGCCAATGATAAGGAATGAACCATGATCTTGAAGAGGTTGCACTAGCGCAGCTAAGTTATTTTTCAGTATTTTCCCACTACATCTTCCTCTTCCACTATTCACGTCCACGGGTATATTTACCTTCAGAACCTAAGCCAAATGGATGATTTTATCCTATTAGACGCAGTATCGCACCTACCTAGGCACATTTCACCACTCTACTTCATTCCATGCTTCTCACTTCATCTAGTCCACTTGACACATATCCACCGAATCTTTGACCATTGCTCTAATTTGAGACCTGCGCCATCGTCAATAGTGATCACCAACGACGGAATTGTTTTCGTCGTATTATCTTGGGCGCTGTAGGTACCCATGTAGACTTTGTCAGCTATCTTTCTCGCTGCTAACTCCAGCGCTGGAATCAATGAACTGGCAACAATATCCGTCAACGTAGCAACGAGAGCCGTAGTCCCTTCTCCAGCTGCGAGAAAGGTGATTCCAACGTGGTAGTCAGGTAGAAGAGCGGTCATGGATGAATAAGCACCCAAGTCTCCGGATTTACTGTACACATATACTATCCGGCCGTCGCTGTTCTCAAATGAAAATATTTCCCATGATACGCCTACAGAATAAGGAAGAAAGGCAGTGTGAGTCATGGATTTGAGCCATCGGCGCGTTGTTTCGGGCGATAATAAAGGTGTTATTGAGGCGTATAAACCGCCAGCCCTATAACAACAAACCAGTGAATAAAGGAAGTCTTTATGCAATGGATGGAGATGATACTCACGGAGTTTCATCTTCAGCACTCAACCCCCCCCAAAGACTTGTCGACGCATTCCCGGGAATGATTCCCACGTTATCTGCGGGAACACTATAGTACCCTTCATTCAGACCCAGAGGCTCGAAAAGGTATTCCTCCAAAAGAGCGTCGTAAGTTTTGTTGGTTATTGCTTCCAAAGCGTAGAATAGAATCTGTATTGCGGCGTTCGGGTAGATAGGGGTATATGATGTGGGAGCCAAAGGGTTTATGCCGTTAGAATTCTGTATTCCATTTGGTCACTACGTTTCACTTTTACAAGACATATGGAAGTATAGTCGTACGAGCTCTAGTACAAGCCGCTGTCGCGCCACAGGGCGGGGTATCGTTTTTGCGCAGAGTTGGGAATCCTTCCAACGCACGAAATTAACCGCATCATCTGCCCCAGTAGCGGTAGAGGCATGCAGTTCAGGAACCCACTTCGTCACCGGATCATGCAACGACACTTCTCTCGCGGAGGCCAGTAAAGTATATACAGTCCAAAGCTTCGGGGCGCTTCCGATTCGGAAGACGGTGTTCTCATCTACCTGCGTCACACCACTAGACGCATTCATCGTCGTAGGGGAGGCATAGAAATATTGAAATAAGGTATTTTTCCCGTCCGGCGCGGTATTAGACGGGAAGACCTGCAGTGCGAAGGAAGTATGCTGTGAATTGAATCTTGAATTTGAGGATAAAAAGTGGAATTTCAGGCGAAGATAATGTCTTCTAGTGTCGGTGTAAGGGTTGTGGTCATGTTTTGGAATGCGTTGCTGAAAGAAAGGTTGGAGGCGTGAGGGAAGACAGGGCCGAGAAGTGGGGTGTATGTGGTTGCTTGAGCCATTACGACTAGAGAGAAGAATACTGCTCTTTTCATATGCTGTGTCTGAGAGAAGAAATTGAAGTGATAATCGAGGACTTGAGTCTGCTCATGGGTTGAAGAGCCCCTTTTATCTACTTGACGATGCGTTGACACTTTATTACCTACATTAAAGGGATTGAGTCATGTTCAACATCAAATATGAGGTCTTGAACTATCACCAAGTCTGAAGAGGCTTAGAAGGAGTAGTAATAAGCTGAACAATTATCTTTAGCAGGATGGACAACGATCTGATAATAATTGGATGGATGCTATTAATAGCAACATTTAGGGCTAGATCCGCAGTCAATGCAACGAACAGAACTGGGCGGCTTCCGCCGCCATTACGGCTCGTCGGCTATACATATTATTCGGATGCCTAGGTAAGTTTATTTTAGCTCATTAATTGTAAATGATGCTTGTGGTAGACTGAAATTATATTGATCTGCTCGTGGGAGGGGGGAATCGCTTAGTGGGCGGAAAAATGAGTCAACTCTAGATCAACTGGTGCTTCTAATGGATAGCGATATTCCTCAAATTCGCAAGAAAAAGGGTCAAACGTAGTAACGTATAATCTTCACGATAATGATCAAGTCCGCAAGGAATAAAATGTGCGGGAGAGGGGGTATGATGCATTTTAGAAAAAGACAGGTTGTGAAAAAGAAGTAAGAGGGACGCCTATATATGATAAAAGGACAGCCACAAGTAATCCAAAAGGGGCATTTCGATCATGTCCTATACAAAAAGTGGATGAATGCAGCCAGGTCAATCCATGTCGTCGTCATTGAGGTCTTCTACTGTCGCGGTTCGGGCTTTGCCTTTGTCCGTTGACGATGAAGCATCATCTGCTTCTTGACTGGAGCCTTCTGGAACGAGGTCGTCTTGTTTTGAAGCTTGTGGTTCTAGGTTGCTCTCGCCTCCCCATTGGAAAGAAGGGCTAATTCTACCGTATTCGCTTCTGGGCTGTTCCGCATCGTGCGTTTGATTGGGTTCACTGCTGACGGGTTGGGATGAAACTTCTTCGGCTGCAGAGTTTTCTAATTGTTGATCGTCGTCAGGCGAGCGTGGAGGAAGACGCTCAGATAGTTGAGGGTCAAGAACTGCAGGTGAAATGGATGCTGGAGTAGGTACTCCTGCTGCCACTGTTGTAGCCGAAGGTTCCACTCGACGAAGAGGCGTCAACGTCCATCCTTGTGGAAGTGTGAGCCCCTGCGGAAGTCGACTATCACCGGCAGGAATTGGAGTTGCCGACTGACCAGTTAATTGGTGGACAATGGCGGGTGGTGCTGTCGATGTTGTGGTTGCCGTCGGAGGAAAAGCGGCGGATGTTGGCTGTGGCTCTGTGAGAGGCTGCGAAGGTAATGGGTTTTGTTGCGTGGTTCGTAGTCTTTGTAGCTCAGTTTGCAAAGCACGGAGAACATGTAGCTGCTCTGCTGTAGCTCGTAGACTTTGATATTCCTGGGCAATTTGTTGTTCAAGATTTGTCAGCTGTTGCTGGATGCTGGCCAGGTTGGTTGGCACGGCTGGAGGTTGTAGAACATTCAAGCCTTGAGGAAGTGGTTGAGGAAGTTGAGGAATCTGTGGTCGACCGAATCCAAATCCAAACCCAATTTGCTGAGCTCCTGGAGGAATGTTTACAGGCGGTGCATTGTTTCCATGAATCTGTTGATGCAAATTCCGGAAAACATCTCCCCGACCAGCACCGAAACCAATGCGAAATGGTCCAAATTGATATATCCGAGCCTGGGGCTGGCCATCTCCAGCTACATTATTTGGCGCAGGAGGTTGGTTAGGATCTGGCTGCGCTCCTGGAGCGTTATTCGCACCACCACCATTGTTTGCATTATTTGCAGGATAGTGCTGATTTCGTGGTACAACTACCGGTCGTCGGCACATTGGACAATTCTGTTGTCGCTCCAGCCAGCTTCTGAGACAAGCGAAATGAAGAATATGACCGCAAGGAAGCTTCTTTGGTCGAAGTCTCGCTGGAACGGTTCGTCTATTGCCTTCGCCTGCTGGTTGTTGCCACGGCACCATCTCCTCTCGGCAAATGATGCAGGTATCTTCCCTAGCTATTTCTTCTGCCGTTGCGTCGGGATATCTTTCGTTCATATCCCTTGTCGCGGTACGGTACTTCATGAAATCGACAAGACGTCGGCCAAATGAACGGATTGTGACAACAACATCTCTCAAGATATGTATGGGCAAGCCGTAGAAGGCGAATAGAATGGCGAAGAAGGTCAAGTAAACGACCAGTTTGCAAAAGTCGGTGATGAGGTCCAAATAGAATACCCAACGGCCCTTTTCTTCCCAACCGGGGATATCGAGTTCCATCTCGTCCACATCGGCTTCATCGGGTAGGTTCTCTGGAAGCCCCTCGGCGCCGGATTCGCGGTGTTCACGTATTGCTCGCTCCCTATCAGAACGAATTTCGGCTCTGCGCTCAGCCATTTTGACCATTTTCTGGCGGTACTTGATGTACATCTCAACCAGTGAGATACAGTACCGCGCTAGAGTCGATGTGGACAAGATAGTGAGGATGGCGAACTCGAAACCAAACATAACCATCATATCCGCGCGGGCAGATTCCAAAACGGTTCTCACCGCATAGTCCAACATGAGAGCATCAAAAGTGACAGACAATACGAGCGACGTGGCAAGACGACCGTGGAATAGGCGGGGATTTGCGGGCGGTTGCTGTTCGAGGATTTCGACTCTGCCTTCACCGATCCAACCCCATACTTTTCCTACAAGTAAACAGACAAACATAACCAAGAACCAGACACCTAACTCCCCGCGGAATATAGTCATAGCAAGGCATGTTTCTGTCACGGCGAACCAGGCCTTCTCGTATAGTTGCTCGGTCTCGATGGGGCGTAATTGTCCGTACAGGAGGCGTTGAGCACCGTAGAGGAAATATCCAGTAGCGACAAGAAACAAGTTCGTTAATATCTATTTCCGTCGCAATGGTCAGTCCGATGATCCGATCTGAGGTGGCCAGGAGCTTACTAACCATAAGATTGGCGCTACTCTGGGAGAGATAGACGGCAGCTGCATAGAAATTGGATCGCTGATGCAAGGCCTTCAAAATCACCCCGGCGGCTAGGGTCACCGAGACCTAGGCAAGTATCGTCAGTATTGCTGTTGTCCGACGTGGAGGTAGTGGTGGCCTCACCCCAGCATAAGCCGCTAATCGCATGCTTGATTGCCGCTGTAGAGCTCAAAAGTGACAAACGATCATTGGTAAAAGCAGAGAGATAGTAAGAGAAGGCGCCCTCGAGCTAGGAAGGCATCCTTTATATCTGAAAAGAGCACAAAGGCGATGAATCGCGAGTTGTGCAATGGAAGGGGAATTGGAGAAGCTGTGCAAGTCGCGTGTCGAACAAGCCAGCTATCACTTTGGCTCGCGGAGTTGCCAGTTCCCGACCTCCATAATACTGTCAGTACCCCGCTTATGTCAGCACAGCCATTGCATCATATGTTTTCCCTTCTGTTTTTGGTATAATTTAATCAATTCTACAATAATTATTAATATATGAGAAGTTTATTCTCACATAATTCTAGCTGTCCGCGAGTTCGAGGTTGATCGTGCCCGCCGGGCTCAACACGTGACCGCCGATGACGCGGTATCAAAGAGCCCAAATAACTTGATGGATGACTCGCATCCCTTGAAACTCCCCTCGTAAATTCTCCGATCGCGAATTGTGATGTGAACGCCACGGCAGAGAGCCTATGAAGCCCAAGCGCTCTCGACAATATGAGGAATTGCATTTGACTGGATACATCATACTACTGCTCTATATGCCTATTGTTTACTGCTCGCAGTCTTAATCTTGGATAACGGCACCATGACGACCCAGCGTCCACCACTTTTTACGGCCTCTCGCGTGCAGACGGCAACCTATCTGCTCGGTGTATGCCCGTTCTCGATTGCTTTTCTCGTCTTTCTCAATTCGTCCGTGTCATTTGTCGTGACGGATCTCATTGGCCTTGAGAAAGGTGAGGGCGATGCGGTTGGGTCACTCGGTTTTGCGGACGAGCTGTTGGCATTGATTGCTTGCCCGGCTTGGGGGCTGCTTTCCGATAGAATTGGCGTTCGATATGTAAGTCGGTCAAATTTTCAACAATTAGTTGAGACACTGATGTGTGCCTAAAGGTCTGCACTATCGGTTATACGATCATCGCCTTGTCACTGGTTCTTTTCGTACAAGCCTCCAATGTCTACCCACAGCTTCTTCTCGGCCGTTTACTTTTCAGTCTCGGAGGCTCGGCTGTTGCGACCATGGTGACTGCCACCTTACCTACGATAACAGGAGGGAATCATTCTCAAGGCCCTGGTCCCCAACGACGCTCAAACCATGCATGGAGACCATCTCTTTCATCAGAAATCACAATTACGCCGTCACGATTTGAACGAAGCCGCTCTCGAGAACAAATGCCCGAACCGACGCCTACCTCTTCATCTTCGCGACTAGCCGGATTTGTCGGGCTGTTTGCAGGCTGTGGTGCGCTGATCTCACTGGTCGTGTTTCTCCCTCTGCCAGCTTACTTTGAGAGATCCGGTTCATCTCCAGCTCATGCGATCCGACAAAGCTTTTATGTGGTCGCGTCTGTAGCATTACTGGTTGCAATTGTGTGTTTTTTTGGGCTCCAAAACCTGCCCGGCGAAGAAGAGAAGCATCTCCAGTCGCTTTGGCAGATTCCGTACACAAACGAAGAATATCCCGGTTATCGGCCAAGTACGGTTACCAGCTATGGCAAAGACCTGTTCCATGCATTCAAACTCGGCTTTCGACATCCCGATGTTTGCCTGGGTTACGTTGGCGGTATCGTTGCTCGGGCATCTTCAGTCGCAATATCTCTATTCATACCACTAATCGTCAACTACTACTACCGAAGGCTCGGACTGTGTCAACGGACAGATCGGGATAAAATACCCTCAGGTGGGCTTGGAGATATTAAAAAGTCATGCCCAGAAGCTTATATACTAGCTTCCATCCTGACCGGCGTATCACAGTTAATAGCTTTGCTTACGGCTCCAGTATTTGGCTACTTGTCTGAAAGATCGCGTCGGTACAACATTCCATTACTCTTTGCTGCACTTTTAGGTGTGGTAGGATATATCACATTCCCATTGATATTCAGTCCACAGCCCACAGCACCGCATGTTAGCGGCGGTGTATTTGTCATGGTATCGTTCATTGGAATCAGCCAAATTGGAGCAATCGTTTGCAGCTTGGGTATTCTCAGCAATGGTGTCCTGAACATCAATTCCATTGACAATCGCCAGGAAAGTCCAGACACGCCGCAAGACTCGACGGGTTTGGGCCAGGACAGTTTCGAACACAACACCGATACAGAGCATGATCCACTCATAACCAAGCCAGGTGAGAGTCTCGCGTTCTCGGACTTGAAGCATTTGAAGGGGTGTATTGCAGGCATATACTCCCTTTATGGTGGAGCTGGAATCCTCATATTGACGAAGCTGGGTGGCCTGCTCTTTGATAAGTCCTCGACTGGAGCGCCCTTTTATATCATGGCTATATTCAACGGGGCTTTGTTTCTTGCTGGCGTTGGATGTATTTTATGGCGATATTGGATGTCTCCATAGGATTTATACCGTTTTGTGTTGATGTCCCAAAAATGGAGCTGGTATATGTGTATTATTCCAAATTGACTAGACAATCTAAATACATTCCTATGTTACTCTGTTCTCGTCTGTAGATATAAACAGATACGTGTGAGCAGCAGAAGAAATTAGAGTGAAATTCACACATATTGTTAACAATCTTTTGTACCCCATCCAACCCCGCATGAGATCTCCACCAAATCCGGCCTCCAAGTTTCACACCACAAACTTAACCCAGACAACACCTCGCGCTCTTACAGCTTAGGTTTTATAACCCCCCAAAAGTACATATCGAATCAAAATGAACCTCGGCCTGACAGAAAGCCTCCCCTCGCTCGTCTCGCGACGCTTCACAAACGCAAAGGAGTCGGGAAGCCTGCTTTTCTCAGCCACACATCTCACTATATTGAGTAGTAAGCGTGGCATAGACGTAGGTTTTTTTCCAGTCCATGCATTAAATACAAATATAATTAATGATATACAAAGTACCAACTCCGCTACTGCCCAGCCCTCTCCAAAAAACCAGAAAAACAACAGCAAAACAAACCTTCAGGGCCAAAACCAGACCCCTTTGAGAACCCAACTGGAGATTTATTCATCACTGATGTATCACTCGGAAAGTCTGGGGAGAAGACTCACAATCTGGTCCTGAATAAGTTCCCCGTAATACCGAATCATTTCATCCTTGCGACGAAACGCTTTGAGAAGCAGACTGATTTACTAGAGAAGGAGGATCTGGGGATTGCGTATGCATGTCTGGACGCTTGGGGGGATGGCCCTGATCACGCTGACGGAGTTGATGTGAAGAGTGACAAGGAGAAAGAGGGGAGAAGGTTATTCGCATTCTTCAATTCGGGCGAGGAGAGTGGCGCTTCGCAACCACATCGACACATCCAATTCCTCCCCATTGAGGATATGCGTGATCAAAAAGAGGACGCAGAGTCGGCGAAACGGTCTGCTTCATGGACGCCGTTGATTGATTTGCTGCTAGCGACTTCGGATGTGGAGACTGCTTCGAATGGGCTTCGATGTTTACCGAATCTGCCTTTTCAGCATTTTGCAATAAGGATCCCTCGATCATCGTCTGTCGATGCGCTACATGAGATGTATCTTTCCCTCTATCGCGCTGCGTTACTCGCGTCAACGCCAACACCGCCGCCGATGACAGAACAAACGCGAATCTCAGGCGCGGCTGCGATAAGTTACAACCTCGCGATGACCAAAGACATTATAATGATTTGCCCCAGAAAGAAGGAGACTGCTAGTCTACCAGGTCTAGGGGCTGATGCTGATGTGTCACTGAACGGGACTATACTAGCTGGTACACTGATGGTGAAGACGTCGGAGCAGTGGGATCATCTACGGGGGGATGGAGAGGTGATAAACGACTTGCTGGCGGAGGTTGGGATTCCCATCTAGCTTTACTGGGTCGCGGATATTACACATTCTGTAGATTATATACACTGTATACATAGCATAAGCATACTAAAGAAGAAGAGGAAAGTAAGGTATAGAAAAATTGATATCATATCAGTTCATGACTACGTACGTCTTGCGACTTCTTATCTGTCCTTGGAATTCTAATTACATCTGGGCTAACTACTAAGCTTTGAAGCTACTTATCGTTAATGAAAAAAAAGAGAGAGAACGAAAACCAACCGGTACTCCACCCCCAGATCTCAGTGGTATCATCTTGCCATGCCGATACTCCTATGTGACGCCCGCCCGAAGATCATATCTCGGTTTGAATCGATTTGATAAAAGAAAAGAGAAAAACGAGCCCAGAAGTAAAGTGATTGATTGTTGAGCGTGGTGGCCCGCAGATTCTCACCATGTCGCATTCACTTGTCAAGAAAGAGAGCGAAGGACGAATGGAAACGAGAATCAGAACGAGCGCTTGCGTCGAGTGAGCTCGAACCACTTGCGCTTGGTAGTCGAGGCGCCAAATGCATAGGTACCGCCCCATGCCACCATACGCTTCGCGACGTCTCGCCAGGGGATGTTCGCTTCGACACCTTCGGGAAGGGTCTGGACGGTGTAGCACATACCAGGGCGATGACCGGCGATGCTTCCACGGCCGCTAGCAGGCATTCTGTCGAGACTTTCTCGAGCGTACTTCAGGACAACTCGGATGAGGAGGCGTTTCTGCAAATAAGTTTGTTAGCAAACTGAGTCAAGAAAAGGTGAGAATGAAGTGAACAAGAAATAAAAGGAATGCTCACGTCGATCTCATGCCAAATAGGCTTGCGGACACGCTCGTGCTTGGCCTTGGTGAAGTTGCGGAAGCGGCCACGAAGAGTGGACTCGGCGTCGGGCCAGTTTGCGATTGCCTTGATTTGACCGTAAGAAAGCTTCAGCTGTTTGCCCTTGACAATATAGCGATCCTTGGCAAGGTTATCGTCCTTTGGGGGTAAAGGATTCTTCTGCATTGCCTGTAGCTTGTGAAGTGGGATGCTGTCTAGGACGCTCTGGCGATGGTATCCTGCGGTAGAAGCGCCCGACGAGAAAGAGGAGGACGACGAACGCGACGACGAAGAGCGTCCAGAGTCGGAGTCACCGGAAAGTCCACGGACGTGTGAGGGCTGGTGTTCCCCACGCACGTAGTGAGCTGCTCCCGCAGTATGGTGAGGAGGAGTTACGTAGCGATAGAATGTAGTGCTACAGCGATCGCCTCGCAAAGGAGTGCTTGGTGGGACTATTTGCGGAGAATGCATGTGATTCAAAGAGCAGTCAGGAGTGACTGGACCGTTGCTCGCAGTACCTATTCGTTGAGTCGAGATGTTCAAGCCTGGCATGGGAGTAGCCGGCATGGAGGTAGGCATGCTTGCCGACAAGGGCATCTGGGATGCCTCGTCGTCGTAAGGATTGTACTGCTCAGAGTACCCCATTGCCATTTGAGATCCAGTCATGCCTTGAACTGAAGCATGATTGTAGGCAGTGTTGTTGTAGGGGTTGCTGTTATAGGCATTGACATAGGCGTTGCCAAAAGCGTTGCTGTCGTAAGAAGCAGTGCCATAAGAAGCAGCACCATCGGACGGTCCGTACGAAGCAGTAGCAGAGGAAGCAGTGCCCTGGTAATCATCACCATAGGAGGGATGGTATGGTTGAGGCTGGTAGGCAGTTGGAAAGACAGAAAAATAGCCAGCAGTACCACTGTTGCCAGCGACCTGAGTAGTGATGTGTCCATCAGCACCCATGGTAATGTCTCCAACCATTGGCAAGTAAGACTGGGAGTTCCAGCTTGCGCTGAAAGGATAGGGAAAGGACTGAACCGTCTTAACAGCGTCGACAGTGTCAGAATAGTAAACACAGTCATAGTCGTCAATGTAGCCATTGGAGGACGAAGAAGTAGATGGTCTCACACTTGAGAAGCCTTGAAGGCCTGCTTCGATTGTTGACCAGGCTATCTCTTGCTTGACCTCCTGAGGGGGGGAGGGCTCAGACTTAGGCTCAGGTTCGTGCTGATGCTCAGATTGGTCTTCAGCCTCGACCTCAGGATCAAGCTCTTGCTCAGACTTGGGCTCAAGAACAGAATCAGGCTCAGGTTCAGCGCAAAGACAAGGTGACAAAGGCTCGGGATAAGCAATAGGAGGACTCATGAGATGCTGAGGGACAAAAGGGGCATCATGATAGGGGTTGAGGGCAATGGCCTGACTCATGGCGACAAAGCCAGGGTCAGGATCGTTCCACTTGGGAGACATCATGGTTGACAACTCCAATATCAGCAAGCAGACACGAGACAAGACTGCCCTTCTCGAGGGTCTTGACGACAGGGAAAATGAGAAGATGTAGGCAGAGAAAGTAGGAATGATATGGGGAAGTCGATGACAAAAGAGGCGAAGAAGAAGAAAAGATTCTGTCGATGGTGACTGGCAGAAAAATCGTCAGAGAAGAGGGGTGGCTGGGAGGAGAAGAAGAAGAAGAGGGACGAAAACGTGTGAGGAACTAGGAAATATTCCAAGACCCGTCCAATTCTCCTTTCTAATTGGATTACCCCGGGTTCCTTCGTCTCTGGTATCAATTGATATGGGATAATTGACAATGATCAGCTGACTATTATTTGTCTCACCGTTGGGACGGTAAGAATGGGCAAAGAATAGTCGTGCGAGAGAAGAATAATCGAGGAGAAGACAGCCCTCTCTCAATATAAAGAAAGCATCCTCGTCAATAGCTCGCCTTGGCCTACTAGTTGGACAATTTACAAGGCCTGCACGACATATACGTCTTGAAGTCTTGAAGATTGCTTCTTTATCTTCTTTGCCTCTCCACAGTCGATATCTAGATAGATGGCTATTCTTATAACAGTGCATGCCACTGTAGACGTCGAGGATCCACATGTCAAGAGTAGTTAGACACGTTAACATATATTCGTTCATATTCTAGAAGATATATTTTCTTTTTTTATGCTTCCGTTGCTGTATGTGTATGTCCAGCTAGATGAAACCGAAAGAAACGAAACCGTAGGAGGAATAACCTGCGTGAACAGCGGTTACAGTACACCCAAGATCGAATCATAAGACCTATCGGAAGTCGTCAGACGAGATTCCGATTTCGACCTTTCTTCATTTCTTATGGTTGAAGCTTTTCTTTTTTTTTTTACGCAGAGTTGGGATAAGTTTATTTTCTATCAGAGAAAAATGTCCTACGCCTTGTCTGATTGGGTATTTTTCAGCCTTGTGAAGTGTTAATATGCATCTCCAGGTCGAATTCGGTGTTATTTCCTTCAAAAAGGTACTCTGACCTTCTAGGAAGCTTCTCTTGCATTGGGTGTGCTGCAAGAGGTGGAATAGTGCATTAGCGAGATGCGAGTTTGGTCCCTGCTGGTCAACTGAACGCGCCAGGAGATTTTTTCCACCTGCAACTAACCTTTTTTTTCTCCTTCCAGGACATCTGAAGAATCCCGCATACGAAAAAAGCAACACGCTAGAAGGAAGAATAGAGAGGGAAAAACAAATATACGCTATGAGGGATAAAGAGATATACCAGAAGGGAATGCAAAAGGCCCAATCAGGGAACCGGTGTCGACTCAAAATTGACTCGTCATGTTCGAGTCAGTTCGGCTGTTAGCCACTTGGATGCTACAAGAAACCCCTCAATGCTAGTGGGCGATGGCTTCGTGAAATATTTCTTAGACCGTTGATTTCTGCATGGCGTCCGCAAATGCTGCCGGGAATAACTGATGGTCGGGTTTATAGATGAAGATCGACCCTAAATTTACGAGGATCCCCAGACTCGCACTGACGAAGAGCAGATTACGAGTAGATGCCGTTGTTTGAGCGCTATTGTCCCGTCTAGTCGTCATGTTCTCCTGCGTAGCGTTCCCAGCGACCTGCAGATAGTACGTTTCTCAATCCAGCACGTTGTCGTCAGAACATCCGTCCTACGACTCACGTCGCCTTCTAGAATAAGCCCTGGCGATAATCATCAGTCGTCATTGCAATATCACTCAATATTACAGATCATTATGCATTAGATCGAATCGGTCGAGATGTACCGCAGATAGCTTAACATTTTGATATTGTCCGATTGCATAGGAAAGCGGCAAGGCATACTTTTTCTGGACGGTGTATAGACGCGGTAATTGGAAAGTCTGCTCATTCGAAGACCGAGATGTATAGTTGGATGCCGAAGTTATATGGTTTCCAACATACTCTCTCGTAGACCAACTATTCTCGTATATGAAACAAATTTCGTGTATGATCAGTCTTCCCCCCGAAGCCTTTATTCGCCAAAATTGACGCAGGGTCCATTCCACTCGCCCACAAGCTTCCCCAGTGATGCTTGGTCCCCAGTTGTCCAGCGTCCGGGTCCAAATCTCTTCAATTCCGCTGGACGCCTCTGCAGCCGTCCAGGACGGGTGAGATGTAGCGTGCATCAATGGCGGATGCACAGTCTAGCCTAATTTCGACATTTTTGACGAGGGCCTAGATAGTTTGATTTATCATATGGGCTTGCCGAATGCAATGTCAATTATAAATTATAGCACATACAAAATTTTACATCGAGTTAGATATCGAGACAGGGTAGGGCTGCATGTCGAGGCAGTTGGCGGTTCATGACGACATCCATAAATACTCGATGGGGACGACAAAGAAGGTCCTGCGGTTGATGAAGTGCTTTCTTCAATTTGAAAAGTGGAATCTTGAGAATTCAAGAGCAGTTGATGGTGAATCACGAATTATTTTCATTGACCTAAATGATGGTCAAAGAGAGCGGTGTGCAGAGCGGTGAATAAATTCTGCCTGTCACTTTGCAGCTCCGTCAGAGTTCCCCGCATAAACAACTGCTTCTATCACTAACAATTACTGGCAATCATTCACTTCACTCTTTTTGTACCACATTACCTGTTGTGAATGACTTCAAATTACTTTTGAAATTATTTCCTGAATAGGAAATTCCTAAGACTTAGGGCTTACTAGGATTGGTGTGACTGGGCCTCACAGCATGATCACAACGACCTTGGCAGGGACGACATCATAGCCTTACCTTATTCCAACCTCGCCTCCCCATCCTACTGAATACCATAACAACTTGGGAACACAAGAGACGTAACCACAAAAATTTTCGAGCAGGATGAATTCATCCACTAAGCTCGACGCTTCAAAGGCGAGCGATGGCATTGTTGGAGACAACTCTCTGACTGAAGCAAAACAGATCAGCTATATTAAAGTTGATGGTAAAACTCCACTCTCTCTGTTTCTAGCTCGGTTTTTGATGCTAATACAATTTCAGAGGCGCCAAAATTCGATCTCGAATCCTACATCGCAAATTACAAAGGTAAAGTCCTCGTTTCTTACCTCCGAACCTTAGCGACTCATCATTGATACAGGCCGCACGCGTTTCGACCGATTATTCCTCATCGGCAAATGCTCCACTGTCCTATCCCTCGATGCCCTCAGACTAGCAGTCGCCGAAGCGAAATCCGGCAAAGACGTCGAACGATACGAGCTCGCAGTCGAAGCATTAAAACAAGCAGCACCCAACGACCCAGACGCAGTTCTCGACCAACGATGGGTGGATGTCACGAAACAGACTGTTAGGGCGGAGACCGATAAACTTGAACATGAGTTAAAGGGCTACAAAAATAACTTAATCAAGGAGAGCATACGAGTAGGTTTGCGTCAGAGACCGGACAATAGAGTAAAACTGATATGTATAGATGGGGACCGATGATCTGGCTTCACATTATCATGCTGTCGGCGATCTTGCATCGGCATCCAAAGCTTATGCTCGTCTTAAAGACAACTGCACTACGCCCAGTCACTTTGCAGCCATGCACCTTAAGACTATTAATGTTGCTATCGACCGCGGCGATTGGTTTGGTGTGCTGCAGGCTGTTGCACGATACAGATCAGGGCCAAAGCCAGACGATGACCAGTCCAAAAACGCAGCAAAGATATCATCTGCATCAGGTCTAGCTCAGCTTGGACAAGGAAATTTTCTAGATGCTGCGAATCAGTTTCTCGGTGCCGAACCTACTTTGGGCGATAGCTACAATGAAGTCCTCACCGCGAACGATGTTGCCGTCTACGGTGGACTGTGTGCCTTGGCTTCCATGGATAGAAACGAGTTGCAACGCCGAGTGCTGGAAAACAGTCAATTCCGAAATTATCTCGAGCTGGAACCTCATATCCGTCGCGCCATATCATTCTTTTGCAACTCCAAGTTTCGCTCCTGCTTAGATATTTTGGAGGAATACAAGGCCGACTATCTGCTTGACATCTACCTTCAGCGTCACATTGCAGCATTGTATAACCAGATTCGGATCAAGTCTATTCAACAGTATGCCGTTCCATTCAGTCGCGTTTCCCTTGATGCCATGGCAAAGGTTTTTGCTCCCAAGATTGTTGGAGGTGTTGCCTCACCTACTGAAATCGGATCACCATTCGTTCAGGAATTGATCAATTTGATTGAGAACGGCACACTGGATGCACGTATCGACTTGGAGAAGGGGTTGCTTGTTTCAAAACAGACGGACCTGCGCAAGGACGTGATCAAAGAAGCCTTGGAGAGTGTGGAGGAATACGTGAACGAGGCACATTTACGACTTATACGGACGAATCTTATCAATGCAGGAATTGAGATTCGCGTTGCACCTGGGCCCATGGCTACCGAAGAGCTGTCAGGACGAACTCCATGGTAATAAACGGCAGGACCCGAAAGGTCTTCAGTATGAGAGAGAGGTAATGGCTGAATGATACGAAGACATGATTAAATCCTAGATCATACAATAAATGAACATGATAATGACTCCAATCTCATCCTGCTAGCGACCTAGGTATTTAATGAAAATCATAGCTTTGCCTCAGTGGGTGGAAGAAGTTTGATATCCTCAAACGGCAAACCCAGATACAGCCATATTTGATGGAACCTATCCCCATTAGCTCACATTACTTATGCTCAACACCGCCTCAATAAAAGAAAGTAAACACGTACCGATCACTCCCAAAAAACGGCTCTTCCGTAACAGTCTTCCCCTGTCCATCATCTCTCACAACCCAAAAGAACGGCGCCCCAAACGCGCCCCGGTCCAACGCCTCCTGCGTCTTCGCCGTTAATTCCTCCTTCCATTTCTTATCTGTCATTGCCGCCGTCAGGATCTCTTCTGCCTGCTCACGCGAAAACCCCGTTTCGGGTGACGCAAGGAGTTCGCGGAGTACATCCGGTTTGGAGATGTCCTGGTGTTTGTAGAGGAACCATTGCCAGTAGAGGTGGAATGTAGCTTCGAGGGCGGAGGGGTAGGTGTGTTTTATGTATGTTAGGGCTCGTTGGGGCTGTTTCCCACAACATACACCATATTGACTAATCAACTTCCTTTCTCGAAAGGTTTGATGGGATGGAACTGGAGGAAAATGGGGTTAGACGTACGAGAATAGTCAAGATAGGAAAAAATGCTGGCATGCTGAAGGGGTCTATTTTCCAGTATTGGATTGCGCGCTTAAGTTCGTGTTGGCCGAGTTTGGCTTTTGCGGGGACTTGCCAAGGGGGTTTGTTTCCTTCATATAAGATATTATAAATCAGCACTCATATTTTCGAGCGTTGGGGAGCATGGTAGAGACGGATGAGTACCAGAGCCATTCATAATTCCTCCCAGGAAGATGGGATGCGTCCTGTATACAATGTCAGTTTCCCCCGGTCTGAATGTCTTTGAGCAAAGTACATACTCAATACTAACGCCATGACTAGCAAGGACACTGCGCAGTTTCTCCAAATGCGTGAATGCGAAGAAGGAGTATGGCGATACTATAATCCACCAAATATCAACTTCTATCCAAATGTGTCTAGGTATTTTGATAAGTGGAGACGTACCGCAGTCGTAGTAAGCGTGGATAATGCCACCCATCGCGTTGCTTGCTAGCTCTGATGATTATATTATCACGATTAGTCAATAGCTCGAATTGCGTGATTGAAGAATTATGGATTTGTGATCAGTGGCTGAGAGTGAGCTTAAATGGGAGCTTGTCATTTTGATAGGGTGGAGTTGTCTGGGGAAGGCCGGTATTGCGGTGCCGCTTTAGTGGATTTAGGCCGAGGTTCATTGGAGACGTGGATCAGAGTGATACATACTACGTATACGTACATTTTTGAGGCTTATGTTAGTGAATTAATATGTTGGTATGTTTAAAAGACATTGTTTTCCTGTAAGGGATTCGGTGAAGAAGAACAAATAGCATCGAAGTTGTACGGTGCGCAGCGCAAGTACCAAGATAAATGCATATGCATATGCAAATTACTGGGGTAATCTTAAAGCAGCACCCATCTCGGCTATCATTCTTCAAGCTCCATCAACCCCAGACAATTCTTGACCAGCAACTTCATGAGCTAATCGAGCCCATCAAATGACATGGAACATCGGATTTGAGAAGAATGAAGAATATAATACGCTCAGTCGTATAAATGACCTCGGCCAAAAGCGAAGAGCCAATCTATCATATTGCTATATATTGATCACTCATCATAAAATAAACGCCGAATTACCGTGAAGAATACCGCATTCGGAGATCTGGACTGGTTCTATTCGGTATAAAGTTATTGAATGCACGAGAAGTACTCTCTTTATTCGATGGAAGATATAATATCAGGCAATTGATATAGAATAGCTGATATTTGGTTGTATGAATATCCAGGTGAGCGAGATTGATGTCGTTAGACCTGAAACACATTTATCTCTCAGTAAACGAAGCTGATCCCTCTACCAGATTTAATCCACATATACCAAAGGGCAGGATACAGCACTCTGCAATCAGACCATCAAAATGGCAAAACAGGTCGCCCTCGTCATTGGAGCTTCTCGGGGCATCGGGCGACAAATCGCCATCGACCTAGCTCGTAACGGATACGCTGGTACGCCAACTTTAGCCTCTACCACAAACATATATACATATGCTGATATGTACAGTTGTCGTCGCCGCCAAAACAACCTCAAATGCATACGACCCATCAATCCCCTTCCCACCAGATCCCAACTCCCCATCCTCAACCATCAACACCGTCGCCCGCGAAATCACCGAGCTCCACAAGGGGACATGCACCGCCATCGCAGTCGACGTCCGCGACGTCTCCCAGATCAACTCCTTAGTATCAGAAACAGTCCGCATATACGGCCAACTAGATGTCCTCATCTACAACTCCGGCGCAATCTGGTGGTCATCTGTCACCAACACGCCGGTTAAGCGTTTCCAGTTAATGCAAAAGATTAATCCGGAGGGTTTGTATGCAAGTGTGCATGCGGCATTACCTATTTTTGAGCGTAATGGATGGAAGGGCAGGATAGTGGTTGTGTCGCCGCCGATTTATTCGAGGTTTTTTAGGGGGAAGACGGGGTATGCTATGGGTTCGTCCCCCTGTCTCTTATGTGATGATGACCGGAGATTAATGGGTGGGGTTGTGTAGGCAAGGTTGGGATGAGTGTATTGACGAAAGGGTTGGCGATGGATTTTGAGAGAGAGGGAAGGAAGAATATGGCTATTACTAGTATATGGCCTGCAGTGGTATGATTTACTCCCCGTGAACTTCAAGTTTTTGACTAAAAGATGTGTCATAGTCCATCGAGTCCGCAGCAACAGGAGACTCGGTCCGCAAAGACCCAACCTCCGAACGCGATCTCCGCAAACCCGTAATTCCCCTTCCCATTCCTTTCCCTCGCTATCCAACCCAAGCTGATACTTCATGAATAGACAATCTTCTCCGACGCGATCCTCGCAATGCTCAAAGCCCCCGTCCAAAAAGTCAATGGCCTCCTCGACCTCGACGAAGACTTTCTAAGACGAGAATGTGGCGTCACAGACTTCTCGAAATATGCGGTTGTGTCGGGCTCAAGTCCTCGGCGGATTATGCCGGCCAAGTTTCCTGTCCTAGAGGTTGAGGAGCAGGACGATGAGGGGAAGAGGATGGATAGTACTGTGTTGAGGGCTGGGAGGGCGAAAATCTGATACTTATGATCTTAGGGCGATGGGTAGGAAGGGTTCATAAGTCATTCATTCTCGTGAGTTGGGTAGGCTAGTATACTATTTGCAAGGATGTGTACAACATGGTATTGAATGAACAGAAGAATAACATGACAGACGGACAGGCAAATTGACGCTCAAGTGCTAGATGTTAGAGGCATAACTCGCTCAACAAATGGACCAAACAAAGAAAGAAAAATCTGGCAAGTATAACATCATAAATATAGATCATCATCATAAAGCCCTAACACCGACACCTGCAAGCTATGAGAAGAAAGGGAAAAAAATCACATCATAAGGAAAACCAAATCAGAAGCGAGTTCTGGAATCTTATCCAAAAGCTCCCTCAACCCACCACCCGGAGCAGTAATAACACTAACCCCCGATCCAGGCCCATGACTAGGCGACGAAGGCACTGGAATCGGTGCAGGTGTATACACCGCCAACTCACGCATTTTACAGGCCGCATACTGAGCCACAAGCTTACGCAGTTCGCATTCTCGTAGCAAAGTGGCCGATGTCTGGGATTCGGGCTCGAAGCGCGTTGTGTTTTCGTACGTATATTTCAAAATGTCGAGGAACATTTTGGCGTAAGCGTTGAAGCGGAGGGATTCCATGTCTGGTGTTTGATGGTTCAGGGCGTGCTGGCTATTGAGGTCGTCGTCGTTGTCGGCGGGAGGGTCGAGGGGGTAGTCGACGAGTGAGGCGTGTAGTTTTTGGAGACAGAGTTGGGCGAGACCCGGGATTAGGTAGCGGGTTGCAAAGACGTAGACTTTGGCGTGGAAGAGGATGTAGGGAACAACGATTGTCTGAAGAGGGGTTGGTGTCGTCACGCCAGATGCTTCGCTGCGTTCTTGGTGGAAGTAGTCGATTGATGCGAACTCGTTCCAGTTTTTGACGCCTTTCTTACGCGGAGTAGAGGACATGGGGTGGCTGGCGAAGGATGTATCAATCAATGGCATCGTGTGCTGTTGTGGTGAGAGGCGCGGTGGGGACGGGGGCTGTGGTAGTTGCTCGTGATTCTGCGACTGTAGTCTACGCGCGTTAGACAGCTTGTCCTCGTAATCTCGCCTTCTCGAGAAGTTCTGAGAGGGTGCGGGCTGGTCCCACCAGTCGCCATCATCTCCGTCAATATCTCCATCGTCACCTGTATCCGTCTCAATAGCGCAGTCCGGATCGTAGTCACGGACGACGGGTTTGTTGACTTTTGGCGTCCCCTCCTGATCCTGACCGTCCCTTAGATCAAAAGGCGGAGTCGATGGAGGTGTCAAACTCTTGGGAACCGTCTCCTCATAGCCGTTCGCAGCCACGACTGTATCCTTGCGCTTCTTCTTTTTATCCTTTCTGCTATGTCGTCTAGATAGCGGAAAGGTTGGCTCAATGTCCTCCTCTGGGGGTGGCTGTGGCCGATCTTGTATGACTACCACCTCTCTCTTATTTTCGACTGGAGGAGTATTTCCCCGAAGCGAAGTCACATTCCGCTGGGGTGCATGTTCGGCCGGATGCGCAAAGGGATTCTCCCATTGATCATCGACGCCTGCCGTCTGCGTTATTGCCAACGACGTCTCTGCATATCTGCGCACAGGCGGTCTAGCATCAATCTGATCAGCAAATGGGGGTGGTGTCGGAGCTGGCGGAGGCAGAAATGAAGCCGAGGACTGTGCTCGCACTACACTAATATTCTGTGGCGGCGACTGTTGCTGCTGCTGCTCGTTGTTCAAGACATGACCGTTTGGCGTACCTCCACCACTAGAACCAGAGCCGGAACGAGGCGAAGCTGCAGGTGGAGGTGCAGGTGCAGCAGTCACTGCCGACGATGACTCGATCGACGATTCTGTCTTATGCACCGGCACAGTATAATTGCCCGTGTACGCATATTGAGTAAAAGCAGTGAAGACCTCGACCTCCTCGTCTTCAAGCACGGCAATACGGTGTTTCGACTCCCGAGTATGGCCATTGTTCATGAGATCATCCAGAGGTCTGGAGACATGTTTCGCGAGGCCGGATTGGATGGTTAATTTTGTGTGCTCTTTGCCGACGAGGAAGGTAAATGGGGGAGAGGAGATGAGGCTGTGATTGTTAGCTCAAGCTCATGTTTTCTTGTAGGTCTCACTTACCTGGTGAAATCCGGAATTCTGTTCATTGTCGAAGAAAGAAGCAAGAATTGCTACTAAACAAAAGTGCACCCGGGAAGAAAAACGATGAATGAATGTTTATGAATCCTCTTCTTTCTCGCTCAACTCACCCAACCCAAGAATCACAAAAAAACAGAATTCACAAAACTGAACCAATTATTAAAAATCAAATCGCATCGCGTAAGTTCATGCAAGAGAGAGAAAAGAAATGGAGGAGAAGAAAAAAAAGAACTACGGCGCTACGTGGGCGGCGTTGATTTGAGTCACTAAAGCGACTAACCGTTTCGCTCTGAGCACAGATCAACTGTGACCAGCCATCTGGATATTAACCGTTATCATCTTCTACGAGGACTCACAGAAAATGTGTTTTTGGAGCTAATGATGCTACGTGATTGTCTAGTTGATGTGCTGGAGAAGCCAACCTTGGAAGATACTGTTCATCCACCACACGCGCTACAAGATAGAGTGAGGCGAGAGTTTGTTCAATTGTTCAACTGAAGCCACCGACGGACAGTCCAGTCGGCCGCATCAAGATGGCGAGGCGACAATAGCGAGCTCGACCACAGCTACAAGGATCCCGGAGAGTCGGAAACTGAGGGACCACACTGCATATTCGGTCCAAGCACTCGATCAGACATGCCTCCTACCTTCGAAGCCATCTGCACCCCCATGCTGTATATGTAGAGCAACATGTAAAGCAGCCGGAAGAAGCATCCAGTTCCTCCGCAGTACATGAACGGCGAATCGTTCGCGACTCTGCCCGGATCGGTATGTTTTTTCCAAGCATCATAACAGTGATACAAGGATTGAGGGCGATGTGTGCCCAATCTGAGCTTGCGAAAGTGTCGCTTTTTGTAGTCATGCCCAATGAAGTGGGTACTAAGCTTGCAGTTGTACATTCCTAGCCTCACCGCTCATTGGGCGATCCTGCAGTGCGTGATTGCCGTTTGCATTAATGCATTGAAGTCACGTAGAAGGTCGTACTGAGTATCAACAAGTATAAACCCTTGAGAAAGGGGTATTCCCTGATGCGATGTCAATTCGATATTTGTGCGGCCTTAGGCAGGTAGGAATTCAAATGCGCTCGTGCTCTGATTGGGCTGCGGGAAGCCGAGTCAATATTAATAAGCATAATGACTAATCCACCACGATTTCAGTCCAGGCGCCAAGGCATCAGCATCCACCTTCCTGAACAAAATCACTCAGAATGATTACTCAATCACAAACGAGACGAGGTCGAAATGCCATCTGAGATACAACTTGCACGTTACGCATGTCTTCCATGCCGGAGAAGCAAAAGACGCTGTGACAGGAAATTTCCAAGCTGCGATCTCTGCATCAAAAAGGACATTGACTGTACATACCCCGGTGCTCGCACATCCGAGAGGGATTCACGTACAGTGTACAGCCAAACGCCGGATAGTCAGTCGTCGCCGGAGACCACTCGATCTTATAATACTGAAGCCAGTGCCCTCTACTTCCTGGCACCACACATCTTCCGACAAGCTCAACTTGAACTGCCCCGGTCTGATATCACAATTCCTGCAGCGGTCTCTTCACTAATTGGAGACACATCTTCTATACGAGATATTGCAAATACATTCTTTTCAAACATTCATTTTTGGCTACCCATCGTGTTCAAAAAAGGCTTTTTTGTTTCTCTATTGAGTCCGTGGACACAACGACAGACGGAACTCAGTTTGCTGGCGCTATGCATGAAGCTTTGCAACACGGCTCCCTCAGACGACGATGGGCCCAATACCTTTCTGTATCGCACTGCAAAGCGTTTTCACCATGATGTAGAAACGGCCGGCATCCTTTCGACACATGTGCTACAAGCTGGATTGCTTATTGCACTTTATGAGATGGGTCATGCTATGTATCCGGCTTCATATCTGACTGTGGGCGACTGCTCGCGATATGGACTGGCTATAGGATTGTATAGAAGTTGCTCACCAACGTCTACAATTGAAGACGAGGAGATGCGTGGGCGCTCATGGAATGAGGTTGAGGAAAACAGAAGAGTATGGTGGGCTGTCTTGATTTTTGATCGGTGAGTGACAGGCTTCCACCATCTTGAATACAAAACTGAGTTGACTAGCTTCCTGAATCTCAACAACCCGACAAGACCGCTATCGACCGAAGATCCAACTTTTGATATGTATTTACCGGTAGATGATACATCATGGAACGATTGTGTAAGACTGTCACTCTACATTATCGTTCGATTACTGAACTCTCTTCAGACCGCGAAACCAGGTGATGCTGTTAAAATTTCAACCGGCTTCTCGCTCAAGATAGGAGGTTTCGCCAGGCTAGCCCAAGCTACCTATCTACTAAGCCAAGCATTCCATTCTGTCACGTCATCCGCCCTGATAGAAAATGATACAAATGATCTTGATCAAGCAGCACAACTACGCCGAACCTTGCTCGCTCTTGTACATGCTGCAGATAGCGAAGCAATACATCGAAGGTTAGATTTTTGTGCTTCATCAGAGTTGAGCTTTAGGTCAGTTAATAGAAATAAATTCACAGCTGTTGTAACTAACAGCTACGAAGTGCTATTTTACTACTTCAGCAGCACCGCTTCCAATGTATCAGCAAGATAGCCATGCCAGGCGTACCACCGGAGATCTCGCTCGACAATTTCTGGCCTGAATCATTTGAGGCTGCGGATCGGTTGATCGCGGCGGCTACATCGTACATAAATCTAACGACCTCTGACCCGAATAGGGCAGACTGCGTCCCGATATTTTTCGCACATGTCTTGTACCAGTTGGGCTGTATTCTTCTGACGCTCGCCCCAGGTCCATTGTTGGACAACGCAATCGGCGAGAAAATAGGGATTGTCAAGAGCTTGCTTTTACGAGTGAACACGCGGTGGCGGCTTGCAGGCAAGTCATTCTAGAAAATATTTATTCGCACACAGAAAACTAACAAATTCATAGGCATCTATGTAGATGTATTACAAGCTCGAGAAATTGAGTTAGCATCCGAACCACATAAAACAACCCGACAATTTGTTTGCTTGACCTGAACGAGCAGTTGCAGTTCACAAAAGCAGCCTACCGAATCAGAAAGGAAGTCTGCTGCCGTCTTGATGGAAATATGCACCCCAGTCTTCCTTGGTCATGCTGTTCAAGATCCTCATACAGTCGGCAGCAGCCTTCTCGGTGGGCACATTCTCCAAAGTTGGGTTGTATTTTGCAACCCACTCTGAGAGTTCGTCGCCCATGTCAGTTTCACCAATCCAGCCTGTTACGATCTTCAATTAGTATATTTTAAAGGCTACAACTGAATTGCAGTGCTTACCCGGATGAATCACAGCAGCGGTAATACCCTCATCCTTTAGAATAACGGACCATTTTCGAATCAACCTATCAATTTGTCAACATTTTGACCCTTCAAGGGACATTAAACGGGCAGAAAACTTACATGTTCAACGCAGCTCTAGCCACAGAATATGCATTCATGACATTTGGCAGATTTGTCGCTAATTGAACCGAGCCCAGAATTGAAGTGACAAATAAAGCCTTCTTCGCCTCACTCTTGCGCACAAGCGGGAGAAACTCGCGCAGCAAGTTGAATGGCGCAGTGACGGTGAAGACGACTTCGGATGTAAACTCCTCAATATCACTAGACGAGGCACGGCCTGTTAGCAAAAACCCGAACGGTTTTCCTAGACTGAGAACAATAAAACATACATCTCCTCAAAAGTCTTCATACTACTATAACTCACACCCGCATTGCTAACGAGATTATCCAATCCATTGGGAAGCAACGGCTCCAGAGTCTTGGCCGCTGCACGAACACTGTCAATCTTCGAAACGTCGAGATCGAGTAGAATGAGGCGGTCGTTTTGAGGGTATTCGGCCTTGAGTTTTTGTAGACCCGACGAATTGGCGGTGTTGCGCGCGGTTGCGATGACGAGGTTTTTGGGGTCCTTGAGCTGTTTTCCGTGAAGAAATTAGATTAATTGGATTGGATTAATTCATAAAGATATGCGAGGGAACTTGCCAGTTCAGCGGTGAAACCGAGGCCGAGGCCACGGCTTGTTCCTGTGATCAAGTATGAAGGCATGTTATTGATGTATAACGAGAAGCTATAGGCGCGAGATTTGTGCTGAGGAATATCCAGAAACAGTGATTTTCTAGTTTACTGTATTTGTTGGCTTGTGATTATAGAAATAGAATTATTAATTTCCTGGCGATCATCCAGGCCTTTATACTTATCCGTCGTTTTTGGAATGACTGTCTCCATCTAATTTAAAATTGAAGCATGATCTCTAATCAACCGATTCAGTGGATCTTTGATTACGCATCCAACAATTAATCATTGATCCAATCGAAAACACGTAGCTTTCAGCTCCAGCTGCGCTTAGTACTTACGTTGTTTCTTTGTTCTTTTTGGTGGGAATTTGGTCTGCGGAGCGGGAAGCCGTCCGAAAAAGACCGCAGGATACCGCAAGAGACCGCCAAATGCCGCATGGTAGCGCAACGCGCAGCGAGTTTTGGGTGTCCGCATCGCAATTCTTAGAATTTTGTTTTTCCCTATAGGAATGAATGTAATTTGTAATCACCCTGAGAGTGAATAATTTGAGTAGAAGGGAATGATTATCAATAAGGATTACTCATACTGTTGCCTATTTCAACCTTAACGATAAAAATGATATTTTACTAAGATTAAATTATTTATATTATTTAAAATAGCTAAGTAGCTTTTTTAATAATTAGAAATCTTTAAAGCTACTAAAAGTAACGCGATATACAATTGATTGCGAAACTAGTGCGCGCGTTCATCCTCTCATAGACAAGTATAAGAGCTAAACCCACTACTAGCAATACTAACCCGTGATTTCATACACGTTATAATTATAAGCAATGAACTCACTACCTCACAGATTGTTAAAGCTGCTCAATGATTAGAAGACATCGCACCAACTTACAGCTGGTGTTTTCCCCTTCGATATCCAACAGGAAGGGTTTCCCCAGAATGGGTCAGTATTTATCCTTTCACCTTAGTGTCTTGACAGTGTAGTGTGTATATTTACAGTCCAATCAGAGGTGTGTCAGGCGGGGCTACGAGCTACATGACTACAAGGCTGACAACAACACATCGAATGACTCGATCGAAAGTAATCGAATACCTGCCTATACATGCCATTGTGGTCATATCTGCTCCTCATTCCTCGCAGCTGTCAGAACATTCATCAATAAATATCCGTTATCATGGAAATGAGGCCTGCACAACCCGTGGCAACGATATTATACCCGGATGGTCGGAGGAACCCATTCCTAAGAAAGTTTCAGCTACTAACAATGGAACAGAGTCGAATGGGAAATGGCTACTTAGACTCATACATGTCCTGGATGTGAGTTTTTCCCTGATACATATAGATATATGTTTCAGACATGAGAAACATGCCATTGATCTTAATCCATGGATGATAAGATTGATAACCTTCCGAACTGTTGTTACATGCAAGTCATCAATCATCCTTGTCTCCTCTTAGAGAAATAGACCAGGAATTAACCATGAGTCTAGATTCCTCCCCGTGAGACACTACCCATACGTAGAAAGTGACCAAATGCGACTCATCCGACACTTTGGTGCTCCGGATATTTTGGCGAGAAGGATGTACAGCGAGATCAACGGCTACGTTGGTTGTCGATCTACCTACGACGATAATGATCAGCTAACAGCCTACAGTAAGTAAATATGAGTGAATTTTCTCTTGATCAGAAACCAGAGCTAATCTTTGTTTCTCTAGGTACTTGGTTCCGATGTCTGGTCCTGATGCTCCTGGAGGATGGCAAAGAATATCACTGGCACGAGATGACCTACTTAAGTATATGGCAGAATTGTGGACGACGACAGGTTTTGTGTATTGACACGCCTGACTACTTTGCACCTCAGATGCATCGTGCGATTGAAGACAAGCCTTTATTATCCACACAAGACCCGTTCGCAATGCATAGTCCTTTACTGGACGAGATAGTCAGTGTTTATGATATGGCGTCGTGGAGCATTCGAAAGCCGATTCGGATGTTTGAGAAGGTTCCTTTTTCCTATACTGTTCCTCCCTAGTGATGGCGAGGTTAGATAAAATCTGACAATACTTCTAGAGCCGAATAACTACAGGCATCCATTACGAACATATGCACGAGATTCGGAGACACTCAATCCATTCGTCGGAAGTCCTTCTAGTCGCTATACAGACATTCGAAAGTCTTTTGGAACAGAAATCCGAAACATACGCAAAAGCACCCATGGCTCTAAACAAAAACGGTCGCGAGCAGGCAGAAGATTATATGAAGTTCCAGATTCAGACATTGAAAAGCCTAAGACAACGACTAATATCTACACATGAGCGACTGACTGGGGAAATCTCTATAGTATGTCTGTCTGTACTGCTTTCATTACCATTCTACTTCTCTAACGTGGGCTAGGCCTACAACCGGATCGTTAGCCGAGATAGTCGAATTATGAAGTCTATCGCTGTCTTAACTATGATTTTTCTGCCTGCTACTTTCATTTCGGTATGCTTGTCTTCAACTTGTAAAGAATTGTGGCGATCGGTTTAACCTTTTGTTTCCCAAGGCCTTCTTTAGTACAACTTTCTTCACATATGGGGATGATGAACCCCATGCATCTGCCCACCTATGGCTATACTGGGCTATTATCATTCCATTCACGCTTGTGATCCCTGCTGTATGGTGGTATTCACTGGAGTGGATCTCTTACCGTAGGCGATGATAGGTACTTGTAGAGATTTCAGTTATGATCTTCCGACTATCTTCTTTTCTTACCCTGGACCTTAGACCGTTTCCAGGCCTTACATGATCGAGTATCGACTGTTTCTACTGTATTGGGATCTCCAGTTACATCATTTCTGAGTGTTCACTGTTCAAAATAGGGTTGATTATGGTGACCGAGAACTTAAATGGCTACTGTATCATCAAAATGTCGAACTGCCTGTCCAAACGGTTGGCTGAATAGTTGGCTGAAAGGCCAGCTAAAGCTATTGTATTGTCGAAATATCAAAATACCTATCAAAATCCTTCTTGAAATGTGAAAATGACGGTTGAAACGGCTGTGATACTATCTACCTAACTGTCGAGTGGTTAAAAAAGGTAGTAGAATAACTCTAATTAAGCCTCTATTCAAAATTACATAAATGATATTAGACTGAATCCTAATTTAGCTTCCACTGTACGCCGCTAAAATTTCATCATCAAACCTATCAACTTTACTACACATCGACAAGATATTTACTGAGTAAATGGTAATAAAAACTACAGGGAGTTGTGAATAAATGGTTAAATAATTCATAGTGCAAGTTTCATGGGAATTAGTATACAAAGGCTGATCGAGACCGGCCTCAGACAGGGTAAAATTTGTGAGTGAAACAATAACCTTGATACTCTACTCATTCTCTAGCGGCCAACAAGCCGGCTAGTAAATGCTTCCTACTTAGGAAGCAATTGGCTACAGGGTATAGGCTAAGAACATGGTCCAGCTATATGTTGGATCTAAGTGAATTTCCACTAAGTTGGATTATAGTATATCTTTTTAACTAAGTGGGATTCCAACACTATATTAGTCCACACTTTGCTAAGAGCTATGTATTCCCGAGCATCCTGTTGTCTTAGCAGACCTGATCGGCAACAATATGCATGTGTCCTAGATATCAGTCTATCATCGTGACTCTGTTTCTGTAACAAACAACCACAATTCTCAGATAGACAAGCATGTTGAGAACCTTCACGGCCTAAGATCAGCATTCGACTAGTCCATTCCATCTGCTCGGCTTTGCTCACGTACCATCACATGCTCCATCAATCAACACCAATACAGTATTGAAGCATTGCATCGTCTTTCAATAGAGGCATATCCGATGTTATACAATTCATGTCCAAAGTCATGCTAAAGTTCTACTCCAAATACGTCCATGCCGCATTCGCTAGATAGGATTAGCGAGTTCATGTTGCCAGATTTATCATGGCCGAGAATACTGGGTAATCCAGTGACTTAAATAAGAACGTCTCTGGGATATTGTATGACGCAATTTCTCGTGCTTGTTCTCCTCTCTTTTGGAGTCCTTTCTTCTTCGGTCAATATTGACTACACTAAGCCAGTTGGGCAGAACAGAAAATATGTCTCTAACCCCATAATTCATGTTACCTGGTCAATGATGAACATCCACCCAAATCTCGTCGGATGTTCGAATGGGTGATGACCCGGGGATAGTGGGTGGTAGCGACTGATTTCCCATTCGAAGAAATTCCAAATCGTTGACTAGTACTAGAGCACAACCTTAGAGATTTAGAGAGATGCAGAGCCACCCAACACCAAGTCTAGTCCCATGGTCTATTACGAGTGTGAAGGATTCTCGGTTGCATATTGTATGAGCTAGTAAGCATATATTAATTGTTCGTGTTGGTGCTAACCGTGCGTGGCCTGCTGTAATTTTGTTGAACTAGCTTGACTGCGTCCAAGGTTATCTCTGGAGCAATCTACACTCTTCTCCAGCTGCAGCACAATCCTCCCAACATCCGGAATTTGACAACCCTCGTATGGGTAATAAAGTGGCATTCAGACTAAGTGACCAAGAATGCAAGTGTTGCGCACGGTTTGGGACAGGGAACAGAGAGTGGCGTTTCCGTAACATCCTTACTCACGACTCACTCTATGCAAATTCTAAGGTACTTGGCTTGAAAGCTTGTGTATTTTTGAAAGTCATAGAAAGAGAACAAAAACTTAGGGAACTAAAGACGTATATAAGCCACGGCCCTTGCCAAATTCTGGTGGACGAGAGTCGGTCTGATAACTAGGTAATCTTCTATCACATTAACAAAGGACCCCGACAATGAGAGCTTCTTTTGTCTTCTCCATGGGCATTGCCTTTCCCGTTGTGAGCGCCTACTTGGTAGCTCCTCCTGGTGTTGCTGCCCCTGGAACAACTTCACAGTGTAGTGCTTGGGTCGCATATTCAAGCTCTCTTACCTGCGCATCGATTGAAGAAAGCTACGGAGTGTCAAGTGGAAATTTCGCATCTTGGGTATGTATGACTCTCCTGCGTCATAATTAAGCCTTTTCAATGATACCTAAGTACAAATTGCTCACAAAATGTGCAGAACCCAATCGTTGTTAACTCGGGCTCGGGTTGTAGTCTTCTCCCTGGATTAGATTACTGTGTCCAGGTCAATTTTCAATCCCCGACCCCGACCACCACGACATCGTCGACTACTTCGACACCCACTACGTTTGTGACATCTGCTTCCGGGGATGGAATATCCACTCCAAGCCCGGTGCAGACTGGCATAGCGTCCAATTGTGATAAGTTCTATCTGGTACAGAGTGGTGATCAGTGTGGTATTATTGCATCAAACGCAGGTATCAGCCTTGCCCAGTTCTATGCCTGGAATCCGGCAGTGGGCTCGAGCTGCCAGTATTTGTATTTGGGTGACTATGTTTGCATTGATGTAATTGGCGCAACACATACTACGACTGCCGCCAGCACCACGACGGCAGGAACTGGTATCAGTACCCCAACACCGTATCAGCCAGGAATGACATCCAACTGTGATAAGTTCTACCTGGTCCAAAGTGGTGATCAATGCGGTACCATCGCTTCGAATGCTGGAATAAACCTTTCCGATTTCTACTCGTGGAACCCTGCGGTTGGCTCAAGCTGTGCCTACCTATATCTCGGTGATTACGTCTGTATTGGCGTGATAGGAGCCAGTGGTACAACTACCACCCCCACCACCACAACCACAACTCCTGGAAATGGAATCACGACTCCGACGCCGTATCAGTCTGGAATGGCTTCGAATTGCAACAAATTCTACTTAGTCCAAAGCGGCGATCAGTGCGGTGTTATTGCGTCGAACGAAGGAATCGGCCTCTCGCAGTTTTATACATGGAATCCAGCAGTTGGCTCAGCATGCCAGTATCTGTATTTGGGGGATTATGTCTGCGTAGACGTCATTGGAGTTACGCCTACTACCACGACCTCTACTTCGACCGCTGGCAATGGGATCACGACCCCAACTCCGTACCAACCAGGCATGGTCTCAAATTGTGACAAGTTCTATCTCGTGCAAAGTGGAGACCAGTGTGGAACGATTGCATCAAACGAAGGGATATCCTTGGCAAATTTCTATGCCTGGAATCCCGCAGTTGGTTCAAGCTGTGCTTACTTGTACTTGGGTGATTACGTTTGTGTTGGAGTGAAGGGATAGCCTTGTGTCTTAGCATATCAATTGATATGGATTAGGTAACTTTTTCGATGTGGTGGCTACCTAGGTATGTTGCTCGGAAGACTAGAATCTAGTTTGCCTAGGTATCACATCATAAAAAGATCAAAGTTATTTTTAGAGGTCGGTCGCAGACTGGTAAAAGCTCATCATTTTTCTCGCTCATTCGCTAGTAGACACAAGCCTGAACAGGCTACTGTACATATTCCATGCTTCGACGGTGTGTTGGTTGGCAAACAAATCGGGTTTATCACCATAGCACGCGCTCAACAATTCATTAACGAGATAGAAGTACGGTAAATCAAGGCTAATACATCGGGGATGCAATCTAAAGGCTGGACTAAGAAAAAGCGTGGTACCTGATGAAAGGATCCTTTTACGACCCAGATATTTCACTGTATGTAAAACAGATGAGGTTGCATCGAGTTCGTTGAGAGGCTTACCCCGCCCCTTAGAGCAGCCAAAGAAGTGATCAGGACACAGGTTCATGTTGGCAGAAGGGCACATGCAGTTAAGCCAGGCATTTGATCCGGGCCTAAGACGGCAACTTTAATTACACGGTAATGTTCGCAAGAAAGCTTAGCTTAGAGTGATTCAAAATCCGCGGATGCGACTCATACGAGAATCTAGGAGCTAATTTAGTGGCCAACACCAACCAACGCAGCACCAAAATAGCAATGATTGGGCAAATTTAACATTTTCAGCTTGCTGATGTGCCAACTATCTATAGAATTGTCGGGATTTGAGCCTCTATAACCACGTGCTTGGTTGATGGGCAACAGTCATACCATGGCATCGTTTCTAGGTTGATTGAAGACTCAATCATGTTGGTTGATAGGATACGTTGATTAGAGGCTCAATGATGTTGGTTGGTAGAATAGATTGATCGGAGCCGCAATCATCATTCAGGTTGGTTGGATACTAGCCCTAACCATGCTATGCAACGGATCACAGGTATCGCACTGACTGCAGGAACGAGTTGTCCGCAACTAGCTGACAGAAAAGACGCCCACGTACAAAATGTTGGTTTTAGGCCGGGCTATTGGAAACAGCGAAGAAAATTTGCACCTACGAGTCAACGAAACAGCAACCTTGCAATGTAACTTCGAACCCAGCCGGGGACATTCGCCGCTGAACAAAAATTAGTCGAGCTACGAACTTCTGTGCATTGAATTCAAATTGTGAGATATGCAATAGGGTTAGCTTCTCCACCAGACAAGAAGCTAGACGAAAGCATGTACGGACAACTAGGAAAGTTTGTAACAAGCAACGTCCTTTGGCCCGGCAGTACATGACACTGAGAGCAATAACTGATCTGCTCCAGTAGAACATCATTTTCAATCTAATACGAGCTAAAAGAAGTACACCAGAAAAAGTTTTGCGTTTCTAAAGGCGACGCTGTATGGGGTCCCAAATCTCTTGGACATTGAAGCTTCTGAGAAACTGACTACTTTTCGTGAAGAGAAGAATTCCATGCATCACGCTTCGAAGCCTACTCAATTGCCGATTTGGAGTTCATCATCCGACCTCCCTCGATAGAAGGTTACTGGAGTCGTCCCCGCCGGAGCATTTCGATAATACCAAATTGCCATGGCAAAAAACATGTAGGACTGGGCGTTTGTCTCAGCCCCCGATGTTGAATCGGCATTACCGAACACTGCATTTTTTATGCATGAGTCTAAGGGATCTAGTTCCATTTAGTATCGATTTTTTATTGAGACGTAGCCGCGATTTTCAAAGCTTTTAGAGAACTGGACTTACACCATCTATCCGTGACATCCGTCGTCGTTAGGTGAGTTAGCTCATGGAAGAAAGTCGAGCTCTGTGGTAGTTGAGCATCCAAACCAGTTTTTGAGTCTGCGGCTGGGTATTTAATATCCTTCAGGAATTCAACCATACCCCCAAGGGGCTTATTAATCCCCCGATCACAAAGCACCATGGAAGGATCAAGTTTCCCAAAGCCTTGAATAAAATCGAATGTTTTTGGATAAAATGGCTTTGCCACGAATGCGACCGTCGTGCCCGGATTTCCCTCCATATCAACAGTGTCCGCGCAAGGCCTGGAAGCTTCTGTGAAAGCATAACCTTTCTGCACGGGGGAATAAAAAGGATTGAACGATTGACTGATGATATCTATCCCATAGAGATCCCATATTGTCTGGAACCCGCCGCCATCTTTCTGAATTTCATTTCCGTCGTAGTCAACTGCCTTATCCCCCCATCCACGTGTTTGGTAGGTAGCATCACCGCAAAAGGCGAAAGGCGGTTTGCCTAGGAATTGAAGTTCAACAGGGAGACCTTTGCCGTCGAGAAAAGTAGATACGGCATTCAAAGTTACTGTTGCAGAGTCAATTTTGTTTTTTCTTCTTCAATAACAGAATTCTGTTTATGGATGCGTGTTCTTACACTCAACAGTATTCCAAGCACTGGAGGATTGACGATCACGGAAGCCGCTGTAGTCCGGCTTCCATTTGATACCAAAATATGATGTAAAAAATCCCAGTACAGCAGGATTTCGGCTTTCTTTCTGGCTTATAGCCCATAAAGCGTCACCAACAAGTGTCTTAGAGTCAGAAATGAATGTTTCTATTTTCCCCTGTTGGTCGCTTGAACATGGGCCTTCATCAGGCGGTACACCAAAAGTGAAAAGTTGCCCCTGAGAGAGGCAAGCCGTCAAGCCTAGTACGAGAAATGAAAGTCGTTGAATAAAGAGCCACATTTTGGACTTTTTAAGGAAGAGAACGAGACCGTAGAAGTTCTGGAATTTGAGATTTCCCCAAAAAAGAACAAATGGTGAGTATAATAGGAGATAGATATCCTAGGTACTTGGCCGATGTGGGCGAGGAAAAGGTCAGAACGACGTACAACATTTGAAGAAAGAAAAGAAAGATTACATGAGGAATTAGGTTATGGATTCGCAGCAAACCACGCCAAGGGGTTTGACATGAGAGGTTTAACGCAAACAAATTCTCCTATGGTAGTAGTAATACTAGTTAGCTACTATACTCCCAACTCCTGTACCTAATGCACTTCGTATTACAGACGAATGAACACGAATTGGTCAGTAGTCATAGTTAGTGTTGGTATGTTGGCCTATTTGCAAGCAGCGGTTACAGTAATTCTAGACCTCGTACCAGTCCCTGACGGCGGAGTCAGACGGGGACAATACTTGATCAATCTACAATACCGATTATTCTTTCATAGGCGATTATTTTTCAAGATTGTGACCAACGTGTCGAGCCTGCAGCAATTGGTAGAATTCAAATGAATGCTAAATTGAAGTTAGTGCTTTGCTGCAAGTCCGGGAGATTTTATTAGATATCAATAATACCTACTAGCAACGTGCATGTAGAAAATTACGAGCCGGCGCCACCTAAGAACAATATCCAAACTGTTATGTTGGTGCACGATGTAACTTAATCAAGTATTTCTCATCCATTAGTTGAATCTTCACCCGTGGTAAATAGTCGGGGGTGCTTACACTTACCTAGGTACAGAACTCATGCTGAAAGCAAGAGGAAACCCACCTCAATTGTTGGTATTAGATTTGATATATCGAATGTAACGTCATCTCCAGTACAGAAAAATACAGGATAAGTTATTGGCAATGGTTAGGCTGGCAGGAAATACTGGCCAGCTGAAACGGGGCATGCTATCTTTTCTCTTGCTATGAAGGAAAATGCTATTCAATGCTATAACTTTCTGGTTTCACCCCCTTCTCAGCTCATCATTATACCACTAAGAGAATTCATCTCATTTATAAGGGCTCTCTTACCTGAACACCATTGTCCTTTCGAGATATCTGAAGATGATATTTGGAACGCATCCTGGCAGCGTGCTGCTGGCGGTGCTGCTCATCTCTCAATTGGGCATACGTTTTATCCGTGCTGACACGCTGCCATTTGCTGTCCCAACAGACTTGGAGCATTACCTTTCAGCGCATCCTATATCCGTCAAATCTGTCAATGAAACAGCTAACCAATCGACACGGCAAAGCCCTCCCCAAAATACCTCGGTGATCGTCAATCCCAATTTGTTCAAATGTCCCGTAAGTTGCGCTGATGCTGGCACTGAATCATCTGGTTGGACGGTCTTTCATGATTTAAAACGTCTTGCATTATGTAATCAATCTATGCTCGTTGATTTCGCCATTCACAATCCTCTCGATGATCCAAATACCCATATAACACTCTACACATGCTCCTCTGTTGCAGCGGGAAAGGGAAAGTTGTGCACGATCCCTGAAGAAAACACTATCAAAGCGAATCAGACTGTACAGCTGGCTTGGTCGGAATCCAAAAGTGCCGGAGATAAGACGAATGGATTGGCTGCAGTTCAGCAGCTACAGTCATATGTCGAAGCTGACGACTCCTGCGGCGAGGACATAATTTTTGCCTACTCGCAGGATGCAGTAGTTGGTCTTTACGCTGGTGCGGAGATCACTGGCCAAAATCTTACAAACTCTTTCTTGGAACAATTTTCGTCTTATTTACAGAGCAATCCCGTGCCAGCATCACTTATCGCCCAGATGTGCATGTCGGATCAGAATACGAGTTCCAATTATACCTTAGGAGTGGCTTTGAGCAGCGATGGAGACTGGAAATCAGTGCAAGAAGCAGTGCAGACATGGAGTCAATCTAGCTGCGTTACTGGCTACGATCAAACCATCAACTGGAATACTTTAAGCTACTTGATCCCCCCTGAATCCCCTTCACGGAGCAATAAGACGTCGACGAATACCAATATTATTAACAGGGCCTCAATTAAACGAGGTAGTACGGCACCTAGCCCTTATGCAAATGGAACGTGTTACATACATACAGTGGTTACGAACGACTTATGCTCAACGTTGGCTGCCGAATATCAAATCACCGTCTCGGATATAGAGAACTGGAACTCAAATACATGGGGATGGATGGGCTGCAGTGACTTGCAGCTCGGTCAGAACATTTGTCTGAGCAACGGATCAGCTCCAATGCCCGTAAACATTCCCAATGCCAATTGCGGGCCTCAAATGAATGGCACAGCTGTAGCACCTGCAGGAACCGATTTAAGCACTTTGAACCAATGTCCTCTGAATGCATGCTGTGATATCTGGGGCCAGTGCGGAACTACCTCAGAGTTTTGTACACCAAGTAATTCTACGACCGGAGCACCTGGTACTGCTGCGCAAGGCCAGAATGGCTGCATCTCGAATTGTGGTACAGATATCATCTATTCTGCTCCTCCAGCGGAGTTTCGACGCATTGGCTATTTTGAAGGGTTTGATTTCAACAGACCTTGTCTTTCTGAGAGTATTCTGAGTGTCGATACAAGCCAGTATACACACATTCATTTGGCTTTCGCTACTTTGAATGCAGATTTTTCGGTGAATCTTACCTCAATGGGGGATAATTTTGACCTTTTCGCTGGGCTCTCAGGTGTCAAAAGGATAATCTCATTTGGCGGCTGGGACTTTTCCACGGATTCTTCTACCTACGATATCTTTCGAGAAGCATTTAATGCTGATAACAGACCAAAGGTCATTCAAAATGTGATCCAGCTTTTGAATGACTATGAGTTGGATGGAGTAGACTTTGACTGGGAATACCCTGGAGAGCCCGATATCAAAGATATTCCACCTTCAAATTCCCAAGATACTGACGATTACTATTTCTTCTTTGTGGACCTTTACAATGCCATGTTTCAAGCTAACATGGGCAAGACGATTTCCGTCACGGCTCCTGCGTCGTACTGGTATTTGCAAACTTTCCCGATTGATGCCATGTCAAAATATCTCGACTACATCGTTTTCATGACTTATGATCTGCATGGTCAATGGGATTACAGCAATAAATTTGTTGATCCTGGATGTTCAGCAGGTAACTGTTTACGATCTGATGTCAACCTTACAGAAACCCTGAATTCATTATCCATGATCACCAAAGCCGGTGTCCCGTCTAACATGATTGCTGTCGGTGTTACCAGTTACGGACGATCTTTTCAAATGACAACCCCAGGGTGCTACTCTGAGATGTGTACGTATACTGGGCCAAAATCTGGTGCGCTTCCCGGACCATGCACGAACACTGCAGGGTATATGGGCAACGGCGAGATAAATCAAATCATTGCACAAAATGCGTCCGGTTTACTGCAGTTTCAGGATGATAGCTTCTCCAATATCGTTGTCTATGGCGGAGATCAGTGGATTTCGTACATGGATGACTCGAACAAGGCCTCGAGAACGTCGATGTATCAATCTTTGAGCTTCGGCGGAGTTGCGGACTGGGCCATAGATCTTCAAAAAAACGGATCATCACTCGGTACAGGAACTAGCGATACGAACAGTTCGGGGATTGTGTATGTCCCTCCCAGCGTTTGGACTGACGAAAACCCGACTGTGAATTGCATTCCGCCTTGTTCGTTTATTCTTCCCCCAATCATCCTTGACAGTCCTACGATCGTACCCCTGCCCTTATTATCAGTATTAGTCACTATTTCCACTGTGGTGACAGTCACCGAGACTTATGGGACAACAGTGACCACGGTAGGTTCTTACTCGTCTCAAACATTTCCCACGGTGGTACCAATACCAGCATGTAAGTTGAATACCTGGCATTTTTTTAAGTCATACAAAGAGCAAGTCGACTGATTCACCATTCAATAGATACTGGCAATACCATCGACGTTTGGGGAGTCCCAATATTAAATACCGGATCAACTACTGGGACAATTACCGCTTGGCCGTCTATCCAACCTTCACCTTTTCCCATAGTGATTACTCCGTATGTACTCTCATGATCACTTTGGCAACAGCGGAAGGATTGTATTTTAAGCTCTTGCTAACATTAAATTCGCAGAGTATGGGATGGCACAACCCAGGTTACGGACGGAACAGTCACCACCTACACCTCAACGGTCGTTGTATATGATTCATACACTTGGACCAGTAGTGGAGGGATCGAAACGTATGGTGGAATAACAAATATTATTGGCGGCACCACAGGAACTCCAGTCACGGCGATTATCACTCCCCACCCATACCCTGCTGAAGATTGGGGCATTTCTGGCAGTACAACAACGTCTGGAGGTACAACGACATCTAGCAGTACAACGACGTCGGTAGTAGCCGGCATCATACCTAGAAAAACAGCAGCCTATTCCAGTGCTAAACCCAAAGTAAGCTGTACATCTGGTTGCGGTCATAAATGTAGGTTCTTCCCTTGGCTTTTTTCTTTTTCTTTCCGAAGTTGTATTATGAAGTTACCTTCCTCTTCCGGCTGACTATAAATATAATAGGCAAACATTTTTGTGACCCTTTTTGTCCGATTTGTCCTCCTGGCTTTGGCGGTCTAGGAGGCCTTTTCGGTGGAGGAGGACTGGGAGGAGGAGGAGGAGGAGGTGGTGGTGGTAGTGGTGACGGGGATCCCAGCGAGAGCCAAAGTACAACCTCCACTTCTTCAAGTCAATCTGGAGTCACTATACCAGGCGGAGCCACATTTACTGCTGATCCAGTTGTCACCCCAGTTGGAAGCGCTGCGCTCGCCGCGCTGCAGTCTGATATAGCTTCTGTGTGGAATTCCCTTTATCCACCACAAACCACATCTCCGACAACTACATCTACGCCGAATCCTACAACTACTAGCACCTTGAATCCAGCTTGGCCCACGAACACAGCGATCAACGTTGGCAGCGGCTACTGCTTTACGCAGCAGATGGGATATGTTTCATTCAGCTTAGACGATGCGAAAGGAGCTATAGGACCATTTTGCAACGCTAGCTACGTCCTTGAGCCAAGCAACACATTTGGGTTTGTTGAGAAATACGATGCAGGCTCATACAGTGTCTCGTGTACGGCTCAGTGGGCAAGGGATCAGACGGGCTGCGGAGCTATGCAGGCATATTCATTTGCTAATGACGCCATTAAGTATGAACTCTGCCTTGCTACATGGTCAACGGATTTCTTTTGTCTCAATGAAGAGGCTCCTGCCTCATCGAGCTACGGGGGAGGTTACGTTTATAACTCTGCAAGTGGCTGTATCTTGTTAGAGCTATACGCGGAGTCTAATTAGCGCAGTACTTGTACAGGGGGTATCGAGTCGTGCGGTAGCTTTGTAAGTATAAGTCATGCTTTTCAAGTCTAATTGTCTACTTGCCCTTGCACAACTGGCATTCTTTTTTCGTTGCAATTTTTGGATCATACCTAGGTAGGAAAACTTCAACCTTGGAAGATTATGTATGGTTTTATATTGAGCCAAAGCCCCGATATTGTGAGTCCAGCTGAAAAATTGTCGCATGGATTGATTTGTAACTCTGAAGCCTGTATCAGACCTAAACTAAATGCATAATATTTTCAAACTGAAACTGCGTGTAAAAAAGGCTGAAGTTACCCCGAGTACGCTCTCTTCTCCACTAAGCTAAACTGCGTAAATTTTCTTCAATTCGTTTCACCCTTGTCTTCAAAGCCTGCCCTCAGCTCATTGAACTTGGGATCTCTCTTGACCTTATGCGGAGTATAGGATTTCTGCGTTTTGTACTTCCGGTCACGGGAGTTGTTCCTGTATTTTCTCAACAAAGTCTTGAGGTTTTTCATTTTTGGCTGATGTTTTCTGGAATGGGATGGACGTGTGGGCGTCCAAAGCTCCTCACGCGTCTCGCTGCGAATCCTAGTTTGGACGTCTCGATGATCTTAGCAGGGGTAGAGACCGAGCAAAAAAGCGACAGCGCAGAAGGCGGCCTCATTTGTGAGTATGTATACACGCTGTTAATGCGGTATGCCACCAGTGTTGAGAGAATTGAGACTCTTGCTCGGTCTCTCGAGGAAGGTTGCGTCCCTCTCAGGTGGTGGTTGTAAGGTCAAAAGTGAGATCTTATCGCAAGCGCTTCTAGATATCTGCCTTTGATGAGTCGATCAAGATCTGAAATAGTCTTCATACGTTCTATCTTTATGCTAGCTATAGGTTAAGATAATCTTTCTACTAGCACAACGCGCAGCGAGTTTGGGTGTCCGCATCGCAATTTATGGAACTTTGTTCCTCTTTGAAAGATGGCTGTAATTTGCAAGCACCCTGAGAGCGAATAATTGGGGTAGAAGGAGTGATTATCAATAAGGATTACTCTTAAGTTTTGGTTAGTTGAGGTTGAAGGGTGGGTTATAGAAGAGCAAAAAAAAAAAATGAAATGTGCAGTATCTTGCTTGATAATATGAGGAGGCAATAGAGAAACTATGTCGGTAAAACGAACTTCTTCTTTTGATACAGGTATATTTGCCTGTGTCGAGGAGAAGCTACGAGTTAGGGTTTGATAATTCTACTTACTGTATCGTATCCTCTTTGCCCTATTCTTCTTCTATAAAATTGTCTTCATTATTTTCTTCTTCGTCACCTGATTGATCAGATTCTAGCTCTTTCTCTACGCCTCTCTCTTTTGGAAGTAATGGGTTGACTGATGGAAATCCTTCACATTACGATAACACTTGAAACAGAGATCATAGTCACGGCAGTGAAGACAGTGGGAAAAGGTGCCCCAGAGTCCCTAAGTTTCATTTTAGCTATCACTTCCAGCAACACGTCGATTAGGGAATCAATTGAAAGACCACAAGGTGGAATCATACCATCAGACACCCATCACAGTAACCAGAACACTAACCAGAACAGTCTATACCTGTATCCGTTAAGTGGAAGTATCTGTCCCATGTCTCATGTTCTTCACCGTTGTGGACATATCTCTCCTTGATATCTGGAACCAATATTTCCGTGATGTCAGAAGAAGCCCCGTAGTATGGAGCTACCTTGAGCGGGGACCAACCTACCTGGTCACTTGCGAAATGTGAAGTCAGGTAATAAGAAGTGAAATGAACAAACACTTCAGCGAGCAGCTTCTATCATTTTATGAGGTCCATCGTGAATTGCTGCGTAACATTCGATACATTGCTTTCGACACAAGTTTGCCTCGATGCGCTACTGCATGTGTCGCGGTAGGAGCCCAACAGACTAACAAGGCTTTTGGGAGAAAGCGGTCCTTTGAATGATGATTATAATCAGAACTTGAACCCGATGCTTACATATGTCCTACCTACTGGAGTAAAGTTGAAGTCCAACTGATGGAGAGATCTCCAAATTAGGGCGTGATATTCTATTGGGTTAGGGCTATCGTTAAGACATGGAGCAGGCAGCACAACAAGTCACCAGTAAAGAAGAACTCTAAAGTGATACTCTCCTCGTACCTGGAATCTGCCTTGCTGTCTATCGCGGCACAGTAAACGGGTCCTCAGACTTGGTGAATAGTCGGAGTCAAGATCGGGGAAAGGCGCGGGTGGCTTAGCAACACAAGAGCATCAGTGGGTAATGTCATTCATGACTCATCACGTCGACTTGAATGAAGATAAATAGAGTTTCTATCTCTAGGTCAATCTCTTGTGCTCTCAAAAATAAATCATAATCAGTACATATAAGGACATTGCCACGAGACAAACCGTTTAATATCATACTTGGGATCATAAAGCTAAATCAAACGACAGCAACCTTCGACATGACCACACCGACATCAATTGACACCAACAATCCAGTCTACTTCTGGAGACCAGAAGGCGAATACGGTTTTCTAGGACAATGGTGGCCATCGTCATTCTCATGGAAAGACGGCGACAAGGAATACACTTACGCAAATGCAGAACAGTATTTTCCTCCCTCTCAATCACTTATTCGAGATATACGTCTTCTAACCTTAATCCTTAGATATATGATGCATCGCAAAGCACTGCTGTTCGCCGGTCTAGATCACCCCATAACTCTTCAAATTCAAAAAGGCCGGAAACTCCATCCTCGCGCAATTCGAGACTTGGGCCGACAGATCCCCAATTTTTCGGATGAGGTGTGGCAGCAAAATAGGTATGGGATTGTCTTGGAGGGAAATTATTTGAAATTTTCGCAGGATGACGAGCTTAAAGAAAAGTTGCTGGCAACGGAGAATCGGGAGCTGGTTGAGGCGAGTCCGAGAGATAGGATATGGGGCGTTGGATTTGAGGCGAGATATGCGAGTGACAATAGGAGGGAATGGGGACTGAATTTGTTGGGGAAGGTGCTTATGGAGACCAGGGAGAGGTTGGTGAGAGAGAAATTGCAATGAGGAGCTCTTGAGTAGGCCTAACGGTGATGTTGAAAATGGAAAATCCTGACGGAATCGGAAAAATAATATTCAAGTAAATTCCTCCCTATATTCGTGTTTTACCTGAAAAAAGCCTCCGGTGGCTTAGTGTAGCACCAGGCGACGAAACTGTGACTAGATGCCGACGCCGTCGAAAACATCCTTGAGGGAAAATTTGGATATCTTCATATTATTCATGGCAATATGAAAACGTTAGCCAACAGGGCAGGCTACCCACGAAGTGGAAGATAAAAATCCGTAGTACACCCCCGCAGATCAGTTATGATTAATCGGGGTATAGCTTGTATATTAATGTTCTTAATTTCCAGCAGCTTGCATGCCAGGCGGTAAAGCCGGATTGCCATTCATTCGCGAATCGCTAGCGTATTATGCTGCGTAGCGAGTAGTCTGAGACACTGAGATAACTCAATGGACTGGTATCTGAGTCAGCCCGCATGGCATATTTGTAAAGTTGGGTTACACTTTATAAATCACCCTCGCACACTATCGAATGATGAAATCATCCAAGGAACAATCATGACCCCATCCTCCGTGATTCTCATATTCTATGTATGAAATAAATGACGGTGAAAGTACGATTCAACTCAGAACTTTGACAAGAACACACTAACAATCTCATTCGTGTCTGGCTCGTCATTAAAAAATGCTGTATCCAACCCGGCGTCTAGGAAAGGACGGCCCTGTCGTAACTGCTATCGGTTATGGCATGATGGGCCTCAGTGCATTCTATGGAAAGCGTCTACCTGATGAACAGCGCCTTCAGTTCCTAGACCAACTCTACACTTCTGGTGAGCGATTCTGGGACACATCAGACGTTTACGGTGACAGTGAGGATTTGCTGGGGAAATGGTTTAGCCTTAACCCTGGTAAGCGGCAGCATGTTTTCCTAGCTACAAAATTCGGCAATATGGGTGGTGGGAAGGCTCGGACGGATCCGGGCTATGTGCTAGAGGCGTGTGCAAAGAGTTTGGGGAGGTTGAAGACAGATTATATTGATCTGTACTATGTGCATCGTGCAGATCCTGGAACGCCGATTGAGGAGACAGTTCGTGCTATGGATCAACTTAAAAAGTAGTATTTCCCCTTTCTGTTAATGCTTCAGTCGGCATTAACGACTCCAGTGTAAAAGGCTGACGCAAAATGATAATAGGGAAGGGAAGATTAGATATCTAGGATTATCGGAAGTCTCATCTACTACTCTCCGCCGGGCCCATACTGTATCTCCCATCTCCGCCGTGCAGGTCGAGTACAGCCCATTTTCGCTAGAAATCGAGCTCCAGGAGACAAACATTCTAGCAACTTGTAAAGAGCTAGAGATCGCTGTGGTTGCATACTCCCCTCTTGGAAGAGGATTTCTTACAGGGCAACTAAAGAGTATTGATGACCTTGATGTAGATGACTTTCGGCGCCAGGTGCCACGCTACTGGCCGCAAAACTTCCACCACAATGTAGCCCTGGTGCACGACTTGGAGAAATTTGCAAAGCAAAAGGGTCACACGACTGGTCAATTAGTCCTAGCTTGGCTGCTACGGCAGTGGGATATGGTCATCCCAATTCCGGGCACAACAAAGTGGATGAACTTTATTGAGAATATGGGGGCCTTGCAGGTTCAGCTAAGTGATGATGAAGCCAAGGAAATCAGAGATGTTATCGAAAAAGCCTCAGTAGTTGGTGATCGGTATCCAGATGGCTGGGCGCAGACACTGTTTGCGGACACAGCTCCCCTTCCGCAGCAAAAGTCCTAATCAGACCTTGTGAGACCACTTATAATGTGGAATAGCCTCTTTTATTGTTTTTTACCTAGCTTACGTGTCGCCAGCTATGTATTTATTCAGATTGAGTGTGGAATCAAATGATCAAATCAGCGTTCACTTACCCTAGCACTTTTGAAGTAGACAATCCGGCTATGTGACCTGATCTCAGTGACTTATTATCTGTATGGAAAGGCAAACGTTGTTTGGACGAAAGATCCTCTGGATTGATGTACTAGAAACATGAATAATAAGGGTCATATACACTTGAATAGATGGATGGATGTTCATTCACCCTAATTTCTCGCTACATTAACAGTATCCCTGTACTTCTGATCAAAATAATCATCGATTTTCTTACAGGCTAGGTTTGCGCCTCGCTTAGGGGTCTTTGCCCTGATTTCTGCTTCTGTGGGATCAATATACGAGCCTGGTGCGTGTGCTGGTGGCTCAGCAGAGCTCGATTATCTGGAGGCTTGGTGCCTATTTTCAGTTTGAGTATGGCAGCAGAGCCTGGTGGGCGGCCCACGGTAAAGTTTCAGCCCATTTCACGCCGTAGGGCAATGAAGTCGGCCCTAGCCCTTGAGTTGGAGTCTACTGTGCGTGCTCCCAGTCACTGTTTTCACCAAAAGGTTTGATTTTGGTATCACATTTCGTCATGCGTATTCGAAATTCAAGATCAGTCGTCCATGTTAAATAGTCATGGAAAGATTTTGGAGCTTCAAAATACGTATATTTGCAAATGAACTTTAGAATAGAGTGACTTTGCCCGGAAGCATGTATAGTAGGTGCATAGTTGCTAGATGCTAGGGTCTGATATCAGTATTGATATTGACGTTCCGACACCAAGGTTTTTTAGGGCAACAGTACAGTATCCCTATGTATTATACACGCAAATGTCATTGTAATTTCGCTGTCATTCAAACTATATCGGAGTATACCCTAAATACAAAAAAGAGAAAGCTAGGACATCTTCCCAGAGCCAGCCACCGTCGCATTTAATCTAATGTCGTAGGGCTTCACAAACAGTCAGCAAAAGCCTCACATCACAACAAGCAAAAAAAAGAAAGAAGAAAAAACTTACTCCCAGCCATGATAGTCATACTCATCCGTCTCCAATACCGCCAACTCAGAATCGGACAACTCAAAATCGAAAATCTTGGTGTTCTCCACGATACGGGATGGCGTCACAGATTTGGGGAGTGGATTGAAGCCCTACCATCAAGGAACGCAGACATTAGCTATGAAACCGGTATCCCTATGAATGGTTACACGCACCTTCTGCAAACTCCACCGCAGGAGGATCTGAGCCTCCGTCTTGCCGGTGCGTTTAACAATATCCTTCAACGACGGATCATTCCAACGATTTGCCTGCGCCAACGGAGCCCATGCCTGAACCACAACGCCTCGTTTCTGGCACCAGTCAATGATATCTCTGCGTTGCAGCCAAGGATGAAGCTCGATTTGGTTGACACTCAAGACTCCGCCTTTACCCTTGCCGAGCTTTGAGTCTGTGTCTTTGATGTACTTCTCTAATTCGTCGAGGTGCTGCCCATACACATCAATATAAGAAAAGAAGATGCCAAGGGTAGTTAGGAGACATACCTGCACACCATAATTTGAAACTCCAATACTCCTCACCGTGCCCTCCTCGACAGCCTCCACAAGCGCCTTCCAAGCCCCCAATCTACCCTCCTTTCCACCAAATGGGGCATGCAATAGCACCAAATCGATATACTTCAACTGCGCTACTTCCGCTAAGCTCTTCTTTAATGCCTCCTTGGCGCCTTCATACGAGATTGACTGCGCTGGTACCTTTGTTGTGAAAAAGACCTCTTCACGGGGGACACCGGATTTGATGATACCGTCCGCGGAGGCACGTTCGTTGCGATAAAAGGCTGCGCTGTCGATGTGACGATAGCCGGCTTTGAGTGCCTCTTGGACTGCGGCGCTTGTCTGGCTTGGAGGAGTTTGGTAGACCTATTTTTATGTTAGCTCATTGTCCATAACTAACAAGTTTGTTTGAGGTTTAGGTTGGATGTCTTACTCCGAAGCCTAACACGGGGATTTCGAAGCCCGAGTTTAGTTTGTAAGTGGACGAAAGGGTGAGTTGGCGAGTCATTGTGGCTCAATTATCTGCTGAATCTTTGATAAATCCCTCTGATGATGAGAATGATGTGGATATCTGATTCTCTGGATCGACACCCTTCTTCTTATACCTTTTTCTGTTCCAAAATTTTTGCTAATTTGTAAGAGCCCCGCCGACGTCAATCTTATTCATAAGTCTAAGAACCTTTGTTCTCCATTAATCGGAGAGATTGGAACTTGCCAGATGGTGTTACAATAAGACTGAATTGGTAAGCCAAATAGTCAAACTACGTGACATCGGTGATAAGAACGGACTTCAACGGGCTTAGCAATAGTGATTTGACATATCGCATAATAATGGTAATATCGGCGTCAAAAGGGCGTCATGTAGTACGTGCCCTAGGAGCATGTTGATTGGGTCCGATCTAAGCCCGTGGTGGAGATAAGCCCATCGGACGGTCTTTGTGATCACTGATCATTGTGAGACTAATTAATCAATTAGGTCAGATATGGGGCAAACTGCGACAAGGGTCTTACATACCTTGACGTAGGGAAATAGGTAGCGAGTTAAGCGGGGATTGCTAAATGATTTCTAAGCAATATACGTACGAGGGTCATTTGGCATCCAGCACAGTGTTGAAGGATGGATGTATGTCAACGTCGAGGTGAATATAACGAGTTGTAAACGTACAAGCGGAGTGATAGTATAATACAATCTATTTAGGTATCTAAATCAATGCACAATCCGAATCTCCCCATGCCCATGCTCCCACTCTTTTAACCCATCTCTCAGACTATACCAAAACCTCAACCGCACAGTCTCCATCTGCGCCGTCTCAATGTCCCCTTCATCAAACGCCTTTTGCAACTTCGCCACTGACTCCTCGATCCGAGCCGCATTCTCTGAACGGAGTCGGTGGACAGTAGCCTCTGCCTCCCCAACAGGTGCAGACGATAATTCCTCCACCGTCTCCTGAACATCCATTATCTCCATCAGTGTTTCTGAGTCAAGCGCGTATTTCGATGCGCCGTCCTCCGCCAAAACGTCAATGCCGTGTATCTCCGCAAGGAGGTATTGCGCGCGACTCAGCGGGTCGATCAGAGTGCGATATGCGTCGTTGATGCGAGACGAGAGGGCTTCGGCGCGTTGCTTTTCGGGGCCCTGGGGAAATTTGTCGGGGTGCACGGCGCCTTGGAGTTGAAGGAACTCACGACGTAGGGCAGATACGTCGAATGTGAATGGCGAATTGGGAGGAGGTCCCCGAGGGAGAGTGTTCGGGAATATTGTGTAGTGGTTTGTGATGTCGGGGGTGAGGGTGCTGTTGGCACTTTGCTGTTCGCCGGGGCTTCGGTCTGGGTAAGAGTATTTTGATGTCGACGCCAGACTGCGTCGTTGCGCGGAGGGTAGTTGGAGTGTCTTCAATGCGATCTGCTTGTGCTGACATAGAAGACAGACTGGTCGCGATGGTGAATATCCGACGCGCACCGACGATAACAGCCTCTGTGGCCGCAGCGTAGCTCCCCGCATGTTATTCGATATAAAGCTACTCAATGATTTTAAGAGCACAAACCGGGTGCGTAGAGACGTACAGAAATGGAGAGTGAAGATGCTCGGATTTAAGGATTCAAGGTTTGACTATTTAGATTAATCCGAGCATTCGGACTAACTAAGCTAAGTAGCAATGCTACGTCACAATGCGGACGCCCAATTGGCCCGCTATGCCCCATGGGCTTTACCCTTTTCGGCCTCTCACTGAAATATACATATCAAGCTGGATGTACGTACATCGACTGTAGCACTCGATGAGGTCGCTGATGATACTCTGGAGTAAGCTCGTGTGTTTGGTGAAACGGTGTGCCTCGTGCTATGGTGACTGCCACACCTTGTCAGCTGGTGGCCAGGTTGAGACGTCAATCCGCGAGCAAGAATAGCGACTTTCGTATATCGCAAGTGTCTAGCTGGTTTCCATTGGTGGTCTGACTGAATTGCAGGATTGTCACATAATGATATCCTACTTATTCGATACCCCAAAGTTTGACTGTGCGATCATGACTGGAACTCGCAATCCACTTCGCATCAGGACTAATATCCACGCTCAGCACCTTATCCGAATGACCGCTCAACGACTTCACCAATGACCAGTCATCCGCACTAAACACGTTGATATTCCGATCAAAACCAGAGCTGACAAAAAAAGTGCCCGCCTTTCGCGGCTCTGGTGATCCATCCGTCTCCATAGCATCTCCATCTCCATTTTGCGTTGTTGTAGTCGGAAGATATGAATGCGCTGAATCGCCGCCTTTATACCATCGAACATCCGAGACGACGCTTTTGTGCGCTCCGATGCTACCGCTGCAGTCGACTTTGCGTAGATCCCAGCATTTTACCCATCCGTCCCCTGAACCGGTGAGAACGCGATAGCCATCAACCCCCCAGTCTACACCGTAGATTTCTCGAATGTGGCCCTGAAGCACCATTACCGTTCGACCCGTTCGCAAGTCCCAAATTCGTCCGTAGCTGTCCAACCCTCCACTGGCCATCAACGACCCATCCGAGTTGAAAGAAACTGCATAAACTTCTTTAGAATGACCCTCCTGCAACAATAATTCCGTTGTCGTCTCAACATCCCACAACCTCCAGGTTGTGTCATATGACGCAGACGCCAAATATTTTCCCGACGGATGAAACTCCACTCGACAAACACGTTCCGTATGTCCCGACAACGTCGCCAGAGGCTCTTTCTTGTCTAACGACCACAAATTGACATTTCCCTCCCCACCTCCCGAAGCCAAATTCAGCGAAGACGTCGAAACATTCGACGTCGACAATGTCGCGCCCGGAAACCACGACAGTCCCGTGACTCTATCATTATGCCCCTTAACACTAAACTTCTCCTCCAAGTTCGGCACACTAAGTAACTTGATCCCACCCGCCCAATTCCCCGTCGCAATCGTCTCTCCATCCGGCGCAAACCGTGTGATACTAACAGGTCTATCCGCCGCAATCTGCGATCCATACAGATCAAAACCTTGCAACTTCTCCTTCACAGCTTTTCGATGCTTAATATGCGTTCGAAGTGGGATCTGCGACTGCTCCAACTGCCATGCCACGCGCGCCTTCGCTCTCGGCAACGAATATAATGCAATCTTTTTTCGTGCATCGAGCAACTCCTGCGATCCTTCGGTATAAAATTCTTCTTGCTGATCACCTTCCTCTTCCTCCGCGACGTCGGTCTCCGTAAACGTCGTGCCCTCGCGCATCATATCGACATCTTCGCTGCCGGCGAGTTGCTGTTCTTGTATTGTAGTCAATAGCTCTCTTAGGCGGTCTCGACGATCGGCTGGCCCTTCGCCGAAGAGGGTGATTGGTTCACCCAGTTCGCGGAGGCGTAGGCGTACGCGAGTGTCGTCTGTGGGAACTACGATGGCGGCTGCGCGGCGTTTGCGTTCGAATTGTGAGAGGAGTGCTGAGGCGCGTTCCGGTGCGATTCCGGCGCCGGCGGAGGGGAGATCATAGTCGCGGTCGGTGGCTGAGGTCGTTAGTATGCATGTAAAACATAGATTTCAAGAAGAGGAGGGAGAAACCTACGGAGATCCGCGAGACTGATGCCCATATCTGTGTCTGCGGCTTCCTCCACATACGCCTGCCTCGATGGGTGCATCATCTTAGCTATTTACGACCACGCTCTGATATCAATCAAATAACGAGAATTATAGAATGTAGCGGCGTTATGAAGTGTCGTGGAAAAGAGATGTGTGTCGTTCGGAGCTCCTGTGGTTCTATTCAACTTTTTTAGAGCTTGGATTGCGGGCGAAGCAAAAGCCGTCTTTAGCTCACAATACCGTTTTCGTATTACGGTAATTAATACACGGGCGTTCATATTGTGCCGAGCTTGAGTCTCTAATGCACGGATGAAGTATGCTATTCATTACTTCTTCCGTATCCTCCCAACTAAAGTCGCACGCAACTAATTTCAAGAATAGAAAGAACAGAGACAAGCTCATCACCACCAAGTGTAGAGCAGAACAGACATTGAAGCTATTATTATATGCTAAGGATATAGTCAAGTTCTTGCATGATCGTGAACTTGACATGACTCAACTTGAAGTATGAAAGACTGATGGACCTCATCACGCAAGATGTAGAAATACTGCAATGTGGTGTTGAACCCACACTACAAGAACGCGCAGATTTTGATACACAACCGAAGGAGACTCGAAGGCTTTTCTGGAATGGTACCAGGAAGATACTAGAAGAATGAATAATGAAAATAGAACACAATTTAGGAATCTCACCTCGGAATACAAACACAATACAACAAGAAAGTAAACACCAAGTCATAATTGTAAGAACCATCGACAATGAAAAGTTGAAAGCAGGCACCACCAGAAAGAAACCGACATTATAGAATAATAAATCAAGCGGACGACTCTTCCGCAACCTTGGGGGCATCATCAGCTGCCTCCTGCGTTGCTGTTTCTTTTTCAGCAGGCTCTTCAGGCGCTTCTGGCTTGTCTTTTGGAACTTGGGGCTCAGCATCGACCATTGTATGGTCCTCAGGAGCTTCGCTCGGTTCAGGCTCGATGACCTTGCTCTCAGAATCGTCAACTTTAGCCTCAGCTGAAGTAGCTTCTTCAGTCACGCCATTCGTCTCAGGCTTGACCTCCTTATCAGCAGGGCCAGCAGGAGTTGGGATATCCGAATCGAGAAGGGTTTTCCATGCTTGTAGTACATCGACGCATCGCTCTCTGAATTTGTACTGTTCCTCCTTTGGAATCGAGGGCAGTTTGATGATACCTCTCAAAACTTTGTTGATCTTCGTTTCGCGGATGATAGACACCTCGATTTCACCGAATGCCTCCAACTCAGACAAATACTTTGTCATTTGCTCCATCTCTTCTTCTTTCGGCGCTTGGTCGCGTTGCAAGAAACCCTTCTGCAATTTGTGACGAAGGAAGAGAACTGACAGACACAAGTCAGCAAATGCATGGTATTTATGAGTGTATCATTTGGCAAGACATACCTTTCCTCTGTTTGTTGGCTTTGGCTTCCTGGGGATCGATTTGCGGAGTCTTCTCTTTCGGGGGGGCCACGATCTCCTCGCTAGACTTCTCTGCAGCTTTCTTCGCCTTGGTCGTCTTTGGCTTCTCGGCGGCATTCGGATCTTTGGGTGTGCTCAATTTGAGCTTAGTTGTCGTCTTGGGAGTTTTGGCAGGCTGTAGATAGTAGATGTTAGCTTCGATCTACATGAAAAACACAACATAAATGATAGTATTCTTACCTTTTCGTCTTCGACGTCGCTTCCAGCTTCCTTCTTGCGCTTCTTGGGCTTGGCCTTTTTGTCTCCCTCCTCTGCATCAGCCATTTCTACGTCCTCGGTCTCAGCTGCAACGCTCTTGCGTTTTTTCTTCTTTTGCTCTTTGGCGGCTTCCTTCGCAGCTTCCTTCGCAGCTTCCTTCTCAGCTTTCAAAGCTGCTTTCTCTGCCGCGGCAGCTTCACGTTCTTCGGCCTCTTGTTGGATGGCTCGTTGATGATCAGCGAGCAGGCTCTTGAAGTATTGAAGATCGTGGCCTTCGGCGGCGACCTTGTATGCAGCAATCAATTGCTTTTGCTTTCCCTTTTCACTGACTTCTTTGCATTGCTCTGGGTCTAGTGGGCTGAGGTCGGTATTAGGAATCCACGCACTGTACAAATTGATTTGTTAGCCATCACCTACAAATGACAAATTTTCGTCAGTGCCAACTTACAACTCGTTTGTCTCCAAAAACATGATCGGGAAAGTCCGGTCGTACGCCCGTCTTCCTCCATCAGCATATGCTTCCTTGTATGTGCCATCGGCTTGCTTGGTCGTTACCGGGCGAGTGTTGAGCAAGCTTAGTGGAAGCATCTCCTCGTCACAGATGATCGAAGGCCAAGGAGGAAAGCTCTTCAGTCGCGCAAGGTAGTATTCTCCGGGAGCAGCGTCCAGATGTGTGATACGTTGCGACGACTTTTTCTTGTTTAGCTTCTTTGTTGAAGACGGTCCGCCCACAGACTTGCGCTTTGCACTCGATGATTTGGGTGTAGAGACGCCGTTGACTTCTGGCGCTTCTGTCGAACCTGCCTCTTCATCGCCGCGGTTCAGTTCCACCGGTTCTGCAGCGGTCGCTGCTGCTTCTGTGTCCTCTGGCTTCTCCGCAGTTTCTGTTGACAAAGTAAGTTAGCTACGTGACAATTGCCTCCCGACCATTGGTGCAACAAACCTGAAGGCTTTTCCTTCTGTTCAGTTTCGGATTGTTTGCCATCATCTTGTTTCTGAGCAGATTCGATTGTGGTCGATTCCAGCTTGGATTCAGCTGCCGCAGCGCGCGAATCTCCAGCGTCGGCGGCGACAGCAGGGGTGGCTGGAGACTCTTCAGACATGATGCGCAGTTGTCGGGGCCACGGATTTGGAGTCAGAGTGTATTACAATTGCGTGATATTAATAGAGAGATGAGATGTGCGACGTCCGGTAGATGAGAGGGCGTGTTGCTGGCAAGGTGAGGTAGGTGGAGGAAGGTCGCGCAAGGTGACTGTGGCGGGAGTCGAGAAGCCGCAAGCGCAACGCGTATGTGGAGAAATCCGCAAAAGCAAAGCTGTCTTAGCGTCCAGCCCAAACGGTTTATCCGCACGACTTCCGACAACGAACGACTCTTTGTACTCCGTGAATATTCGATCTACATATGTATAAGTTGGTGATACTGTTGCTGAGCACAATCAAATCAAGCACTGAACTTGCACTCTCTCCACCCTGGACAACCAGAAGCAAGTCTTGTGAAGGAATTCGCCGTGGTCCACGCGCCTTCCTTAAGTCCGGAATCCAGTATGTTCACGGGAGTAACAATTTTAGAGCGAATCGATCGATTGAGTAGAATAGTGCAGGGTCACGTTGAAAAGGAAGCGAGTGGCATCGATGTTGTCGAAAAATCTAGGAGCGAGACAAACCGCGCAGGAATCAAGGTAGCATTGACTCGTCCGTAGATAGCATTGTCTATCGAATCGCGCTGATTCGTGCTATTGCTCTGCAACTGAGAGACACAGTCGGTTGGGCGTGGGGTTACATAAGGCTTCTGGCAGCAGAGAAACAATGGAGGACAGACCAATACTTCAACAGAACACAATGAAAGAGGCTATTCTTATGATTTGGTTGAACGAATCATCACATGCTTGGCTTGGCTGAGACTGGAAAGGGGCGACTGGATAGGGATACTACAAACGGCAGGCAGGCACCCGCATTTATCTTCTACGACCGCACCTTCGTCCTCTCATCACTTTTACAAAAAGCCTTCTTTCATTGTCATTATTTTGCTCAATTAGACTCTCTCAGACTAAAACTTCGAGAATACACACCAGAGGCTTAGGCAAAGACCGCATCTTCATGATAGGGAATATTGATTAGAAAAGACAACAATTGCAATTAGCCTGCGATTCGTATCAAGCCAAAGCTGTGTTTGTATCCTCGACAAGCATCTGCTTTCATCTTGTCGGGGTTTCCATCGTTGAAACAGTCGGCATTTGAGATGACAGCCGCGCGACAGAGCGCTGTCATGGCATGAGAGACGCATGTGACGCGACCTTAGTTTCGTCTTGCGGGTTCCATTCCTCATTCACGTCTACGATTTGTCGCTCCGGCTTATGAATTCGCAATACCCAGAGAAAATAATCCTCAATAGGCAACAGATTCAACAAGATCGAGTTAGCCCACCATCCAAAGAAGCAGACGAATGCACCGGCCACGGCATCCAGGATGAAGTGGTTAGCGGTGGCGATAATGGCAGCTAGGATTGTCAAGGGATATGCCGCGCCCATAGCAACACAAAGCATACGACGCCATGATGGAAGAGCGAACCGTAAGCTGATGCGATTGGGGGAAAACGGCAATCGAACAGACCCCGAATGTCTATGATGACAGGGTAGGGGTATTGTCATGATGGTCAATCCTATCATGAAGGAATACCCAAAATGCAGGGACGGCATTGCAGCTGCTATTGTCAGTGAATTTGAAAATTGGACTTAGCAATTGTTATCGGGATGCTCTTACCATATTGATTGCAGAACCGATTCTCGGTCCAAACGCTTCCAGCGCCTTTGTCACCGTGAACAGTGTCAACGAATCCATAGCTTCTTGCCAAATCACCGACACTGCTGGCAACGTTCTCATCACTCAACAGACGAGGAGGCATGCACGGCCATAGCGTGAAGACGATGAAAGCGCAAAGGTTGCATACTGCCAGTGTACGTCTACGAGCAGTATATAAAGAGGGACCCGCCGGAGATCCATCAAGTCTATGGGCGACAGGACTGTACCTAGAGTCATCCAGCGAGTTCTGTGTCGTGGTGTAGTAGAATAGCCATACTAAGAAGGCGATGGTGCCCGGGATATGAATGAATGAATAGATCCAATTCGTCAAATTCATCAGCATGGGCCTGTTCAAGAAGAACTTTTGAATATCAGTCTCGACAAATATTCCCAGCGCTTTCTCGATTCGAACGAGTTGCAGAGCGTGGTCCCTTGCGACGTCGACGGTGTCATCTTTGAGAGTCACAGCGGTAAAAGCGCGCCCAAGCTGATATGTCTGAATAGAGTTCGATCAGTATCATTCCACTTCTCAATCGCTTCATAGACTTTGCTTACCCAATAGACTAACGCCCAATACCAACATTCCACCAAGAATGGCAGTCGATACAGCAAACGACTCAAAATGCGATTTCGGAACGTTGCTGTGTTGGGTGTGTAGACCTCAAGCTTATAAGAACCGATCGCGATGGTGCGTGTTCTCCATGGCTCTTCATTATGATGCAGTAATGAAGGCGACGATGGTCTTGATTCTTCACTGGCATATTTGTCTGCAGCGTACCGGAGGCCGGTTTCTTCGTTAGCACCCGAGTCGGAAATCGAATCAGAGGATAGAAAGTATTGCGCGCGTGCAGCGAGTCTGCCAGGTCTGTTTGAGTTCCGACGATTGATCCACGTGCCTCCGAAGAGGAGTACGATGACGGTCAGAGGCTCAAGCACAGCTCCAACACCCATGATGAAGAATACCTTAGACCAAACGCGGCAAAGATTCTTTCGTCTTGCTTGCTACAACAAAGAAACATTTGTATGACGGGAAGTCAAGGATAAATGCAAACAAAGGTCAACAGGAGAGATCAATAGGAATGGATCCGAAAGGTTCCAGTCCAGGCTTGCAAATCAGACGGGGGGCAAATCTGATTTGCATGACTAGAAAAGCCGCGACTTTTGCTACATATCTACTACTGGTACCGAGTTATAGACGTACATTACACCAGCTACTTACCTCATCACCGAACCCCGCGACAATACGAGGAACTGGAAATGAGAACATGCCTGAAAGCAAGCTTGGTCCAGCTGCCACGAGTGTGATAACGTGAAAGTCCTTGTTTTCTGCTGGGTAGCGAGGCAGGGAGTTGCGTAATGAGGAGTCCAGCAACAGAAGAAATCATGCAGACTGAACGGGCAAAAAACAGGCACTACACTAAATATTGCTCGGCAAGTTGGAATATGAGAAATAGTGCGTTCCGGAATATTGATGCTACTGGCTCGTCTCCGAAGAATGAGCTATGATTGCTCTAGAAAACGGGCTCAATACCGCTTTGGGCAATGGAGCACATGTTTTATTTCTTGGCCGTCGGCATTATTCACAATTCTAGGTCTGCATCTCATTCTGATCCGAGTTTGTGCTGGTTGTTGATTCGCTGACGTTAAGAGCGCCTGACTAAAGGCTTTCAAAGCAGTAGATCATTCAACAGCAACTAAGCTTGGTGCATACCAATAATGCTCCGGGAATTTATCAAGTGGACAATCGAGTCGCGGAGATAAGATAGGACCAATTTCATTGTTGCAACTCAAACTTATCCAAACACAAGCCACCTGGACCTTGAAAGGGTGTTTTGCATCGTCATTATCTTCACGAAATCGGACTACACATCATTTGTGTGACCAGGCAACAAGCTACAAGACTGCACAAAGAACAATCTAGGACGAGTTGAAAACCCGACTCGGTGTTCGACTGATTGATCCACGTAATACCAATCCGGAAGTCAGCGGAAGACCTTGCAATGGCCCTGCTGCGACCCATCTTGTTTTCACACTTAAAGACATGCACCAGCATTACGAATCAGCTTTGTCAAGCACAACTTACCCATAATTCGGATCGGATGTGGACCGTCCTTGAGCAAACCTGTTTCGGTACTCCGGGTATTGAGTATCCTCCATTTCACTTACGTACCATGAGACGGAAGTGGCCATCTCCGAGTCCACAGAGAGTAAGTAAGTTGAGCTGAACGTACGTACGTAGTCCATGTGAGTTATCTGATCAAGGGGGCCATGGTTCCTTGGCCTCGTAACCTTATCTCGTTTCCCCATATTTCTGAGTCGCCGTTCCGAACTCCGAATCATTCGGCTTTTCCTAGCTCATTGCGTAGCACTAACCGTACGTACTGCATCCTACCATCAGAGGCGCGAAAGTGCATAGCATCTAGGTAGTGGACTCGAAAACATGCTGAAATGATGAATGGACATGTTTCACGTATACCAAAGTAATTGCTGTCGGGGTGTGATTTCCGCTGCTTCACCGCAAAATTCGTTAAGTGCTCACTCACTTATAATACATATAACATAACCAAGGTAAAAACTAGTTTGCTTGATCCAACTTCTGTACAAAACTAAGTATTTGATTTAATCATTCACTGAGACAATCAGATGGAATCATCCAATCACAACAAAGTTGACACGCTTTACTGTTGTGAGCTTAGCGCCAGCCAGCTTCAATCCTATATTGATCTGGCAGCCAATCACATGAGTCAAATTATATGGCAGACCCACGCTCAACCAAACAAAGAGCATAAACGGAGCTCCCATACTTCATTCTCTCTTTAACAGACATATGGGACTGCTCTATCGCTTCAATTGATCATCAAAGATGGCATTACACCAGCTACGTGGTGTATTATTCCCTCGAGTCCGCCTTGCTAAAATGGTTGGCTCAGTCGCCTTGTTGACTTTCACAGCCTCAGCGCCTAGCGGCTAGTCTCCTTCACCTTGGGCTTCCGCTCGCACCTGAACAGATAACGTCTTTCTTCACCTTCTGCAGACATGAAATCCTTTCTGCAGAGATGAAAATTAACAATCCCATTGTTCACAGTGAGGAAATGAATATATCAAAATGAAGTCATACTCTCACAATGACTACTCGATCGCATGGATCTGTGCTCTGCCGTTGGAGATGGCGGCTGCCAAGGCCATGCTAGATGAAACCCATCCAGCCTTATCGCAGTCCTCGAACGACCACAACGTGTACACCCTCGGAAGCATCAGTGGACATGCGGTGGTTCTTTCGTGCCTTCCATACGGCGTATACGGGACGACATCTGCCGCTACCGTTCTGGCAGAAATGCGGGCGACCTTCCCATGCCTCCAGTTTGCTCTCATGGTCGGTATTGGTGGTGGGGTTCCAAGCAGCGCTGCCGATGTCCGGCTTGGTGATGTGGTGGTTAGCAAACCAACCGCCGCATTTGGCGGTGTGGTACAGTACGACTACGGCAAAGCTACCAATAACGCACGCTTTGAACGAGCCGGTACATTGAACAAGCCGCCGGTGATTCTGTTGAATGCCATGGCACAGATTGAGAGCGATCATTTGCTTGAGGGGGAGACAATCACCAATATTGTAGCAGATGTGCTTGAGGGAAAAGAAGAGATGAGGAAGAAATTCTCTCGACCAGAGCACGACTGGCTTTTTAAGCCGAATTATCTGCACGAGACTTTCGACGGCAACAACACAGAGTGCTTATCGTGTAATCAAAATCAGCTGGTGAAACGCGCCCCTCGACCAAATGACGATGTGCGCACTCACTACGGACTGATTGCATCGGGAAACGGTGTCATGAAAGACGCACATAAACGCGATCTCATTGCTCAAGAGCTTGATATCCTATGCTTTGAGATGGAAGCTGCTGGGCTGATGGACCAACTTCCGTGCTTGGTAATTCGTGGAATCTGCGACTACTGCGATTCCCATAAGCACAAAAAGTGGCAGGGCTATGCGTCCTTAACTGCTGCTGCATATACAAAGCACCTGTTGTCAGTTGTGCCCACCAGCAGCCGTCCTGCTCCAGTTGAATCCGAGAATCAATCATGGATGGTCCCGTTTCAGCGAAATCTAAAGTTTACAGGCCGTGGTGAGGTTATCAAGAAGCTGGAAGATTTTGTTTTCAGAGAAGACGGACCGAAGAAGTTTTCTGTTGTCGGATTAGGTGGCATGGGCAAGACTCAAGTCGCACTCGAGCTGGCTTACAGGGTACGAGATAAAGATCCCGACTGTTCAGTATTCTGGATCTCGGCGGTGAGTGATTCCAGCATTGAACAGGCGTATATGAGTATTGCCCAAGAATTGGACCTGAAAGATGTCGACCCGGCAAACGTCAAGTCAAGAGTACGATCACACCTGGGTCGTCGAGAGATGGGCAAGTGGCTTATCATATACGATAATGCAGATGATCCTGATATGTGGTTATCTGAGGATGACACCCCAACTGAATTGAAGGATCTAATTCCAGACAGTGACCAAGGCCGGGTTCTGTTTACCACCAGGAACCGCCAACTTGCAATAAGATTAGCGCCATCCAATGTTTTTTCCATCACGGAAATGGATGTAGATACGGCGACGGAAGTTCTTCGGAAATCACTCATTCAAAAAGACCTTCTGGATGATCTTGATGTCACGACGACCCTGCTCAAACAGCTTACTTTCCTGCCACTTGCCATCAACCAGGCAGCCACATACATCAACAATACTGGTATTCAGCTGTCTGACTATTTGGCCCTGTTGCAGGAGCAAGAACAAGATGTCGTAGAACTTTTGAGTGAGAACTTCGAAAGTGAAGGACGATATCTGGAAATCCAAAACCCAGTCGCGATGACATGGTTAATCTCTTTTCAACATATTCAGCGACGAGATTCGTTGGCGATAGAATATCTGTCGTTCATGGCTTGTATTAATCCTCGCAATATCCCGCGATCGCTCCTCCTTCCAGCGTCGTCTCTCAAAAGGCAGACGGACGCACTTGGTTTGCTTAGTGCGTATTCTTTCATCACAACACAAAAGGATCGTTCGTTCAGTTTACATCGACTTGTCCATCTTGCCACTCGCAATTGGTTGAGACAGCATGAGTTGCTGCGGCCGTGGCTTAAAAAAGCAGCGCATCGTTTGGACGATGTCTTTCCTAACAGTCAGTATACCAATCGGCCTCTGTGGCGACTATATATGCCTCATGCTCTCTACCTTATTAAAGAAGGCGAGGGCGTAGCTACCCGAAAGACATACGCTAGTCTTCTTCAAAGAATCGGGCGGTGTCTGCATAAAGATGGGCGGTATAACGAAGCGGAAGGACTGCTACGTACTGTCGTGGATATCCAAGAAGCCAAGTATGGTTCGGCGGATGTTCTTACATTAGTTGCCATGGGGCACCTCGCATCGACATATCGCAAACAAGGACGATGGAAGAAGGCAGAAAAGTTAGAACTAAAGATCCTGGAAACCAGCATGAAAGAGTTAGGACCGGAGCACCGAAACACTTTGGACAGTATGCACCACTTGACATTGATATACTCGAAACAGCGCCGATGGAAGGAGGCCGAAGAGCTCGAGATGGAAGTGGTAGAAATCAGCACGAGGGTACTGGGCGAGGAGCATCCAGATACACTGAATAGTCTGTTCAATCTCGCATCACTATACTGGGAACAGGGTCGGCTCGAAGAGGCTGAAGAACTTGAGGCGCGATTGTTGGAGCTGAGTCGGAAGGTGATTGGGGTTGATCATCCAGATACGTTGATGAATATGCACAATCTGGCATTTACATGGTACGACATGGGCCGATACGAAGAAGCTTTTAAAATGATGGGAGACTGTATTCAGCTTCGCATTGATACCCTGGGACCAGAACATGCGGATACCGAGTCTGCCGTACAAGCATTAAACGGCTGGCGCGAGAAGGAGAACGAACCGTCTAGCCATCGCAAGACACGACGTGCTCACGAGTCGTCGAAGTCGTCAATAACATCGAAGTTGACGTCAAAGTCAACGATGAAGTCAGAGACGACCCCATCTTTGTCAAAGACGCGAACACACAAGAGCGTCGGTTCTAAGACTTCGTCGCAATCGTCACAATCTAGCAGGCACCGGAAACTGGAAGGCGTGAAGAAGTTATTTCGTAATTTTTGATTGCATTATTGATAACGTATTAGCGAGTTTTGTTGCTGTGTTACATGTACATATTGCATTTCCTGGACAACGAGCTGTGAAGAGGATGAGGTGCGAATACAACCTGCCTAAATAGGCAAATAGCTGTCTCTAGTTTGGCACCATCAACATGTTATAGTTGTATAAAAAGACGATCGCTAATCAATAACAACAATTCGCGTTCAAACGTCCTCACTGACCCTGCCTGCTTACTCATTTCTTCCCTCCTAAGCCTTCTAGTTTTTTCCTTTGTATTTTTCCTAACTTGTCAATCCTGACCGGGCTCGATTATCTACGGCGTCGCGTCGCCCTATCCAGTTGATACACGTGACATGACGTCATCTATCATGCCCTAACAACAACGATCAATCACGGATGAAGACGAATGAACTATCAAGAATCGCAGCTATGGTATGAATATCTTATCAGAGTTGGAAATCTAGAAGATGATTGCATGGAATTCACCGGATATTTTCCTAAACACCGCAGACAGCATATAGCAACATTCATCACTTTGACGTCAACCCTACATCAGATTTGTGTATTGTGTGTAGCTACTAAACACCATAAGAAAAGAAGATCGTATTTCATATACCATAATCCGGATGATATAATTGACACACATGACTCTTTCTATCTGAAACCATTGAAATAATCTGAGAAATATCATATAACTACAAAATGTTGCCCTCACTCCGTCCACGTTCAACGGCCATACTCAGAGCAATCCCATCTCTTACACCGCCGAGCGTGAGACCAGCAATAGCAACAACACGACAACTCTCAACACCTCCCCACACTCAAGCTCCAGAGTCTAAACAGAACCCTACAATTCTCCTGCAAGACAAGCAGAATGGCTTCGGGTTTGCGCGTTCGAATCCGCGGCCCAAGAAGCCGCGGATGAAGGGTGTTACGGAGATTCGGGGGCCTTATTACAGTGTATTGCCTTCCCTTTTGCATCTTTCTATCCCTGAGTTGCTGTATGCGGTGAGGCTCATGATGGGGGACAGGTTATGGGAAAGCGGTATCTGGCTGATGTACTCGAGACGTGAGTTTGAACCCCCTTTTCAAAAGAGCATGTACTGATATAGATAGAATGGGCGCACATGTAGATGGTCTCAAGTTCGCGGGAGGTAACATCCACTACTAGCACACTCAGACTCGAAAAATTTCTAACGCATGAAGGCTCATTCTCGCTCTTCCCCGAAAAACAGCTCCGAGAATTAATGGACCTTGCACATGAGCATGGCGTATACGTCTCCACTGTATGCTGCTACCATCCAGAGATGTATATGTGAAAGACATACTGATTAGAACAGGGCGGATGGGCAGAACACCTCCTCACTCACGCGGATACAGGGTCCATCTTCGAAAAATACCTCCTCAAATGCAAAGATCTCGGGTTCTCTCTCCTTCCCTTTCCCCCAATCTTCCCCCAATCAACAATATCTATACTAACAAGAATTAGATTCGACGTGATCGAACTCTCCTCTGGCTTTCTCTCCTTCCCCTCCTCAGACTGGCTCCGCCTCATCGATACCGTGCACTCGCACAACCTAATCGCCAAACCCGAACTAGGGATCCAATTCGGTGCTGGCGGCGACACATCCGCCTCCGAACTCTCTGCAATCGGCACCTCTGACCCCGGAAAACTCATAAACCTCGGCCGGCAATTCCTGGACGCTGGCGTCGAAAGGCTAATGATCGAATCCGAGGGAATCACCGAAAATGTAAAAGCGTGGAGGACGGATGTAGTCAGCACGATCATGAAGGAGTTACCCATGGAGCGAGTCATGTTTGAGGCCGCAGATCCGAAAGTTTATAATTGGTATGTGAGGGAGTTTGGGGTTGATGTTAATCTGTTTGTGGACCATGCGCAGATTGTGCAGCTGGAGTGTTTAAGGAGGGGGATATGGGGGATGGCAGATACGTTTGGGAAGGTTGTTTCGTATAGGCCAACGGAGTAGGTGCCTGTTCTAAATGCCTGTATTTGTATTCGATGAGCTTGTTTGATGAAGTGGGATATCATTTAACTCCTAAACCCTTATATGTACATCGAATCAACAGTCATAAGCTCTCGTTACTCATTAGCAAACAAGCCAACCTTCACACCGCGCGCATGATACGCGGTCAAAGACAGTTTCATGCAAGGACTCGTAATCTCCGGCTGCGCATTACTGATATGGTCAAACCGCTGCAACAGTCTGACAAGAACGTAGCTTGCTTCCGTCAATGCATATTGCTCTACTCCAATTAGCACATATTCGGTATTCAATAGAGATAGAGAGAGGGGAACTCACGGCCGAGACAAATTCTAGGCCCACCGTTAAACGGCAAATACTCCCATCCATGCCGCCCATTCTCCTCCCATCGCTCAGGCCTGAACTCTTCCGCGTCCTGGCCCCAGAGATCCTTTCGTCGATGCATCACGGTAACATTATAGAGACATTTTGTGCCCTTGGGGACAAACACAGGCGATTTTCCATCTACACCGCCACCAACGGGCAACGTAGTATCCTTTACAGCGAATCGGCCATTTGTGGGCACCGGTGGCAGAAGACGCAAAACCTCGTTGAGGAAATGTTTCAAGTAGCGAACTTCGCGCAGGCGAGCGATTGTGATCGAGTCCGCGGATTCGCTGGGTGGGAATGTCGCGACAATCTCCTCGCGAAGTCGCTGCCATACACGCGGGTAGCGGGCGAGATAGTAAAACGACGAACTCAACAGACTGGCTGTCGTGTCCCGACCTGCCAGCAAGATATTCAACATCTGGTCTCTCAAAGCCCTTCGGTCCTGCGTTTCCCTGACCATCGCATCTAGGAAAACATATCGGTCCGAGTTCGCGCTATCAATAAACTTCTCCTGATCGCCGCCGGCATGGTTGTACCTCGCCAAAGCTGCGTCAACGTAGTAATCAACCACATTGTGCACGTTCTTGCAGTCGCGACGAGACTCCGCAGAGGTGACCAGCCAGTAAAAATCCTGTGCTCGAACCCTCTTCACCACATAATCCTGAGACTTGTTGAACGCATACGCAAACCCTTCCTCGCCACCAACAGTCGACAATGCCGACGACTTTCCGCTTGGGGTTTTATTGTTTTCGAGCAAGCAATTCGTCGACTCGCCAAACAAAAATTCCGTCGCGGTATCGAGTGTCATCTTGAAGAAATATTCCTGAATGTCAAACGGCGTTCCATCAGCCGGCATCAGCGCAATCAACTGATCAACATGATCGCCCAACATGCCCACATCAGCGACCTGATCGCGCGAAAACTGCGGCCGTAACATCGCGCGCGAATGCGACCATCCCGCACCATCCAGCGTGAAAATGCCATCGCCCAAAAACGGACCAAACGCTTTCCGTCTCAGACCTAGACCGAAATCATTAAATTGCGTGGCGAGCATGGCTTTGATGTTTTCCGGTTCAGCGGTCACGAGAGCCTTTGTGCCCAGGACGACTTGTTGGAATGTATATCCATTCTCGCGGACCCATTTGTCGATTAGATCCAGTGATTTGTATTGAGAGGAGTATTCGATGATGGTTTTGTAGTTGTTGTATCCGAGATTTAAAAAGCCACCGGAAACCTTTTTAGGGGGTTGGCATCCTTGGGCGGCTGCTTTGCGGCGGTGCTGGATGCGGAGGTAGATCGAGGAGAGGAGTGAGTATACGACAGAAGTGGCGAGGAAGCCGAGAACGAGTTGCCAGAGAGGAATAGCCATGCTGTCGTTATGTATCGTGTGCCTGTTGTGTGTAGTGTATACCTATGTAGGTACATTTGTGTAGATGAAAAAGATCAGATGAAGAAGGGCGGGAGTATAAATAAGCATGCACTGCGTACCACGTACAGCTGACCCACATGCAAGCCGGAAGCTTTTCCATGTTTCTGTAACCTCCGAGAATGGTTAGTATTGGTTACGTGCGTATGCATGGTAAGTTGATGCTATGACGATTTGACTCCAGAGGCTTCATAAATCTTCAGCACTATGTGTAGTATCTATGAGCCGTTTATCCGTCGAGACTGAAATCGACATGCAAGCCACACTTTAACGATGCCACCCGGTCTACATCCTACTGATCCTGGTAGTTGTAATCCCTACTACGCATGTACAATTGTATCAGCATCTCCTCGAATGTTGCAGGTAATGGTCTGTGCGCACGAGGGTACTGTATTTATGATTCATTGCGGGGGATATACCACACTAGGCTAATGCTGCTAATCACTAAAGAAGCAAAGCGGGCCGTGAGCGGGCCCTCCGAAAACCGACAGACGAGTGCCGATGCCCGAGTAATACAAGTCAACCTTGGATGTAAGCACCTAATCCAGACGGCCCAAATATGTGCAACAACCCAGGTGGTGCTCTATATCGAGTGCCATACAAAAAATGTATATTTCTCTATATTCACGTATATCGACGTTGCGCTTATATCTGGGGATCTTATACCCAGGGTTGACTGTACGTGTTATCCTATAGGCGGTAGCGTATTACTACGCCTCGGCTCATTCGTTCCTTGAATCGAATGCGACTCCATCTGGACTTTGCACCATACACAGTAGACGATCATCCGTGCGTGGTTTCATCATCGCCTACGCACGTAACTAGCCTCTAGACTCGACCGCTGAGGCAACAGGGTTTATCAAAACTCGAAAAGGGAGCCATGTCCCGAGTCCGACGGGAACGGAATCGAATTTTTGAAAATGCATAACATTATTGTCAGATGCCAGGAGTAGTTATCCAAGACACTGCGTAGTTGAAACCATTTTGGGATAAACTCCGAGCACGACAGTACGACTTTTATAATGTTGTATATGCGGCCCACTGAGCTAGAGAATTTATCTCTGCGGAATAGGGAGGCTGTGAGTAATTACTATATACCATTTATCCCAGAAGTTATATACATCAAATAGAGACCTAAATTCAAAGGGGTAGCGAGAAAGGGCGAAAGTATCTTTTGCGGAATATAATGGACGGGAAAACGACGAGTTGTTGTTTTGAGAGTCAAGATGATGTATTAGCAAGGAGAACGGAAGAAAAACATGCATTAGGCTAAAATGAAGAAAGCGAGTAAAGACTCAAAAGAATGGGTGAAAAATAATACAACGGAGCTCACTAGGGTGGAAACGAGTCATCAACCGGGCAAACATCATTCTAGAACCGCTGAACACGAATGACACGAGATGAAATCAGATGCTAGACGCTAGACGCTAGGAGAAAACCTCGTTGCATTGACTCATAGCAAGTGTAAAGACCTGAAAGACCAAAGGTTCGTGTCCAAGTTAAAGAAAAAAAAAAGTATGACTGAATTGAGCAAACAGAGGCTGACAGCCATAACACCATCTAACAACATCAATTCAAGCAGATAGACACAAAAAATTACAGGGCAAAAGTGATATATATATATACTGTCCAGAAGAGCAAAGACTTAGAAACCAAACGGGTTGGAAGGGGCTGTAACAAGTTAGCTGCGGTTAGACAAACAAATGATGGAGGAAAACATACTGGCTTGTGCGAGGTTGGCACGCATCCCCGTGGGCTGTGGTGTAAGTTTCTTGGCGTCATGCTTGACTCCAAATCGAACAGGTGGCGCAGGTCCGGTCTTCTGGGGTTGCAATGGCGCGGCTGTTGGCATCTGAGGGATAGGTGGTATAGGTGGAGGGGGAGGGCTGATGCTTGTGCCAAACCCATTGACCGCCGTTTGTTGAGGCTGTAAGGCAGGCGGAAGCATACCGTTGATTCCAGTTGCCATGGGTTGTTGCGGTGGTGGTGAGAACCCGCCAAAGCCGGTTGGCTGCGACGCCATGCCCGCGAATTGCTGTTGTTGCTGCTGGAAGCCAAATTGCGATTGCGGCTGGAAACCCGTCGGCTGTGGCATGAGACCATTCTGGAACTGTGGCTGTTGTTGGGGGAATGCCGTCAACTGAGGCTGCAGTTGACCATATTGTTGTGACTGGAATCGTTGCTGGTTGAGCTCCGCTAAGCTCTGACCGGTGGGTGCCAACTGTGGTGCGTTGCGAGGAATTCCAGTTAACTGAGGCTGCAGAGGAGGAGCGGCAAAAGGACTTTGCTGAAAGTCCTGAGGTGCGGACAAGGGTCGCTGAGGGGGTGGCGGAAGCAGCGAGTTCTGATTCATAGTCTGTGGAGGGACAGGCCGCTGTCGGGGTTGCAAAGAAAAGCCCATTCCTTGAGGCTGATTCGGAACAGCCGTTTGTTGTGGTTGTAGAGGTCCCAACTGTTGAAAGAAGCCTGGATTGGCCCCTGTCGCTTGGGGCTGTTGGGGCGCCGCAGTTTGAGGGTATGATGGAGTTGCAGTTTGTTGAGGTTGCATAGGAGGAAGAGACACAGCCGGAGGTGGAACGGCGGTAGCAGGAACTGATACAGGTGGAGTCGGCTGAGGTGCTGGTGTTGGTTGCAATGGCGCTTGAAGTAGCGATAGATCAGCCAGTGCACCAGTTGGAGGTGCTGGCTTCGGTGGCTCTACAGGTGCAGCAGCAGGTGTAGGAACCGGGGCGGCGGCAGGCGCAGCAGCGGGTGCAGGCGATCCCTTTGGTCGTTTGACGTCCCAAGCATCATCGTCGAATCCACGCTGGACCGGCTTTTCAGCGGGAGGCGTGGCTTGACGTGCGGGAGTTGGCTCTGCTTTCTCGGCAGCTTCTTTGCCGTCTTTGACTTCAAAGGCTTTTGGGTCCACGACATCGCCTGTCTGCACAGCAGGAGCTGGACGGCCTTTGCGAGATGTGTTATTTTTAAGGGCACCGCCAGCTCCAGAAAACAGACCAGTCTCGCCGTTAATGACTTCCTCGCCACCAAAACTGACATTTCGCAGACGAGATTTAGACCCAGTTCGGTTGAACATTGTATCCAAGTATCGCATCACACGGAGGATATCGCCTTCCTTTAAGCCCAAAGTACGAAGAGTCTCGGGAGTAATATCGGGCAGAATAGCTTCGTCCATTGAATCTTTTGAAAAATTCTGTGCGTAGCGTTCACATTGATGTGGACCGACGCCAGCTTTGAGGAAAAAGTCAAACCAGTCATATTCTGGGACATGGACGCCGTTCTTATCCTTCTCTTTTTCGGCTTTCTCCTTTTCTTCCTTCTTTGCCTGCATGCTGCGACGTCGAATATCAGAAAGAGGCTTGTCTTCATCCAAGGATTCACCAGTAACTTTCTCAACATATTCCAAATCTTCGACAGACATCTTAGCCGTTGGAACAGCAATTTTGATGCCATTCATCTTGTGAAGATGAATCTTGCCATCGTGAAGGCCGAGGAACTGGGCTTCAACACTGAATGTTCCCGATCTATCTGTCCAGTTTCTGGTCTTCGAAGCATCTGGTTCTATCATCCGATTAGCTCTGTCAACAAATCACATGGTTAGACTTACTTTGTTTTGATGCCTTATCAGATTTTTCCCGTTTATGACGCTGCAACTCTTTGTTACCAAGGTCCGTTGCGAAAAGACTGCTATGCCTTTTAGGAAGGGTCATTCCTGGACCTACCTCAGATCGTGGGCTGTCCGTAAATTCAACCCGTGATTTTCTTGAAGCTTCTTTGGCTAGACGTTCTTCCTCGTGTCTGTTCTTATCGACTGCTGCGGATTTGCTAGCAGATGGAGCCGGGGTTGACGCTTCAACGAGACCGGTAATTTCCACATAGCTGCTAGGAACTACACCTTCCCGGCCATTCTTGATACGCCTAACCATCCACCACTCATCGGATTTGCTGTCGTCCAGAATCACCACCTCATCTCCATTAGCGACAGTCACCTCGTCGTCACCCTGAGCCATAAAGTCGTAAAGCATCTGTCCCTTCTTCTGAATTCCACTACCGCCTTGTCCAGCTTCAAGTACCTCTCGCAGACCTTCAGCCCTGTACGCACCAGCAATCTCGCCCAATGCTGCCACTATTTCGTGCGCGGTGTCTTTAGAACCGGCATGAAAGTCGACACTTTTACTCGGCTTGACAAGCTCCATAAAGACGTGTTTTCCTTCAATCGAATAGTGCGTGAGCTTATCTGCAGTCCATTCCTGCTGGGTGTCATCCTCAGAGCTATCGGCTGATATAAATATTGTACCTTTCGGCACATTGAGACCCAACGTCGTCGGCATCTTCTTTCGCTTGCCCAGTACCGAGATCATTTCGTTGATATTGTACAGACGATACCCAGAAGGCGAATGTGGCGACGGTGCCGAATATCCAACGCGACTGTATGGCGGTGATTCTTGGACCCGTGCATCGTCATCCCGAGCCAAATTGACTTGCAGGTGTTGTGGGCGAGGAGGTTGAGGTGGTGAGGCCGGCTCCTCTTCATATCGTCGCACTTCTCGAGGAGGAGTTGGCTGTGATATTGGTCGTGTCGGAAGGCTGGGCGCGGGTTCCTCCTCTTCTTCTTCGGGAGACGCAAACGCTTGCGGTGCTGGAGGAATGGCGCGCGAAGTATCGTGAGACGACATAGATCCATGTTGTCTGTGAAGTATGCTAGCAATTGCCGTTGCAGGGCTCGAGTCCGGTATAGCCGGGCTAGACTCGGCCGATGGATACTCCTCCGGTTCGGTATGTATAGGTCGTTGAGGAAGCGATGGCGGCGGAGACGGTTCGGGTTCGGGGCTCGTATATGATTCAGGCTCCGGTTCGGCCTCATCATGAGCTACGGCTGTTTGCGACGGCGCAATCTCGGAAAGTAGTTGAATATAATTTGCTGGGGCAAACCCGAAATCTGTTCCAGAACCAACTAGCGTCCAGTCTGGGTCGGTAGTATCATATACGGATAATTCGGCGTCTTCAGAAAAGGATACTTCTTCGTCTGTTTGCCGTGTATAATCGTAGAGCGCTTTGGCTTTGTGGGTGGGTTGTGCCTATTCGAGATAGTGGTCAGTGCTGGTAGCCTAATATGAACAACGTCAATTGTAGGAGATTTCGGAAACCCGCAATTCTCTCGTATTCATTTCCACATTTCACATGTGAAATCAACCCCGAGCGATTGAAATACGATCGAATGGCGTGGTTCGTGATAGCGCCGTGACGGATGGATAGCAACCCCTTACCTCTTGAACGTAGTTATTCGGCACCAGTCCCACTGGTTCCTCGTCCTCCGGATCAGCAGCCTTCTTTTTGGCCTTCCACCAGTCATCGTCGTCCTTGTCGAGAACATAGAGGAGGTCGTTTTCATGGATTTCCAGCTCGCCTTCGGCCTGCGGCTGGTAGTCGTAGACCGCAGTGTAGACTCCAGCGAAGCCCATTGTGACGGCTGTCCCCTCGGATTGACGCGCTGTCTCACCGATTGATCGTATCCGATGCGATGGCGCGGTCGCAGCAACTTTTTCGATGCCAGAAGAAAAAGGCAGTCGCCGGTATATGTCGGATAACGACTGGAGGTGGTGGTCGATGACTGCCTGCCAGGTCGCCAGCTGTTGTGACGTTGTCTGAGGGGAGAGATGGACGGCTGGGGTTGCTAAGCGGATGGGTCCGCCGTTGGTCTTGGCGCCCGCTTGACTTCCGACGCTCATCAGTTCATCTTGTATGTACATCTACTTATTTTGGAAGTGGACTTTCGATTATTTTTCTTCTGTGATCGATTTGATGTTGGCATTTTTCGAAGGCTCATTCCGTACTTCTTAGTGGCAGGAAAAGAGTCAAACCTCCAACATGGGAGTCACGCATAAGCGCTCGTGGCCTCAGGCCAACAGAGTGCTAATCGGGTCAAAGCCCTAAATAACCTCTCGAGTCTTTTGACAGGGACTGTAAATGTAAGGAGGATTAGTCAATAATGCATTATTATCGGGTCGGAGTTTTGGGCGCAGAGGATAAGACCTGGTCAGATTCCCAATCAGCCTGATTCAGGGTTAGTCTGAGTCCGTGAGCAGATGTTCGCGCGCGCGCCGTATCAAAGAGTCATCCTTTTTCGCAACCCTGCAAGGCTGTCCGTCGAGGTCATCTTTTCTGCTCAGTGGCTGCCGATAAGATTAGGACAAAATGGCCAATAGCACAGCAAAGCCGTCCAGCTATGCTGTCACGTGTTGATAATCTCATTTGGAAAACGACTTGAGCCTCGCGGCTACATTGACTGTCCCTCCTTTCTCCTTTTCGTGCGACCATTCTAAGTACTCTACCTCTGGGAAGGGTGAGAGAAGCATAACGCTCCTCTTGGGTCTTCATCGGTGCGAATACGGCTTTGAAGAAATATGGAAGCTGTAACGCAAATCATAAAGGAGGGACAGGACATGGTATATCCGCGGAGCTTTCAACTGCCCTTTCCGCTTCCAGAAGTAGGAGCACGGATAGGAAGAGGGTCTACAAGCGAGGTTTTCGAAGTGACCGTTGATCCTGGCTATTTTCAGTACAAAGAAACCAACAATCGTAACCTCCTCGTAAGTACTTATGTTTGTCCCTTAGAAAAAGCCATTGACAGTTCTTCTTTTGCCCGTGCGATGCTCCTCTTCCTCTACCTTGATCGTATAACTGATGTTTGTACGTCACATGTGAACCACAGCCGCAGGTGATGGCTGTAAAACTATTCAACTCGGATAGTATCGACGACTTTGCAAATGAGAGGGACGTCTTGTCGCGGATTCGAAACAGCCGCAGCGGACACATCAACGTTCTCGTCAACTACGGAAGTTTAGTTTATGGTGAACACCACATGCTCCTCCTACCGTGGACGGAGCTCGGGACGCTCGAGGAGTTTATGGAGAAAGAAGAACATCGAGATATCCCTACAAAGCGACGAAACATTATATACTGCATGGTTGATATAGCCGATGCTTTGGCTTGGCTAACCAAGTTAAAGATATCTCTACCTCAAAAGTTTAAGGAAGTGCAGGTGATGCATTGTGACATCAAACCGGAGAACATATTGATATTTCCAGATTCGAGTCGCGAAAATGGACTTGTTTTCAAGGTGTCCGACTTTGGTCATGCTTTTATGAGCTCATCGATTGAGACGCAAAGCCACCGTTATGAATCGACCTATTGCGCACCTGAGATTAGATTAGGAAAGGGAATCGTCCAGAAAAACAGTGACGTGTGGCCTTACGGCTGTATCTTGCTATTGGTCCTTATTTTTACAACTCGTGGCCCCCAAGAAGTCATCGATCTTCGGAGGAGATTACGGCAAAGCACCATTGATACTTTCTATGAGCCTCCCGGTCGTCAATTGAAACAAGCTGTATCCGAATGGATTAATATTTTGAAAGATGGCTCACTTCAAAATGCCAATATAAACGAGACGGAAATGACCAAAGAATTGGGAAAAATATTGCATGAGGACATCCTTGTGCCGGACTATAATCATCGTAAGACGATGGAAGAGATTTGCGGGAAATTGAAGGAAGCATATAACAAGTTACATACGGCCGTCCAAACAAGCTCGCTGAATGAGCACAAAGAGACTCTTAAAAAGTGTGACTCGTGCACCATTCCAGCAAATGCTGAGTATGTTTGTTTGCATGATGAGGACATGAACAAATATGGTATATTCTTCACAGACACTCTACACTTCTGGGGACGACTAGAAAATGTTAGGCCCGTAGTTGCACAACGTGGAAGTTGGGAAAAGCAGTTCGCTCTAAACATGGCAACCTGCGCCTCTTCGCATGTCTGTCTCGTCAGAAAGGTGCTACCTATGTTTGAACAAGCGAGTCTAGAGGTAAGACAGAATCCAAGTCTGCGGCTGCAAAAGGAGATTCGGCAATTGCTAAATGATCCAGATCGTTCTTTATGAAGTACCGAGAGACCCGGACGCACCCACTCGTTACCAAGATTTTGAGATTCCCTGGGCAAAGCATAATAATACGGTCATGCTAGCAATATCTCCCAATGGAAGATGGATCGTCACTTGTACAAGAAGCGGTACGAGTCAAACAGATAAATACAGAATTCAAATCGTTTCAAGAGACAATCTACCAAAGCCACAAAGCCGGTAAGGAATCTTTTTCAGCGTCAGACATGCCGCCTGTCATGATGCTAAATTGTATACTCTGCATTTCTTAGGCCCTCCAGCGATCATACCAGTATATCGAGTGAATCGAGAACATCAAGAGGATCAAGAGCATCACGAGGGTCCAGGGAATCGTTAGGATTCAGAGCAGAGAATGTGTTTGAACAGCAGCTTGACAATGTTACCCGGGTTCGGGCAATTTGTTTCTCAAGAAACAGCAAAAACTTTGTTGCAATGGCAGAGATGCACGATGGGCCATCGACAGTTTACAGCGCATGGTATTTCCAGAATATCAGAACATCATGGGTTCCTCAAGGACACGGAACTGACACCGACGATGTATGCACATTGAACCCCAAACTCAAGCCACGTCGTCCTCAAACTAATATTTTCGGCAGGATACATCTCATAATGAATTTTGGACATCGATGGTGTCGTTCAATCACAGCCCTGGATTTCTCGCCATTTCCCATAAAAAGACAATCGTTAGGTCCGGGGCTGGCTTACCGTTCGCGTTCAGAGAATGGGACGATCATCGGTACGACCTTGAAAAGGTTCTTCTCACTGAAGACGATAAAGTTGGGGTCGTCCTGGGATTCAAAGACAAAGATTTGAAAGTTTACTTGGTGTCGACTGAAAATATCTACAGAAAAACAGAGTTGAAATACCCAGCAAATAACGCACCCAAATACAAGTATCGGGGCTTTGGTGCCGGTCTCTACATTGGAAATGATGCTAAGGGGGAAAGGAGGTTGATTCTGACAATTGGCTTCCCAGCTGCGCTATCAATAATTCGCCTGGATATTACAATGGCTGTACAGAGTTTTCTTGTAAACAGGTTTGATCTAGACTAATAATCAACGGGGATATCTACTATTCTGGATGAGAAAGAATAAAGCAGATTGCATTACTTTCCGCTGAATAGAATGCGAAATTTGAGCCCAAGTTTGTGTAACGAATGTGCTGAGATTATTTCAATGTTGTAATGGACAACCAGGCTAAGGAGTCATTGATATCACCTTTGATATATTCCTCGGCTTGGTTTTCTAAGGTCATGGGTTGACTCCTGGATCATGGCTGCTTGGCTGAACTAGAACTCCGGCTCGGGCTCGAGCTCTGTTCAAACTGTCCAGTCTGGACTGAAAGTCTGAGGATTTGTCCAGAGGATTCAATTTCCAGACGTGGAGTACGCCGTCCCTTCTCAAACCCCTATTCAGCTTCAGAATAGCATACAATGCCAAAAAGAAGCACAACTGCATTGTAGTCAGAATTTCGGGTATCTTGAAACTTGGCACCATGACAGTGACTCACCACTCCAAACGAGGCTGCGCCTTGAAGAGCAGTTTTAGTCTCCAAGACATACATGATCCCACCGAGAACAACGACGAGAAGAGACAAAATACCAGCAGATACTGATAGGAGCATATTGCGGATATACCAGCCTTTGTCTTCTACATGAAGATATCTCTGCATTGGCGCGCTGCCAGCGGCATCCCCCACGAGTTCTACTTGTGTTCTGTGTCGTTTGTAACTAAGCGCAAAATGAAACAGGCTCTTTTAGCAATACGCTCTCTTAAAAGTGCTGGTCAGAATCATATGCTAAATCGCTCACCTGTAATAAAGTCTCGCTGCTGCAAAGCTTTCACATGCCCACACCAGAATGCAGCAAACGGATCCCATATCTGTAAACAGACTGGTCACCTGAGCGAAGGTTTCGGCATTTGTGAACTTGAGAAAAGGCACCCAAATCAGCCAAGCAGAGACAAATACTGCATTTTGCGGAACGTTGTATTTGTTGGTCCTGGCGCAAAAGTCGAAGATCTTGCCGAGAAATGATCCCTCTTGAACCTGTCTACTCTGTATCATGTCACTAGCAAAACCATATAACGTTCTTGAGGAAGCATAGACCGCAGAGGTTGCGGTAAAGGTTAAACTGATCATGAGTAGGATGGTCAATGCTTTGGCCATCCCATGTCCATTGCCGATTTGACAAGACGCATCGATAAATATTGAGGCTTGACATGGACCGAGTGCAGATCCAGTCAGGTTGCCGGTGGGATAGAACTGCAGTAGATCATCAGATGGAATGTTCGCTGCGACTGACCAAGTACCCCATATGTATAGTACGGAAATAACGATTGGGACCCATCTTGCAGGCCACGAGAATTGATCTGTTATCGTCCAACGTGTCTGAGATGTCAATTCGGATGTTCGCCGTTGATACACCACGGTCTCCTGGGCAGCAACCGCGACAACCTCGATGCCCACAAGGGAAAATGATCCTAGGAAAATTGAAGACCTTCAATATCATCACAATCCGTCAGCTTGAGCAGAATCCTTCGAAGGATTTACGTACATGAAACCACCGAACCATCCAGCTGCTTGATGAGGACGACCGCCGAGGAAGAGGCTTTCTCGTTCTTGAAGATGATTCTCCCTTATATTATGTGTGTCGGATTTTGGTACTTGAGGAGATCATGCGTTAGAAGTGTATACAAAAAAAAAACGCCATCACTCACTTTCATTGTTACTCCAACTTTGCTCTGCAGTCGCCGGATGTGATCAATTAGATAACCGCTGACAAAAAAGGGATGTGTTAACTAAGGCATACCTGAATTAATAACATTCATAGCTAGAATGACCACAAGCGCAACAACAATCTTATATGTACCTAAGCCGATCTCGATGTTTCGGAATTGCTTTTACACATGTGTTAGCAAAGCCAGGTAGCAATGTAACCGATCTTCATGGGTGCCTCTCACATTCAAACTCAGAGAATTCAGCGCAATCGGAATTGCAATAGCAACTATCATAATCGCCGCCGTAGGTCCATTCGACAGATTGAAAATAGCCAAAGTATCGGCCACAGTTGATGCCAGTGCCGCAGCGGAGAAGCAATAAGTCAACCTAAAGGAAATGTAAGTATAAATGACTTTATTTTTATCATCGAGCGCTGAAAGCCTACCAATAGACGACAGTAATCACAATACCAATCTCTTCATCCAGGAAGTGTTTGACATAAAGAAAAAGTGCTCCCGCAACTGGCCATACACGTAACATCGTAGCTATATTGTGCAGGACCATGGATGACAATATTCCGAGGAGGGCGTAGGCATAGATTGCGGCGCCAGGCCCTCCCAGGCCGTCCATGTTGCCGGTTCGTACGTAGAAGCCCAAGCCGATGCAAGTGCTTACCGAGAGAAACTGCCGAGTGTCCACGTATTAGTCGCGTTCTGGCAATCATAGCATCGGGAGACAGACGAAGATGTGACTACTTTTTAATTTACGACTATTGAAGCATGTGTCAGAGCCATCACACATTGAGCCCTGGGGTGAAAACTTACTCGAGTCCAGATAAGTGCGACCTCTCGGGTGGATGTCCATTACTGAAGTTACTGAAGACTCTCTCACGACTCAAGATGGGCACTGGTTGATCTGCTGTTTCTTCTAACGACCGTTCGTCTTGCACAGCCTCCAAATCAGAAACTGGCATTGAGTGATCAGAATTCCGTCTAGCCGGATAATCTGCTTGGAGGTATCTTGTATCCGTATAATTTGCTTGATGGCGGATAGTGTCAAGCTCAAGGGCCACTGATTGGTCTGGCAATGACATATTTAGATATCAGTTGACAGACTAGTCACACGTAAAGGCTGTTTGTCGCGCAGCAAGGCTACTTAGGTAGCTAGATAGAAATCAGAAGGGAGAATTGAATAAGGCAACCTTGAACGAAAGGAACGTGTGATATATCAAATCCTCCGAAATTAAAAAGGTGCAGAGATTGAAGCTGAGAAATATTCAGGAAAGAGGAAACAATATCAACCTTCCATCACCAAACAATGTGTCTAACAGGGCAAGACATCACTTGATTAGGTACAACTAAGAGCTGTCGCAATCTCTTGAGAACAGACCACAATTCTGCGCACGATATACAGCCTTGTCTATTCAAATGCCCGCCACTGGTTCGCTTGAGCTGTAGGCTTCGGCCCTTTTGCTCATTGAGTCATGACCGTACGCGTGTTTTTTTGGTTTCTACCCTTATCACTGCACAGACCCCTGAGGACTCCGTACGAACGCATCAGGGACAGACAAATCAAAACTTGCCGGTCTGAAGACTTTACGGATTTGCCCTCAATCGGCTACAGTTGCCAACTATTAGTGGTCACGAGGTTTGACCGAACGCCCTTCTGTGCATGGTAGTATATTAGGCATTCCGCAAGGCTGAAGAACGAACTGATTCATCGTGACCAGCGCGCATTCGTTCACGCTTTACGTCCCCTGCATGGTATGGTGTTAGTCAAGCAACTCTGCCGAACTCAACGCAGCGACTTGCATATTTTTTCGAAAGTAATTTATTGAATAGTATTTTTCACTTAGTGCCTATCAGTTGTTTCGGGTTGTCTCGAGCAGTCGAGGAAGTATGGAGGCTCAAGTGACATCCCATACTCGGCTGATTGGGCATCTACATGTTTCACCCGGGCAAAAGGCTGGAGCCTCAATTCCTATCTGTGTAACCGGTGCTTCGTTTCTGCCTGTGAGGGCCATGTTCATTTAAAGCACCGCCTCCTCACCCCATAGTTATTGCTGCAACTGAGAGATTTCATTCAACTCGAAAAAGAAAATACGCCACAAATTTTGTCATTTCATCAGCTTGCGTAAACCTGACTCCTGGTTCAGCACATAATAATGGCCACTGCCACAGCCACAACAAAGCGTTTTCATGTCTCCGGCAGATACATAAAAGAAGCTCTTCTCAAACAAGTCTTGAAAAGCGCCTTTCCGAATATGACGGAGGAGTCTTTCGATGTCAAGGTACCTATCCTTTTCCTACTCGCGAAGGCCTCGACTATATACCTTGAAAGCCTAATGGCTCTTGATAGATGACCAATGATGTTTGGAAGTATACAGCCACACGCGCACTCACTCAGGCTGAGTTGGGGTAGATAGCCTCCTAATTCCCTTTACCAACGTACATGAACGAAACGAAGAGTACTAACTTGTAATTGTGCATCCTCAGAGCTGCACAAACGAAGAGAACTGCTCCCCATACCTAGGTACTGGAGAGATTGGCGGCGTTGATGGAAGACCGTGGGAGGCGGGGATTTTGGTCACACGCAGGCCGGGCTGCAAGGCTTAGGTTCACCGAGTCCACCTCGTCGTGTTGTGGACGCCACGAAATTTTTCTTTTCTTTATTCTCTCTCTATCATAAGAATTTGCGTTTTCCATCTATTACCTAGTTCATGTTTTTTGGAACTCTGTATATTCGCGACATAATTGATTCGATATATATGTTCCAGACATTAATTTAGGGCTTATTATATATCTAATACTACACACCGCATAACACCCGCTGCATAGATTTGGGCATTGCTCATGGCTCAATATACCGATCAATTCGAAAACAATATCTCAGAAAAACCGATTTCAATCAGCTCGACTTCGACTTGTACAGGGTCAAAAGATGATTCCTTCAATGCAATCAAGGGGTATACGGATGAGTCGTCTTATGTGGAAATTATCGATATCCACAATATGCCACAACATCCTGACAGAAATAAGCCATCTAATGGTAGACAATGAGCCCCTAGGAGTGTCGTATCATGTCGATCTGACATTCATCAGACTCAATAGTGCACCATCGTCGACTTTCAAATGCCCACGATATGTGCTCTCATCTACAGAATAAGACAGACAGACAAAATGATCCTTGTACTCGCTTGATGTAAGCTCGCATTCCTTCAGACAAATACATAAGGTCATTATTAATTTGAGTGATACTCAAATCAAGTTCCATTTGCCAGAGCTACTCCTGGGCTTGTCTGGATATCCCCGAAGATACACTACAAACAATTCTGTCTCATTATAACGTGGCGTACGAGCTCACTCCAGTTTTAAAATCCTTTCACTTCAAGACGATGGAGCTAGAAGAAGGATTTATAGCTTCCCCTTGGAAACGCATAAATCAATTCTATCCCGATGGGCGTCTGGCATATGGTATGTAAATGCTCCCTCAGGTGCCTTGAACATTACTACTCTCATAGATACCTCAGTACAGCAGCTAATGGTTGTCAAAGAAACGGGTTATATTTTCAAATACCCCGAAATCAAGTACATCGACGAAAAGACTGGAGCCGAGACATGGTCCATCCGCCAAACTGGTGTCTATCAGAGAGTCGGCACTCCCAATACAGACAAAGAAAATGTCTTCATTCTCTTGCACCCACGCTACTCATCGCCATTACAAAAAGCCCTAGAGACGACCATTGTACATGGGGACTCGTTGCCATTGACTCAGTCATTCGGAGGGGACTTGTCGGCGATAAAGAAGAAGAATGCTAGCCCCTTGGAGCTGCATCTATGTATACTTGGGATTTATATATACAATTGGCGTGCGTATATGAAGAATGAAGAAGAGCTGTTGATCAAGACGGTAATCATCTCGGAAACATAACCACAAAAATATTGATACATACCTGACGATTTTCAGAGCTACGAAGCACTATGCATCGACATAACCGAGGACCTCCCCTTCAACGACCTCTATGAATCCCTCTCCAGCCTGCATAATCTCGAAAAGCGCCTCGCACCCCTCAAAAGCATCTTTCCCGCAACGAAACGAATCCTCCAACTCCTTACCAAACTCAACAACACCTACACCCACCCCGACAAAACGCGCATAAACGAACGACTCGAAACCATGGAAGAAATGGTAAACAGCTTTGATGACAACTTGCAATATCTAATGAGTCGCGTTGCTAGTATTTCTTCACTAGTACGTTTTGTCTAACTTTCACCAATTCAGGATTGTAAGGCACGTGGCCATGCTAACCCTGACTTCCTCGATCCCGCAGCTCTCCAACACGATCAGTCTGAAGAACGAGAACACGTCCAATGAAGTATCCAATAGCATGCTGAAATATAACAGATTTACGGTGGATGACAGTGCGACTGTGAGGGTTATCACATTGGTGACGCTGATTTATTTGCCGCCGACTTCGGTATCTGTATGTCTTACTGTCTACTCCTTCTAAATTTGATGCAAATTACTAACATGGGCGGGATTTACAAAGGGCTTCTTTAGTATGGGCGCATTCTTCTCTGTCCAGAGTAATGGTGGGTCGCAATCGAGCATGTTGATAACGCCGTATATATGGCTATATTTTGTGGTGGCGATTCCTTTGACGGCTTTTACGGTGGCGTATTGGTGGTGGAAGTCGAGGAGGCAGAAGCTAATGAGAGAGAAGCATGAGAAGGCGGAGTTGTCGTTGGCTTGATAGGCGATACTTAGTTGCATGTAAACACTAGGCAAACAAAGATTATTTACAAAGTTCAAATGCATTGGTGAATGATATCATACAAGAATTGAGACGATAAACAGATGGCTCACTTATGTATAATCATAGTTCGTCTTTATATGTCTCCTCACTGCCTCTCTCCTCGTCTGGAGGTGCAGTTTCATCCTCCTTCTCCTTTGCAAGAGGTGCCTGTTCTTTAGTCGCTTCTTTGTCCTCTTTCTTCTCTCCATCCGCATGGTCATCATCGTCTTCATCACCCGCGCTGATGATTGCCCGATAGCTAGTCTCCCCATTGCTTTCCACAATTTCCAGCCTCCAATCACCACCTTTAGTCTTCTCATCCAACTGTTTCGCAAAGCCCTCTACCTTTTCAGGATTCACATTGAGTTTCATGAGATCCTTATTCGATAATTGCATTAGCTCTCCATCTTCTCGCTTAGCGATAATTTGAACAGTCTCTTCGCCAATTCTAGCCATGCGGCCTTTTTCGATCTCTTTGCCCTCGGACCCGACTTCCTTCTTTGCGCCAACTTCAATGCCTCCAACGAATTGAGCTTCTTCGGTGTCAGCATTGATGAGTTTTTGCTGATCGTGATGAGCTTTCATGGCATCAAAATCTGCAATTTCATCCGGTGCAAGTATCTCTCGACACTGAATAGAATGTGTATCTTCAAATTGAGGCAACTGGAATGCAACATCGTGGCACAAGCGTGGCGTGTAGATCACCATCAGATAAGAGCAGGTTGTCAGTTCCTTGATCCATCCGATTCGATCTGTAGATTGAGGATGGCAGTGAAATTGCACTTCAATCTTGCGCTCAGCGCCGGTCAGATCACAGACCGTCCCACCAGACAGTCTTTGCACAAGATATCTTGATTCGCCTTTGGTTTGTAATTCGGCAGTACTCGCCTTTGCAGATTTGCTGCTACTACCAGCATCGGCCTCAGACTCTTCGTCATCATGCTGAAACTTTCCCAGAACGAATGAGTGGCTGGTCTGGTCTTCTATAGGCGGGTAGTTGGGTACACCCGGGCCAGACTTGGCGTGAAACTGCTTGACCTGCTTCTTGTAGCAGAACGAATACGACCACCATCCCGAAACGTAATACATACACGTGTCCTCCATTTCTTTTAGCAACTCTAACCCTCGATCCGTGGCGCGAGCAATCTCATGTTCGTCCTGCGTTTGATTTCGAGGTCCATCGCCTCCATCTGTTTTATCAGTCGTTGTCTCGTTCTCCGGTCCATTGTTCACTCTCGGAATATTGCACAAATATCGTAACCCATCGAGTTTCATCTCTTCATAGCTGAAATATTTCAGCGAAAGCTCGGGATCCCAATCCAGTTCTGCTTTTTCTTTCTTTCCAGTTGTTTTCCAGCCGCCTATGGGTCGTTGTGATGCATGGCGTTGCAGATCTCGTTTATCGGAGGCGATGTTTGAGGAGGGTGCATCTGTGGATGAGCTATCTTTTTGTAGCTGGAGGATTATGTTGGCTTCGGTTTCTAGAACGTATTCTTCGGGAAACGAGACTTTGTACTGGCGAACGTCAGATAAATCAAAGGTTGATGTGTATTGATGTCATACCTGTGGATATGCAAGTACATCGTCGTGGATACTGAATGGTCGCTTTGCGGCGAGCGCACCTGACGCAATCGACACTAGATAAAATAGTGATAATGACTGCTTCATCTTATTGTATGTGCTCTTACGCTCCTTAAAAGAGTAGTTCTGTAAACAGCCTAGGAGTCTCAATCAAGATTGAGCTGCGGAGCTGTGCGGAGTGCCGGAGCGGAGTTTGGCTTGTGATAAAAGTCTTCAATGGGATACAAGGCTCAGTAGCATCATGAAAAATATTGGATAAACATCATCAAACATGTCTCTTCATAGGGTGCCAACAATTATAGTATTTGTTGTCGAAATGCTATCATATCATGAAAGACAGAAGTTAACAGATAACGTTTCGATAAAGCTGGGGATAGCTCGATCCACAGAGACTATTACGGCTTAGCGCAATATCTATATACTACACCATTTGAACCAATCATGTCTCATATTCATACAACAGCAACAACTCTACGAGCAGAATATATCCATTCATTCAACGAACACGAATGAAGAGTATATAAGACGGTATAATATTACCAAGGATAAATATTTCCAGCTGGAGCTGGACGACCCCCCTCCAGCGACTGAGTAGTCACTTCAAATAATCGAGTCTCATGAATCCCCCCCGTAAAGTTCCCATTCTCATCATGAGTATATGAAAATCGTTTAGACTCACGCTGTATTTTCTTTCTAATTCGGGTGATAAAGCTGTCTCGTTGACCGACTTCAAGTTCCCGAGGTTTGTAGTGAACAGAAACTGTCCGTTGAGTTGATGATCCGGCTTGTTTTCTGACCTGGATGATAAAGACTGCGTATGAGGGGAGGCAGCCAACAATAACCGCTGGAACCGTAAAATTTTGGTTAGTAAGCTTCCATTCGTCGCACGTTCTCGCACTGTGAGGGCTCAGTACCTATGCCGCCTTCAATCATCTCCCATATAAGGATCCATGGCAAAGTAGGCGTATTCACCTCCACTCTACTACCGATAGTGATACCTCGAGCAAGGGCCACAACGATGCATATAATGCCGACAGAAAATATTCCGGCCGTTCTGTAATAGGTCGGTCGAGAAAGGTTGGCTTGACGTAGGACTATAATAGGGAGGGCCATAACTTCGTAAGTCAATAAAGGAGGCGATTGTATATAGAATGTCTTGTATGACTTACTCAATATATCTGTAAGGATTTCTGTTACCACGACGTAGTACAGGTTTGCGATTTGTGCCTTAACGTCTCGATCGCTGTTGCAACCACCTATGCTTGGTCAGTTTACTTGACTGCATAGATAATTTGATATACTTACCCGGCTTGAAATAGTCTTGAATCGGGACACATGAAGTCAATGTAGAAACCCAATTTCCAAGATAAGTCTGACCCCGTATCAGCTCAAGCTCCGCGTAAACACGCCAGTTTATATATCGAAGGGGAGAGGATACCAAAACCACAAACCCAAAAACATACCACCAACGCCTCATCCACTCCTGCTGCTGATACAGCAACCTCTTCGAAAGTAATAATAACGACAATTTCACCGACCACAAAACTGCTGGGAATAACAGATTACTCGCAAACACTATCTTGAGCTGATACACCTCATCATCGAACAAGCCATTATATATCGGCCTGAGATGATAGCTCACGGCTATGATTTGATATGCAACGGGCACCACCACTATGGTTATTGTGGCCAGGACGCAGAATGTCACAAATGCGAAAAGCATAAAGCCGTCTTCGGGCCGGAAGGGATCTCTGCGCAGGCCACGAAGAAAGAAGCGTGATATGATGGCGATGCCGGTGAGGACGATCATGGCGTACGCCGATGCGAGGATTTGATGAGGCCTGATTTCGTACATTTTGCTTATATTGTGCTCCTGGCTCGTCGATTCCAGGACCAGTACCTGAAGCGTCGACAGATGTATGAATCCACTTCAATAAGCTACTTCCCTATATCCACAAACAGTGACTCCGACATTGGATGGTATGACTCGAGCTATGACTCTTCATCATCTGGACTATTCGGAAGATCAGACAACAAAGAGCACTTGATCGACGAACTCCAATATATATTGTTACCTCTATAATAAGCCGACTTTCGTCGATATCATCATCATCTAGGCCCATATCTATGACCCCTATGCTCCGAGGTAGTTGAAAAGTTAAAGTTGACCAAGACAAAGACTCGAGACAAAGACTAAGACTGTCAAGACAAAGACTGGTCAGGCTAAACCCTGATCGAGATCAGACCATTCAGGACAAAGATGACCAAGACAAAGATTGATCAAGCTAGCGACTGATCAGGATAAGACTAATCTAGACAAAGACTCATCAAAACAAAGACTGTTCAAGCTAAATAGTGACCACGATAAGGACTGATTCAGGTAAGAACCCCATTGAGAATACACTTTGCATACTGAACCAACGACGTAGCAATCAGTCGTCGTATATAAGAGTTACATGTCTGCAAGGATCGAGATTAGGATCAACTGAGGAATTTAATACCGAATGGCCATTGACTACGGTAAGTCGACCGACGCTGGGTCCCAACTAGGAGAACCAATTACATGTAACGACGAACGCCAATGTGTCACTAGAAGGAGATATATACTCCAGCCACGTGTGGCCGCATTCCAATGTCCACAATCCGACACCGCCGAGTCGCACGTTCAATCCACATGGGAATTAAAGGACGCTAAGAAAGTCTTACCCCCTTTCACTTCCTTGATAATCTGGAATCAATGAGTACACTTATGCATGCATTACACTTACCACCTATAGACAGCTTACTCTAGGGCTGCCTTCTCGGTATATAAGCACTTAAAAAACCAACGTATGTTAACCCCCGATACTCCCGAACATAAGCCATGCACATAAGCTGGCTCGCTCAGAAGCACGCTCCAGGCGTCGAAAGCCTCCCTAAAGATCATACAACCTTACTCCCCGACCTGCCATAGAACCTACCGATGAGGCGCTTAGGGTTACTTCCTAGAGAACATACCAGAGCTCATACATGAGTCATGAACCATCTCACACCCGAACTTATTCAAGTCCCATTCTGTGGTTCCAGCCATCTCATCATTGTCGACTCGGTCAAGGGTAGCCGGTTCCGTCCAGACAATGCTCTTTGTTTGCCGTGGCTTGGGGATCATTGGTACTCGTGATTTTTGATCACAAGTTTGAAGAAGGATATTCGCCTAATACGATCTGACTTGAATGTAGATTGGTTCTTCAAGGTAGTACCCCTCATCTACGAAGTGAAACGCAAAGACCCCAAGATAGAACTACGTGGGCTAGTTCAGGTCAGGTAGGTCGGACATTTAAAAACACGGGTATTTAATTGGCTGAAAGTGTATTTTCATGGTATCTCAGTGAAACCCACCGACTGGCCAATCAGAAGCCAGGGCCTCGGATTTTCTCGATCTGAAGTTTGAAATGAATAGGCGGCTCGATAGATAATAAGAGCATTCGAAAAGCTTTTGTTGCGACTATGATCGATGCTGGCTGAGTATATCCGCTGGAGTATTCCCGACCCCTCCATTCCCGATCAGCCAATCATGTCTGCCCTATAGATCCGTCTGTATTTACAATACACATTTTTCGCTGCTCCCTCTATTAGTAAACCTGAATAATATATCCGTAATACCGATCCACGTATCACACTAATCCCATCCGGACAAGCCCCAATGCTGACCTTATTCTTTGTAATCCTCCCTCTCTCTTCTCATTCGTCCTTTGTACAATTTTCTTCTACATCTTTCTCATCAATCATAAATATATAAGATATCAACATCCGAAAATGACCAATAATTATCAATAAATTCAAATCCAAACACTAAGAAAATTTCGAAGCTTCTACTTGGTTCAGTCAGTGCCTAGAGTGTAAACTGATCAGACCAACTCGTCTATAAATAACCCCGCGTTCTTCCCATGAAGCTGTTTCTCTCAATTTTGATTTGTATCGCATCAATCGTCATCGGAATATACAATCCTTTTGTCCTTGAGAGTATCAGAGATATAATACCTCCACAGCTTCAGAGTCAGCTTTCTCAGCTTTTGTCGCGCTTCAATCCACCAACAGACCGAAACCTGACACCAGATTTACAACAAGACATTATACTACCCGACAAAATGACAACCGCCCGCGCAATCCGCATGGCCTTCCAGGCCCTCGAACAAGCCGAAGGCGCCGGCGCGCGCGTGCGACGCTCAATCGGCACACCGAAACTCCGCAACTTCAGCCCATTCCTGATGCTCGATCACTTCACAATCGGGAAAGGCGCCGGTTTCCCCGACCACCCTCACCGCGGCCAAGAAACCATCACATACCTGTTGTCCGGCGGCGTCGACCATGAAGATTTCGCCGGAAACCGCGGCACTATTGGCCCCGGAGACCTACAATTCATGACCGCCGGAAAGGGGATTATGCATGCCGAAATGCCGCATGAGAATGAAGACGGGAGTCCCAATGTCGGAATGCAGTTGTGGGTTGATCTTCCCAAAGAGCTCAAGGCTGTCGACCCACGATATCGGGATTTGCGATCCACTGAAATCCCTGTTGCGGATGTCGATGAGGGGAGAGTGAGCATTAAAGTGATTAGCGGGCAATCGCATGGTGTCGATTCAGTGCGTGATTTGGCGTATACGCCGTTATGGTTCTTTGATATCAGCATCAAGCCTGGCGGACGTGTAAAGCAGATTTTGCCGCTGGGATGGAATGCGTTTGCGTATACGCTGGAAGGAACGACGCATTTCGTCACAGATAACGGCGACACGAAACCCATAAATCAATTCCATAACGTCGTGTTTCAGCAATCCGGTGATCATATTGAGGCGTATGTACCTGATAATGCAGAGCAGGAGTCGAGGTTTATTCTTGTGGCGGGACAGCCACTGAACCAAGAGGTTGTACAATACGGTCCGTTTGTGTGCACGTCCAAGGAAGAGGTGTATCAGGCCATGCTTGATTTCCAGAGTGCAAAGAATGGGTTTGAGAGGAGTTTTGGGTGGCAGAGTGAGATTGGGAAGAGGATGAATCAATTCTAGCCTTCTGTCTGTTAATAATTGTGTTTATGATATCCTTCAGAGTGTTCTTGTTGCCGATTCTTTGATATGCTGAATATATTGTACTTATACCACTTTAAACATTTGAACACTTAATACATTAAAACTCAAACATCAAACAACCCGCTATTCATTCCTAAAAGAGTTCACGATAGGAGAGTAACACCATATCAACTTGCTAACCTTGCATCCCTCAATACACGCCCGCACCTCTCATACACAGCTAAAACTACTTGGCAAAATGCAAGTCATATGACAACCACTTCCTGGCATTAACCTCATCCACATTCAACCCAGTACCATATGTCAACGGCGCAAAGTAAGCAAACGAGTAGATCACAGCCGACAAGATGACAATAGTGACAGCCCAACAGGCGTACAGCGACTGTCTACCCAATCGCTCCTTGGCAGTACGGAATCGTCCAAGAGTCAAACGGCCACGGCCCGTGGGGTCGACCTTGTAGTCGGTCTTGGCAGGCGCAATAGGATCAAGTGTGAAGATGAATTCGACGAGAGCAGCAGCAACCAAGCACGATGCGAGGTGGGCCGGTAGGTAGTGGTGCAAGAAACGTTGACGACCCATCAGCCAGAATGGGAAGTAGTGAGCTGCCCAGCAGAGGAACAAAAATCCAGTGCTGTTGTAAAGGCGGCTGCGAGCTCCGGGGCCCCAGACTAATACTGTTAGTAATTGAACATTAACCAGTAAAAAGAATGCTTACTCTCTTCGATAGCGTCGATGCCTCGGCGCAAAGACAGCTGGTCAGCTCCAATAACACCAACAAACACAGCCAACAAACTGCTGGCAAACCACCATCCAATAGGGTTACCCAAGAAATAAATCTGTCCCTTTGTCTCGGCGTTGGTCCAGAAGCTGACGCCACGCAACAGGAATGGCCACTGGAATGGCTCACTTGCGTACGGATGCTCGCTGGTAAGAGCGTTGTTGTGGAAGAACATGGCGCGTTGCAATTCGGCCCACTTGCGAACAAATCCTAACTGAGCAACCTGGCGTTCTTGCTTTTCTAGACGAGGGGATCCAGCCGGAATCGACGGCACTTCTTCAACGTACCATATGTTGCTGGATTGCAACGAGTTCTTGTTGCCGTTGATTTCGGCCTGCTTATATCCCCATTCGGGAAGAGGAGTAGTATGTGTCCACATTGCTACACGAGTGGGAACATGAATCAACTTGAACAAACCGGACAGAGAACGAAAGTTCTGTCCCGGCTTGCCGTTCTCAATCTTAATTTCGAACAAGGTATCCTGATGACGTTCGCCATCAGCCAGCTCTTGAGGCACTGTGGTAAATTCCTGATTTGTTGGCATAAGAGGGGAGGCGACATCATGCGTCAACAAAATAGTGTTTGTAAAAAGATGGCGTAACTGGACAATATCGCCGTTCTTGATCTTGTGGCCAGTGAGGTCGTTCTCAGCGAACGGAACACTGGGCAGAATCTGCCACTGGTTATTGGTATCGTTGTGTGGGTAACCGGTAACTTGCTGTCCCTGACTGGAGATACGTCCATCATCGTAGCGAAGAGGGTACTGGTCATAGTGACTATGAAGATAGACCTTGGTGTCCTTGTGGCGGATGACGATATGATCGTAGTATTCAAGATCAACAGCATTAGCAGTCAATGGGTTGTCGGACAGCGTTGCTTGGAACTCGGGAGTCATAAAGTCATCACCCGGTCCGGAGCGAGTCAAGACAGCGAAATGCACCTGGAACCAGAACAGGTAGAAAAAGAACGGAACAACAAGCAGCGCGAAGCCACGGGCTGCAAAATGCTGACTGAACCGGAACAAGGAAATTTCTCCGCGGGGACGCTTGATATCGAGCAAGTTCCAGAGATCAACAAGCACAGCAGAACCGATAGTAACAAAGGTGAACATGCCGACATACTTGGTGGAAATAACGCAGCTCAAACCGATACCGGTCAGGAGAAGCCACTTCCACCATTTGCGACCAAACTCGTTGTAACGCTGCTTGTAGAATTTGACGTAGCAGAGAATGCTCACAGCGACGCTCAATACCAAGCAAGCATCCAACAAGATCAATCGGTCTTCACCGATGTGGGCATTGTCAAAGACCATCAGCCCCGATGCCAAAACACAGGCCGGCAAGGAATATCCAGACTCCCACATGATGTCAAAGACGACCGGAATAGTCAAGGATCCAAGAGTTGCGGGAAGAGCGCGGTATGCGAGATAAGGGACGTTGTTCGTGATGTACGAGTCGCCGATGTTCTCAAAAGTGAAGCTGCCATCGTAGCCGACCAGCCAACCGACGAAGGCAAACAACAACTTGGCGAAGGGAGGGTGAACGTCGAAGAAGTAGGTTCGTTGCAGATAGTAAGAAGCGAACTACCCCAAGATTAGAGCTGATGACCTCGGCAGGGGGAGTCAACATACCTTTCCGAAATGCACCTCGTCAAAGACGACCTCATCCGGGTAATTGATCATCCAGAAGCGAGTCACGAAAGCCAATGCAGTCATAACAAACATGGCAACCCAGTAATCCCATTCTGACGGTGGTTTTGCCGCTGCTTTGGTGGACACAGGAGTGCTTTGGCGGAAGGAAGCTTCAGGTAGTGCTGGCTCGGCGACGTCTTTTTTAGCACCCCCTCTCTTACGGAGGGAGGGTGTGGACGACATTTTCGAAAGTTGGGGGAAAAAAGAAATTTAACAAGCGTATAGGACGAATGAAATGGTGACGTTGTAAATCACAGAGCGAACGTAGAGGGGCGAAGTGACCACCGTTGCTAGATTGATGTCAGTCAGCTAATGAAAGGTAGATCCGACAAAAAAAATACAGAAAAACGTACGTTGTATCAAATTCAAAAAAGCATCGCAATTGAGTATTAAAAGGAAGGTAAAGGGCGATGACAGTGAAACCCAGTTCCAAGTCGGATGGTTGCTGGAAGTTATTGTTTGCGTGTCCTTGGAAGCTCTCCAGCAATCCGAGCCGACGAAGGCGCTCGGACTATTTGCGCAGGCCAATAATTGCTCTCTCATTGTTGGAAGTCGCATACTTCACTATTATTCTGTCGCATAATTTACTTATTTGAAATTGTATTTTAATCTCAGTATTTTAGAATTTCAATCAATTTATACTGGTATCAACAACTATCAACAACTAATGACAATATGTGTTGTATGCATGATTTATTAAACAATGTAGCAGGCTCAAGATGCAAGCAAATCAAACTCTCTCCAGGCATGTGATGTAGATGATGCAAGCCAAACGCCGAATATGCCTTTCATGTTGGACAATGTTTTATCAGTTAGTCATCGTCGGACAAACTGAGAAGATCAATCTCTGTGCGAATCAGATTTTGAAACTCCGCCCGCGGCATTCCAGTCGCCTTGGCCAACCGATACAGACTCTTTATATTTGAGCCAATGTGCTGCTTGATCGCAACTTCTGAAGCTGACTGGTTTTCTGCCTCTTGTTCCAATTTCGCGACAGCAGACCCAGACGAAGCTGATGATGGCCGCGGGTGATTCATCATCATTGACACAAGATTTGCGTGTTCGTCATCGTGTTGGAGAGAAGGGTCCTGTGCTGCTGTTTCACGGGACTCGCGAGCCTGTTGCATAATCTTTGCAAAGATATCACCATTTAGCGACGATTCTCCAGCCTCCGGGGCATCCTCGGACGGATCATGGTTGTCCATCGCTGGTTGCACTTCCGCGTACTGAGAAAAGTATGCGTCTTCCGATTGTCCTGATGTTTGTTGATATCCACGAGATACTGGTGTCTTTGTCGCCGGTGTTCTTCCCGGAGTGTTGTCATACTGCGCCCAGTAATCATCCTCATCGTTATCCTCCGCTTCAACATGTAATCTGTCGGCATCCGCATCTCTTATAGCGTCGTCGATGATTCGTTCCCTCGCCTGTTCATTTGCGTCGCCAACTGTTTCTGACCAGGTTGATTGTTCGTCATCCGGACCTTCGCATGGCTCCAGCTCCGCGATCCGCCAGCCAGGACCACCGCCGTCTGGGTCATTCGAGCACCATACATATAACACATTGAGCTGGTATTCTGGGAGATTCAATTTTGATCGCAGCGTCTCCTCATCCAGCCGCTTATAAGTTATAGACAGATCTTCCGGGACTTCGATCTCTCCAGAAACAGGGTGCGGTTCGAAGACGACGCCGTCTAGCAATCGCGAAACACGTTCGGCCTTCTCATCGGTCCAACATAAAAGTCGCAGCCACGAGTCGGAAGGCGATGTCGCAACAGAGCTGAGAATCTGGACGCGCTGGCGTAGGATCGGAGATAGCAGCGGAAGTAGTGCTGGAGGAGGGCGAGTCGAGACGAAAGCAGTGGGCAAGCAGGCAAGTAATGGCGGCAGGAGCACCTCAGGTTCTGGAGGTGGGATGAACTCGACCATCCTGGTTGTTTGTGTTAGTCTTGGTTGGTGTCTCTATATTCGTACAGGCTTCAGAGCGTGCGTATGACAATGCTATTGATTATGAGGGTTCGTAGAGGCCGTGAAAATAGGACATGGAAGTGAGGAGAAAGTCTTGGACACAAACAAGATGAAGAAAGCTAAACATACCATGGTGCAACGTCAGAGCGAGACGTAGGATGAAATCGAGCTCGTGGCCGTTCGCCCGATGTTTTAGTTTCCATTTGCCCGGCAGGTGTCGCTATCGTCTTGCTTCAGCTGCGGCGGCAGAGACTGGCCAACTTAAACTTAACTTACTTATCTTCTGGCCCTCTTTCGATGCGGGGCCGCCCGCCGGTCAGACAAGCTGTGACCACCACTAAGATTGGCCAATCCAGAGCTGCACTGTGAAGAACGTCACGTCTGAGGATGCTGTGTGTTTCAGATGCACGAGATCACGGCCGGTCGATCAGATAAGTAGCATTCGTCGGCTGGACATCTTAGCTTTTAGGTATGTTGACTTGCTCGTGTAGCAGCAATAAGAGCCATGCTAAACTAGCAGCTTACATGGTCGGCAAGTGGACGGAGACTAGAAAGTGGAAAGTGGAAAGTGGACAGCGGAGGATCGAAGCCGCCTGCCCGACGGTGTCGGAGGCCTTGCCGGGAGGCCTCGCCGGGCGGCCACTGTGGTTACTGCACTTGGGTTCAGACGTATCGTAAACCAAGTATAGATCGATATATATTGGAGTGACTTGAAAAGGAAGTGATGACAAGAGAAACAAAATGTGAAGCAGGAGATAATACTAGACAAAGAGATAGACATGATGAGTAGAAAAGTCGACAACGGCACGGGGTAGGTGGTAGATTCAGCAAGAGTCAGCTCGCAACCCACCTTCCTTCCTTCCTTCCTCAAGTTACACTGGTTGGAGCAACAAAAAGCCTTCTTTCAATAAACGAAATAATGCACAACTACACACACAGCTCTAGCTACATACGTGCTCGGGATAGATATTCCAGTTCCTGTTGCAACGGTTGGACAACGTCTCGAATAAACCCGTTTCTAGTGGAGGCGTTCTCCAGACTCACGCGTTGGCCAGCAGAAACCCACGGGGTATCCAGACAAGCTTGGATTGTTTCTCGATACGGCATTGAGCAGTTCTCAAGCAACTGAACCACACGATTGGCAGTGGTCCAGTCAGTGTTCGCATTCACCTCTACGCCATCCGTCAGATCATCCGAGGTTCGGAACGATTCAATGGTCTTCATCGTGTCGATTTCAATTAGGAGAATTCCTAGTGAAAGGATACTAGGACAAGGATGGAGCTGGTTAATATCGAGCTGATCACTGCCGTCCTCTTGGCCGACGCGGAAGACAGATGATAGATATGGTTTAGTTACTGCCAAAGCACCGAAAGATTCATGGAAGAATGTGATATGCTCCTTGTTCCACTTCTCGGTGAGCCATGGCCTCGCGCTTAAATGCAGTAGAGACTTTGCCAACATCAATGCAAGCTTTCTTTTTGCCAATAGAGATTTGAGCGTCCCGTTGAGCATGACGGACTTCAATGACACGGCCGGCGTCTTTCCATCGAAGGATAGCTGTTTAGGCCGTGATCGGTGTTGCCACAATTGCAAATTGTCCGCTTCATCTTTATAAGCGACAGACAACTGCAGCCTGATGTTCCCAGCTTTGTGTGCTCTCCGAAAGACTTGGCACATACTCGTGACTTCTTCTCTGTCCTCCCCCATTGAGTCCCTACCGTCGATTAGTTCGAGGATCAACAAGTGACATGCAATAATTTCTTAGGAGATGATAAGAGGTCAACGTACGTATGCAGTCTGATTTTGACTTCTCCTTCTTGCAACGAGGATTGCCGTGTTTCACTTGCATGTACAAGGAAAATGAAGTCAAATCTGATGTCCACCTCTTCTACCGCTTTGTTTGAAGGAATCTCTTGGTTATTAAGGCTGACTCTTGCTTCATGGGGCGTACGGCAATCGCAGGCCCAAACCCGTGCCAATGCTGAGTGTAGTTTGGATGATAAATTATAGATCCACACATCCTTCTGCGGTGCGACTGGAATTGCTGTTGGCCTTCGCACGCAAGCCGACACGTTGTCAGAATCGCTGGCCAACTTCTCCAAACGGCTATTCCAAGTCTTCAAAGCCCTCAAACATGTGTTGCGGTCTTTCTCTTTTCTCCAGAACTTGATACGCTCGAACATTGTGCTAGACGCTGGTTGATTTTCATGTTTGTGCGAAAACTCCCGAAGCTTCTCATACATCTGTTTTTGATTCTAGATGGAAGTCAGTCCTAATCATATCTTGTCATTGGTGAACACGAGATTACCGTCTCCCTCTTCGATATTTGGATTGTGCTGTCCTTCACTAATTGGGATAAAAGCTGAACAATTTGGTCCATCACAACTAGAAAAGCATTGTATCTCTCTTCGGTGCTAAAATATTCCTTCACAGCCCTGACAATGTCCGAAGAATTATGCCAGTCGCTGATTCCGCCTTCTATTTCAATGTCCGCCTTGCGCTCGTCCGATAAATCCGGTAATGAGTTGACCACTTTGCGGACATTGACATTGAGTACAAAGAGTTCCCACCAGAAATCTTTATAGAATTCCAGAAGTCTCTTGTCCCGCAAGGTACGCGAAACTACTTTTGTAATGGTATCAACTCCTTTGCTGTACTGTTTAGCCCCCTCGATGAAGAGGGGCAACACCGCGAGGATCAAGCCTAAGGTTTCCATTCATCCGGCGGTTCATAGGTGCGACTCATGAAGTGAAAAGGGGGCAAGGCGAAATTTCAAGGGCTATATAGTTCGATTGTCGGTTCTCTGAAGACAGATGTTGCGATGCGTGGTTTTGACGTACTATAACCCATGTAACCATCCACCAATCAGTTATGTCTGTGATGGAGGGGTTTATGTTACCTAGGCATAGCACGCTACTCAGCCTTGTGCGAAGGAAACCACCTGAGATTGCGCTGGAATGAGAACATTACAACTCTGAGCTGATTTTTAACTGCGAAATTACATGACCTTGCAACCTCTAATATGGCTGATGCCGCAGTCGAGACAATCTCCGTCTTGAAAGTGGCCCGACTTTGTGCCGTTCTATTCGGCCGTTGCTCGTCTTCGGTCAATCTTAATTCGGCGGTAAAAGAAGAGCTTTTAAATGAGCAGGGACGACTGAAGATATGGGCAGGAAACATCGGTATCTTTGCGACTGGCACCGCGTCTGCAGATTACCGATTGCGAGACGATCCAGATATCAAGGAGGTCATGGTTTCAATGCTCGATAGGCTGAGAAGCACACTCCAGAGGATACTTGAACTGCCCAAAGTCGATGAGTTGGCAGAAGACGAAGAGAGAGGCGCAATTAATGATGAAGGCTCAGAGGAATCGACATCGTCTTCTGACGCCTCACTTGTGCTTGATATCGACGAAGAAGAAGAAAATACTAGTATAAAAACATCACTTCATGGAGATGCTACCATACTGGATTCTATAGAAATATGCAAGACTACCATAACAAACCTTTACCGGCTTTCTGCTGCCATCAAGAAGCCCGCCTCATATAACGAAGATGCGAAAGTCATGAAGTTCATGCAAAAGGCAAAGGCAAAAGCAGAAGAAGCTGGCGGAGAAGATGTCATGTCCGATTTATTGATTCATCTGAAGTGGCTATTTGGCCTTCGGTACAAACATATATCACCAAAGATCGCAGATCGACTCATTGATGCAATCGTATTTCGACGCAAGAGACTCGAATATCGCAAGAGGCACCGAGAAAAACTTCATCATGGAGTAGAGGACGCATTTGCCTCACAGTCTGACGAGGCTGTCCACTTCAATAACGAGACAATTCAACAGAAGAACATAGTTCAGCAACACATTGTACGCACACGCAGGGTGCATCTCCCTAACAAGGGCGATACAAGTAAATTGAGATTGGACACGTTGTCAGCAACCGATGCATCATCGGTCAACCGTTTGAAGGTGTCTCCTTATCCTAAATCAATTGCTCTGTCGGGCGTCACAAAATCAGGCATAGCCCGGAGAGAACAGCTCGACGTACCTCATGCTCCGACTGTTGACATACAAGGCAAGGAAGTCATATGTCCGTATTGTTTTCGGGTTGTAGATAGTGCCGATGTTCAAGGTCATCGTTGGACGTTAGTGCTACTTTTCCTATCACCTTCGGCTTGCTGCTAACTTTGTGAAAATAGGCGTCATTTGTTGAAAGACCTTGAACCGTATGTATGCTTATTCGAAGATTGCGCCAACTCTCATCATCACTACAGAACAACCGATGAATGGATCAGTCATATGCAATGGCAGCACACTCTTACTTGGTTCTGTCCGATTTCTCAGCACAGGGAAGCGTGTTTCTACTCCAAAGACGATCTGGCAAGCCATCTACGATCAGAACATGCTGGTACTTTCTCCCAGTCTCAGCTCGACGTTTTCACTCAGAAGAATGCTCGTCCCGCATCAGACTTATTTGAGATATTAGCCGGCCAAAGCAGGGCCAATTTTGGAACTCCGTCAGATTGTCCATTGTGTCTCTTCTCGGCATCTGATGTAATTTCACCGCCAGAGAAAAAGCCACGCGACCAGTCCATTGACAGTTCATCACTGGCCGTCCCGGAAACAGATAATAGTCGCGAAAAGATCATTCGAAATCACATTGCCTTACATCTAGAAGAGTTTGCTTTGCTGTCACTACCAGAGAAGGAGTATAGTGAGGATGCTGACCCTAGTCTCGGCCTCGAGCAATCAGAAAGCAATGGAACAGGTAGAGATGAGGAAGACATGCCCTCTCTCATGTTTAGCAGCTCCTCTGAAGAGGAATCGGACGATGAACTCGCCACAGATCAGAACGTCAAAATAGTATTATCTGACGAAACCGACTACCGATTCCTAGACCCAGACGAAGCAAACACAATCGACCAAATCTGGATGCACGTAATTTCATATCGACAATCCATTAGTGACCAGCCGGAGCCCCTCGACATATCGCAAGATCCGACATTGCAAACATTTTTGCAACGGGCCCGAATGAGTCAGAGCCGAGCCACCATACCGATGATCGTTATTATAGATGAGAATGGTATCCAGACATATGAGGATACGGGGGAGGATATAACTAAGATGCCGGAATCATCGTCGGGAGCAGCAGACGAAATCAATATAACTCAGTATAGACTTCGTAGTAATTAGGGCTAGGCCTTGTTTACCTAAGGTACTCTGTGTGTTAAGCCTGTTGGCGGGGCACACCGAAGGAGCAATTCGGCGACGTTCGATAGGCATCCAGAGCGCATGCCGTGATACCGAGTGCATGCTTATGAAGCAAGTCCTTTATTTGACAGATCAAACCTCGTCTTCCTCAGCATGACAAATTTTCTTCCGTACTTCACTAATTTCACGATGGATTATCCTACAGCACGTCAACACTGAAAGTTCAAGATGCCGTGTTTTGTGTTAAATAAGTGAAATCTCTCGAGCCGTTCCGAGGTCGCTTTCATGTGACTCAACTCGAATAATTGTCCGGACCGATTTGATTGATAGCTACACCTTGAGCCCGGACTAATATTCCTCAACTTCAGAAATTATAAAACTGAAACACCAACGGTGGCCGAAAGCCACACGACTAAAACCATGAATCTCAAGCCAGTTCTAACAACAGAACCCTATCCCGCCGAGGCAGAAAAAGGACAAGCTACAACGCCCTTCGCCCACCAAGTCGCAGACAACGACATCATGAACCCGCCAACTACAGAGGAAGAAGAGCAGTTACCCAAAGAAGAGCAACTCCGCCTTGAGAAGAAACTGCGCCTAAAAGTAGATTTGCGCTTATGCACAATCGCTGGATTACTATGTAGTCTGAACCTACTCGACTCTGGGATTATATCCTCTGCATCAGTGACGAGCATGATCTCCGATTTGGGCCTTGAGGGTAATCGGTATTCAGTGTCGATTTTTATTTTTACGGTTTCTAGTGTGGTGTTTCAATTACCCTCCACAATCGCCGTGCGATTTGTCGGCCCGCGGATATGGTTTGCGCTCATCACGTTCTGTTTTGGCCTCATTACGCTGTGCACTGCATTTGTGCAGACGTGGCGGCAGATGATTGCCCTGCGCGTTTTGCTGGGTATTTCCATGTCCGGGATCTATCCCGGGTTGACGTATCTAATAAGTACATGGTATACACGCAAAGAGCAGCAATTGCGATTCGCGTTCTTGCAATCTGGTGAAGTTTTGGTGCTCGCAACAGGGAATATAGTGAACTATGGACTGAATCATCTCGACGGTCACGCCGGACTCGCGGGTTGGCGGTGGATGTACATCGTACAGGGCCTAATCACCTGTCTAATTGGCATCGTAACATATTGGTGGATGATCGATTTCCCCGAGAAGGCTGCAAAGTCAGTCTGGTTCCTGTCTGAGCCGGAGATTGAGCTTGCCATGGAACGGATTAGAGCTGATAGAGACGATGTTGTCCCTGATCCATTTTCGTGGAAGAAGGTTGCGGTCAATTTCTTGGACCCGAAGTTGTATGGGTTCGCGGTATTGTTTTTCTTGCTGAATCTAGTGTCGACGTCGATGTCGTATTTCCTGCCTATCATTCTGGAGTCTGGGATGGGATTCTCGGAGAATGCCAGTATTGTACTTTCTGCGCCGGTGAGATTTATTGTTACTTGTTTCATCAATTTTCCACTGACATTTGCAGCCATACTACTGGGCCGTAATCCCAGTCCTCCTGACCTCTCTAATGGGCGATAGATTCCGCCTCCGCGGCCCAGCAATCATCTTCAACGCCCTTGTCCTCATTGCAGGCTTTCTAATGTTCGGCCTCCCAATCTCCCACCAAGTCACAGTTCGGTACATCGGCACCTATCTCACTACGGGCGCCTATGTCTCAAACTGGGCGGCCCTAAATGCGTATCAGGCCAACAACATCGTCGGCCAATGGAAACGAGCAACTATCGCCGCGGCCGTGACGGCTTGTAATGGCCTGGGAGGCATAGCAGGTAGTTTTATAGTGCGGCAGCAGGAGGCGCCGTGGTATCCGACAGCGGTGTGGGTGTCGATTGGCTCGCACATATTGATGATTGTGATTGTGGGTGGGTTTACGGTTTATTTCAAGATGGAAAATGATAAGCAGAAAAGAAAGGGGAGGGTTATTGAGGGGACGGTAAGTACCCTTCTTAAGTCGGTGTTTAATGCGTGCTGATGAAGAGTATAGCCTGGATTTAGATATACGTATTAGATGATACGACGAAGAAAGGATCATCATTACAACATCTTTAAAGCATGTATATGGTATGACATGATGTTTCGATTTATGAAAGACTAGAATATTAAACCAGCACTCGAATGGGGTGGATGGTATGATGATCAATATATGCACGACTGAATACAGGAATTGGCGGGGGTATACAACTGACGAATTAATGAAACAAAACTTCCTTCAATATACAGCACTTGAGACCTCTTTATTATGTAATGCCATATCAAAGGCTGGTCATATACCCCTATCAGTCTGCTCCAATTTACTCACCAACCTCTTCATACCTGCCCACTCCTCAGCCGGCACCTCCTCCACAGGACCACTCAACGCCTTCCCAACCTCAAAGACAGTAACGACTCCATCCAGACCACCTGTAGCCAACCTCCTCCCCTCACGCTCTTCCCATGCAATCTTATTCAGACTTCGCGTCAACACGCCACCCCGGCCCGGCGTTGGCTGTGTTTTGACGGCTGGTACTTCGGTATCATGATATAAATCCCATACCTCGACGTTACCCGCTCCGTCAACGAGACCAAATACTCCGGGACGGTGCGGGGACCATCTCGCGTCGTATACGACATCTTCACGGTTGATGTCAAGTAAGGGGGAGATGACCTGAGGGGTAGAAGCGAGTCCGCCGGCTGTCGCCGATGCGGCTGTTGTGGCGGGTGGTCTGACGCGCCAGAGTTTCACGCTCCAGTCCAGACTAGAGCTGAGCATGAGATCGCCAAAGTCGACGGGGCCACGTGCTGGGTGGAAGGCTGTTGACATTACGGGTGCGGCGTGTCCGCGATAGGCGAGGCGTTGATCTGTGCCTGCTTTTGCGCCTGCACGGTCGTAGCGATGACATGGGTAGATGCCGCCTTCTTCTGTGCCAACAAGGAAAAAGGTTGGGTCGGATTGGGGAAAGGACATTGTTGTAGGTGCGAGATCTTCGGTTCTTGAGGGGGGAGGGGTGGTGAGTTCGAGGTATTCTTGGGGTTGCGAGAGCATGTCTACAGTCCAGCCGCAGACCACGCCGTCGGTCGACGCGGTGAGAATATTGTGTGCGTTTTGGGTGCCGATTATGGCGATGCTGTAGACGGGATGGGTGTGGCCTGCGCCTGTGAGGGGGGTTTTTTGGACCGGTGCGCCGCCTCCAGCACGGCTAGATCGAGTATCCCATAGCAGGACTTGACCGGAGTATGTGCCGCCAACAATTAAATTAGGGTGAAATGGTGAGAATTTCGCGGTGAGAATATCTGATGTAGAGTGAAAAACGTATTCCGGGCGGGAGTGGAGATGTTGATTCCAGACTTGAAGCAAGCCGTCAGGCTCGTGTGGTGCAGTTGGATTTTTAGTATATGCAGCAAGAATCAACTCTGGAAACTTTGCGTCCGTTAGTTTGACGACTCATACTATTTCGAGTAGTTTGTCATACCTTTGGTGAAAAGCTCAAATCGCTGATTGTTCGCTTCTTACTCCATCGCTCATCGTAAAATTGTGCGATTTCTTTAATCCCTCTTCGCTTATTCCCAAATTCGTCATCCTCCTCGTCATCCGCGTTCACTCCGCCGAGTTCATAGTCCGCCAGAATATCATATTCCTCATCCAGTGCGCGTTCAATGACTTTACTCGACTTTTCCACAAAGTCTAAAAAGTCATCCGACGAGGTGACTGCATTGAGTTCATCGTCGTTCAATGTGCGAAGCGGGTATCTCAGCTGACTCGAAGATGCCGGTATTCCATTTCCATTAAGCTGCTGAGAGGCCTGTAGCTCTTCCTCAATTTCCCTGCGGATTCTTTCGCGAATCTCATCATCTTTTTCCCGCTCTCTCCGACTCAATCTCTTGGACGGAGTAGAAGGAGCTTCCTCGTTCTCTGCTAATGGATAATCTGCTATCGTGTTTGGTAGATCCGGAAGATCGTCCGTTTGCACAGCTTTACTATATGTGACTGTTTCCTTTCTCGGTTCAGGGGCAGGCGCCGGTTCTGATACAATCGGGCCGGTTGCTTCTGTTTGCGTGGCGACAGACTGCGACACCATTCGAACGGGTGGTGGTGAGAAAGCCTCTGCATTTTCGCCGCTGAGTTGGCTTGCACTCAGCACTGAATTGGGGCGACTGCCTCTACGCGAGGGGCCTTCTCCGTCTTTGTATGAGGATGATGAGGGTCGATCGACGAGGCGCGATATGAGGCTGTCAAGCTCTGCCCTGCTGTCTGCTCGACTCGGAACGGGTGATACTATCTATCATCATTTATTGTAAGCATACACAGCTTTAAGAGCTGATAAATAGCTTGTTTACCTCTGAAGCATCGCCAATGCTGGCTCGATTCTGGCTGAACTCTTTCTGGCGTAATTCTCGTTGCCGCTTGAGTTCTGCGAGCTTTGCCTTCTTGGCAAGGATCTCGTCCTTGCGCGCTTGCATTGTTAATTCCTTTCAGTCGAATGTCAAGCGTGATGTTTCTGTCGTCCAAAGATAATTGTTGTCATGTCCCCCGTCGATAACATGTGGAGCGCGCGCGGAGAGCGTCAGCCAGTTAGAGTCGCGGAGTGCCTTGAAGTTGCCCGCTGACATAAGCACGCCTTGGCCGTCCGCTCGCCGGCGGCCCGGAAAAACTCGCGACAGAACTTCTATCCTTGATGCAAGTAACTAATACTTCAAGCTTCAGTTATACAGCCATTGACACTAGATACCCGCGCGACTCGCTTTTTGGTATCTAGCCTTTTAATATCATTTCTTTCGCTGATTTCCTTCCTCGTCTCTGAGAGGTAGGATCGATCGTCATGGCTTCACAAGGTGTCAACGTGAGTCCAACTCCACGTCGTTCGCATGCAATTGATTTGCAGAGCCAACTTCTAACATTCCATTTTCCTGACTGTAGGTCCTCCGCTGGTCCGCCCTCTTCGGTGGTGTCTTTTACGGTCTCTACCATCAGTCCACCCTCAACACCCAGGCCAAACAGGCCGAAAACGAACGAGAATACAAGCACAAGGAATCATTGATTGCAAAGGCCAAGGCCGAATGGGCCAAGAAGAATGCACCTGCTGGTGCCAACGGTGGTCGTACGTACTCCCCACATCAACAATGCTGGAACAGAAGATCAGGACGAATAGTTGACGAATCTGCAATAGTTATCACGGACCCCGAAGATCCCAAATTCGACCTAGAAAAGTTCCTTATAGCCAAGGCGGAGGAGAAATAGATGCGCTGTACTCAATAATGGACGACTGTCTGGCGGAGGATATGGGTTAATAGATGGCATTCTTATTTTCTCTTTTCCACATGAATTATAGATGCCTACACGAGAGGGCATTTACTACGAAGGGCATATGGCTGAAGCCAAATCTGTATTATTTACATCTCCTTTGTATTTCTTCTTTTTTTTGATTGTTCTGTCATGGTTTTCCCAAAATATTGACTTTGTGTGAGTGAGAAGGAAAAGAATCTCATCATGATAGACCAATTATCTGCCATCTTGTACATATCCAGTCTTCCAACGCTGCCTACACATTAAAGTCTGATGAGCTGTGTACGCCAGAGTATTGCATCATGTACTGTTCCAAGGGCATTTATCTAAAATGCAGCAAGTCTCTTAAGTTAAATTTGAGCTGGCTCGTATCATAATTCGTCATGTATTGTGTTGTTATCGTAAAGCCATATTCTAAACGCTCTATGAATGTGATAGCTTCTTTCAGCTCTAGACACTCGCCAAACCCACGGTGCGACTAATTTGGTCGAGGGGTGGTCTGGCTTTGCCGGCATTGACAAGTTCGTCAGGTACATGTGGTCGGAAGAGCTCTTTCTCGGCATCCCAGTCCCACCCTCGTTTCACCAATATGTCTGTCAATTCTGCGTTGTTCTGTAATCCGAGGTATTCTGCAGCTACTTCAGGTCTGATCGATTCGTAAATGCGACTTATGTTGCGGAATGACTTTTCAGTGTAATAAGCTGCGAAACAATATGTCAGCTATACAGCTATAAATCTTCCAGACAAGACGTCGGAGTAGTAATTACCGTCAACCCTCTCAACAACGATATCGACCGGCTTTGGCCATGGCTGACCCCTTAGTAACGCGAAGGTTTCGGAGAATTTATTTTGGTAAATTGACCGTAGTATCGCAATGCTGTGCTGTATGACTGGCTCATTTTGGATCAACGTCGAGGGGATGCGCTGCGTTAAAGCACGAGCTTCTTGTCTAGTTTCAGTCAGCGTCTGTGACGAACGAATATAACCGCCACGCTTACATTTCGTCGATGATGAGGTGGGAGAAAAGAAAGGAGGAGTAATAGGCAGTCAAGACTGTCGCGTCACCGGTTATCCCAGCTGGGGTGAACTGCTGGCAGGCTTCATCTTCGTAGGAACTGAGGAGGTCGTAGAGAGCGTCGTTCGAGAGATTTTCTGTTAGCGCTTGCTGCAGCTGCTCGAGAGACAGCGGTGCGCCCATTCCGTTCCTGTAAATGTCCAGACAGAATAATGGTTGTAAAGCTTGTCAGAGTAGTGTTGCTAAATCCAAGCCGATGATAGAGAGTTGCGGGGACTAGTCAACGGAGATAATCGATAGACCCGCACTCCACTTGGCTTGCGTAGTCCCGAGCTGCCATTCGCCAAGACCGACAAGAGACCTAGCTGTCCTTAATTATCCTACCTTCTCTATCTCTATCCAGGTTGACTTGCACACAACACGCCCATGATTTCCCTGCATTGAGTCTTCTTCGTTGATTGATTTTGTTTGCTACCGGCCGTCATGGCCTCCACAGCAGTCGACCCCTTTTTGAAGGGAAACACAGGGAGAAATACTCGCGGCCTCCTCCGCATCGTCATTCTATGCACCATTGCTGCCGCTGCCATTGCCAGTCGTCTTTTCAGTGTGATCCGTACGTCTCAATTGATAAACAATAACTTAGTTCCTTTATGACTGACTTGTGGCTAGGCTTTGAAAGTATTATTCACGAATGTACGTTATCAGATTATCCATGAGAATTGGTAGGTGCGATTTGGCCGATGCTTACAATACTTGTGCAGTCGATCCCTGGTTCAACTTCCGAGCAACAAAACACTTAGTCGAGCATGGCTTCTATAGCTTCTGGGACTGGTTCGATGATCGTACGTGTTGATATCATCAAGCGTGGAGAGGACGAGCTGACAGTTTAGGAACGTGGCATCCTCTCGGACGTGTCACTGGTGGTACTCTCTACCCCGGATTGATGGTGACCAGTGGTGTGATCTATCACTTCCTTCGATTCCTCACGATTCCAGTCGATATTCGCAATATCTGTGTCCTCCTCGCACCTGCATTCTCCGGCTTGACCGCATTGGCGACTTACCTCCTGACCAACGAAATGACCACTTCGCCTTCCGCTGGTCTACTCGCTGCGGCATTCATGGGAATCACACCTGGATACATCTCAAGATCCGTCGCCGGAAGTTATGACAATGAAGCAATTGCCATTTTCCTACTTGTTTTCACCTTTTTCCTCTGGATCAAGGCCGTCAAGAACGGCTCCATCATGTGGGGAGCTTTGACAGCGTTGTTCTATGGATACATGGTGTCTGCATGGGGCGGATACGTCTTCATCACCAATTTGATTCCATTGCATATTTTTGTGCTCATTTGCATGGGCCGATACAGCTCGCGTCTGTACATCAGCTACACCACCTGGTACGCATTGGGAACGCTTGCAAGTATGCAAATTCCTTTTGTTGGCTTCTTGCCAATCCGCAGCAGTGACCACATGTCTGCTCTAGGTATGTTCATTAGGGCGATTATTAAGAATCTATTTACTTACTTTTGCAGGTATCTTTGGTTTGATCCAAGTGGTTGCTTTTGTCGATTTCATCCGTGGCCAAGTTCCCGGCAAGCAATTCCAGACTCTCCTGACCTCCTTGGTCTTGCTTATTTTCGGTGTTTCATTCATCGGACTGGTCGCTTTGACACTCTCTGGTACCATTGCACCATGGAGCGGTCGTTTCTACTCTCTCTGGGACACAGGTTACGCCAAGATCCATATCCCCATTATTGCCTCTGTGTCCGAGCATCAACCCACAGCATGGCCCGCTTTCTTCTTCGATCTCAACTTCTTGATCTGGCTTTTCCCAGCAGGTGTCTACATGTGTTTCCGCGAGCTTCGTGACGAGCACGTGTTCGTTGTTATCTACTCTGTCCTTGCAAGCTACTTTGCAGGTGTGATGGTGCGTTTGATGCTTACCCTCACTCCCGTGGTATGTGTTGCGGCCGCTATTGCATTGTCATACGTCTTGGACACGTACTTGCTCCTTAAGAGTCCGGAACCTGCCAAAGATGCTGCTCCAGCGAAATCAGATGGACTTCGAAGCGAACGTGGTACTAATCATGGCATCCAATCGACATTCTCGAAAGTGTTCACTGCTGCCTCTGTCTCAGCCTATCTTCTGCTCTTCGTCGCTCACTGCACCTGGGTTACCTCCAATGCCTACTCCTCGCCATCCGTTGTGTTGGCCAGTCGCATGCCTGACGGCAGCCAGTTCATCATCGATGACTACCGTGAAGCATACTACTGGCTCCGTCAAAACACCGAAAAGAACGCCAAAATCATGTCCTGGTGGGATTATGGCTACCAGATTGGTGGTATGGCTGACCGACCAACCCTAGTTGACAACAACACCTGGAACAACACACACATTGCAACCGTCGGCAAAGCGATGAGTTCTCGCGAAGAAGTCAGCTACCCTATCCTCCGCCAGCATGATGTTGACTACGTCCTTGTGGTCTTTGGAGGATTACTCGGCTACTCCGGCGATGATATCAACAAATTCTTGTGGATGGTGCGTATCGCAGAGGGCATCTGGCCGGACCAGGTGAAGGAGCGAGACTTTTTCACTGCACGCGGCGAATACCGTGTCGATGACGAAGCCACACCCACCATGCGCAACAGCTTGATGTAAGCCCCCTCCCGTCTTCACCTACTCTTTGGAAACCTAACTAATCTTTCATAGGTACAAAATGTCCTACTACAACTTCAACAATCTCTTCCCCGCAGGCATGGCCCAAGACCGCGTCCGAGGCGTCCGCCTCCCCGCCGAAGGGCCCCAACTGAGCACCGTAGAAGAAGCGTTCACCAGCGAAAACTGGATTATTAGAATCTACAAAGTGAAACCACTCGACAACGTGGGCCGCGATCATCAAAGCGCCGTGGCCTTCGAGAAGGGTCACAAGAAGAAGAAGAGTACGAAGAGGAAGGGCGCTCCTGTTCTAAGAGTCGAATAAATTAGACACCCAGAAGCAAGAACTGATTGAAAGTCTCGTTTTTCTTGGTTTTTATTTCGCTTTGGGACACACGCTACCTATTTTCAATATTATATAGGCGGTATCTAACATTTTGACGAGGGCAAAAATTTTGTGACGTTCTTGTTTTGCATAATTTCGATCAGTTTTCTTTGTATGATAATATCTACGTATAGTATAAATGAGTATTTGCTTCACCGGGTTTGAGAAGAGCTTCAATATTGAAGATTCGATTTCACATACCGTCTTTGTTTGGATGTACTCATGGGTTTGCCAGATGCTACGAAGTATCTACGTAAGCTGCCGTGTTGCTTATCGACTTGACATGTTAAGTAGGTATTCCCCCTAGTATACAGATACCCATGCATTCATTTCATAGTATTTAGTTATCGAAAGTAGAGAAAAACCTCCGATCGGACAGCCGAGCATATAACCACGACGGACGTGGGTAATTAATAAATATGTTGTTACAAGTCCCCTTTCCGTCCTTTTCCTCCTTTGAAACCGTCTTCAAGGATACCGACACATCATGCATTGGTGGTAAGCTGTTGCGCACCATTAGTAGCACTATGCAACTCTCGGGGTTGTTGGGACGCAATTACTTCCGGCCGCCATCGGGAGAGGACTTTGCTGGCTGCTGGGCGTGCTTCTTCGTCTGTTTGTGGGTTGTTAGTATGATATTCTGGGTGAAATTTTGGGTAAGAGAGACGTACAGGTGCTGTATATCTCCTCCAAGGCATTGAGACATATCTCCCTCGACGGCGGGCGGAACATTATCAGATAACTAGACGGTGCTTTAGCAAATCGCTGATGTATTCAATAGGGTGGGTTCTTCGCGGGGGTAAGGGCTTACTGCAAAGCTTGAACACATAAATTAATGCGCTCCGGATCCCTGGCCAGAGTTTGCACGCGCCCAATGATGGATAACGTAACCTCCGGAATCTCACTCAAAAATCTAATCAAAATCTTGATATCCCTTGCATCCAGATAGGGTAATATGCCACCCAACAACCTCAAAACCCATGAATCGTAGTGCAGCGGCACGGAGACGTCTTCATCAGTCTTCTTTTCCCCGTAACGCTGTGATGCGGCGGCGCTCATTTGCATGCGGTCATTGTACCATTCTTCGTTCAGCCACATGATGCCGATGTTGATTCGTGACCGAAAGTCCTCAAGGATGTGTCGGTAGAGTAGTTCGCGGATGTAGTTTGATATTGTGGGACGGCCGTCAGAGGTCGTGATTTCGCTGCCGGCAGCGGCTTCGAGTTTTGAGGGTGCCCGCGTGGCCATGCGGACTAGCATTGTTATCCATGCTTCTTTTGTGTCGAGGGAGCCTCCGGCGAGACGCGCGAAGCCTTTTCTTTCAGAGGATGAAGATGAAGTTGTAGCTGCGCCGCCAGCAGTTGCAGGTTTGGTGGTAGCTGCTGCTTTGAAGGGAGTAGCTATCATCATCTCGAAGACGCGATCGGCGGCTGCGCGGCCTATTTCGTTTGCTTCGTATTCGGTCAAAGGTGGAGGCCTGCTGAGTTGGAATGGTCCTAGCTCAGGCTCCAAGTCGAATATAGGGGCTGCAGTATCTTGAGCTTCGGTCGAGGGGATGTCGATAGGTTGATATTCGGGCTCATATTCGTCGTCTTCCTCTTCCGCGGATGCCTTGGCTTGTTGTGCTTGTCGCGCTACTAGAGTTTGATATCGACCTCGAATACCCTACTGTCGTCAGTATCGTGTTTCCTTCTGCTTAAGGTGAGCACTTACCTCAGTCGCTTGGGCGAGAGCATTAGGATCAACGCGTCCGAGCACAGCTACGGCAATTTTGACAATCAGATCGGGAGGTAATTGCTTGACGTCAAATGAGGACAGTCCAATGTCTTCTGTGAGGGTATACAGTTGAGAGTAACTAATAGGTCCTTCGGGAAGAGGAGATATTTTGAGTAACGGAGGGCTTTCGGCAACCAATCTGGCTCTTTTTGCGTTGTCAAGACCGTCTGTGGGTTCAAATGGTAGTGCGCGTTTCCGGGAAGATGCATCGAATGCTTCTATGCAGTTCTGGGCTAGTCGTTCTATGTGTTGGTGCATCTTTCCGGCCAGGGGATGATTAGGGTTTCTGTAGTAAATAACGTCAGTTGGATGTGTAATACCCATCGAATTTTGAACCAACCTTTTCAGTAGATTGATCAGCACAGCGCGCGTTGTCCGCTCCATTGACTTGATCTTGACACGCATACTAGGCGTCAAAGGCCCGTTACCTACTTTGATAGGGTTGAAGTTCAATAATGTTTCCAGTATCTTATTAGCGATGGTAGGTCGAGTGCGAATCAGAATTCCGAGGCAGTTGATGGTCGCATTGACAAGAATGGCATCACTATAGTCTATAAGCCACGAGCCCTAACCCTTCGTGAAAGTACTTACTCGGCATTTTCTTGAAGGACAGTAAGCAGCCGGTCCAGCAAACCAGACGCTTCCGCTTCGAGATTCGGTATGGATAGCAATGAATGCGTCCTAGGCACAATGGCTATGGAAGTTTCATTTCTCTCAGGTCGCTGTAACACATAAATTAACACCTCTGTACATATACCGAGATAGGAAAGAGTACGCACTCGTGGATCAGCAATCGGCCCCGGGGTCTGAGTATGGACAACCTTCTGCACAAACTTGATGCAGCATACCCTGACGGGATGTGGTGCAGTGTCCATTCTCTGGAGAATATTATGCTTTATTGCTGTGATTTGATCCCACATGGCCGCGTCGTTTGGATGGTGAATTCTAGGCGAACACCAGGTTAGACATCGAACGAGTATTGACGGGGCTACTTTTGTCCAACGGAGGGACATTTCTACGATATGCTAAAGGGAGTTTGCGATAAAACAGAACATACATATGCCTGAACACGAGCGGATACAGACTCGACGCCGTCTGCACCGTGCTTTTGATGACTGCCACATCCTGCGCTTCATTGCCCAAGTATTCATTCAGCGTAGGAAGAACTGTACCAGCGAGCTGTTCCTTGCGGTCTGAAGGCAGCGTCGTATTTGCGAAAGTCTCCGCAAGAAAATCGGCGCCCCATCGTCGAAGGTCTAATCGCGCATTTGCGCCGATGATGGGTAGGATACCCTGTAGGACTTGGGGGTAGAGTGCGGCGTCGGAGAGGACGAGGTTGCGAGCTGCTTCGAGCTGGGTTAGTTGCTCTTTCAGGTCGACTTGCGCCATTATGTTGACTCCGGGGCAGCTGGCGCAGCCGCCGCTAGAATGAGTTTCTATTCAGTAGATGACCGGTCGATGTCCAAGCTAGCGATGCACGTAGCGCAAGAGCTCTCTAGTCGCGTGTCGAAGTTTGAATCGGTATTTTGCGCGGAACAGTATGGGAAGTTGTATGGGAACGAGACAAAAGCTGAGCCTGGTTGAGAACACTCGAATTTTTCGAGTCTAGCTACGAGGAATTGGAGAGGATATGTTCTTGTCGAGAAGGAGGTCGACACTTGATCTTTGTTCTTGGCTGAGCAACCAAGCTCGACGGCTAGGAACAAACATCAGCACATGACGAGCCAATTAGCGCACACTCTGCACCGCCACATATTTGAGTCGTCCACAAGTATATTTAATAATACGAGGATAGTCAACTTACCTGTCAAATGCCAGATACTACTAAGCATCCATTAGACTCAGATTGATACGAACTCTACTATATTACTTTCATGAATTTCAGTTACAGCCATATATGCGTACAGCATCCTCTGCCAAAAATGTCTACTCATGCGCCACACCACATGATGCCAAGCCCGTCGGACGATCACCAAATTGTGGCTTTCCTCCATCTTTCTCCGACATCTTCATTTCTCCCGACAAGATATTCCTCTCATTCACCTCTCTAGTCGTACTACCTCTGTGCAAGCGCTCAAATTGACGGTCACGATGCCCTCCGGACTGTACGCCATTTCTGCCCTATCTCAGCATCGATTCCCTCAACTTCCACATACACTCCTCCCCATCCACCCGGTCTTCAACCCACACCCAAGAATAAATCCCCAAAACTAACCTCTCCATATCCAATAGCTTCAACTCAACTTACTACGGTAAAGACTACCGCGCCGGCGCCGCCTTGCTCCGCGCTCGGCGACCCTATCTCGTGAGAAACGCATTGACGGGTCTCGGTCTTTGTGGGTTTGTCGTCGGTGTTTGTATGTTTTTCCTCTCACCCTCCGTCACCATTGCCAAGTGATCGACTGATGATGGTTACTAGATGCATTCACAATCCGCGCAGTTGGTCAAGAAGATTTCTCCGATGTCGTCGTTCCCTCCACGCCCGCTGCGAGTCAACAGCAGAAATAGAGGACTTCCCTTACAATAAAACAACAACATTGTACAAATATATTGAAACCGATACGGGGGAGTTACTGTTAGCATTTGGCGTTTAGGATTCTTTTGCGAAGCGTTTATGTTTGACTGTGTGGAGGAGAATGGAGAATATTTAGTTATATGACCTTGGGCCAGAGAAAAGGCTAGGCTTGGTTTGATATATTTAAGATGGAACTCGAGATCCAATTTATTGATCACTCCGCATAGCTTGCAATAGATGCACAACACAAACTTCGGCGTCGTAATCATCCATTTTTTCGCGCTCTCAGACATCTATTCTCCATTCATTCATTCATTATATACAAAAAGCGAAGACCAGCAGCAAAGTAATATCAAATAAATAGACCACAACGCTTACACCGTTCACATGCCACGCATCTTCTGCAATGAGAGTTTCCATATCAAATCAATCAATCAGTCAATCACCAATCCCATCCCTAGAACACAAACTCCGGATCAAAATTATATCACATGAAAACCCCTCAAGCAAGTTTCAAAGCCAACTTTGTCCCGCCTCTCATTTTTATTCGCGTACTGTGCAGAATTATATGTGTCAAGGTCGTAAATCCCTATTGTCTCGACAGGGGAAAAACAGGTCGTGAAGTACATCTTTTGGAGATATGCGATGACATGCATGATGTCACTCACTGAACAGAATGGGCATCACAAGGTAAACTCATCAGTTATTATAAAGAAGTTTTGCTATTGTCACCGCGCGATCATCCGACTGGGCCCTGATCCAGTCATGAGCCCGGAAGAATGAATGCCACCCAATGGTTTATTGGAAGTAGACAGTGGAGGGGAGGATTCTCTTTTCGAAGTACCAAATAAGCCAAATCGGGGAGGAGAGTAAGCTGGGTTTCGGGTGGGAGCTTCATGTCTGGCTTCAAATAAATGACTTGGGTTACCGGATGGCACCTTGCGGACATCGAGTGGAGACGAGCTTTGAGATCTGAAGCCAGACTTCCTGTCCAAGGCATCAAAGTCGACGGTGCCAGAATGAACACCCTGTTGTCTATGATCCTGTTCCATTCCATATGGAGTGTTGGCTGTCGAAGAGTTTGCAGCGGACGCATTGTCTGCTATAGTAGATGCAGATCCATTTGGTGCGTTGATATCTATAACACGCTTCTGTGCTGCTGGTGTTGTGAAAGATGTCGAATTGGCCAGATGTGCAGGCCGATTCGCTTGCACGTATTGAGGATTAGCCCAGATAGGCTGTTGTTCGTGATGGCTTTCTTCAGCCGTTGTATAGCGGGGCGGATCGGAAGAAATGCCTCCTCGTATTCCAGATTGCGGAGCCACAACCGGGCGGTGTTCAATGGAAATCTGCCAAACTCACTGTGAGCTGAACGCACCCCAAAGAAGAAGATAAAATTGACTTACGCCCATTTTCTCAAAGTCATCGTCGATTTCAGTCGTACGAGCTGCAGACAGGGTTGGCGCTGCAGGAAAGCCAACATACTTTGCAACTCCAGCCATGACTGATACTTCTTGGTTGTATGCGGCTTGTTGCGATATTTGCTGAGATCGTCTGGTAGGGAAGGGAATATAATGATGAGCGCCAAGCTCTTCGGTCTTGAAGCGATCATGCTGGATAGCATAGAATTGCTTGCTAACAGCAGTAGAGTGCTTCTCTCGCGTATCTCGGATGCGCTGAAAGTACGTGCTGTGGATTTGAGCGCGATCGGCAAGACTCCGACTCATGAGCGACTGCATGCGATACTGATACAGCGTATGCTCATAGTTGATTTTCTTGTCGCGATGTCGCTGTAGACATTCAAGCTGGCGCACAAGTTCTGGATGCGTTGGTTCTGGACTTGTAAGTTGTTCTAGTTCGCGATCAATCTTGGCAATTTTTTCATCGTATATTCTGAAATCGTTAGTATTAGAGCTTCTATCCTAGCAAGGGTCAAGCTTACTTTTCCCGCAGTGTCGCGAATTCTTTTTCCAAAACCGCGAGAGCGTCAATCGCTGCAACTTTTCTAGCCACTGCCAATAATCAGCAAATCGGTCATCCGGCGGAAACAATTGACTTACATTCTTCTTCTGATTTAGCAGTGGCGTCAGCATCGTTAGCATCGTCAGCTACGTCGCCTGTTTCCTCGTCGTCTTGCAACTGATCCTCGGTATTTTCAGCTCCATTCTCCAGGTCTTCGTCGGTATCTCGCGCCCTTCTGCCTTTTCGCTTACCCTTCTTCACACCGCGCTTGGCGCCCCGAGTTGCGGCGGCAGGAGTAGCAGAGTCTTGTGCTTCATCGAGTGGAGTTCCCTTTCCGGATGCATCGTGTTGACCGACTTCTTCGGTTTCTTCGCGCGTTGTCAGAGCATCAGCACTGGCTTCATCTTGGATTTCATCGACACCAACAGAGCCTCGGCGCTTGCGTAACGGTTCGTCATCTTCACCCATTTCCGTGTCAACATCGTCATTCGCTGGCGGGCGTTTGCGCTTTTTGCCTGCCACGTCTGCGTGTGAATTAGGACTTTCCGCATCAAGGACCGGCGTTTCTATATGGTCGGAAGCACCATTGGTTTTCGATGACCGACGGGTCTTGCTCGGAGTCTCGGTCAATTCGTTCTCATCATCTTCTTCCATTTCGTCATAGGTGGTAGATTGCGCGAGTTTGCTGGGACTGCTTTCAAAGCGGCTCGCCCCGGTCAATTTTATGTTTGATTGTAATCGGTGGTTATTTGGGGAGTCTTCTAACCGTTCGGTTTCGGCTTCGGAATCTACCTCTTCTGGTACAGACCGTTGGGGTGGTGGTAGCTCGTCATCGGAGGGCTCGTTATCCGAGACGTCATCGATCTCACTCAGACTGCTAGATCTCCCATCGTCGCCGAGGGAGTCTAGAGAGATGTCTACGTCGCCAATGACTCTGGACAGATCGACCCCAGCTTGGGTGATCGGTTCAGTGGTCTCAGCGACATCCATGGCGGCGACGGAGCTGATATATTGGTGCGATTGATTTCACAAATATGGTATGAAGCTTCAATATGGTGATCGACGGAATTAAACCAGATAGATGGTGGTTCGCGATCGTGGTGACTAGTGTAGAAAATTTGTTAGCCATTTTGAAGTTACAGCGACCAACACAAATCAATGATTGCAAAACCAGAAAGATTAAAATCACGAATCACGGAAAGACAAGACAAGACATAAGTTCTATGTAAAGTAGTTCGTGGATGTCGTGGGAATTGTCCTGTTTGCAAACGTGTTGACGAGCTCTCAGCGGCTATCGGGAGAATTGGTCCGCGCTGGTGTTTCCTCCTCGTGCCAGAGGGCTCAGAAGAAGCAGAATGCCTGCATCGCAAAACGACAATTTTTCATGAGGCTCACCTGTTATCAAAGCGCATTCACAGACGACTGCAGTTTCAGTATGGCGACGTCAGGTAAGACGGTCGACCAGCAGAGACTGACAGCGAACCCCCACCGACACGGGCTCACAAAAAGCACTTTTGCCTGCAAGAAGAAAGCAGTGCGCCAACAGATCGACGAAATAGAAAAATAACGGCGAATAAGTAGCGCACGAAGCTTCGAAGTCTAACGGGTTTCTGGTTTGACCATGCGAAGAGGAAGCGAAACGTTCAGCATTGGAAATCGAGGAAAGCTCCCGATGGCGGAGAGAGAACGAGCGATCAAGGGAAAACGAATGAGGAAAAAGAGACCGGAGGCAGAGGAAATGCGAATCGAGTGTACGAGCGTGTTGAGCTGAAGAGGAACGAGTAGAAATATGGTACGAGCGAAGTCAGCGACAAGTGGTGGTGTGAGTTCGCAGTTCTGCAGGATGAAGTTGGAATGGCATTTGGTAGAGGAAGAGGAGGGTGCAGCAAGTGACTGACCTGGTTTGGTTCCTGTGCCGGCGGCTTTGGGGGAAAAGCGGACGTCCGCCAATGGAAGGCATTCTGCCATGGGCGGTATCTTTCTGCCGCGGATCATTTCTAGCCTTCGACGCGGCTTGATTCTTTTCTGGACGCGTACTGACCAATCACCACTTGAAGTTGCGTTCACCGCCCGGGTTTCGGTCTACCCTCGCCACGTGACCTCAGCCCGGATGCGTCGCCTCGTCGCATTTTCTGACGTCCTGCTGGAGGAATTATGATTCAAGTTAAACAATGCGTAAAGTAGGATGTAATCAACTCTGTGAAGCGTTGGACAATCTTCTATCATGAGAACTTCTATTACAAAACGGTGGACTAAGCTACGAGTCAAGCTTACTCTGGCTCGGATGACTTCATCGCAATGTGCGGTTGTTTTCGGTGTTTTTAACAATCAGATGATCACAGACCATCTTGAAGTCCGCCATCCTCTGGCTCCGTAAACTCCCTCTGAAGTGCATCGCTTACTGAAGACGTATGGATGATTAATCTCAGCAATGGAATAATGTCCTGTACTGAATCAGTATGCAATGCGAAATTTGTGCAACAAACTCGGGGTTCGTTATCGCATGGTCACGTGGAGATAAGAAAGCTTAGATTGCCAAGACATCTAATTTTTTTTGGCCGGTTACACTTCAAAGAAAATTGCTCTATGGTGGAAGACGAGTGTCTTTCTTTGATACACGTCTACATCAAAGTCCAAATACTTCTGATTTGCTGTCTCTGAGGCACGCTCTATATTACACAATGGCAAAAAAATCGAAAAGCAAGTCCGACAAATCGGAAGATACAAAATCGAACGGCGCAGTAACTGTCGTCTCGACAACATTAAAGACCGATGCTCCTGTTGACCCATTGCTGGCTTCTCTCTTCGAAAAAAGTGTTAGTTTTTCTCTTGAGCGCGAGATATGATACAATTGCGACCCTGAATGCTGATTTATTATAGGCTGGGCCAGTAAAGGCACCAACGATACAATACAAGGAATTCGTACCGCAACCAAGGCCTCAACCCGAAGCCACTGAATTAGAGGATGGTGAAGAGGACAGTCAAAACGAAGATGGCTCGGATATAGATATGGGGGATGCGGACCAGAGCGAGGAGGACGGTCAATCTATATCGGAGAAAGAACAATCCACAGAAGTACAACCAAGTCGAAAACGCAAGAGAGGGGCTGCGGACAACTTGGAAGATGTCTATATGGAGAAGCTTGCTCGTGAAGAAGAGAGAGAAAAAGCCAGACGCAAGACAAAGAAATCCAAAGCAGAAGGAGAAGACGAAGACGAAGATGCTGAAAGCAATGCATCTGCAGAGAGTGAAAAGGAAAACTCCGTCGATAGCGAAGATGATGATGCACCACCACCTGCACACGAAACCGTCTCTGGCACTGCAGAGGCTCAAGAACTCGATAAATCAAACCGCACGGTCTTTTTGGGCAACGTCTCAAACACTGCAATCACATCGAAATCTGATAAAAAGGCTCTTTTAGCCCACCTTTCATCCTTCTTATCGAAACTACCGAAGTCTAGCACCACTCATAAGATCGAGTCAATTCGCTTCCGATCAACTGCGTACGGCACAGAAAAGGGAGTCCCCCGACGAGCCGCGTTTGCGCATAAGGAGACAATGGATTCTACAACACTCAGCACCAACGCCTACGTTGTCTACTCTACGCCTATTGCCGCTCAAAAGGCTCCTGGAGCTTTGAACGGGACTGTCGTGCTTGGCCGTCATTTGCGAGTTGACAATATCGCTCATCCGGCGGCTATTGATAACAAGCGATGTGTGTTTGTTGGCAATCTCGATTTCGTCGGACAGGAAAAGGACGAGAATGATGACGAAGAGACACCGAAAAAGAAGAAGAGTAGTCCTCCTGCTGATATTGAGGAAGGTTTATGGCGGACGTTTAATGATAATACCGGGGTTGCGGGTAAGAAGAACGCTGGTGGCGGAAACGTCGAGTCAGTGCGCGTTGTCCGTGATCAGGCAACCCGAGTTGGCAAGGGTTTTGCGTATGTTCAATTCCACGACGAGAACTGCGTGGAAGCAGCGTTGCTTCTGAACGGCAAGAAGTTCCCTCCTTTGCTCCCTCGCAAACTCCGCGTCACTCGCGCACGAAAAATGAGCAAGAAGCGCGACTCTGCCCCTCGCAGAGCTCCTGCGACGGACAGTGCCCACAGTACCCTCCGTGGCCGTGTCAAGAAACTGCTTGGACGAGCTGGGGCTGCCAAAATGCGCAGCGATGACGGCAAACCGTTTATTTTCGAGGGCCAGCGCGCAGTTGAGAAAACTGATCAGTTCAAATTTAAGCGCAGGGGAAGCAAAGGAAGCAAGGGAAAGCCAAAGAACAGGAGCTCGAGGCGCGCGGAGGCATACCGTGCTTCTGGTGGAAGAGCTGCCAGAAAAGCTGGACCGGAGTAATTCGATCATTGGTTATTATGTATTTAGCATTGTTCATGGAAAGTTATGTTGTATGGTTAGGGTTGCCTAGGTAGAGATGTATACTTGCCGACGATCGTCGCTTGCACGAAAACTCACACAATTATCTACCCACGTATTTCTAGTGTCTCACCGTGTAACCCTCTGCAGTAAGACATTGAGTAATGTTTTCCTGAATAAACAGGTTGTAGGCGCAATATCGCCTCCAGCATCACGTGTTCGATCTGGACGCCGGCCAATATGTAGCGACGTCATCGCAATCCTGCCCGCTTCGACGACTGCAAACATTCATTCCTTGTAATCCGACAAAACAACCCACGATTCAAGCTGAGTCACGAAGCGACTGTCACTCTCTTGTGACTCATCCAGTCACTCTTTGAATCACCGGTATCTGCTGAATCTATCACTTCCTGGAGACCTATGAATTTTCCGGTAGAGATATTCCTTCTCTTATTCGTGTACTCTGTTACATGGTACATCCTGAACAAGAACAACGCGATGGATAATAACCATGTCCCTCTGCGATTTAGAGGACGCGGCGGCCGGCGCACGGTTCTTCCTTCATATCCCCATCACAACAGAGTAGAAACAACCAGCGAAATCAGCGGGCCATCTGATGTAGAAAAGCCAAATGCACATGACGACACCAATCAGCGCAAAGAGTTCTACCCTTGTTTGAAAGATGTTTCTGAAGTTAGGGAACTACTTTCCCGATTGTGGTCGACATCGTCGTCAACGTCAACACCGTCAAAAAGACGATGTGTCATGTTGCCGGATGAGGTGATTGATATCATTCTAGATGAGGCGGAGTATTGGCCGAGCGTGGTGACGACACTCAACACGATACCATTTGTAATTGCTGCAGATGGAGATACAGAATGCTTGAAAACGCCGCCACTATGTTATAGTCTCGTCAAAGACGGACTCAAAGAGGACGATGCGTCTTCGTCGGCGGTCGAACAAAGCGCGCGACAGATTCTGCTACACAGAGGCATTCATCCGTGCCGCAAGATTGTCTTTGATATATCGTCTCATGATCAAGGCTGGGGTGGAGAGAGTGCTCACAGAGGCACATTTGAGGGATCCTGGACATGGTTTGATGCATACATCAGACCTTCAACCAACAAAGACGGTGGCGTAGATGAAGATCGCAGAACCTCTGTTACGACTACCACAACCACCACGACTACATCGAGATCAACAGATTCTAGCTCTCCATCAGGAGGGCCAGTTTCGACCACTCCAAGACCATTTCTCCCAGAGGCCACCAAATTACAATGCAACCGCACGGCAACCATCAATTCAACAGATTACCACATTGTCTGGCACTACCTCGATGACGTGGCCGCCGACTCACCAGAAGCAGAGCAAATCGAACGAGAGACGGGCCGAGGCCTCGCAACTCTTGATGGAACTGCGGTACGAAACATGAAAGTCGGCGATGAGGTCTCTGTATGGTTACGGGCACGGTTTGCAGGATGGCGGAATCATGTGGATAAGATGTCTGTTAGGGTATTTTGGGCAGCTTGAGCGTTATGGTTTGTTCTGTTTGATGAATATTGATGATAATGTATAGCTAATATTGAGTACTGTACTAGCACGTTTTCTTAGTTGTTGTTTGAGTCACGAATATCAATACCTTGTACAATAAGAAGCATTTACTGGCGTTTCCCATTGTTTTTAACAGTGACAATACTATTTGTAGCAGTCTACTTCTACCAGCTGATATTATAAAGCCATGTTTTGTTTCAGATACCTTCACAATGCCATTCTCTTCCGTCGCGAACACTTTAGCTTGACCAATCAAAGCAGCTTCTTTGATCAAGTCGATAAATGGTTCAAGATTCAAGCCGCTCTTTTGACTTATAGCTTGTTTCATAAACAAGAACACGACTCCCGGACTTCTATGGAAGGGCGAAGTCAGGATCGCAGCCATGTTATTTTATATATCACGTCTTCCCTTGCCCATCTTTTCGAGTCTTCCATGTCTAAATATCCATCAGCCAGACTTTGCGAATGCTTCACGCAGCTTGAAGCAATACATTAAGAAATACTACTGCTGCAGCCATGCCCGAAATAAGCCGCTGGGAAACAGCTCTCGAAACCAAACTCCGTGGCAACCCCAACGACTACCAAGCCGCAAAGGACCTGTGGCTCAGCCGTCTCCTAGACGCCTTCTCCATCTACGGATTCAGCATCAACACCGACGAACTCATAAACAACCAACTGTTCGTCATCGACATCATTAACGAACCCACGCAACAGATTCGTGTCGTTTTCGCGCACCCAAACTACATTGGCAATGAACGCTCAATCTCCCAAGCCAAATTATGGGGCTCCCTGATCACCAGGATGACGAGGTATCTATGTCAGGTCCGTAATGAGCGAATAGCGTATCGCGAAGTCACTGAATCACAGATTGCGGATAATGGGACGTATTATGCAATCATTTCTGTGGGGAGGTACATTAGATTCTTTGCGCTGGAAGCTGACTCGAATACTTTGATGGATTGTTCGGGTACGAATGAAGCCATGTTTGATGTGTTTCAGGAGAAGAATCAGATTCGGGCGCTGTTTTGGGAGTTGTCGAGGAATAACTCTGAGTTAGCATCTAACTGATTTTCAGAGCTACTCCCTTTTTCTGTGAGATTGGTTCTTATTTGATTAGATAAATATGCTTATGGCCGTGAGTGAGTAGATCGGTGTTAATCTGTCTTTCTAGCATAAATGCGATGATAGACATGGTAAGCTGCAATTATTCAGTTCACATGTGCCCTTCTACCCCAAAGATAATGGCAGGTCCAAGGTTGTCTTTGTCTATGTCGGTAACTGCCATCAAAAATTATCATTTGTATAAATCCATACACCGGGCTTGTCCGTTGTAGAGTATCCATCTGTTTCGGGGCTTACATATGTATATTTTGTCTGAATTTCCCTGGTATATACCTGCGTACATAGGAGTCTCCCATACAAAGAGCACGGCGTTTGCGAGATAGGCCCACCAAATATGGCAAGTCCTTCTTCGATTTGGACAGAATTTCCAGCCCTGTAGCAGGTTTATTCCAAGTATCCTAGGATGGGCAGCATAATCTTAAAAGACTGACAATGTTCGTGGTAAATGAGACCGCGATTCTTGTCATTCAACACGACCCGAGCATCAGGACGTCGAAATCTCAAGAACTGCATCCTTCTGATACACCCTCATTAGAGAACGACCAAAATGGAGAATGTTAATTCATACCCACGAACATCCAACCATCTTCCTAACCACCCGTTAAGCTGTTGACTAACATACCTGTACAGTACACCGAATCCTCTGCCATCACCGAACTATACGTCAATATTGTCCGCGGCGGACACCACATCCCCTGGACCATCTCCATGGCCCTCTGGCTTAACATCACCCAACGCTACCTCCTCCTCCAAAACGGATGGGAACTCTTCCTAAACGGCCAGTACAAGCCAGACTCCAGCTTATACACCACCAGCATCGTAAATCGGCATACCCTCCAACCCCGTTTCGTCATCGCCACGCTAGCAGAATGTTTCTATGGTATGGATGAGAGTGACGTCTCGTTTGGGGATATGTTGCGAGACGCGAATGAGTACATGCTCATACAGCGGAGACGCTGGATTCGGATTAGAGGAGCTGATGATGATGGTACAGCGGCAGCAGCAGCGGCGTGGAAGACAGTGTATGTGCTTGTGACATTGGGGACGTCTTGTAGGTTGTATGTCCTGGAGCCAGATTCGGATGAGTTGGTTAGCTATTTTGCGGATTGTGGGCGTCTGCGGTTTTATGATGCATTTGATGAGTTTGGGATTATTGATTCGCTTTTGACGAGAATCGCGGAGGTTGTGGCTGAGTGAGAGGTCTGAGATAATTCTTCTTGCTTTATTGGTCAATGTTTTGTTCTTAGAGTCTGGGAGTTGGGTGAGGAATTGCACCCGTATCTAAAGAAATTTCTTACACATCCGTTAGGTAAGGGGGCTCACACAGGGGCTTATAATGAAGGAATTACTACTTAGGTATGGAAATCTTACTATTATAGTGATTATCTAGTTTCTCTTAGTGTATGAAAGCCTTTAAGATGAACTCCTAAGTATCCTTTAGTAATATGAAGTTATTCGCCTTCCATCTTTGTATAGACCCTGAACAGTCTCTCCAGTACCTACTGGGATAAATGTGCTTCTTAAAATCCAGTGGTAAGCCTCTGTACCTAACGGACGTGTAAGAATTTTCTTTTGATAAGGGGGTTCCCGGTCGAAGTTGGTTGCATGAATATTGCCTAATCTGGAAAATATTGGGGTTTCTAGCCCTAACGTCGGGAAGTGCATATCCTTTCGACTTAAGAGGGCGAGGTTTTGCACGGATTGAAATTAAAATATATCTCACAAAAATTGCCTAATCTGGAGTGCTCTAGTCCTAAATCTTGATGCGCACATTATCTCGAAATCACCAGCTATGTCGTGTAGTAAGAAAACATCTAATCTAGCATCTATTAGACTGATGTAAATCATGTAAGCAAGTACGCTGCTTGTATGAAACTTCAAACCCGACTCTATTGACGCAACTCAAATTCGTTCTACCAGCTGTATGCCGTCAGAATCGATCCTCACGTGTTCAATGAGCTCATTCACGAAATTGCAACATTCATCTTTGTTGGCTTCTAGTTGTTCATTCAAAAGAACGCAAATATACCTCTAGTACAATAGGGGAAGCCCTTGATTTCTTCCAATGCTCTCATAAATTTTCTCCCAGATTGAAAAGATCTTAGAAGTGGTATTCAACCCTATCCTTCATCCGTTGTTCTTGCTGCCTTTTCCACTCTCTGCAAGGCTTGTAGACTTCCGTAAAGATTTCGGTAAGAATGCGTCCATCATTAAGCGCTCATCACCCTCTTTGCGCCTGATTTTGGTAGGGTGGAATGCTTCAATGACTTGGAATGACTGCTCGTCCGAGGATACCTTCGAAACCTTGATCTTTCTCGCACGAGACCTCGCAGAGGAGAAATCCGGTATCGTGTTCGCGATTTTAAGACCGTCCATGTTTTCTTGAATGCGCCAGAGTTCCTTGTCTTCATTAACACAATCCTGGCATGCGAGGATGATTGATGGTTTGATTGTTTGTAAGATGTGGAGGGTTAGGTCGCAGATGTTTTCAGATTTCATCCTGCGCAGCGTTTGTCCACGTTGTCCATCCAATTGTCATTGATCAAAGGAAACAAATCCATAATGATGATATCATCTAAGTCCAGACCGTGGCGTTGAAGGCATTCCTTCAGCCATTGCAAATCTGGGGTTTTAGTCACCATTTCATCGTAGGATAAGAGCACATTATCCTTTGTCGGATTCTGCAGAATAAAAATCGGAAAGTCCAAGCTTCCACAGAGTAATCTTTCGAAGTTATCGAAAGCTTGCATGGTGAAGCCAAATTTGTTCCATATTTGTCTTGTCTAATCAAAGATAGCATGGTCGTATGAAAGTAGATTCCGTTTATTTTGCGTGTTCAAAGATGGCACAAGTTGTTCAGTGATGAGCTTTCGGATATCTGTCTGCTGTGTCACATCAATTGTCACGCTTGAGGCTCCATAGCCCCGATATAATCATACTCGTCCTATTACCGCTAGAATCCAACTACTGAGCCGCCCTCCCTTACGAATTGCAGTATGCCAATTTTGCTGTAACTATAAAAGCAGACGCTACGTTATGTGACCTGGTACTCATTTGCGAATTATTGAGATTTTCTATGTAGCTTCACTGGAAGACTCTTAAGTTGATACTGACCCAACCAAGCCTTTTTATCAACTCTCTAATTTTCAAAAGCTCGAAGATGAGTCAATGGCGGGACACAAGGTCGGAAATGCTGACAATATGTTTTACCAATCAGATGGATGAGTCTTAGTACGACCATGAGGGTTCACCATCGCATCTGTCATTCCCATCTGCAAAGAGAAGGGATTTTTTTGAGACGACATTCATAGTAAAAGTTGCGTAAAAAATGTATATACACCTATTTTACCAGGCGGTTATATAACAGTGATATCTCTCAAGAATAAATACATCAGAATAGAATAGATGTTTCGAAAAGAAATTAATATGCCGCAAATTAATGGATCTTAGAAACGGTGGATGCAATGCAATGCAAGGCAATTATAGCAAGGCATAAGCACCGAAAGCAGCAACGCAAGCCATCACGAAGGGGATCTTGATTTCGCCAACACCGCTGTTGGGGACGGTGGTGGCGGATGAAGTAGCGCTAGTCTTGGATGCAGCTGCGGTGGTGGATGCAGCGGTGGTGGTCGAAGCGGCAGTGGATGAGGGCACAGCTGCGGTGGAGGAGGAGGTCACCAAGGTAGTTGAGGAGGAAGAAGAGCTGGAGCTGGAGCTGGAGCTAGAGCTGGTGGTTGAGGAGGACTTAGTCGACGAGGAAGATGAGGATGACGAAGAGGCAGAAGTAGAAGTGGATGACGCGCTGGTGGTGGTAGAAGCGGAACCGGTGACGCCAGAGATTGTGAAGCGGGGAGAGTAGTTGACAATCGAGGTGTCGGCGTCGTCAGTGATACGGAGGAAGTAGTCAGATTCCTTGGGGATGGAGCTGGGTACAGCCCAGGAGTATGAACCGGTGTTGTTGATAGCGGCTGTACCATGTTAGCTATACAAGTCTTGGTTTATGAGCTGGTCGAGGAGGACGTACAAGCAACAATGAGACCGTCAGTCGCAACGGTGGTAGCACCCCATTGCAATCTCAACGACACTGTACCGGAAGTAGTAGGATTCCAGGTGACAGTAGTAGTGCTTCCGGCCGTCAACGCAGCGCCAGAACCTGGAGCAATGAAAGCGTTATCGGTTGAAGTCGAGGTCTGCGCCGCGGACAGCGAGAAGGTGGCGAGGAGGCCGAAAGCGAGGGTCAAGAAACGCATGTTGTTTGTTTTCTTGGCAGCAAGTACTGAGTAGTTTGTGAAAGGACAAAGAATGACTGGGTGAGTAGCTTATTTGTATGTAAAAAGAATGGCACGAACCGTGAGGCTCTCTGTAAGGAACGACGAAAAAGAACGAAACTCGGATTGACCGACTGAATTTGCTTCTCAAACCGTGGAATGGACGATAGAAAAGAGAGACGAAGCAAGAAGAAGAAAGGGAAAAGGGAACGAACGGGGCTGTGAATGATCACGAGTTGAACTTACTACTTAGTTGATTCGACCGAGGAAGGCGCTGGTGTACCTGAGGCACTAAGGCCGCGCGCGCATAGAAATGAGGAAAAAGAAGCGGGCCAGCCAACCAATCAGATACTTAAGAAGTGGTGGCTTGAGCCTCAGGAACGACGCCGTGGCCGATGCGCTAGTCCAGATTTAGAAATGCACGGTCCCGATACAGTTACTGATTGGTTGGCTTTATTGCTCCCGGCTACGCTAGGCTATACTTCGGCAAATTATACGCTAGACTGGTCTGTACCCAGGATAGCGCGGCATATATTCCATGCACTGTGCCCAGAAAGGGCTAGCGCTACTTAGCAGAAAGGAAAATGTGGAAATTATTGCTAGCCGCTTTCTAGGCCCGTCGAGACCTTCTCTTGTCTTTCTCTGTCTCCTACACTCTACTGAAGCACTATAATAAGGATTCACGGTGATCTCGGGTAAGGCCGAGCCATGGGCAAGTGCCACTCATCAAGCATGTCCGCACTATTTTGAATCATGAAAGACTACAACATCCGTGCTTACGATGTACACTCGGACTAACAGCTGAAAAATATGTACTATGAGAACTAAGTTACAACCTGCATGATTCGTCATCAGGCGCTACGATGGTCTGTAGTATGTAGTAGCGCAATCTAATTGAGCCATTCAAAAAAGCTTGGTATGTTGGTGCCGAGATTTGGAGCGAAGATTGGGTCTTCGTTTTTCCCACCACACACAGTGACTACGGAGCACAGCCCCGATACATCCGAATATCCGCGATTTTCTCTTCATGATTTCGCGACTCGTTGCATATCATGGTGGAAAGACGAGCCTTTGGATGAACAATGAGTGGAATATCAGAGTCTAGTTTGACATCGCTTGCAGCCCTGTACGATGGCATTGTGCCATCGTGGATGCCGTTACGTGCTAAGAATAGTCTTCTCCATTGTGGCGGCCAAACTATCGATTAAAAGTGTATCCTTTCTATCCACAGATCCCACCCCTCCACTCTCGAATCGCTCTCGCGCCACCGATTAGTTCATGTGGGCATGATAGAGATCTGGTTTCGTGATCACGACATCAAAGAGAAGCATATTATAATACATGTGATTAGAGAAATAATGATAAGTCGTCGCAACACATCGACGGTCCGAAGGTACTACGATGTAGTTTTGTGGTAGTACAATTCATATCTTGAACGTTATCGTCATACTGTTGGCGCAGGGTAAGGCTCCGGTACAACCGTATCCAAGGTACCATGGCCGGCGGAATGGCTGGTTGCAGGTTCAGGCTCTTCAAGCAATCCCTGAGATCCGAGCCAGGATATGGCCTGCATAACCTGGCGATCTCGCGCTTGAATTTCCTGTTCAACAAGCTACCCATTCGTCAGCATATGCTTCATATTAGTAGCCGACGTACGCACCATTTGAAAAAGTCCCCTCTTAGCAGGCTGTTTAGTGCCTGCACCCGGCTTGATGGACGGCCGCGACTTGTCCGTCCCGTCTGTAGGCGGATCATGCGAATACCGACAGTGATTTCCCCGGGGACATTTTCCTCTTCGTTGAAAGTCGCGACATGGTTTACGGGGCTTTGACTGCCCTTCTCGGGGCGGTGGTAGGACTCGTTCTGGGCCTTGACGTCGTGAGGACATTTCTTCCGGGACGTCGTCATCGGTATCTTCGTCTTCCGAGGATGCTGATTCTGATATGGCGGACTGGTTTTCATCTATAGTATTACCTTGCGCCGGTACTTCATTCGCATCATGAGTCAAAGATTGTTGCTGCGACGCCTCCGCTACAAGCCGTGCTCTCTCCGCATCGGCTTCCGCCTTTTGCAGCCTCCTCTCCTCCTTCAGTAGCTTCTTGCGCAATTTCTCTGCCTTTGCTTTTGCTTTGAGAGCGGCATCCATGGGATCAGATCCCATCTCTTTCTTTTCTTGAGCTTCCTTTCTAGCCTGCTCCCTTTGCTCTTTAAATTCTTGCTGTTTGCGACGCGCTTCTTCGCGTTGAAGTTCTTTATGCTTCTTTGCTTCCTCCTGGGCCTTTTTCTTCTCCTCGATGCGTGCCTGTGTAGGGAATCGTTTCTTTCGTTCCTCAATCCATGATTGGATATCTGTCACATTATTCAAGGTGGACGTGCGTCCGCGGAAGGTGAATTGCAGAGGTCCGGCAAGATTACCCGCCGCAGACGCCAATCGACTCTCTTCATCCGCATCATCTTCTTCATCGCTTGACTCATGTTCTTCCATTTTGGGTGTAAGGCCTAGCTGGTTGAACTTCCGCTTCTTTTTCTTCTGCGCTTGACGTGAAGTCTCGGCTGGTAGCGGGGGTTTCGCGGGTAGAGGAACACCAAAACTGGGAACAGCGGGCGGTGCAGTTGGTCGAGGTCCTTGTGAAGTCGGTTTTTCGAACGTCGACGAGTATCTCCGTTTGTGTCCATGTTGATTTTGATAGTTATTTCCTTGTGAATGTGCGTGAGGTAGAGGGTTTGGATATGTTGTAGATCCTGGATAGAACCCGCCGGCTCCGGTCTTGTCGTATCCCCAGTGCATTGGTGGTGCTACTACTGAAGCTCCGACGGGAACTGCGGTATGTGACTGATGCCCTGTGTATGACGGTATAGGCGCGGTTGATCCGCTCTGTATATTTGAATAACGCCCATCGTAGTTTGTAGGTTGGTATGGTGGAGCGACATGCGTTTGGGAAGTGAATCCCTGAGTGACAGGAACAAAACTCTGTGGCGCCGACGAACCATACTGAGAGCCGTTTTGATGGTAGTTCGGCGCATTTGACTGCATCGCATATCCGCCATTGTACATTCCCTGTTGATTGTTGTTGCGATAGTTTGGATGAGATGCTCCGCCTCGACCTCCACGATTCATACCACCACGACCACGTCCTCGAAACCCACCCCCTCGGCCACTCCCACCGCGATAATTATGCGCATTTTGTCCAATATGTGAGCCCGCCTGCGGAAATTGCTGTTGTGTCGAGGACGGCGGAGGTGGCGGCGGAGGAGGAAATGAGAAACCCTGTTGAGATGCCATTATAAGATCGGCATAGTAGTGGTGTCACAATCAGTATGAGAGTTTCATGTTGACTCTGTATCAAGATAAAAAGTCGAGTAAACGACGAAGTACAATAATTGCGAGCTTCAAACGTGTAATCCAGATTTCATTTATGATTGAAAGGAAAATCAGCCTGTCGATCTCAAAATAAATGATTCCACCAGTCAGAAGTGCCTGTTTTCTGCTTCTAAGCTCTCCGTTATGTAAGCACGTAGTGGGGTACACGTGATATGTCAGCATCGCAGATCTTTGATTGGTCGAATCTGAATATCTTTTTTATTTCATCGAACTCTTCATCAAACAGCTTTGTCGCGAACTGGTCTTCCGACTTGTTTATGGGTCATTCAAAATCCAGAGAGAAAGCCATCAACATTATTTTAGACCAGACAGTCAGCCTTCCTCTGCCATCCTGCCGGCATGGCAGGAAAATGAGCTTGCACTACAACACTAAGCTATTCGTCTCGGATATCAAGATAGCGATACACCATGTTTCTCCTCGTGAGTGGTTTACAAGTTTTAATTGAGTAAGATACTAACATCACCAGGCCACAATCTCTGATCTTGTTCAGATCAGACCAGAAGATTTCTCAAAATTCAGCGCAGTAGCTATTGAGGATAACATCAACGAGAAATACGCCAACAAAGTGAGTCTCGAATATTTCCTTGAGGCAGGACAAGTGCTGACAATATGTATCTACAGGTAATTCAAAAAATTGGATTATGTATTGGATTCTATGATCTACTCAAATCTTCCGATGGGCTAATCGGCCACGGCACTGGTTTGGTTAACGTAAATGGTGCGTTTGTTATTCGCGAAAGATTATCATGACTTTTCTGATATCTTGAACAGTCACATTTCGAATCATAGTCTTCCGCCCCTTCAAAGGCGAGATCTTACTCGGAAAAATCGCCAGCTCATCCGAAGAAGGACTCAAGAGTACGTCCTCGGTCTGCCCGCCTATTCAAACTCATCTAACATGCAACAGTACATATGGAATTCTTTGGCGACATATTCGTGCCGGGCACTTTACTTTTTGAGGGATCCCGATTGTACGTCCCCAATAACCGACTACCGCAAATGAAACTAATGTCTTTGGCAGCGACCTTGGAGAAAACCTCTGGCTCTGGCAAACCGAAGCGCCTGATCCATATTGGTACGACATTGGAGAAATAGTCCGGTTTCGCGTAGAATCGGAAGAGTGGCATGATCAGAGACCTACAGGGCCTGATAGGGCGGAGGCGCAGACAGCGGCGGAGAATCAACCTCCATATTCGATACGGGTAGGATTGATCTGCCCAGAAAACCAATTGAAGATGGCTAATCTTTCTAGGCTTCTATGATGATGGAGGGTTTGGGATTGATTGCCTGGTGGTAACAAATCTGTCCAAGATAGGGCATTGTCGGAATGATACCATCCTATTACACAGGAATTCAATTATTTAATAAATGCATTGCATCATCCTCAACTATGTCGCGAATCATGATCTGCCAGACCGCAACTTCCAAATCCAGACCCGACAGTGCATGGATTGTAAAGTGGAAAGAATGTTACACAGAGCGCAAAAGATGATAGGTCCATGTCTCCGCGTCGCGCCATCGTGGCTATCGTCGGCATAAAATTAAAAAAAATTAAATTTCCGCAGCCCACCCATTACCTAAGATACCAGATACCAGGAACCATCCCTTGCTACGCCCGTAGATCTTACAGAATTTTTGAATATTAATCACGGTGGAACGCTGATAAATTGGTGTAATACGAGGAACAGAACAGTGTAGAAAGTGGGGTGGGATTTGTCAGATTTCTCCCAGGCAGCTCAGAGGTTGCCTGCAAAGAGTGGTAAACCATAGATTTCGTAGCTTATAAATTCTCGGTCGTCTTTCTCTTTTACCTCTGAAGATATTCAATCCTTTGCACATATACATATCAAGCGGCAATTTGAATAAAAAACAGAAAGTGAGTCAGATTCTACCCCTGATGTCGCCATATTCCCTGCCGCATGCTTACGATCGTTATCGGTAGATCCCAAATACCCCGCCATTTAATAGATCTTGGACGATGTCTTTTCCGCTGGAAAATCCGCAACTCCTCAAGCCATTGGCTCACGCAGATGTAGTCGAGACGCCGCCCAGGCCTGCGTCGCCAGAGTACAGATTTGGGACGAGAGCGGTGCACTCGGGGGCTCATATTGATCCTACTACGGGTGCTGTGATTGCGCCGGTTAGTCAACACCATATCGTCAAGCAGATCAAGTGTTTGCTAAATTTCTATAGATCTCACTGTCTACGACGTTCGCCCAGTCGAGTGTCGGAGTACCAATTGGCAATTATGAGTACACTCGCAGCGCAAATCCCAATCGGCAAGCTACCCCCTCTCCTACCCTAGATTACGATCGGCTTGCTAATCTGTCTGTACGTGTAGGGATCACTTCGAAGAAGCCGTTGCAGCGCTCGAACACGCCCGCTACGCACTCGCCTTCTCCTCCGGCTCCGCCACAACAGCGACAATCCTGCAATCCCTCGCCGCGGGTTCACACGTCGTTTCCGTATCCGACGTCTACGGCGGCACGCATCGCTACTTTACCAAAGTGGCCGCCGCGCACGGCGTCAACGTGACTTTCACTCCCACGCTCGAAATCGGCACCGAAGCCATACTCAAACCAGACACAAAACTGATATGGATTGAGTCACCCACAAACCCGACATTGAGTCTGGTGGATATTCGTGAGGTTACGAATATCGCACACAGGCATGGTATATTGGTCGTGGTGGATAATACGTTTATGAGTCCTTATATTCAGAATCCGTTGGATCATGGAGCGGATATTGTCGTGCATTCGGTCACGAAGTATATCAATGGACACTCTGTAAGTCTTCCTTCTTTCCCATCTAGGATATCATTGAAGACTGACTCTTGAAGGACGTCCTCATGGGTGTCGCAGCCTTCAACTCTCCCGAACTCAAAGACCGCCTAACCTTCCTTCAAAACGCCATCGGCGCCGTACCCTCCCCCTTCGACTGCTGGCTAGCCCACCGCGGCTTGAAAACTCTACACCTGCGCGCGCGTGAAGCAACCAAGAACGCAACCGCCGTCGCCAAGGTTCTCGAGGCCTCTGCACTCATCAAATCAGTGAACTACCCGGGCATCGACTCGCACCCTCAACGCCACATTGCCAAAAAGCAACATCGCGATGGTATGGGTGGCGGTATGCTCAGTTTCAGAATCCACGGCGGTCACGCTGCTGCTGAAAGGTTCTGTCAGAAAGTGCGCGTCTTTGTGTTGGCGGAATCTCTGGGTGGGATTGAGTCTCTGTGCGAGGTTCCGTCGAGCATGACGCATGCGGGTATTCCGAAGGAGCAGCGAGAGGCCGCGGGCGTGTTTGACGATTTGGTGAGATTGAGTTGTGGCATTGAGGATGCTGATGATCTTACGGCGGATATTTTGCAAGCGTTGGAGAAGTCGGTTGCGCCAAATGGTGCTTGATGTGTTGCATACCTATGAGATGGGTACATAGATCGTTGGATTTAGGTTGATTTGACTAAGTCTGACTAGGTGACTAGTGATATAGTTCTGGATAGACAAATGTTTGAACGTACTTGATATGTTACAATAGAATTGAAGCTCATATTCACCAAACCTCTCTTCATCAGGCAGAAATATATTACACGATAAGATAAGGCTGTATTTAGATGTAATATTGTGGGCCCTTCCTACTATATACATATGCTTATTGGCTCAGACCACCTAGCGAGATACATCTTCAACAACATCGTATTTTATAGTATTTTATTTCCATGCGTCCTCACATTCATCTTTTGACAGTTCCTCATATCTGACATTACTCGAATATTTTAGAAGTACTACATATACTGCACATCATTTAAGAGTACAAAAAAAATGGCGTCAACATTCAGCTTTGGGTTCTCCGGCGATGATATCGATATGGATGTTGACGATGTTGAAGTCGAAGCTGAAAATGTATCCGAGAAGCCGAATGCAGAGGATGCGAATGCACCTAATAGCCTGTTCCCTGCCGTAAGACATGAGCTGAAAGATTGGGTAAGTAGCCTCTCTCTTAAACATGCCGATATACACAACTGATTCAATTCCAGACGACAAACCTCCCTTCTCAAATATCATACAACATATTAAAACTAGGCCCATCACAACCCACCACCACCAACAATAGTCAAGATGTCAATGTAACAAAAACAATAACAATAGCCCGTCGCGAACTCTTCGACGTCCGCACTCAACTCATGGCCGAAGACGACGCCGACGACCTCGCGACCGACAATGCAGAATTGATCGCAGGGCTGGAGCAAGGAGATCTCAAGCCCAATTTCTATGAAGGAGGCTTCAAGACGTGGGAGTGTTCGTTGGATCTAGCGGATGTCCTTCTGTCTTCTTTTCCCGGGATTGGCGCTGTCGGTGAAGAGGAAGAGGAAGGTGTTCATGTGGTTGAGCTTGGATGTGGGACGGCGGTGCCTTCGTTGATGCTGTTTGCGCGGATATTAAAGTCGTCGTCGACAGATAGGGAGGGAAGCAAACGGAGGTATCGTTTCACGATGGCGGATTATAATTCTACGGTGTTGAGGATGGTGACGTTTAGTAATTTCTTGCTGACGTGGTGGATTAATTCTCCTGCTTCGCCGAGTGGGACTACAGCCATCGAAGTTGGAGAGGATGGAAAAGAGGAGGAGGAAGGAGAATTGGATATCGATGCTACGCTGCTTGATACGTTTCAGGCTGATCTTGAGAGGAGAGGGATTATGATTGAGTTTATATCTGGTGGTTGGTCGCCGGAGTTTGTGCGATTGGCCTTGAACAGTACTCGACAACAGGATGCTGCGAATAGATCCTCGACACTCATACTCGCTAGTGAGACGATATATTCCCCTTCTTCTCTGTGTGTGTTTTCGGAGACGCTACTGGAATTATTACGAAAGTCGGGGCATGAGAATCTAACCAAAAATAAAAGTACTGCACTTATTGCAGCGAAGAAGGTATATTTTGGTGTGGGAGGGGGCGTCGATGAGTTCTTGCAGGTTCTGGATCAGCAGCCGTTGCAAGATAAGGAATTCCTTCAGGTGAATGAGCGGAGGGAGATCACTTCCGGGGGAGTGAAGAGGGTCGTTTTAGAGATAGGCATCGATCCAGTGTAAGGCATAGATAATGAACGGGTTTTCTTTATCTTTAACTTTATGTACAATACACATACTCGGGACTTGAGCCCGCGACGAAATGAGATCTAGAAAATGAAAAGAGTGAAAAGAAACATTGTTCTCATCTAGTCATATATGCTGACGACCTTTCCATCTTTTGTCCGAGCCAACCGGTCCGCCTCAATTTCTTGGTTCTTCTTGTGGTAGTGGGCAGCGATGGAGCTGAGGTCAGCCTGGGAGCCGGGAGCGACGTTGAATGGTGATCCGGCATTGAACACTCTATTTAATACCGGAGACAATTAGTCACTACAATAGGATTGAAACGGAAGATGGAAGAACGTACTCATTGCTCCTCAAATCGACAAAATCCTGTCGAGTAGCACCAACAAACAAGTGACGATCGGCAGCAGCCTGCTCTAGGGCGGCAGTGTGAATGGCATTACGCTCCTCGAACACCTTCTGGTCAGGCGAGTACTTGGTGATGAGGCGGGAGATGAAGGAGTCGTCGGAGGCCTTGCTGATGCGGTAGAGCACGAAGCTGGCGGCGAATGTTGAGATGGCAATATAGAAACTTGGCTATGCCATTTAGTTGCGTGGTTAGTAAGTAGTTACGTAGGCCTGTTGCAGGGAGAATTGTCATAGACTCACGCCGAAGCTCTCGTTCACTGGGCCGTGATGGTGGTGGTCATGTGCGGCATGCGACTCGAAGCGGCGCGGCTGTTGACGCAGCAGCTGCCTCACGGGAGCCGCTGAGCGTCGGAGAGCAAACATTGTGGAGATTTTGAGGTGGTATGGTGAAGCGTTGACTTGAACACCGTAAAGTGTCGTCGAGCTGGTTGATTTGATCATCGCGAGGTTGCCGGGTGGGTCAGATCACGTGATGACAGCCACGAATTGACCAATTAGAATACTTAAATTCAATGGTAGCATTTTTACGGACAGCACGAGTATCTGAGTCTTTGTCAGGTGTTTCTACTGGATATTGACAATTGATCAACTAAATAATCTACATCAAATAGACAACGTATCTTAGTTACAGCAAGGCAAGTATCATCTCTAACGCAGCGATTAAGCGTGCAGCGGGAAGAGCCGTTGTTAGTCTCTCCTGATCACTTCAACCTCCACTACTCATTAGTAACTAGGTATTTACTACTGCCTCGGACCCGGCCAAGCGGAACGCGATTTTTATATCCGAATGGAGACAGATAGCCAAATGGAGGCTGTGGTCATCGGGTGCAAGCGCCAGTTAGCCGGCGGGTCGCTGCTTCGTGTCTGCCCGAGAGTCGAAACAGCTCAGTGAGGTCGCATACCACACACCACGAAAGAGCATCAATTCCAGAATAACAATACAGTCAAGAAAAGAACAATTCTGATCACTCTAATGACAAAGTTAGCACTTTGACTCACACTTCAACAGCTCAATGTCTTGGCCCCTAGCGAGTCCAATCACCATAGTTGTTGCTGCCCAGTCACAAACCGATGCGAGGGCTTGATACCCAATACTCGCTCACTTCACCTCAAGATGCCTCACTTATGGCAGCTCGACGAATGAGATTGAGCGTCTACTCCTTTTTCTTACATGATCTCTGACGGTTCAGAGGACCGGCGGTTTTAGTCTGCTTGCATAGCTTGAATATTCGGCGCTACCCAGCGTTGAGTTCGCCATGTCGCTAAAGTGGGATGCATGCATGCACTGTCACGACACACAAAGTCTTGGGCTACACTTTCTTGGGTTACTAGCCGCTTATTCTCGTGATTGAATATCTAACTTCTACTAATGATTCTACTGCTAATACTTCCTTGTTTTAGCAGCCCAAATCCTGACGCTCGACTTCCCGAATCGTCTTTCTGCTTCTTTTTGCTGTCTGCCCATTTCATAGAGCTAATTGTTGTGTATAATATTCATTTGACGAAATCGCTAGACTCTATTCTTATCTCCTCCACTTTTTTTCTCTTCTAACTACCTCGCCACATTTGCATTCGAACTGATCAGGCAGGTCAAATAAACTTAGCTGTGCAAGTTGAGACTGGAAGATACAAGAATCACACCTTGACCCTTGTATATCTATCCTATTATCTTCATCATCAACACACCATACCTGTATAAATGCCCGTTGAGCTGATCCCGGCTGCTTGATCTTTCACTTTTTGGCAACTGCATTCTTGATACGGCCTTTCTGCGATTGGGGACACGTTAGCGCCTGGAAGAGTCTTCTCCTTGTATCCATCACACTCATCACCGATCACAGTACGTGATCAAAAAACGCAATGGCCAAAAAGAATAAGGCAAAGAAGGACAAGGTCGAAAAAAGAAAGAATCAGAAGAACGAGGACGCTCCCCCTGCTTTGCCTGAGCTGGAGCCTGAAGAGGTGGCGCCTGAAGAAGTCGATACGTCCAAAGAGGTCAAGTCACCTTCTTTGAGTGCACAAAAGGAAGTTGCTTCCTTGGAGGACACAGAAGATATTTCTCCTGCTGCAGAGCAAGTCGAGGCATTACCAGAGATAGTGGAAAGCAACCTAGCCGAAATCGACAACAAGGACGACGTCGAAGAGCACCAAGAAAACCAAGGACTAGAAGAGCAGCAAGACTTTGAAGAGCAACACGATCATCGACGTGAGCCACAAGAACAAGGTCCCGAAGAGCAACAAGAACCAGAAGAATTACAGCCTCCTGAAGACTGGAGCATGATTGCACCCCACCAACCGACCATCCAAGACGATGATTCGGCTTCAATGAAGAGCAAGAAGCATTCACACGCCAAGTCAGTTAGCGGGAGGTCATCTGGTACCGCACCAAGAAAGGACCTCACAGAAGAGAAGGATACTTTCGAAGATGCTAAAGATGAATCAGTGGAAGTAGTGGAAATGGTCCATCCCAAACAAGCTCTTGAAGAGAGACACGAGGAACATGAAGCTATCACAGACACACTGGATGCCGAACACGAAGACCAAGAGTCAGTGCCAGTTGAGGTGTACGAAGTAAAAGAAGATGATGTTGCTCCGGAACACACCGAAGAAGCACCCGAAAACCATATAGAAGAGGCACAAGAGGCCGAACAGATTGTCCCAGAAACTGAGCCAGCCGAAGACAAAGAGCTACTCGCAGACGACCACCAAGTACAAATAGAGGAGGAACCAAAGGAAATTGCAGAAGAAGAAGAAGAAGAAGAAGAACACCAAGACCACCCGGAGGATGTTGCTCCCGAAGTAGCTGACAACATGTCATCAAAACACTCCATTTCCGGGGTCTCTCATGCCGGACCTGCACCCTTGCCATCACCCGTACCTAGTGAGCCACGCTCTGTACATTCTCCAGCCATCCCTTCCGACCATCCCCTCTCCCGTCATGGCTCGCCTATGATGTATCACACCTCACCACAATACAGATACGCAAGCCCTACAATGCAAGCATACAGTCCATACATGATGGGAATGCATCCCGCACAAATGCATCCAGGCAGTGTTGCTCCATCTTCCGCCAGCTTCGCCACGGCTTACCCTAATGCCTATCACTCTCCCATGATGGAACATACACCCATGGCATCTCCTCATATGTATCCCCGTCGCTCGAGCACATATGCAAATGGCGCAAGAGACTATTACAACGGCCGCATGGATCGTACATTATCTGGTGGAAGCGGGAACAGTCATGCACATAGCCAGCGCATGGAAAAGACAAACAGCCACACTAACAATGAGGACGACCATCACGAACACCATCATCTCATGGGAAGGGTTGAAAAAGCTATGCCAGATCTCAGTCGCATGTTGGATAGTTTCAAGGAAACCCGCAACAAGCTTCAGGCTAGAGAAGCAGAATTCAAGCAGTTGCAGTCACAACACGAACAAGCCATCATGCACAAAGATTTCTACATAGAGGCGCTTCAAGGTCAAATGAAGAAGGCTGCTACGGAGACGGCGGAGGAGTACGGCAAGTTCAAGGACATTATCAGCGGTCTTCGCGTGGATCTGTCGAATCAGCAAGATAGAATCAAGGACTTGCAACAGTTTCTCGATACATCGCGGAAACAGAATGAGGAACTTGAGCAAATCAAATCGGAGCTTGAGTCGGAGATCCGCACTCTTGAGAAGAGGGTTGAAGAGATGCAGATGGATCATGAGAGAGCACTTGAAGAGGCGAAGGAACATGAACGAGCCGAACTGTCGATGCAAAAGGAGGAGTTGACGAATCTGTTCGAAGAGATCAGGACCGAGGACGAGACTGCCGCCAATGAACGGTACAACGAGCGTGAAAAGGAGCTTCTTGAAGTGCAGGAAACGTTGAAATCTGCATGGGAAGAGAAGCATCGCGAATTGGAAGAAGCGCATGGCAACCTAAAGACTGAACATGACGACAAACACGCCGAACTTGAGAGGACTCTTGCCGACTTAAAAGCTGCAAAGAATGATTTGCAGGCAGTTCGTGATTCGCTTGTGAGCAAGTCAGAGGACTTGGAGACGAAAGAGAACGAGCTTGAGACGACTAAGGCGGAACTCGAAGAGAAACTGGGGGAAGTCAAGAAAGCTCAGGATGAACTTCACTACAAGCAGGAGGAACTACAAGCGACACAAGCTGAGTTGCAGTCGACACTTGAGGAGCTCGTGACCAAGAAGGCGGAGTTAGAAGGCAAGCATGCCGAGTTGGAGGATGCTCACAAGCGACATGCGGAGGAGAAGGGACAGCTTATCGGGTCTCATTTCACCGAACTCGATAACATTCGTGATGTTCACGCAACGGAGATTAGCAACCTGCGCACCACACACGAAACCAATGCAAAGGAACTCCAAGACCGCCTTGACAAATTCGCAAAGGACTTTGACGAAAAAGAAAGGACATGGGCAGCTGAGAAAACCATGCTCCAACGACAACTTCACGAGAAACTGGACGAATTGGCCGGCATTGAACGAGAAAAGGACGCTTTGGAACGAGACGATGTTGTCCGCGAACGTCACCTACAATCCGCGGTCGAAGAAATGCGCCGAACAATCGACAACATGGAAAACGACAGAGAAAAGCTGCGAAAGACATTGCAGAGTCTTGGGGAAGCCACGGATTTAAAGTCTTCAAAGGGTGATCAATTCTTGTAAGTATCAACCAGTACACCAATTCTCCACAAATTTATGCGAATATGGTCCTATGAACTGATATTCGCTGAACTCAAGACGAAGATCTAATCTAATCTGTGTGTGATACTATAGTGTCGACCAATTTGGTCAACTCCGACGCTTGATCGTCGAACTCTCCAAGGAGCACTTTTCCTATCTTCCCATCGATCCACCAAAGGATATTCTCGAGAAAATACCCTCTGAAATGCCGTCCTTTCTCGACAACACCGTCGCATCTCGGGAACTGCGGTCTGCCTACATCCAACACGTCGTCTCTAAAACCTTGACGTACCGCATCTTCCAACCTTTCCTCTTCACCTTGGGCCGCAGGTACGACAAAGCCGATACCTTTTTCCAGGTGTTGTCGATGGACATCCGCCGCAAATCCGTCCGTCGTGAAGCGTTCTGGAGACAACAGACACTAAAAGCAGCCTACACCACCTCAGACGCAAAGCAGTCCATCAATGTTGTCGCAGCTGTGATTGTAGATGAAATTGTGGACCACATCAAGCATTTCGCGGATCCAAAACAATTAGATGCATTGTTGAGTGGCATCCGACGCATCGTCAAGCTTGCGGCTGAGACATGGAGGCATGCGCGCGTTGAGAGGGAGCTTGTACTTGCTACTATGCCAGCGCCAGAGTCGGATGGGGAGGTCAACGAGGGCTGGGAAGAGTATACCTGCGGCAGATCCTCGCCTGAGTCCAGCCCAAGTGGCAGCGCCGTAAGTGGTGGTCGACATGTCCTACTACGAGTGTTTCCGCGTATATACAGGGAAGCGGCTCATGAAGACTTTATTGCGGATGATAAGGAGAAGATGAATGCTTGTGTCTATTTCCCGGGTTCCATTCTCTATTCCGATTCTCCTTCAGTGCTTGCGAGGAGGGAAGAGCAGGGTCAGAAGGGGAGTGTGAATGGGGAAACAACACGTTCTTCGAGCCCATAACTCCCTTAATCCTTGAACAACAACAACAACTTATTATCGACAGCAACCGAATGTCAACTGATTGGCATTCATACTTCGGACTTTCCTTCCAATTCTTTCTTCTTTTCATTTGTCATTCATGATCATTAATTGTACCACTTTGTATTCCAAGATTGAACAAACAACCTGTATTTCCGAAAGATTGAGAAGCATGTACTACACGAAAAGATATTACGACTTAACGACCGAGACGAACATTTTTATCATTGGGAAAGAACTCTGTGCATGGGACGGAGCTGGCGAGGAAGCATGGGGTTTTATCGAGGATTTGATTTCTTTTGGGGTTATATGATAGCGAAATGTTGCATTTTTGTTTACAAATTCAGATAGATACACTCTTTTGAGAAATTTCATTTGTCTTTGGTTTATCTTGAAATAATAGAATGACGATGATATTCACCTATTCCCTTGAAGTGCTATGTAGGAGAGGAGAGATATCCTTTTGATCGCTGATTTCCAGGTCGTTTGCTAATCAATGTTAATACTAGAGAAAAGGAAAATTGTATCAAGCCCTCATCGTATGACACGCACTTTATTATCACGTATGACGATCCTCAAGCCACCAGGGGTGTTCAGTTGCAATTGCATATTCCACAGCTGGTGCTAGATACTCATTACAATCAAGCTCAACTATACCGCAAACCTCAGCCCGAAGCGGTTTGCGGCGGTACAACGCTGCTTCTATGTTTCGAGAATGCAGATCCCGTATCTCCTCCCCTAGCAGCGAGACGACCTGGTCCGCTATTGTCTTTTCGTCAAGATTCAAAGTCCGCCATGCATTTTCCAAGGTGATACCGAGCTGTCTCTGCAGGATCAAATGCTCGAACTTCGCTGAGCTGTAGTAGTCGTACACTTGCGGAACCGGAATTGAAAATTTTGCTTCGACTGTTTTGAGAATATTCTTTTCGGATTCTAGATTCGACAAGCCGAGTCTCACGGATTTCCAGGTTATGTCTTCGTCGCTCCGGTATCAAAGCTCATCAATGTTCCGTCTGACACCTCTTGAACAGCAATGGCTATATAGCCCATTGATATACCCGAAACGATTCGTTTTCCATTCGTGATAAGGAACCGAGGATCAATTTTTGTAAAGTATCGTGAATGAGGCGGCGTGTGGTCCGATGCATGTCGATTGTTCACTCTAGTTTCTACATTTAAACTGCTTTGATACGGCAAAGGGAAGTCTATAGGTATTCCAAATCAATCAACTAACAACTCTTTACTCACGCCCAGTCGATTTTACATCCGAGCTATAGAAGAGAGTTTATGGATTTCGTCGTATTCAGTCGATTAATGAGCACGCATTCAGGGTATTTGCATCAAACCAACCTCGGAAGCATACGTAAGCATATATTATCTAAGACATGAGTCTTGAATTATGTATCTAACTTTTGAAGTCATCACTCTGCTAAATAGGCAGGTCAAGTACTATGCATAAGTAGAGAAGTTGGACACTCAAATGCAAAAGACATGACAATAAACGAAACAGCCTATCTCGAAGATAAAACAATGACTTGCATGAGAACAAACAAGACAGAAAGTAAAAAAATTAGTCTGCCTTGAACATGAGTATGTGCCAGATATCCTAGATAGATATCATTATGAAGTTGTTTTGTCAAACAATAAAAAAAGAAAATATGCAACAAAGAATGTGACTTTTCCCTTGATTCAAACAATGTGTCAGGCAGTATTAAGGATATGTATAATGACTCTGTCCTCGCCCATTTTCACTCGACGCCCGATTTGACTGCGTCGCCGTCGACGTCGTGGCAGTCGTCCGCGACGAAATATCTCTGACAATAACCTCGATTTCATTTATCCCGCCATCCTTCTCGTCTTCATCCGCCATACTATACGTATACAATCTGTTAAACGCCGAGTCCGTCGACAGCAATGTATACGGATCGTCAAATTCGATCAATTCTCCCGCTTCGAGCATGGCGACTTTATCGAAGTCGAGGATTGTGTCGAGTTTGTGCGCTACGGCAAGGATGGTGTGGTTGCTGAATTTTTCGCGGATGACGCGTTGCATGATTTCGTCGGTTTTGGAGTCGACACTATTTATTAAATTAGTATTGATCATGAAGACAAAAGTAGTTGGTTTAAGTTTAACATACTTGCTCGTAGCCTCGTCGAGGATCAAGATACTGCTATGGCGCAGCATGGCTCGAGCGAGACAGAACAATTGCTTTTGCCCCTGTGAGAGATGGAGTTCTTCGATATCCATGTCCAAGCCGCCCTTTTCTTGGACGATCGAAAGTAAGTGAACGCTTCGGAGCGCGTCTGTAATTTGGTCATCGGTTGCGGTGCCATTGGGGTCGGCATTTAGTCGGACACTGCCCTTGATCAGAAACGGATCTTGAGCGACGCCGGTAATTCTTGCCCTGATCTCTTGACGAGGGATAGTTGAGAGATCAATACCATCGATGCTGATGCTTCCTCCGGATAGTTCTACCATACGGAAGATGGCCAGCACCAAAGAACTCTTGCCACTGTGTTGTGTCAGCACGCCCATGGCTTTAAAGAATAAACACATACCTTCCAGTCCGGCCACAGATGCCGATCTTCTCGCCGCTTCGGATTGACAGATCAATATTTTTCAAGATAGGTTCCTCAGGTCTACTCATCTGTTAGTAAGTATCACAATTGGCCCTAAGGTTACATACCTATAACTAGCAGAAACCCCTTTAAACTCAATAGCCCCCTGAGCGGGCCAAGCGGCTGGCACCGGCCGACTCTCAGTCTCTAAATCCTCAGACTTGACCGTTTCATTGAAGATCTTGACACGTGCAATAGAGCCGATATGAGTCTCCAAATTCGTCCAGAATGTAATCAGAAGCTTAATACTTTGACTGAACTGGATGATATTGAATAACGCAACACCCACATAGCCTGCGCTAATGGAGCCACGCATTTCAACCACAAGGATGATCAGTACTGTGGCGATACCAGCGACAACCAAATCCAAAACAAGCGTGAGCCATCTTTGTACAGCAAATAGGAGATAGAAAGGACGTTGAGACCGTTCGAGTAGCTCTCGGCTCTTGTCCTCCATTGCTTTTTGCCAGCCGAATGCTCGAATGGTTACGAGACCACTGAGGCATTCGGTGAATTGGGAGTAAAGTGGAGCCTTGGCTTCAAGGTCCATGAATCGTAGCTGCCGCGAAGTCCGGAGATAGTACTTTTGAATGAAATAGAGAGCAATCAAAACAATTGGGAATGAGATGGCTGTATATGGAGAAGCCACTCCAATCAATGTTGTTTGCGCAATACACAAAACGAGTGCTGATATGTTAGTCAGCGTTTAGCACAAAATATGGAACTACTTACTGGCAAAAGTGTTCAGTGCAGCAACTGGTAGTTCCATGTCGATTAGCTGTAAATCCTGACTGAATCTGTTCAATGTGACCCCGGTATCCGTGGAAGCAAAGAAAGATGTTTTCGCACTAGTATAATTAGAGTAATTCGATAACCAGAGTGCTAGGGCCTACCTCAGAACAGTACTGAGCAATGTCGAGTGAAATCTCTCTCCAGATTTGGGTACCATGGTAATAATGAGTTGCCTAATCAGTTAGTGACCGACCAATCCAAATGAAAAATGACCCGTACCAGCAACTAATGCATAGCGTAATCAAAGCAAGTACACCAAGCATTGCATATATCCCCATATAGTATCCAGACTTCTCATATGGATATTGTACGTTGGAAGCAGCCCACCATTTGACCCAGATACCTATACCGTTAGTAGAAGCTCCCCTCATCGGGATGAAGGACTTACTTGGAAAAGAAATGCAAAAAACAAATCCCGAAATACACACAAGGAAAACAATAATCCCAATCCAGCCCACTGAGTCAAAGTAGTATCTGTAAATGGTAAAGTCGCCCGTCGCCCGATTGGCCTCTACTTCTAGATCGTCATTCGTCTGAATAACTTTCTCCTTATGATCAACGCTCGGTACGTGGTAACTGCGCTCATCCGGGGTAAAGTTCCAATCAGGTTCCCCTAGATGGAAGCTTGACACGTAGCCACCAGTAGCTGCCAGGGTATCGAAATGACCTTGTTCAGAGATGGTACCTTTTTCGTCAATCACAAAGACATAATCCGAGTATGGAAGACGTTTAACTATGTCTGTTAGTGGGAGTTCCTCTGTTGCCATGGTGAGACCATACCTGATGAAGAAGTCATCAACACGGTTACCTGCATCTCCCTCCAAATACCAGACTTGCCCATTAGGCTATGCCAGATGTGATTTTCAGTCGCGGTATCAAGTCCGCTGATTGGATCATCGAGAATGACAAGCTTTTTCTTCGCATATACAGCCCTTGCCAGTGCCTATTTACATTTGTCAGTTTGAGTTCCGCAGAGTAATTATACAACTTACTATACGTTGAGCTTGGCCTCCACTTAGAGCAATGCCTTTGCTACCAATCATTGTCTGGTCACCCTGAGGCAACTGTCGTAAATCTTCATGCAAAGCGCAAGCTTGCAGCACAGTGCTATACCACCGCTCATCAAATTCACTCGCTGCGATTACACTGTTCCTAATTGTCTCATTGACATGCCATGCCGTCTGTTCGCAATAAGCTACCTGATCAGTGGCCACGTATACGGAACCATTCATGGGTGGAATTTCCCCCAGAATAGCCTTCAGCAGGGTAGATTTTCCACAGCCAACTGGTCCGACAATTATTGAGATCTTACTTTCGGGTACGAACATTGTGATTGACTTGAGTATGGGGTCTTTCTCTGGATCCCAGCCAAAGTCCGAGTTTTGGACCACGATCAAATCCCTTGCGGTGGGAGATTGTGATCGAGGGGTTTTGCTCCTTGTCAGATCGGCCTCATTGGTCGTGATACTGGATTTTTCCGAGTTATTAGGCGTGCTACTTTTGATGAATTCGTCTGATGAACTGTGCCCTGAAGAAGTCTCACGCTTGTCAACGAGGACATCCTTTTCCAAAAATTCCTGAATACGTTGGAAAGATCCAACTGATCCGACAAAAGCAGACAATGACATGACCAAAGTGGTGATTGGGTCAGTCATTAAGGCAAAAATTGACAACGCCGTGTAAACTCTAGCTGTGTTGAGTGCTACATCGTCGCCATGATTATGCGAAACGGTAACAAAAACAGCAAACGTGATAATGGGAGCAAAGATCTGAGATATGTAGGCTACAGACGGTCAGCAGTTTTTCCGCGTATTGATCTGTAGACATACCTATTCCCATGTTCCAGATCAACAAACGTCTGAAGCCTTTTGAGATATTCAGCTCATCAATACGCAACGTATGGATACTCTTAAACAGGACGTTTTTCAATCCGGTCATCTTGATCCCTTTCATGGAGCCAAGCATTGCCGTCGTGGCGGAAATACGTCTTTCAATCGCTTCTAGCCAACGTGCCTGACGCGATATCACAAAATTCAATGCTAGAATGGAAGCAACCAGGGAGACTTTTTAACATTTAGTCAAGCAGCTCATCCTTCATTAGTAGATCGAACTTACAGATTGAGACACCAACGGGAACAAGACATGATATACCAAGCTGTCCTTCTAGTAGGACAATAGCGACAGCGATCTCAGCCAAATTGGCCCACATTTCATGCATTGTCTGCCATCCTTGGACGATTCGCTCAACATCGGCACTCATCAGAGTCAAGGATGCAGCGGGATCCACATCTCGCACACTGAGATACGTGGTTTTGCGAGTGAGCATCGATATTAAACCGCCTCGAACCATGGTGATAGAGCGATAAGCCAGATGCTGATACATACCCATGGCGATCTAGAGTAGGTTAATCGAGTGAAAACAAAATGCAAAGTAGAATGTCTTACAGCGGATCCGACGTATACCAGGATGTATGCGCCGATCAGGCCATAGCCAACATGTGTCGTCCACGGTGTCACGCTATCTACAGATAATAAGACAGAACGGTTGATGAGCAGCGGCTGAGTAAAGTTGAGCGCAACCAGGCATGCTCGAGGAGGAATGACCGCCAGAACTGGCCATATCAAGGTCTTCAGTGACACCATGAGTAACGTGTTTGGTGACTTTTTGGTGACTAATAATAATTAGATTCTTTCATTATCTTGAACGAAGCGTGGATGTACCTTTGTTATATGCCTGCTCCATCCGCTCATGTACGTACTCTGAACGCATCTGTTTGTCGACCTCGAACAAATCATCCATACGAAGCAGAGACGTGAATCCCCTCATGAACAAAGGATTTAGCCACCAGAAGAAGCTTCTGTTGAAAATACTTGCCGTGGCTTCCGGTGGGCTAGCTTTGTATTCTGCGCGTAAGACCCGCCGTTTCTCTAGTGCCTCCAATATCAACAGAAACATCTTCATAGCTACCGAAACACTAAACAGAATGGCAATAGTATTCCCATAAAATCCAGAACCCCGTAACCATAGTGTTCGACATTGTGCAATGTCAAATAACAACGTCAAAAAGAAGAAAACGTCGAGTAGAGACGACGGATGAATGGTGCGAGTGTGCTCAAAATAAGATAGTAGACAGAAGATGGCGGTTGCAGCCAACGAGACTGCTTGGACCGGGATCGAAGCATTTGTTCTTTTGGCGGAGGGAAGAGTCCACAAAGTCAATACAGCAAGCTGCGAAGCTGCAAGTCCGGCATATAATGCCTACAGGAGAGCAAAATTAGTTACATTTGTGCTATTTTTTTGGATGAGGAGAATTGGAACGTACAACTTTAAGTGGTAGTAGTAAGCTTGTAGTTGTCTTTTTGGATCTTTTGGAAAGATACCAAATCCTAGCCGGAGCAACCAGGACCAAAAGTCCCAATGGCAATGCCGTCAATACAGTCTGCTCGAATAAGAGCGTAAAGTCAAAGCCATCACGACATTCCTGAGCGTAGTATGAAAATGTGTTGTCTATCTCGTAGCATTCCGTAGCATTTAGAGCCATTGTGTCGAGGTGAGGTTGTTCAATGACCTCTAGTATCAGGACATAGAGTAGTTGATACTTTTGACACCACAGGTAGCAAGCTTCTTGAAACTGAATCAGACACGCGTGAGGTTATCTTGGTACTTGCGCAGACAATAGTAAAAATTACGAGAACAGATGGTCTATCCAAGCTCTTTTTACAAGCTGCGCGTCATCAAGTCATATGATCGTGCCTTGTGTTCTTTTCGTCTTTTTCGTCTGCTAAATCTGGAGAAGGTGATTCAGAGTCAGTCGAGCTCGAGTACAGATTCTCTCGTCAGGGTTCCCCTTCGATGAGTCGGGCTCAGCTAATGACTTCGTAGCTTTGCGTGAATAGAAGCAAAGCTGATCTAGGAAAATAATTCATACCAGAATGCATGTCTTGATTAAAAAGTCACTCACGCTAGTACGTAATTGTCTAAGGGAAAGACCCATAAGGCAGGTAACAAGCAGAAAACAAGTAATACACAGGTCAAGGCAGATGGTTGGACAAGCGGATCGGAGATTAGAGCAGAGGTGGCGATTATCAAGTCGGAAGCTAGATAGTGGGACTAGGCTTGGTGGTATTTTTCGAAGACAGAAGGCTACCGTAGTACGTACGAACATAGATCGATCTTTTCTGCATGGCCTGAGCGTGTGTATGGGTCTGGCGCTGACTCGCTATGACACCGTGGATGCCATGGGGTTGAGAAAAGGGCGCAATTAGCAATGGCACTAAGGACAAGGTACGAGGTAGGGAGCTGAAGCTTACAGGGTCAGAGTCATGGCTAGCCACTCCATATTGCCTCGTGGGCTGTATGTAGGTGAATACGACACTATGTAGTTTAAACTTAGCGTGCGCCGTAGTCGAAAAGTCTCAGCGGAGAGATTCGCCTTACAGCTCGTCAGTTCTGCCACTTTCAAAGGTCCATTCGGATGGCAAGGATTAATGCTGTAGTCTCTACGGAGCGGACTCTGGATTTCTGGAATCGAAGGAACATGCAGTTGAGACAACAGGGGGTGCCGCATTTCCGTTAGACTCATCCGTATGTATCGTATCGAGTAGCTGACCGTTCGTTTGCTCAGCTCGTGGTGGAGCAGGGAGCAGGGAGCAGGGAGCATCAGGAGAGGTGGAGAATTAGAGCAAGCGAGACCAGCAAGGGACGACCGGATGAGACCGAGTACGTTCTCCCGTCTTGACCCAAAGTTGGAGCGCACTGCGTTGTACATCATGTACATCATGGACTTGATGATGTACGTGGATACTCGATGGAGAGATGGATACGTCGTCGAGAATGAACGAAGAGTGGACGAGGAGAGTCGATGGGGGAGCGCTGTGCGACTCGAGGTTGGAGGAAGGAGGAAGGAGGAAGTCACGTTGGCGGGTGCTTGCCCAATGCAGCTGTGCTATGTAGTGCCCAGCCAGATTAGGAAAGAGCGCGGTCTTACGTGGAAGGAACGATCGATGCAGTCTGGACCTGCAGCCCTCCACTAGCGCCTTCCTTTTTTGTCTTCGTCATGTACAACACATTGTCTGCTAACTAATCAAGTAAGTGCGTAGTTGGTTTATACTATTCTGTTGGCGCATACTCCTTTCTGTTTCCCCCACCACCAAACAATGTGAGCTGTCGCGGTATTTTCTTTAATTGACTCGTACGTACACTAGGTTTGACTAGGTGGCTGACATGGTGGAGTGTCATATGGCACCATTGGCGGGTGATCGACACCATCCGATAGTACATTGTCAATTGCTATTGATATTCGATTTTATTATTCAGAGCCACTTGTACGACATCCTTAATCCCCAGTGCTATGGGCTGAATTCATCAATTCGACACCAAAAGTCACCGAAAACTTCGAAATTTATATGGTTAAGCCAACTTCTGTCCAGTTACTTTAAGGTTCAGTAAAACCTGATTCATCCCTGTCTATAGAGGATTGACATAATGACTAGTTCATAGCAACAGGCGGTATAAACCTCCGTCTGAATTGTCAGTTGTCAACTCTGATTAATTAATATGGGGGCGTTATAGAAGCCAGCCCCAGAAAGTTAGAAAGCCATAAAGTCAATCTCTCGCCACAGGTCGTCCTGGGAGCTTTGATTCGCCCACTACTGATCGTGATCGTTCACTGTGTCTTTGGCCAGTCACAATAGAGACATGCTCGGCGGGTATGCTGGACCTGAAGAAAAACAATGTAAACATGACAATGAATGTCAAATGATCAAGGATAGCTACCAAGGTAGGAAATTCGAAGAAAATCACAGTTCAATGATCACCAGAGATTCACAATGTCTACAGGTGACTGTACGTGGTTAATATAGTTACTCAGGATCACGCTGTTTGGTCATTCCGGTTGTGAAATTCCGCAATTTATCCCGGCGATTGGATATCACATCGAGAAATCTGTAACTGCTTTCCTCGAGGCATGCAAGATAATATGGATAAATACTCCGAAAGAGACACAAGAGACACGATCACGTTGCACTTGAAGTGATTTGCTACTCAAAAGCGCTCTCAGCCGTGGACCAAAAACATCTGCTTCTAGATGTAACACAAACTACGTATGCTCTGTAGTTTACTGCATGATCCATGCAGCGTCCCGTGACTGGAGAAGCAGAAAAAGAAAAGAAAGCACGCAGTACCACGGAGCTCCAAATAGAGAAAAAGTCAGTCGGTCAGAGTATTTTCCATATTTTGTATTGTTCTTGCTTCTGTGTTTGCTCGTTCGGGTGTTCGCCTCGAGTCCTGTCAAGGGGTGACACATCATGCAAACTCAATATGGTGAGTTGCCACCAGGGTGATGCTTTCTTTAGAAAAGACATGGATCATACGGTACTTACAGCACGTAAGACACGCATACACATGACTTGCCCCAGACTTTGACCGCTGATTCTGTACATACAACCTGTACAAACATCATGATGGATCTCATGTTCCTGCACGGCAAGTCAGCCAGAATTTTTTTTCCTACCCTTTTCCGGGCCGGTGTATACGCCGGAAAAGGCTTAGATTTAATCTGATTACCGGACCATATTTCCCCGGTGCTTATTGTACGTACTCGACAAACGCGGTGGACTGTATGCGATTCATCTTGTTGTTTTGCACCCACTATTCCGAATTTGGAAGGCCTTGACAAATTAGGAAATTTTTTGTTCAAGTTACAATTCCCGATGTTAGTTCGGGTTTCCCAACAATAACAGAAGCTAATAGAAACAAACAAATAAATAAACAAGAAATTTCCTCGCTTACAATGACTTTAATAAGGCTAATATCAACTTGGAAGACAGGGGTGACGATCCTGTAAGATCTATTGTCGACGGCAGAGATCAGACTGGAGCAACTTGTTTAGGGCTTGCCCCAAGCGGGAACCACGGACAATGCATCCGTCCTCTCGGCTCTCCGGCTAATGCGGACGCTAGGCACGTAGTCTGCGATCTAGGCTCTGACTTGACATGAGAAAAATTCGTAGCTTGATTGAATTTGTTAGTGAACTTAGTGCCATGCCGCTATTTTATTAGTCTCTGGCTAGTGCACCTATCAACTTTCCTACTGGACATTAGAATGATTTTAGCTGCGTCGTTTCCTGTCAAAAAGATCAGACTAATTGTCCCGTCTGTCCTTAAGCCACTGATCAGGAGGCTAGAGTCTATATGCCCTGTTTAATTGTCGTTAGATCCTAGCTCCATCTACGTATCTCCTTAGGGTCGGGCTATTTTAACTAGTGATAAAATATCCGAACGGAGTGCATGTTTATTGGTTGTTTAGTGAACTCGTCTGGCTGTCATACAAAATATTCGGCACCCGCTCGCTTTTCATCGGCAGCTAGGTACAGACCGGAAATGTGACGAGTAAAAAAGACGCGCTTAGAGTTCTTCACATCACGTAGCTCGTATTGTATTAACTTTCTGGTTGAATGTTTATCCATACGATAATCTGCCCCTTTCTGGCTGCACTTACGACTGCGCTTACGGGTTCGTACTGTACAAAGTAGACAGGTCGGTTCAATGTACCACCTCCTTCCAGCTCCTGTGACGTCCATGTTCCATTAGTACTCGACAAGTCAACAAGCAAATTTTTTTCTTTTCTGGCCCCCTGTTTTACCCCATCTGAGATATTTAGTTACCAATGAACGATCAACACATGACATCGCTGCTATGTACAAGGAACAAGGTACATAGACGTGACACTAGCCCACTAAGTACATACATATGCAGATCCCCACGAACCAATCCCAACAGAATTGATTCATGACTCTGATAATATGACACGAACATGATGTGCGAGAGTTCATATGTGTACTCGTTTAATGTAAGTATGGCGTCAGCCTCAAACAGTGATTCCTCCTTTTCGTGCGCTGGCTTGGTTTTGAGGCGTTGCTTGGGGGCCTTCTGCCAGATTCAGACATGTACCACGATCCGTAACCCAACAACCATATTCGTAGCACGTAGAATGTAGGACATTATAGATCGGAAGAAAAAGGAGATATTCCCATCTTACACCGTTGTTTGACAACAGAAGACGGGAACTGCGCCACTGAAGTCAATGGCATTGATTTTATCCTATATTGTTCTAGTTTGACAACCTGTTATGGTTGTAAACTGCGAGCTCGTCGTCCAGAGTTACATTGTTAAACATGACGAAACAGATTATAGATGACAAGAGCCGAGTAAAAGGGTCTGGAATGAAACCCACAAAAAACTCGCGGTGGCAAATAAACAAACATTATAAACGAGTAATGCAAGACCTTTAAATAGAATATATACCGAGACAATTTGACACTCAAACGCCATATCAGTCTATAGCCTGGAAGTAGTACAGCGGAATTCCATCCAATATATTCAAATTATATTGATCGTAATCCTCTCCACATGGACGAACTGACTGGTCGCCGTATACCCGGCATTATCAATAAGCACAGATTATATTCATATTCCTAACATAACTATGTAGTATTGGAACAGATGTTACTTGCCCTTTTTCCTTGATCCGGATGTATGCAACGACCCGGAGATACCCACATATTCAGCTACCATTTTGATATAAGACATGGATACTTGCTAAGTGGTGGTATGGTGTCATTGCAAACAAGTATTGCATTTTGTAACTACCGTACTTCGTATTGCTCCTCCAATTCAGTGAGTAAGCTTGCGCCATAGACATCGCTGTTGTAGTAATGTTAACTTTGATCGTCAGTCAATAATGACCTCCCGGGCAGGTTTGCTCTCCCTTTGATTCAGAGTTCCACGTAATGCTGACGAATGTGGCCCTATAGGCTTCTCATTGCAAGTTATGGAATACTTTAATTCTTACGTGCTGAATGAATACAAGTCAATCTTTATCCAGGTACGTAGCGGGCTTACAGACCCTAGTTCCACTGGAGCCGCGTAGCGCTGCCTGCCTATGTGGAGTACAGCTTAGGGTTCAAGGGATGAATGCATTCACTAAAAAGTAGTACGACGTATAGTAACAGAAAATTACCGAGTCGTTCCTCGACAGTCCTGTAGTACTATGTAGCAATTAGGAGATTTTACATTCTGCAAGCATGGCATGAACCGCTCTCACGTATTTCGGTGGGTTGGCATGGCTGGCTGATGGAACCCTAATGTACGGAGAAGACTAGAAGAGAACAACTTCGTGCGCAGTAGTTTGCAATCCAGATCCAGAAAGTATTAGACCTTACAAACTACTACCGGTAAATAGTTCGATTACTCCGACTTTCCGCCCCGTCCAACTGCCCGGCTAAATCATCATCACGTCCCTGTTTAAACAAACTGAACTCGGATCTCTTTAGTTAGTTCACTTACTCCACAACTTTCTCCGAAAGGGCCAAACCCAAAACAGGATTCACGCCGATCTATGGGGCATACAGCGCCACCACTTCTCTCTTCTCCATCCACGCCGTCACAGGGCTTCACTTTCTTTTCTTTTTTTTGGGTTTTCTGGCGTCTGGCGTCCAAGGCACCTCCACAAGAGTGAGACTAATGAATGCCCCACTCCGATGTGGACATCAAGTTTAGCAGTTCCGTACCTTAGTCTAGTTTACATATTAACTCAATAGTGTTGGTAGGTTGTCAAGTCAACTACTGCGTACGAATCAGTAAAATGAGTGCACTTTCTCAGCTAATTTATGCTGGAAATTGCCTCCTACCGAGCTAGGGATGGAGTTCCGTATGTATGTCTTTTCTGCATGCATGCATGCACACATGCATTTATGTAATGGATATACGTAGTCTTTACGGACCTCTACTCTTTTTTGTACTCGCCAGTTTTCTCTGAGACATCTACGATGTACGCATGTTGCTTCAATGCTTGGCTCGCGAGGAATGAGACGTATAGCACATACATACACGCTATTGGCCTAGCCATGTGGAAGGAATCTAGATCGAAGAAATAAAGAAGAAGAAGGAGGGGGGTCCGCAAGCAATGAATTGATTTATCCACAGTAAAAGAATTTAACTAAAGTACAATCCAAGCTAGAGCTTGGACCTGATCAGAAAAAAAAATTATCTCATCTCGCGTAACTCACGTGTAGCACTGACTCGATTGGGCTGATTCCGAGTTTGGCTTTTTCTCTTTGATTCGTGTCATACAACGCTTCGAAAGGTGAGGAGACTGACTAGGTAGGATCCTTGGACTCCGCTAAACATTTCACAAAAAGGTCTCAGCTATTTTTAGCGGCAAACTCGTAATTTGAGGAAGGAGGTAGATTCCATACAGTGCACTATCGAGGAGTTGTGTAGCGACGTATTGAGTGATCTTGACTGAACATCAGAGATCCTCGCAAAACCAAATACGAGACGACGTCTTAGCTTTGTGATTGAGGTTATCTCGTGTTTTGGAAGCCACTCGATCCATAGCTAGATCTAATTGCTCAACACTGAATTGTATTATATTTGTTGCGGTTAGTGAGTCACCCAATTTGCGCGCGCAGACAAACTGATAGTACACAGACATCATCGAAACCACATCCATAGCGAGATATTGAACTTCATAATGACATCTCAAAATCAAATCAAAGGCGACATCGCCTCCCTCGCTTGCTACTTACCAAACGTACGAAATGCGACGGCAGCCACCAAATCAAAACGCCGAATGTGTTCGCGTATCAACTGCGATGCGCAGAGACTAAAGAATTTTGTCAAGGAGGATGAAAATGGCGCAAAGGATCTGCTTCAGGCAGCTTGGGCGATGGTGCTTTACCATTATACTGGGATGGAGGAGGTATGCTTTGGGTACGATGAGTTTGACATGGCTGTTTCCGCGCGCAGGCCGGGGCCATTGGCTGTCAAATATCGCATTAACCCGGAGGCGCAATTGAATGGATCGTTTGAAGGTACGGAAGGTAAGGAAGGTAGGTATGGGAAGGGTCTGCGCAAGGAGGAAGACGAAGGAAACGTGAAGTCGCAACTTCATTACAACACCGCGGTGATGCTTCAGATTCGCAAATCATCGGATAATACTCTGAGTCCTGCGGCTCTGGCATCGCAACAGGCTGCAATGTCGCTTCCAAATGAGGTAAGAATGCGCACGCTTTTGGGTGAGTGGGAGTAAATTGACCGTCTTGTAGTGTAAAGTGCGGATTCTGGCCAAGTATATACTGGGCACATTCAGTGTCTTTCTGGAATACAAACACCCGGATGTCTCTGGTGCTTTTGCTTCAATTGTGTCGGAAAGGTTCTCGCGCATGCTTCACGGTCTTCTCGAAGAAAGAGCATACACTATTCAGGATTTGAGTAAGATCACCGATAGTGACATGCGACAAATCATGAAATGGAATGCCGTGCGGCCAGATACCGTCGAGAAGTGTATACACAGTATTATTGAAGATCAAGTACAACTGAAGCCGGAAAACGAGGCTGTATGCGCCTGGGATGGGTCTCTTACCTATGCCGAACTCAATGAACAAGCGTCTATACTGGGGCGAGAACTTTTGAACCTTGGGGTGCATGCGGAAACTCGTGTTGCACTATGTTTCGACAAGTCGGTAAGTGTGCAATGATATGCATCTTTGAGATTTTGCTAATGCAAATATGGACAGAAATGGAACATTGTAGCCATGTTGGCTGTATTAAAAGCTGGTGGCGCTTTTGTACCTTTAGATCCGTCTCATCCAATAGCCCGACTGGAATCGTTGGTCAAAGAGGTGGAAGCACGAGTAATTATTTGCTCTCCCAGTCATTCTTCGCGTTTATCTTCGGCCGCCGAACATGTACTGTGTGTTGATGCCGAGCACATGGATCAGATGGCGGCTGAAAATACAGCTTCAAAAGATTACACTTTTAATACTTCGACGGTTAGCACAAATGCTGCGTATGTTCTGTTCACCTCTGGTTCGACAGGAAAGCCAAAGGTACGAATTTGTCTTGTCAAACATGAGAATGGACTGCTAATTACTCTAGGCCACCGTGATCGAACATCAAGCTTTCTGCTCCGGAGCTCAAATCCATGGTCCGGCGATGTTGATCGAGTCCGATTCTCGAGTCCTTCAATTCGCTGCTCACACTTTTGATGCCAGCTTGGTCGAGATTCTTACGCCTCTGATGCGCGGGGGTACTGTGTGTATACCCAGTGAAGAATCCAGACTAAATGGTATCATCTCCGCAATCAACGACTTACAAGTAAACCACGCCTTCTTGACACCTTCTTTCGTACGGTTTATCACGCCAGCTGACGTGCCAAATCTCACTCGACTGGTGTTGGCGGGAGAAGCCCTAACGCAGGCTAACATTGACACCTGGTCGTCAATTCATCTGGTCAATGGATACGGTCCCACGGAAAGTTCTGTTGCTGCCGTGGTCAACGCCAATATAACGAGAGAGACACAGCCTCAAGATATTGGCTTTCCTGTCGGCGTTAGATGTTGGGTGGTCGACGCTGAGAACCACGACGTGCTCCTTCCCGTTGGGTGCACGGGTGAGCTCCTTCTCGAGGGCCCGTCCTTGGCCCGCTGTTACCTCAACAACCCAGAGAAAACCGCGCAATCTTTCATCTCGAATCCATCGTGGTCGCAAGAAGCTGCGATAAATATTGGCAAAAGTCGGTTTTACAAGACTGGAGACCTGGTTCGCTACAATTCTGATGTTGGATCGTTTGATTTTGTCGGACGAAAGGATGCGCAGGTCAAATACCATGGACAACGAATCGAGTTGGGAGAAATCGAGTCGAATCTCATCAAACACCCAGCTGTCAAGCATGGAATCGTATTACTTCCAAAGACTGGCCCCGCGGCACAGAAGCTGGTTGCGATTATATCTTTTAGCGAAAGCATTATCAAGGACTTGTCAGCAAGCCCAATGCCGCTGAACGTGCTCGATGTCCCTGATCGAGAAAATCATATATCGAATATCCGCGAAGCCTTGTCTAGTATTTTGCCCACATATATGATTCCATCTATCTGGCTCTGTATCGAGGCATTTCCGGTGCTTGCTTCTCGCAAGCTGGATCGCAAGACCGTAACAACCTGGCTAGACACCCTGCCCGAAGACATTATGAATGCCTTCAGACCAGCAGCCAACAGCACAAATAATACCATGGATGGTGATATCACTGATACGGAAGCTAGTTTGCGCCAGATATGGAGTGACGTGCTCAATATCCCCCTGTCGAGGACCAGCATACACCATAGCTTTTTGAGTCTCGGCGGCGACTCAATTACAGCCATGACATGCATGAACCGATGCAAGCAAAGGGGCATTGGACTGACGGTTCAGGACATTCTTCGCAGCAGATCTATCCGCGAGCTTGCAAAATGTGTCAAACTGGTAGCTGTCCAGAACGACTATCGGGAGGACATTGACGTGCCTTTTGATCTATCACCAATACAGAAATTGCATTTTGAGGTCCGCGACGACAATACTGGACACTTTAATCAAAGCTTCTTCTTGCGAATAAATCAGATCGTGACACCCCAGGATCTTCAAAATGCAATCAATGTGATTATCCGTCGCCATTCTATGCTACGTGCTCGCTTTATTTACGATAAGTCAAAGAAACAATGGCAACAACGATTGAAACCCCTGAATGAAGCTGCTCACCGATTTAATGTCCACAAATCATCCTCTCTGGTGCAAGTGAAGAACGCTATTGCTGATAGTCAGGCGAGTCTCAACGCAGTGAACGGCCCTGTTGTGGTAATTGATCTATTCCAGATGAAGGATCAACGTCAATTGTTATCACTGATTGGTCATCACTTGATAGTTGACCTTGTATCCTGGCGTGTAATTCTCGAAGATCTAGAAGAGTTACTGCTTCATCCCCAGTCAAACTCACTACTAGCCCCTACACTTCCATACCAGAGCTGGAGCCGTCTTCAGTGGGACCAAATTTCCGATCTTGGCGAAGAAACAACCCCAAAACCCCTAAATGTGCCACTTTGTGATCTGTCATATTGGGGTATAAGCGACACCGAGAATACATATGGTCAAGTTTCATGCGAAGGTTTCGAGATTGACGCGGAGACAACATCGATACTACTGAACGAGGCCAACTCTCCCATCCAGACCGAAGCCGTTGACATTTTGGTTGCTGCGTTATTGCACTCATTTGCAAGCACATTCACTGACCACACACTGCCTGTTATACACAATGAAGGCCATGGACGTGAGCCCTGGGATAATGCAATTGATGTTTCGAGAACCGTTGGATGGTTTACTATCATCTACCCAATTTTCGTGCAAGCAGCAGCTCTTCGGAACTGGGTCGAGACTCTTGTGCAAGTGAAAGACTGCCGCAGGCGTGTCAAAGATAATGGAAGAGAATATTTTGCTAAGAGTATTCTCGGTGGAGATAATATGAAAGCGTTCAAGCCAATGGAAATCACCTTTAACTACCTGGGCCGCTACCAGCAACTTGAAAAAGCTGGGGCTCTTTTCAGCCCTGTCGAAGGTCTGGCCGGTGAGACTAGCCAAGGAGGAGGAGCAGCTGACTTTGCAAAGACCACACCTCGGTTTGGTTTATTTGAGATATCAGCTGTAATTGTTCATGATGTTCTTAGATTCACATTCTCCTTCAATGGAAATATGCGACATCAAGAGAGAATTATTCAATGGATTACAAACTGTCAGCTTACACTTTCTCAAATGACAAAAGATCTGGCCACACTTCAGCACCAGCCAACTCTCAGTGATTACCCGCTGCTATCGTTGGATTACCCTGATCTCCACGCACTTACAGCTGAAAAGTTACCAGCCATAGGTTTGAAATCATTAGATGAGGTTGAAGATATTTATCCTTGCTCCCCTATGCAGCGTGGTCTGCTTATATCTACGACTCGAGATATCTCATTTTACGCGGCCCGAGGAACGTACGAAGTCAAAGCCAACAATGGAAACCAAATAGACACGGAACTTCTTTCCCAGGCATGGCAAAAAGTGGTTGATCGACACGCAATGCTTCGTACGATTTTCGTGGAGAATCTCAGTTCGGAAGATCTGTATTCTCAGATTGTACTTCGCAAGTACGCTTATTCATCTAAGATTCTCCGTTGCACCGATGACAATGATGTTCAAACTGTTCTCAATAACCACCCAATGCAGTCAGATCAACGAAAACCACTGCATCAATTTACTATATGCGTCACAGGGACTGGGAAGGTCTTTTGTCGACTTGAAATCAGCCATGTTATCATGGATGGGGCGTCGATCTCTATCATGTTACGTGACCTCGAAAAAGCTTATAGTGGGGGTCTGCACAATGATCCGAAGCCACTCTTCAGCAACTTCATTTCATACCTGCAAACGCAGCCCAAGGCTGCTGCTATGAACTACTGGAAGTCCTACCTTTCTGACGTTGAGCCTTGCCACATGCCTGTGCTCAATGATGGTTCATCTTCAGTAAGAGAGTACAGCACACTTCGTTTAGATTTCAAGAAGCTTGATCTTCTTCAATCCACATGTGAAAAGCACGGATTGACCGTCTCAAATGCTTTACACGCAGCATGGGCCCTCACACTTCGCTGCTACACAGGAAGTGATGACGTCTGCTTTGGCTATTTGCTTTCAGAAAGAGATATTCCAGTGAATATGATCGAAGACACAGTGGGCCCTATGATCAATATGCTTGCTTGCCGGGTTAATATGTCCCCAGAATCCGTTATTATGCGCGTGGTTGAAGGTATCCAGGTGGACTACATGGAGAGCGCACCGTACAAGCATATCTCACTAGCAGATGTCCAACACGGATTGAATCTCTCGGGCACCGCCCTCTTCAACACCTGTCTATCTTACAGGAAAGTTTTATCTGTAGAGTCTGCGCAAAAAAGCGCTATAAAGTTTTCCGAGTGTGGAGGCTTGCACGACCCGACGGAATACTTGGTGACAATCAATGTCGAGGCCTCGGATACGGATGCAGTGATCGACCTAGACTTCTGGACAGATATGCTTTCACAGGCACAGGCCAGAAATATTGCTGATACTTTTATACGTGCGCTTGAAAACATGATAGAACATCCAGAAGCGCAGTTGGGCCAGTTGAATCATGTTCCCACAAGCAACTGGCAACAGATTGCTGAATGGAACAATGCCATGCCAGAAAAAATTGAAATGTGTATTCATGAGGTTTTCGAACAGAAAGTGCGACTGAATCCCGACGCGCCTGCAATCTGTGCCTGGGATGGTGAATTTACATACTCTCAAGTTGATTCTCTCGCTAACCGCCTTTCGTGCTATCTCACAAATTTTGGGATCATGCCAGAATCATTCGTGGCATTGTGCTTTGATAAATCAGCTTACACTATCATTGCTATGATTGCCGTTTTAAAAGCAGGTGGAGCCTGTGTTCCATTGGATGCTGGACATCCGAAAGCTGCTTTGGAGCTTCGTGTGCTAGAGACCGGCGCTCAGGTTGTTCTATCGTCACCATCTCAGACGCATCTTCTTGAAGATGTTGTGCCTTATGCCGTTCCAGTTGATGAAACACTTTTCACCCAGCTTGAGGAAATTGAACCATATGATATAACTGAAGCCGCTCCCGAGAACGCAGCTTTTGTTATCTTCACTTCCGGAAGTACAGGCAAGCCTAAAGGCGTTGTTCTTGAACATCGCAGTCTAGTGACAAGTGCTGCGGCCCATGGAGCAGCTTTAGGAGTAGATCAGTCAACCCGATTTCTCCAGTTTGCTTCCTATTCATTTGACAACAGTCTGGAAGAAATTTTTACGACCCTGATGAGAGGCGGTTGTGTTTGTGTTCCATCTGAAGATGACAGAATGAACAACCTAGCTAAGGCCATGAATGATCTGGATGTCAACTTCACCGATATGACAGCTACTGTTGCTGCCTTTCTAAACCCTTCAGACGTTCCAAAATTAAAGGGCTTAGCCATTGGAGGAGAGGCTCCCACAAAGGAAATCAAGGAAACGTGGTGCAGCGTTCTCCGACTTCAAAACATATATGGCCCTACAGAATGCTCCATCAATTGCTGCCACAATCCAGATGTTGGAGTTTCAAGCGATGTAACAAATATCGGACGCGCGATTGGAGGTGTTTCATGGGTTGTTGATGCGAATGATCACAATAAATTAGTGCCAATTGGCTGCGTCGGAGAGCTGCTCATCGAAGGTCCCATCCTTGCTCGACACTATCTTCATAACCCAGAAAAGACCCAACAGAGCTTTATCGAGGATCCTTCCTTCATGAAGTCGCTAACAGAGAGAATTGGAGATACAGCCGTCTTTCCTCCTACTGGGCATAGGATGTACAAAACCGGTGACTTGGTTCGATACAACTCCAATGGATCCCTGGTGTACCTCGGAAGAAAGGATACCCAAGTTAAACTCAATGGCCAAAGAATCGAGCTGGGCGAGATTGAGCACCGTATTCAGAGTGCTTTACCTTCAGATGGCCAATGCTCGGTCGATCTCATCATTCAAAGCAACGGGAAAGTCACATCCAAGGCTCTGGTAGCCTTTATTTGTCTTGAAAGCGATAGCAAGAGACCAACACAAAGCGATGCGGACTTTATCCTGCCAATGACCCAGTCTTTCCAATCGATATTCTTGAAAGTAAAAACAACCATTTTATCCCAGATACAGAGCTACATGGTCCCCAATGTCTATATACCCGTGTCTTTCTTCCCAATGACTTCATCCGGCAAGCTTAACAGACGTCTACTGCGCACTACAGCAGAAGACCTACTGTCGCGAGATGCATCATCCTTCCGTCTAGGCGGCAGAAGCGGTCGAGAACCCTCCACCGATGCCGAAAAAGCTCTACAGAATTTATGGTCATCGCTTTTGTCTGTGGATGCTTCAAACATTAGCGCAGACGATACATTCTTTCGACATGGAGGAGATTCCATATCTGCAATGAAACTCGTCACGGCTGCGCGGAAGCAGGGATATTCGATTAGCGTGGCAGATATCTTTCAGGCGCCTAGGTTGTCTGAAATTGCAAAAAAATTGGTGCCCAAGTTCACATCTAGTGTCGATGAGACTGATGTAAAAATTGTGCCGTTTTCACTCCTCGACAAGGGTATTTCTGTTGCCGAAATCAAAGACGAAGTCTCTGATACTTGCAACATCTCGCTGGATCAGATCGAGGATATACTGCCATGCAGTGCAATTCAAGAAGGTTTAGTCACGTTATCAAGCACTCAACCAGGATCGTACGTTACGCAAAATATCTACAGCTTGCCGGGTTCGGTCAACATACAGAGGTTTAAAGCAGCTTGGAAGAAGCTTTATCAAAGTGAGAGTATACTCAGAACCCGAATCATTCATTCAAAGAATAATGGCTTCCTTCAAGTTGTTGTTCGAGAAGAACCGGAATGGACTTCCAGTCAACCTGCTAGTCGTTCAGTACCTGGCACAAATGGAGGCCGCCTATCTCGATATACCATTACCCAAGATCAAACAGGCGGGCCACATTTTATATGGACGGCTCATCATGCCATATATGACGGTTGGAGTATTCCTAAGCTCTTAAACAAGCTTCAGAAATACTACGAAGATAGTACTCTAGCTATTGAACATAACCCTTGCTCTTACTCCCACTTCATCAAGTATGTGTCTACAGTTGATCCTGTCGAAACGAGGAACTTCTGGACTGCCCATCTCGATGGTTTTTCAGCATCTCAGTTCCCTGCGCTGCCTAATGCTTCCTACAAATCGAATCCAAAAACTCGGCAAGATATAAGTTTCAAATTGCCAGCAGAGCGACCTTCTGAAGTCACTCTACCATCTCTGATCCGAGCAGCATGGGCTCTAACGATTTCCATGTACTCATACTCCGAGGACATAGTCTTTGGCGAGATCATGACCGGGCGTGAAATACCAGTTTCAGGGATCGATGATATGATAGGTCCTGCATTGTCAATAGTGCCCATGAGATTGCAAATAGACTCGAAACTCGCCGTTTCAGAGTATTTGCAGCAGGTTCAAGCCCAAGCAGCTGCAATTATCCCCTATCAGTCTGCTGGCTTGCAAAGTATTCAGGGAGTGAGCCAAGATGCGAAATCAGCTTGTGAATTCCAGACGCTGTTTTCTATCGCTCGCGGTGAGAGTGACGATGTCGAGGGTGTTATGAAATTCATAAGCGCAAATTCAGGGGATGCGAACTTCTTCACATACCCACTGAACGTATCATGCTTCATGTGGAAGTCGCATCTTGAAGTTCAGATTCAGTATGACAACCACATCGTTCCACTTACACATTTAGAGAGAGTCATTGGCCAGTTTGAGACTATTCTACACAAGCTGTGTGGTGCAGTTCAGACAAAGAAATTGAGTGATCTTGAGATCATAAGCAACAGTGACATATCGAAAGTACACGAATGGAACTCACAATTGACTTTAACGCGGATTGATCGTTGTATTCACGATGTGATTGATGACAATATTCGATCGCGTCCTGATGCTCTAGCCATCGATTCATGGGATGGAAATTTTACATATGAGCAGCTTGGCCGTTATGCAACAGCTCTAGCCTCTCATCTTCAAAAGCTGATTGGCAACGATAAGGAGCATTTCATTCCAATTTGTTTCGAAAAATCAGCTTTTGCTGCTATCTCTATGCTCGCGATAATGAAAGCTGGCTATGCCTTCGTCCCCATTGACCCTCAGCATCCCAAGGCTCGGCGTCAGGAGATCATTTCTGATATTGACGCGAAAATTATACTTTGCTCACCTCGCTTCGCCTCTTTGTGTAAAGAGGTAGTCAATGAGGCTCTTGCTGTCGACATAGACCTTCTGGTATCACTCCCAGAATCAAAGATGTCGCTTGGTAGATGCGATGGTAGCGGTGCGGCGTACGTTATCTTTACGTCTGGAAGTACTGGGAAGCCAAAGGGCTGTATTAGTAAGTTCTGTGCCGCAGTGGAACTATGCCAAAAATACTAATGTTTAATTTAGTTGAGCATGCTGGCTTCTGCTCTGGAGCTGTCAAGAATGGCCCGGCATTCTCTTTTTCGCCAACATCGCGCGTTCTTCAATTTGCATCATATACATTCGACGCTAGTCTTCTCGAAATCTTGACTGTTCTCGTCATGGGAGGATGCACATGCGTTCCTCATGAAAGTACACGACTCAACGGCATCGCCAAGTTCATCAACGAGAAGAATGTAAACACCGCTCTTCTCACACCAAGCATGGCACAAACGATCAAGCCGTCAGAAGTCCCGTGCCTACAAAACTTAGCACTCGTCGGTGAGGCAATGACACACAACCACCTGTTTACCTGGGCCAATGAAGTTCGACTGATAAACGGATACGGGCCAACCGAAACTTCGATTGTTGCTGCTGCAAAACCGCGTATGAGTCTAGGCACCGATTCATCCAATATTGGGACACCGGTAGGAAACGCGTGGATTGTGGACCCGCGAAATCACAATAAATTGATGCCAGTAGGTGCGGTAGGTGAATTACTGGTTGAGGGTCCAACACTTGCCAGAGGCTACCTCAACAATGAGCAGAAGACTAACGAGGTTTTTATCACGAATCCAACATGGAGTATAGCCAGCGTTGGTGCGAATTTGCGAAGAATGTACAAGACTGGTGATCTTGTCAAATACGCACCCGATGACTCTGGTGAACTGCTATATGTTGGAAGAAAAGATAGTCAAGCTAAGCTCCATGGACAGCGACTTGAACTCGGGGAGATTGAGCACCACCTCAATGGCGACACTGACGTCTTAAATGCTATTTCCCTTCTCCCGAAGACAGGTAGATGTTCAAAGAAACTTGTTGCTGTGATATCACTGCGTAATATCCCAGTACCATCTGACACGAATGCATTGCAAATTGTGACGGATACGCAAGCTTTTGAAACCCTCTGTCTCATTCAAGAAAGGCTGCGAGAAAAGGTTCCTGCTTATATGACTCCATCAACCTGGGTCATTTTGCAACACCTACCCCTGTTGCCTTCCGGAAAGCTAGATCGGAAATTGATCACCCAGTTCATTGAGAACATGGACGATGCTACATTTGAAAGAGTTACAGCAGCGGAGAAAACTAGGTCTTCGGACAAGGTTGTGGTTATTACACAAACGGAGGCGGCTTTGAGAGACATATGGGCCTCGGTTCTGAAGCTTCCTACCGAAAGCATTGGTTTGGATAGGTCATTCCTCCATATGGTAAGTTTAATGGCGAATGTTTCGCTATGCGTTGAAGAAAGTGTGAACTAATACTGAAACAATCATAGGGCGGCGATAGTATGTCGGCGATGGCTGTAATGTCCAGATGTCGCAGCCAGAAATTGGGCGTAACGGTAGAGAATATCATTACTTGCAAGTCTATTCGTGATCTTGCTTCTCTAGTTACGCTGCCTCAGAAGGCTACACATACCGAGGAAAGCTATCAGGAATTCGATCTCTCACCTGTTCAAAGCCTCTACTTCCGATGCATGAACGGTCAACCAAACCATTTCAATCAGAGTATCATGATTGATATTACAGATTCTCTGTCAAAAGACCAGGTACAAGGGGCAATCTCGAAGCTAGTCTCTATACACTCAATGCTTCGAGCTCGCTTTTCTCGAGATGGAAACGGCATATGGAAACAGCGTATCTTACCGGAGGCTCAATCATCTTTTGGTTTCCGTACCCTTGATTGTTGTGATCCTGATGAACTTCGGGAGGAAGTTGAAGAGACCCAGAAGTCGCTAGATGTGACAACTGGACCTATCATGGCAGTGACGTTTTTCGAAGATGCTATGGCAGGCTCGAAACTTTTCATCTGTGCCCATCACCTCGTTGTTGATGTGATTTCGTGGGGTATCATTGTACAGGATCTGGAACATCTACTTCAAGGTCGCCAGATCGCAAGTGACCAAGGTGTTGCATTTCAGAAGTGGTGCAGACTTCAGTTGGAATACATCAAGGAAAAGAAAGATACCAGCCTGTTGCCGCTAGAGGATGTACCAGCTGCGGAGATGGACTTCTGGGGCATGAAAGATGCACCAAACACTCATGGCGATGTCCTAGCTGAGGAAATCGAATTTGATATAACTACCACCAATAATTTGTTAGCGATGATCAGTGCCCTCAATTGCGAGATCGTTGACGTTCTTTTGGCTGCAAGTTTACTTTCGTTCCGTCGTGTGTTCCCCAGTCACAAGTCCATGCCATGCATCTACAATGAGGGCCATGGTCGCGAACCTTGGGATCCTAACATTGATCTATCCAGGACAGTCGGCTGGTTCACGACGATGAGCCCGGTTCACTTACCAGCAGACTTTAGTATTGGGGATGAAAATGACATTCATAAATGCATCAGTTGGGTCAAAGCATTGCGACGAAGAACTCCAAGAAAAGGAATGCCGTACTTTGCCCAGCGGCTACTTACTTGGGAAGGAAGCGAAAAATATCGTCACCACTGGCCCATAGAGATGGCCTTCAATTACCTGGGTCAACACAGAGAGGTCAAAGAATCAAAGAGCCTCTTACAGCTTACCAATGGTACCGGGCAGTCAGTCAACTCGGCATCTGATATTGGACCTGACGTTCCTCGCTTCTCACTGATTGAGATCTCTGCGGCAATAGTCAATGGAAGCATGAGCATGTCAATCTCTTACAACAAGTCCATGAAGAAACAAAGAAGTATACAGCAATGGATTGGAGACTGCAAAGATATAATTTACCAAGTCTCGAAATTTTCCTCTCAGAAAAGGGCAACACCAAGCTTGGCTGATTTCAGGCTGCTTCCACTTACTTACAACGGCATCGATCAGATCACACGAAACTTGCAAAATGTCGGAATAATGTCTTTCGACAACATAGAAGACATCTATCCTTGCTCATCGATGCAACACGGAATACTTCTCAGTCAACTTAAAGATCCCAATACATATGCTTACCGCACTATTTTCGAGGTTGATATACCCTCCGAGCAAGGAAAGCTGGAAGTTCAGAAGCTAGCTACTGCATGGCAAAGCGTTGTTGATCGTCATGCATCCCTTCGAACATCTTTTATTGACGGCAATCACGAAGCCTCACTTATGGATCAGATAGTCCTCAAGTTCTGCTCTGCCAAAGTTGACGTCTTTGAAGTTACCGAGGGAACTGCTAGGAAGATGCTAGCGGCGCTCCCAGATATGAGCTTCAAAAATGGACATCAGCTTCACCGTCTCTCTATCTGCACCGATAGATATGGAAAGGTCTGTTGTCGCTTCGACATTAGCAATGCTATCGCCGATGGAACCTCCATGCCACTCATTTTCCGCGACCTATCGCGGGCTTATATGGGGCTACCTCCGATCACTGATAGACAGCCACAGTATAGTGACTTTGTCGGTCACCTTCTATCACAACCCAAGGAAAAAGGCGTTGCGTATTGGAAAAAGTACCTTGAAGGAACTGAGCCATGTCTTTTTCCATCGCTAGTCAATGATCAGAACAAAGAGAAGTCCCTTGGTTCTGAAATCATCACATTAGGTAATAACGCGGCCATACATGAACTATGCAAGAGCATGGGAGTTACAATGTCTGCATTATTTCAATTCGTGTGGGCGATGGTGTTGAGAACCTACACTGGGTCTGACGAGGTGTGTTTCGGCTATATTAGCTCGGGTCGTGACGTCCCAGTGAAGGATATCGAGGAGGCTGTTGGGGCATTCATCAACATGCTTATCTATAAGATTCATTTGTCAGATGATCTCCCTTTGATAAAGGCACTGAAAAAGACTCAAAGAGATTTTATCAAGAGCATGGAACACCAGGCAGTGTCACTAGCAGAGGTGCAACATGCACTTGGACTGGCAGATACTCCACTATTCAACACGGCGTTCACTTTCCAGAGACGTAGTGTACTCGAAGTGGACTCAGCGCCTTCGCTGTTATTCAAATCATTTGACTCTCATGATCCCAGCGAGTACAAGATTGCGGTTAACATTGAGATGATGGAAACCGCCACTGAGGTTCATTTCAGTTACTGGCAGGATTATTTGTCGAGTGCTCAAGTTAAAAACATCGCCGACACATTTGAGCAGATTATTCAGGAAATCACAAGCTCCAAAGGTCAAGAAAAGATAATCGGTAAAATCAATACTGTTGGATCTCTCAGTTGTCAGAATGTGCGTCAATGGAACAATATACCGCCTCAAAAAGTGGAGCGATGTGTACACGAAATGATTGAGGAGCAAGTAAGAATTCGGCCAGCGATGGCTCAAGCTGTCGAAGCCTGGGATGCAAAGTTCACATACCAAGAACTCGATTCTCACTCCAATCGTCTCGCTAATGTTCTTGTTAGCCATGGTGTGGGACCTGAAGTCATTGTTCCTCTCTGCTTTGAGAAATCTGGATGGGCAATTGTTGCGCAAATTGCTGTCTTGAAGGCAGGAGGTGCTTTTGTGTCTCTCGATTCATCGCATCCTGAGGATAGATTGAGAAGCTTAATTGAAGATGTGAATGGCCGGGTTGTGCTATCTTCGGCCCAGCAATACGACAAGATATCGAATATTGTTCCTAACACTATCATGGTGAATGCGAGGGCCCTAGGTCAGCTACCACAAGCCTCCAAAGCACCAAAAAGCTCTGTGAACCCGAAACACACTGCATATGTCATATTCACTTCAGGTTCAACTGGAAAACCTAAGGGAACAGTGATTGAGCATGGTCAATTCTGCACAGGCGCTTTAGCCCATGGCCCTGCTTTGCATATGAACTCTGAGACTAGGTCATATCAATTCGCAAACTACACTTTCGATGCTTCGATCCTAGATATACTCACGGTTCTAATCTTGGGTGGTTGCATTTGTGTGCCCGATGCCGAAGAGCGTATGAATAATGTCGCTGGTAGCATTACTCGCTTACGTGCCAATTGGATGTGCATTACGCCTTCGGTTGCAAGTACATTGAAACCAGAGAGTATTCCGACAATGAAGGTCATTGCCATGGGCGGCGAGAAGATGACTCCTGGGGCAATCGAAAAGTGGTCAAAATCAGTATGCCTTGTGGAAGCATATGGGCCTAGCGAGTGCTCCGTAGTGTGTGCTGCCGGAGACAAGGTCGATCAGTCAGGTCGAATTGTCAATTTTGATCCTGCTGTTATTGGGAATGCTGTCGGTAGTCGATCTTGGGTCGTTGATCAACGCAACTATAATCGCCTAGTCCCAGTAGGTGCCATTGGCGAATTGATTATCGAAGGTCACATTGTTGGTCGTGGATATTTAAACAATGAGAAAAAGACAAAGGAGGCCTTTATCCAAGACCCTACCTGGGCAGCTGATGACAGGCTCAGAGCTCTCATTTCCCCCGGTACAAGAATGTATCGCACCGGTGACCTTGTTCGATATAATGAAGACGGCACACTTACCTACATGGCAAGGATGGATATGCAAATCAAACTCAACGGCCAACGTATCGAACTCGGTGAGATTGAGTACCAATGCACCCAGCACATGCCAGAAAACGTCCAGTTGGCTGTTGATCTGGTAGCACCCGGAACACATTCTGGACCAAAGAAGCTTGCAATGTTCTTCAGTCTTGCTGGTGGCCATGACAAGTCTCGGAGCACAGGCCAAGGCAGTGACAAGATTCTTTTGGAGATGGAATCTGAAGCCCGCAATGCCGTACAATCCCTCGAGAAGTCGGTCGCGAAAGTTCTTCCATCCTACATGATCCCGCAACTATTCTTCCCAGTATCTGTAATACCGTTCACAACCTCCGGCAAACTCGACCGTCGAAAGCTTTTTGGAGAAATCAAAGATCTTTCTCGCGATGATCTCAAAAAGTACTCACTGTCAACTTCTATCAAGCAAAAAGCCCCTACTGATGAGCGACAAATCACACTTCAAGGCTTATGGGAAGAAGTCCTTGCTATTCCAAAAATATCGATAGGAAGTGACGATAGTTTCTTTAGACTTGGGGGTGATTCCCTTGCTGCGATGAAACTTGTAGGTATCGCTAGGTCTCGTGGTATTGCGCTGAGTGTCGTTGATATTTTCCGCCATCCTACGCTTGAGGAAATGTCCAAGAAGTACCGTCTCGCACAAGCACCTACTCAATTTTCGATCCCAGCTTTTAGCTTGTTGAGAAACTCTGCCATCAATGACGAAGCCATTCGCGAGATCGCAAATCAGTGCAATATCGAACCGGATTCAATAACCGATATCTATCCATGCAGTGCTCTTCAAGAAGGATTAATCACATCATCAGTCCAACAAAAAGGGGCCTATATTTCACGCAATATTCTGAAACTCAGAGCCGAAGTTGATGTTGAGCGCTTCAAGAATTCTTGGCAACAGCTGGTTGATGAATTTGATATATTGCGAACTCGCATTCCGCACACTGCCTCCTCGGATTTCTTACAAGTCGTTCTTAAACGGCAGCAAATTTCATGGCAATATTCTGACACTGTGGAAAGCGCGCTTGATAATGCATCAACAGTGTTCAGCTCTGAAAGTGGTATCCTTAGTCGGTACATCTTGGTCAAAGAGAGAAACAATTCTGTTACTCATTTCGTCTGGCTGATACACCATGCTCTTTACGATGCCTGGGGACTGGATATTCTTCTCAAACGAGTCCAGGAGATCTATTTCAACAAAGGCCTGTCAGCCAAAAAGCCAGCTTACGCATCTTTTATCTCTTATCTCGAGAAAAAGAACCTTCAGGATTCGGGTGACTTCTGGAAATCGTACCTTGCGAACTCGTCACCGTCACAATTTCCTCAACTGATTAGCCAGATTGGAGCAGAAAGCGAGGATACATCATCGAAGACTCTGGTGAAGAATATGAGTATTCCACAACAGTTCTTGAGTCTCGGTATCACTATGCCCATATTGATCAGAGCGGCGTGGGCACTTGTTTTGTCAAACCGTACACAATCGTCTGAAGTCTGCTTTGGAGAAACTTTATCCGGCAGAAACATTGACGTCCCCGATATAACTGAATTGGCCGGACCAGTACTGACTACAGTGCCTACTTATGTTCGTGTTAACACAAAATCGAAAGTCAAGGATTATCTTTTAGAGGTACAAAAAATGTCTACCGAGATGATCCCCCATCAGCATTTCGGACTCCAGCACATTAAAAAATTGGGGCACGAACAGGCTGCTGCTTGCGAGTTCAGGAACTTGATTATCGTCCAAAACGCAGAGATTGCCGATGGTGATGAGCTTTGGGAAGTACAAGACAGTGGAGATATCGGAGGCTTCTTCACTTATCCTCTCGTTGTAGAGTGCAAAACGCTAGACTCGACAGTTGAGGTCAATTTTCACTACGATGAGAAAGTGATCAGTCGATGGGAACTAGAGCGGATCTCATTTCAACTGTCTCATGTTCTACATCAACTTGGTTCTGTGAATACTTCTTCCACTGTTTCGTTGGCTACTGTCGATATGTTGAGCCTCGAGGACAGAAAAGATATCAAGTGGTTCAACAAACGAGACCCTCAAGTCGTTGATGCATGCATTCATGATCTGTTCAAGACACGTTGCATCGAACAACCAGATGCTCCAGCTGTTCATGCGTGGGACGGAGATCTTACATATGCTGACTTGAGCAAGTATGCATCAAGCCTTGCCACACACTTGCAATCACTTGGTGTCAAGCCCGAGATGCTCGTTCCGCTGTGTCTAGACAAGTCCACCTGGACTATTGTATCGATGTATGCGGTATTAATGGCCGGAGGGGCTATTGTTCCTCTAGATCCTTCTCACCCTCTCGAGAGGCACAAGGAAATAGTCAAGCAGACTGGAGCCAATATTCTTCTGTACTCGTCACAGTACGATTCCAAGTACTCAGGTATCGTAAAATATGCTATACCTATCGACGGAAATTTGGTCAGAGATATTTTTTCAAGAAATCTTGGAAGAGAAGAATTGAGCAGTGTAACGAGCTCCAATGCTGCCTATGCAATCTTTACATCTGGAAGCACCGGTAATCCAAAGGGCATCGTTATCGAACACAAAGCGTTCAACACAAGTTCTGTGGCTTTTGGCAGAGTTCTACAAATGACCAGCAAAACTCGAGCTCTCCAATTTGCGTCGCTCAGTTTTGATGCTGCTGTGATGGAGATATTTACAACTCTTACAGTTGGAGGTTGTGTATGCGTCCCCAGCGAAGAGGAACGTTTGCAGGATCTATCTGGAACCATTCGTCGGATGAATGTTACTTGGACACTGCTAACATCCTCGGTTGCCAACTTGATTGACCCGGTATCTGTTCCCTCGCTCAAGGTCCTGGTCTGTGGTGGTGAAGCCATGAGTCCAGAGGTAATTGCTAAGTGGTCTGATAAAGTTCACCTGATCAACGCTTATGGGCCATCGGAAGCTTCCGTTGTAGCGGTGGTCAACACAGACGTGTCCAATGAAACACCAAACAACATTGGATATGGCATACAACCTACCACTACATGGCTCGTCAATCCCGATGATCACAATCAACTGACCCCTATGGGCTCTGTAGGCGAGTTGGCGTTAGGTGGACCTACACTTTCACGCGGATATCTAGGCGATATTGTCAAGACAACCGCTGCTTTTATTGATAACCCACTTTGGGCCAAAGAATTTGCATCTGAGTCCTCTACTCGTTCACGCATTCACCTAAGTGGCGATTTGGTCAAGTACCGACCTGACGGTTCTATAGAGTTTATTGGACGGAAAGACAATCAAGTGAAACTCAACGGTCAACGTATGGAGCTAGGGGAGATTGAGCACCGTCTAGAGGCAAATTCGCTTGTCCGCCATGTCATTGTGTCCGTTCCCAAATCAGGTCCTCTTCAAAAGCGACTTGTTGCAGTTCTCTCACTCAATGATAGAGCAGCGAGTCAATCAGTAGTTACTTCAGAGACATGTCAGCTTGTTGAAAAAGCTGCAGAATTGTCGCGCATCAAAGATAATCTCGCATCAAGATTACCAGCCTACATGGTTCCTCAGGCTTGGGCTGTAGTCAACAAAATACCCATGCTGGTGTCTGGTAAACTTGACAGGAAACTGGTCAAAAACTGGCTTGAAGGAATCTCAGAGCAACTCCACCAACAGATTGTCGGTGCGGAAGAAGAAAATGATGCCACAATAGAGATTACTGGAGTCGTTGCAACCTTGAGAGGTATATGGGCACAGGTTTTGAATCAGCCTGTTGACAAGATCAACCTCAACCGCTCATTCTTGAGCCTAGGTATGCTTCCCTTCTACTTTGAGATTGAAATTTCGCTTGAGTGAGCCGACTGACAATATGAATCAGGTGGTGACAGTATTACGGCCATGGCTGTTGTGTCCCGAAGCAGGCGACAAAACATCAAAGTGACCCTTCATGACATACTGCGTTCACCTTCACTAGTCAAATTATCCGAAACGGTGGATTCTGGCATTCCTAAGGCTGACGATCATGTGGAAGTAATGGACCAGGGCTTTGGACTTTCGCCCATTCAGCAAATGTACTTCCTCGCTGCAAAAGAACATCAAGGTAGTAGTCGCTTCAACCAGAGCTATACTGTTCGGTTCTCGCGGTATATCAGCGCAGAAACTGTGCAATTAGCACTTCAAGCGATTGTGTCCAGTCAGTCAATACTTCGAGCACGGTTCAAATCAAACGCCGCTGGAGATTGGGAGCAACAGATCTCAAAAGTAAGTTTATTTGGGTACGAAAAAGTTCATTGATCTAACACGGGTTGTAGGACGTCAAATCTTCCTTCCGCTTCCGACATCATCGAATTGGTCTGCTTCGCGAGGCGGCAAAGATAGTTGGAGACAGCCAACGAGACGTGAACATCTATGACGGTCCCATACTCGTTGCGGACATGTTTGAGACGTCTAGCAAAGAGCAGTTCTTATTCCTCGCTGCTCATCACTTGGTTGTTGATGTCGTCTCGTGGAGAATCATTATGCAGGATCTCGAAGACATTCTCGAAACTGGTTCTCTTTCAACTGACAAACCTCTTTCATTCCAATCATGGTGTAAAATCCAATCAGAGCATTTCAAGCGCAACACCGAAGAACACAAATTGCCCTTCAAAATTCTACCTAACAACCTTGGCTATTGGGGCATGGAAAATGTTTCTAATACCTACGGTGATGTTGAGCGACGAACTTTTACCCTCGATGAAGGAATGACGACGTCTACTATGACCAGTTGCCACGAAGTCTTTGGCACTGAACCGGTAGACATTTTCTTGACGGCAGTCATTCACTCTTTCAGATTAGTTTTCAAGGACAGATTTCTGCCAACGGTGTTTAACGAAGGGCATGGAAGAGAAACATGGGATTCAACGATTGATCTTTCTCGCACCGTTGGGTGGTTTACCAACATTTCGCCATTACAGGTGATGCTCGAATCAGGTATGTTCTATCGTAGAAATGCTATAAGATGTCATACTAACTTGAATCAGACGACGTACTTGATACTCTGAAAACAGTCAAGGATACTAGACGAAGCTCTCGAGAAGCCGCAAAAGCATACCTAGCCCAACGTTTCCTTGCTTCCAAAGACCGACCTGTTTCATCTCACTCAGACGTGCCGATGGAGATTCTTTTTAATTACCTTGGATCGATGCAGCAAATGGAACATGATGACTCATTACTTCAAAGTACCGACATGGGGCTGGAAAAGGCTGATCCACTTGAAGTCGGCGATATGGGACGTGACACAACGCGGTTGGCGCTTTTTGAAATATCCGCGGCTGTCGTACAACATCGGCTACAATTTGCGTTCATGTTTAGTGGCCGAATGAAACATTTAACCGAGATTCATCGTTGGATGTCGGAATGCAAATGGATTCTTGAAGAAATCGTGGTTCGACTAAGGCGATGCACCCCCGAGCCTACCCTGAGCGATTATCCATTGCTTCCAATTAATTACGACGGGCTGAAACGGCTTATCAAGACATCCTTTCCTCAGTCAGGCATATCACATTATCAAGAGGTTGAAGACGTGTATCCTTGTTCCCCAACTCAGGAGGGAATGCTTCTTAGCCAGCTTCGTGATCCAAAGGCATATTTGTTTCATATTGTGTTCGAAGTTACGGGTGCAAATCCACGACAAATTGTTGACCCTGTGAAATTGATTGTAGCGTGGCAAAAAGTTGTTGACAGACATGCTGCGTTGCGAACAGTGTTTGTCAATAGCACATACAAAGGAGGTTCCTTTGACCAAGCAGTCTTGAAAAATGTCGATGGCGATGTGATCCGTATCGAGTGCGATGATTCCGTCGTACTTAACCAACTTCAATCAGTCAGTCTGCACGACAGAAACTCAAGACGGAAGCAAAAGATTCCCCATCAATTAGCCGTCTGTACGACTCCCTCTGGTCGGGTGTTTATGAAGATTGAAGTCAACCATGCGGTCATCGATGGAGGATCAACCTCGATTCTTATACACGACCTTCAACTCGCTTACGATGGGCTAATTCCAGATGGCCGAGGGCCTCTTTATTCTGACTACATTCGCTATATGAGAAGCCAATCACCAAAAGATGACGTTGTATACTGGAAGCGGTACCTGTCTGGGGTCCAAGCATGCTACTTTCCACGTCTCAAGTCCTCATTCAATAGTCAGCGTCGTCTTGCTTCCCTTCAATTCAACTTCAATCATTGGCAGGATATACTACAATATTGTGAAAAAACAGCTGTGACATTGGCAAATGTCATCCAGGCAGCATGGGCTCTGGTTCTTCGGAAATATACCGGCTCAGACGATGTCTGCTTCGGCTATTTATCAGCTGGACGAGATGCACCGATTACTGGAATACAAGAAACGATCGGTGTTTTCATTAACATGCTTTGCTGCAGGGTTCGACTTTCTCCATCTCAGCTCTTAGCAGAAATCCCTAGTGTCATTCAAGATGACTATGTACGTGCTATTCCTCATCAACGTTGCTCGCTGGCACAGGTACAGCACGAATTAGGATTGCAAGGAAAGCAGATATTCAACACAGCGTTATCGATCCAAAATCATTCTTCTTCTGATCTTTCCGATCAGGGATCTCTTGTGTTTACTACTCAAGAAGCGCACGACCCAAGCGAGGTAAACATATTTCCAGACTTCCATTCCATACAGGTACTAATGTATACAGTATTCAATTACTCTCAATATCGAGACTGGCCGAAATCAAGAGGGTATCGTCTTCAGATACTGGACAGACATGTTCTCAAGCGAAAATGTTTCCGATATTTCAAAAACACTCGCGAACATTCTCCACGCTTTCGCTCGAGAGCCGACAGAAACTATTTCTAGACTCAACCAGCACGAGTCTGGCAAGACCAGAGACATGATCGACACAAAACATGCCAATGCAGGCGAGACATCACTGCAACGCGAGGATGAACTTCATGAAATTATGGAGAAATATCCCAGTCTCCAGAATCTCATCGATGAGAGGGTTCGCATGATTGTGCAAGAAATGTTCAATCTGAATCAACCGGGTTCATTGAGGCGGAATCTTTCTAACGCTGCTGAGCACGACATCCTAGCACTTCCACAATCCGAGTCCGATGCCATTTCTAGTATATCTGACGACATCTATAGAGAAGACATTGGCGATTCGGCTATTCCGGTCGTCGCTCAGATCCATGAGCGCGGGATACAGGCTGATATAGAAGAGAAGCTCTTGCGTCTTTGGAGTGATAAGCTTGGACTGCCTTTGGACTCTATTACCAAAGATGATAGCTTCTTTGATCTAGGGGGAGACAGTATCACAGCCATGGCGCTTGTGGGTGATGCCCGAGATGAAGGGTTGATATTGACCGTTGCGGACGTTTTCCGGAACCCGATATTCAAGGACATGGCAAGTGTAGCTCAAACAGCAAGCGAAAAGAGTTATGTCGAAGACAAGATCAACAACATGGATATCCTGGGTGGAGAGCAATCGTCCTTCACATCTGCAAAACCTGGTTTCTATGAAAGGTTTGCTCTCATAAAAGCGGCTAATATCGATGAGGCATTCCTACAAAAATACATTTGCCCTCGCGTGGGAGTGTTCAAGGGCGGTATAGTCGACATTCTTCCCGTAACAGACTTTCAGGCTCTCTCAATCACGGGTGCCCTTTTGGACTCACGCTGGATGCTGAATTTCTTCTGCCTCGACGGTCGTGGTCCTCTCGATTTCCGGCGTCTCAAGCAGAGCTGTTTCCGCGTAGTGCACGCATTTGATATTCTTCGAACAGTGTTTGTCGCTTCCAAAGGGCGCTTTTTGCAGGTCATACTACGTAAAGTTCGACCGGAATTTTCTGTCTACGAGACTGATGAGAGCCTTGATGAGTTCACTTCTGTACTACAACAGCGTGATATCACCGAAGGTGTTAAACAGGGTGAGCCTTTTGTGCAGTTTGTTATTGTTCGAGAGAAGAATACGGATAGACATCGTATTATTCTCCGACTATCTCACGCACAATACGATGGTGTGTCACTTCCAAGAATCCTATCCGCCATAAAAGCAGGTTACGAAGGCGGACCTATTCCATCACCTGCATCTTTCGCCAACTTTGTACGTGAGTCGGCGAGAATTGTGACGACAGATCATTATCAACACTGGAGGACGCTCTTGAGCGGCTCAAGAATGACCGAAATCGTCAACCGCCATGAAAGTCTCGGATATAAGAGACTTAGGGCTAGCAACGAAGGATTACGCAAGACAATACGGGTTCCGTCCATGGCTCATGGAAACATCACCACCGCCACGGTCATTAAGGCTGCGTGGGCCTTGACTCTGGCACGAATCACAGGAAGCGCAGATATTGTTTTCGGACACACGATCAGCGGCCGCAACACCGCAGCTATCACAGGTATTGAGTCTATGGTTGGCCCATGCATGAACATCGTTCCAGTTCGCGTTGTGTTTGGCAGAAAATGGACTGTGCTTGATTTACTACGATACATTCAAGATCAACAAGTCGCCAATATGCCATATGAAGCACTCGGGTTCCGACAAATTATACACAAATGTACCGACTGGCCTCGCGCAACACATTTCAGTACGGTGTTGCAACACGATGCCGCCAACTCGTCGAATGAGATTCAGCTTGGAGAGAATATATACACCGTTAAAGCTGTTGGTAGCGATGAAGAAATGTCTGATTTCTCGGTCAATTCGAAGTCACTAGATCGGGATCGTGTCGAGATTGTTATTACGTTCTCCGTTGATGAACGTGTCACCATGTCACTGGCTCAAAGAGTCTTGGATATGCTCTGTGACACGGCGGAAAGCTTCACTGCAAACCCAGATATGGCGCTTCCATCACCTAGCTCTTTGTCTACTCTCCCTGTACGAGAGAACAAGAACCTTGATAACCAGTTACCTCAAGCAGAGACTACAAAGCAGCAAGTGGAAGACAACGCGATTACATCGTCTCAGCTAGCAGGCCTCAGTCGAGCCGAGATTTTAGTCTTATCGGACGTCCTCCGTCGCGCCTGGGAACAAGTCCTCGGAGACACCAGCATCAACAACAACAGCCACAACGACGACGTTCCCCCACCCATCAAACCAGACTCATCCTTCTTCAACCTCGGCGGCGACCTCATTGGCCTCGCGCAAGTAGCCTGGCTCCTCGAACAAGAAGACTTCAAAGTCCGGTTGGACGATCTAATCGAACATCCCACCATGATGGGACAAATGGCTGCTCTTGTACAATCGAACAGCGTAACGGCGCAGAGGATGATGGCTTCTTATCATGCGGGTGTTGCTGCTTCGTCATCTGCTGTTGCTACAAGTGCTACCGATGGTAGTGTTGCGGGAGAGGAGCCGCGTTCGGCTAGTGGTAGTAATAATAAGGGTGGTCAGTTGAGAAAGTCGAAGACTTGGGCTTCGGCGTTTGGGCTGGCAAGGAAGATTGTGAAGAGGAAGATTGAGGTTGAGGGTTAATTGATCAGGTGGAAAGGAGACTATCGTTTATGTTTCATGTTTCGTTGTTTCGTTGTTTAGAAAAGTTTATGTTATTTTACTAATTTTGCAAGGCCTCGCTAGTTTATATGTTGTTATATTTCTATTTGTACTTTGGACATCACAGGAATTGATCATTTCATTATTCATTTTGACAAACAATGACTTAGGAATAATCCTTGGAACCTCTTCTCCACATAATATCGGTAATATTATAAACGCGAACAACAATGCCTTTCCAAAATAATGAGTGATCAAATCCACGTAGGCGTAACCCTCTTCAAAAACTTCATAAACTTGAAAAACCCAACCGCCTGCTCAACGTTCCCTCTAGGATCAACCACTGTCTCCGGAAACGCAATCCCAGCACCATGCAAACCTGGTATCACATCTCCCTTCGCATCCAAAAACCCACCAAACCCAGAATCCCATTTCAAATCCTGTTTTCGAGAAACAATCGGCTGACCATTCCGACTAAGCTCCGGTAACGCATTCCGCTCATACCCAATCGCATACACCACATAAGTACATTCCGGCAAATGCTCACGATAGATATTCTCTTCTTTCACTCTATCGCTCGTGTCAACTTTCTCAATAAACCTTCCCGCAACCGAATTCGGTAGCTGCGAATCCTCGAGCTGCTCACGCGCAAATTGCGCTGCTTGTCCCTTTAGACCTGTATTATCGTACAGAATCCAGCCTCCGTCCATAAACTCGGCGTATTTGAGTGGGTTTCTGGTAAACCATTTGAGTCGCAGGGACGGGTGCGTAGTTTGGGCGAGATCCACTAGGTTCATGATTGCCAGGATTGCGCTGTGGGAGCCGCCTATGACGGCTATTGTGAGAGCCTCGTTGCGGGGAAGTATTTCAGCGAGAAGGCTAGGTTTGAGGACTGTGTCGAGGTTTAGCTCGTTTAGGTTTGTGGTTGATGATGTTCCTGCGGCTGATGGGTATGGTGAGGAGAGGGATTTTGGTGATGAGCCTGTGCAGAGGATCAGGCGGGGTGTTGAGACTTCGATGTTTGTGGAGGATGGATCTGTGGGTTTGATTCGCACTGTCCATCTTGATTTCTATACGACTTTAGCATATATATCTCCCATACCAAGTACGATAACCTACGTTATCTTCAAAATTGGCACTCATCACTTCCCCCCGAAACGGAGAAACTTGTTTCATCTTCAACAAGCCCGCCGTAAGATCTTTAATCATATCAGCCGCATAGTGCAGAGAGCACGTCTCGTCCTGATCCAATTTGTTCATGACCGAGAACGCATTCGGCGTCTTGGCGGTTTGTGCTATGTTGCGGAATGGTTGGACGCCTGTGGCGTATGAGCGGAAAAACGAGACTTTGGTGTTGCTATCGAGAAGTCAATATCAACTTTTTCATGAGTTGTTTCTGAATTCGGGTGATGATATTCGAGATGATAGACGGCGATCTACTTCAAAAATGGCAGGCATACCTGGGGACCTCGCGGTATTTACTATTTACGCGTCCTCCGTCGAATACAGGATCTATCCAAGCGATTCTGGTAAGACCTAATTCGAGAAGGTTTCCGAGCACTGCGACACCTGCAGGGCCAGCGCCGACTACCACGGCGGCGTAGTTGTGGGAGATGAGTCTGCTCATGATGATAACAGCTTTGAGATCAGGATTCGATCAACAGTCGTGTAAACAGCTCAGATAGAATGATGCAAAAGAAAAAAGGAACAAGGACCGTTCGTTTAAAAAGTTCAATTCGGATTCAATGCAATATTGCGGAATGAGGTAAAAAGGACAAGATTGACACGCTGTCGTCTTCAGCTCAGATGAACCGAACCGGCGAGATAACGTCGTGGTTCCTGTTCTTCTGGTGCGGGGACTCCCGATCCGCAAAAGAACGGCAACCTCGTGGTCACCGCTTTGGCAGCGACTCTCCACAACGTACCGCCAGATAAGAAAGAGTCACAAGCAATCTCTCGCACGAATCGGGTCCAGCACGTGTAGTACCAATTTGCCATCGTTATCCGCGGGCCGTGAATAGCCTTCACCGACAAGCATCCTGCCATATCATCCAATATCCATTTCCATTCTTCCTTCAGCCATGAACGTACTCGACCGTACGATTTCGACCATTTTTCTCGAACATCTTGATTTGCTCCTCCGTAGTCCTTCGGCGAGCCAAGAACGGCTATTCTGACGAGCTATCGGGGCCGAATTGCTTGTCTTCGCACTGCGTAAGCCCAGGTTAGTCGCTAGCACACCATAGCACACCATCGGCGTCTCTCATTGGCCAGAGGTCTCGGTATGAAAACTTTTGCTTCCATGCTGAGTCCTTAGAAGGATTGCTCAGCAGCGACATCAACCAACACATGGAAAACCGAACATGAGGCTCCTGGTAGCTGATAACAGCTGACAACCAGCAAAATTGTTTGTAAGAGTAAAAGCGATACTGTCGAGGGGCCTGCTGCTTCTTTATATCTGGCTATGTGCTCAGGAGGGATTAGCGCTGTCCTTAGCGCGGATGGCGTGCTTGCCCTTGTTGGTGCCTTGGTGCCTGAGTGCCTGGGTGCCTGGGTGCCTGGGTGCCTGGGTGCCTGGGTGCCTGGGTGCCTGGGTGCCTGGGTGCCTGGGTGCCTGAACGCCTGGACATGATGCCCCTCCGGTTCCGCCTCGCCAATTCCACGCGACAATTTACCATCGACATTAACTACGCAGCGAGCATTCCAACGTCATACTCAATTACAAAATGTCGTGACATCAAATTCCAGCTATCGAACACCAAAAACGTCATATCGGAAAATCTCGGACTCTATAGCATGTGCTACGTCTACACATCGGCCCGCTTCTTTCGCAAACAATGATGTGATTCTCCTGCATCTTTGAGGCTCCTCTGTCGGTCAAGCATCGTCAATTAATATATCTACGAGAGCTTAACGACGCTTGTGTTATGATACGTATGATAAAACCACGACAATCAGAGTTCTGGCTGACAGCTGGGCGCATCTAGTCGGTCTAGAGATCTTGCACAGCCTCAATTCCATTGAAATGCGCCTCACGCACAAGCCACCTTGACGAGGCAGAACGGCCTGAGGCTGCGATTACTAGTATCTATCGCGACTCCAACGTCACCTTTTCACTACGTAGTATAAGCCAAACGATCTAGCAATGTACAAAACGGAGTCCCGATTCATGGATTACCCTATCATGTCGCGCCAAAAGCGAGTTTTCAGCTCTGCTTGGTTCTGAGTCCCTGACGGAAGGGCACATACGCAGTTCGGCCAGTGACGAGATCTGCCGGACGTAGTTACTACACTGGCAACAATCTGTAGAGCAAGGCACACTGCAATTGAGACCATGCTACGTAGTCGTCTGCTTGATATGATATGATATGTTAGGATAGGAGACATACGAGGCGTTCAGGTTATCTCCATGAGCGGCAACACGCCCGCGTTGATTGGGCCAACGGGCACACCCGCAGCCAGACCAAACAAATCGCAACAGCAAGAGAGGGAAAGTAGCCGCCGGAGCCTCATCTCACTCACTCACGGCAGGAACCTACCTCCCCGCTTCCATTCCTTCCCTCCGAACCAAACCCCATTACAACTTCCATCCTCAACTCATTCTTCCCTCGGCCAGACTCAACCTCGCAGGCTCAGCTCCTTGCTTTTGCATATCGTTGCTTTTTTTTTTCCTATTACGTCGGTTGTCTACTGCGTGTCAATTGACTCTTTCCTTATCTGTTACTTCTTTCTACTGCTCTCATCTTATCTACTCCTAGCTTTCTTACCCCAGCCTTATATAAGACGACCACCGCCACACATCAGCTCAGCCTCTTTCTCTCGTCGTGACTTGATTATTGCATTGACACATACCTCCTTGATTGTACTGCATACGTCTCTTGTTGTATTGTTGTCATACGTACCTGTGCTTATATTGCACTGCTTTTCTCCTTTTCGCCTTTTCACTTTCTTACACTTCGGAGTATTTGCTCGCGTCAAGTACTCCCACCCTTACATATACAACACCGGCGACTGGAGATTATTTCCCGTGCAACCTGTTTACGTGGGCATGCCCTGACAATTCGATTGTTGAGTGGGTGTACTCCTACTTTGTTTTGCACAGCCTGCCTCCGAATACGGCGAATAACAGCCCACTTGTGCCTGCTCTTGGTATCCACTACTAGATTCAACTGATCTAGAGTACGAGCGGTTACTTGCAGACAGTAATCAAGAGAAGGCGCCTATCCAGCCTTTTCTTATATACTCCGAGTCATGGCTACTCATGACCAGCTCAATCCACGTTCGGCTTTCAACCAACAAGCCCTTGAAGATCCGTATCTTTCAGGTCCTTCCGATCTAGAAGAGTTTGGCTTTGGACAGCATACACCAAGTGCTTCCTCTGCTGGTCCACCGAGTCGCTTATCGTCGTTATCACCTGCTGACCAGAAAGTTTCGACCGATACGTCAATGCATAACTTTGAGTTCGATGATGCGCCATTCGACGACTCCGGGTTCATTGACTTCAATGAGCCGGGATCTACTGACCCTCTCTTTCCAGGCGAGACTAGTCAGTTTTCGACTTTTCCGAATGCGGATACTTATATACACACGAAGAACGAGTACCAAGAGCTTGAAGACCAGAAGCCAACACAGGTGTTGAATCATACCTTGGGCGGTAATTCCAATCCTGCTGATGCGACTAAACAGCGCCAACCACAGCCTTCTAGATTAGCCATACCGAATACTTACAGCAATGATGTCTCTCAAGGCCACAATCGGACAAGGTCAGCACCATCACTTAGTCCTATAGTGAGGATATCGCAGGTCCACCGTGGCGACTCCCCCACAAGAGACAACGACGAATGGAATCCGCGGAAGAACAAGCGCTCGTCGGCCCATTTGTCTCCCACAGGTGGCTCGACAGATGACAGTGACGATCAAAACGAGCAGATTGGTGATGGTGAACGAGTTTCGCGTTCTCGAGCCGAAGATGGGTCGTGGATTCCGGATTCATCAACTGGTCAGGCAGGTGTCGAGCCCTACGCTCGAAATGATGACTTCGGTCCTAGCCCAAAGGATTTGGAGGAGCAACGTCAACTGGATGAAAAAAAGGTCGATATCCAGATTTGGTCCGCTTCAGTATCTGTTGCGAATAGTGAAACAGGCGATACTAGCCCTTGGGAACTGCCTCGAGGCAGAACCCGAGCTGTCAGTGCTGTCGAAACACGCCATGACTACTTCAACCTAATAAGGCCTGACGACTCCCGCATTCCAGGTCCTGGTCGAGTGATACACGAACTTGATCCAGGAAGCGACTTTGAAACTGCCTCTAATATATCTCATACGGATTCACATGACGGATTGCCCACTCTCGACTACACTCCGGAAGAGAATCAGCTTGCTCAACAGCTCAACCGGTCGTATCCATGGAAGGACGAACCTCGATATGCATTTCCACTCGCGATACGGACCCAACCGGAGTCCTCGCGGTCGGCTATGCAATTATATGAGGAAATGACCAAAGAGATGGATAAGGCTTCTCGTGTTGGTACCTGGGGTTCACGAAGACTCAATGACGCCGAAGTCGACAGTCTCTTGAAATCAGATAGCTTTTTCAAACATCTCTCTTTGAATACGGCAGCTATCCGCAAACTTTTACCAAAGAGAAGTAGTAATTCCTTGAAAGCTAAAAAACATCATTCTCAACCACCAAGCTTTGAATCAGAGTCATCCGATCCCCCTCAGAAGAAGGAGTCAGGTCTTGCTGCTAGACTTTCTCGCCGGCCAAGTTTAAATCGTCCCAAATCTTCCACTCATATAATGGCCGCTGCTATTGCTGGGTCAATGGCTGCTAGTATCGGAAGCCACAACTCGCTTTCAGCCAGGTCGCCAGTAAGTCCTAACGGAGGAACGCTTAGTCCGGTCGTACCTTGGAACAATAGATCGAGAAGTAAGAGTGAAGGCTCGGGGCCTTCACCACTGATCAAACCATTGACCATACCGAAAGTTGAGCAACGGCAGGGAGTACAACAAAAATCCTCCCCTCTCGTTGAGTCTCGAGCATCCGTAGGACTGGATGTTGATGATGATGACGATGATGACTCGTCTGATGATAAGGGCATATTCATGGATCTAGCGCCGTCTTCACAACAGATTGTACCGACGTTGGAAGGCTTCAAACGACAGATTTCTCTCTTAGATCCACGACTCGAGCCTGCTCTACTTCAGCGTTTTGCCACTGAACAGTTACGTCGTTACAAGAAATTAGTTGACGAGCAGAATAGGCATGCTGGATTAGTCCAGTCTGGACGCTGCGATGCCAAAGAGCGATGTTTTGCGTCTGGTGGTCGTGCCAAGCTACTTCCTCCCCGAGCCAATGCCAAAGATCCTAGCGCTACTTACTGCCAGTTCCAAATTCCAGGTCATGAAAACAGCGATGATGACGATGAGTTTGACGAGGAGAATAACCAATCTCTTGAAAATTCTATTATACCCGCCGTGTTTGCTGACGGTATCCGGATGCCTCCTGTCAAGCGGCTGCCTGCGGAATTTGAATGCTCGCTGTGTTTCAAGGTTAAGAAATTCCAGAAGCCATCTGATTGGACAAAGCACATCTATGAGGATATCTATCCGTTTACTTGCACATTCCCCGACTGTGTTGGTGAGCCAAAGTCGTTCAAGCGCAAGGCTGACTGGGTACGTCATGAAACTGAGCGTCACCGACATCTAGAGTGGTGGGCATGCAACATGCCAAATTGTGATCACAAGTGCTTCCGAAAGAACAATTTTGTGCAGCACTTGGTTCGAGAACACAGGAAACCCGACCCCACGGCGAAGAAGAGTAGAGGATCCTCGGCAAGTGGCGCCAATGCTGCTGCACATGAGAGAGAAATCGCCAAGCTGTGGAAGTTGGTAGAAGAGTGTCACCACGAGACACAAAAGAAGCCTGAGGAAGAGCCATGTCGATTCTGTGGCAATGTTTGCAAGGACTGGAGAAAGTTAATGGTGCATCTAGCGCGACATATGGAACGGATTGCATTGCCCGTCTTGCGTCTTGCCGAAGAGCATGCTTCATCGACAAATAGAGCGACGAATTTATATGAAACTACAGCCGCACCAGCACCCTCGATATCAGTATATAGCTCTGCCGAACCAAGTTTGACTCTAAACACGAATATCATGACCGGACTGGGCGAGCCCAATATGTCTGACATCAGCAGTCCCATGCAACCAATGATGATGCCATACGATCATCAACAGAGATCACACATGTTGTCTCCCACAATAAGCATGGACATGTCCCCATCAGGCACAACCTATCCACCAGCATCCGCGTCATCTTACCTACAACCCCACTATACACCAGTTCACCGAAACTCGATGTCCTATCCCCCAGCACCCAACGCGAATACAATGGCATTAAGACAACCAACCACCATGACAACCGCTAGCAGCAGCAACGTCGGGCCAGCCATCTACCAGCAACAGCTACACATCTCAACAATAGGCCTCGACGTGCAAGAACCGCTCTATCAATCCCCGCAAGACACATGTTTCAATCCAGATGACTATCTCCCCGCATCAACGACATCCGCTACTATCGGAGGCTACACATCAGCGCCCATGGTCAATTACACAATGACAACATCACCGGAAGCAGTGTCTAACGGTATGATTGCGGGTAACAACAATGCAGCCTATATGTCAAGATCGGCAGCGATGACAGCGGCGCAGATGCAGGATAACAGCCATACGTATCCGCCGACTACGTATCACTATCAGTAGATGTAACTGTGGATTAACGCTAGGATTGTGGTGTTTGTAATCTCTTAAATCTCGATACCCTTGGGCTATTTTCAATCAATGCTCGTTTTTATTGCTTTTTCTGGTCCTCGCTGTCTGGCCTGGTTTTGGGATTTTCCATTTCTTGTTCTTCAATCATCGAGCGTCGCATTTTGTTGTTCTAGTCAGTGTATAAAACTATAAACATTGCTTACGATGAGACGACCTTTAGAACCGATCTGTTGTCATACGTAGGTATAGTCTAGAGTTGCCTCAACAGCGACCCTGAAGTAGTTCATGTTATATAGTAAGCGAGGTGATTGTTCATTATCATGCACTATAACACGAGGTTGAATGTGCCCTAAACGATGACTTGAGACCTCAATCGTCGCAGCTGAATAACTCTTTATAGTCTAACGAAGCATTCGATTCCATTACTCCAATCAGTAACAGATGTTCAAATGATATTCTCACTCCCAAAAGCTTTCAGAGGCACTATCGGCCATCCAACTTTCTCAATCTCAAAGTCTGCCTGCCACTTATTGGCGACTCTATCGTATATCGTCTTGTCCCGTTCATAGTCGAGCTCTTCCCAAAGCTTCAATCGTAGAAGAGTAGGGTAGGATCTGCGCTTGTATTGGCCACTCCCGTTACCATCATAATCATCTGATTGCGAGTCAGAAAATTCTTCTTCTCTGTCAGCGTCCCAGTCAATATGGCCAGGTCTCTCTTCTCTGATAGGGATTTCCTCAATACTGCCGGCTCGTACTTTTTCTTGATATCTCCTCTCCAATTCGAAACCACGAATATCATCGACGCACGGCACTGCTCGAATTTTGGGGAATACTCTGCGCCACTCCATTGCGAGAACTGGGAAGTCAGGCCCTTCCATTAAATTTTTGCTATTTTCAAATAATATTTCCAAGATTTCCAGAATCTCTAATCTCTTGAACGCGTCATTGTTTTGTAGCTGCGCGAGGGAGGTGAATATTCGACCGCAACGCAATCTGAGCACAGTCAGATTGGGGCAGTTGACTGCTAGCTCCTGAATCGCATCACCGATCAACTCAATACTCCAATCGAGGTTGAGATACTCTATATGTGGCAGGATCCGCAGCAGGGAAAGCAAAACATTATTGTCCGGGGTCTCATAATAGTCGGATGCATACGCGCTTCTCACGCTCAGCCGTCGTAGTAGCGGGCAGCTATGCGCGATCTTGAAGATGATTTCCTGGGTATCAAACCGACGGAGCCAGATATCAAGGACCCGCAGGTTTTTACAAGTGGCAATTCCTGCTATGGAATATAGATTGTCGTCGGTATGGTAGGTGTTGTCATCGTTGAGGCTGAGAATCTCGAGTTTTTTAAACTTCACGATTTCGTTTAGTCGGTTTTGGTCAACGTGCCCGAGATACAATGCTCTTAGGTCTGGCCATGCCTTGGCCCATCCATCCGCGCTTGCGATCATTCCTCGATTTTCGTTGCGCTTAAGGTTGGTCTTTAGTGCCAATGCTTTGAGATTATGATGTGTTTTGAGACTGGTTAGGAGCTTCATAATATCAGATGAAAGTAGTGGGTTTGACTTCCAGTCCTCAAAGTGGAAAAATTCCAGATCACAGCATGCAACCATGTCGTAGAGATAGTGTCCTATCAGACCCCCGCCACAATGGTAGAGTGTGAGAGCTTTAAGATGTGAGAGTCTCCCCTTCAATAGCTCCTGATTGCTTGATTGGTCCAAGGTGCCAATGCAACCAGCTACCACCCACGAGCAGTAATCGACATTAACAGCTAGAAATTCAAGACTCGGAGAAATCACAGGGCTCCAACTCTGGTTTGCAATCATAAACGGAATCGTAAGACTACGAAGCCCGCTCCCACCCTCCGGCTGCAGAAGCGCTTCGGCATATCGACGATGCCGCAACGCGCGACACGACTCCCCAGAAACAATAGTCGCGAACCCCGATTCAGCGTCCCGGGTCAAGGGTTTCTCTGGATGCAGCAGCAGGTGTTTCACAAAGCCCATATTCCGCACAAAGCGTTCTCGTGATGCCACGAAGAGGCAGTTGAGGGACCCAATGTCGGGCGTGCGGTATCGCATGTCATTCAATGTTCCTTTGTAAAGTCGCTTCAATGCGCGAATGTTCCATATTTTGTTGACGCAGGCGCAGTTCAGAAGGTCGGGGACTGTGTCGATATGGTCCATGACCGTCTCAATGACCTCGGGCAGCAGGAGTGGATTCGTCATTTTCGCCTACAGGAGAGATGGTTCTGAGCAATACAGGAAATGGTAGCGATGTTTCTGATGATGACAAGGTATGTGACTAATTAGGCACCAGTGCCAAGTGCCAGCGCCATGTAACCCTGGCCCTAGGGTTGGCGATATTGTTTAACCATCTCTTGGAATAACCAAGCTAAAAAGATGTCTTGTTAATAAACTCACAATGAACTCGCTTATCTGATCCAACAGATAGCGCCTTTTTAGATTTCTGCACCAATCGGAAAGCAAAATATTTGATTCAGGGCAGAACTCACGCATCTACTCAAAACTCAAGTAGCTATTGGGCGTTATTAATTCAAGATATGTGCAGACGGTTCTAAGATGGTAAAGTAACTCCACAATAAAATCCTCCCAGTTAAGCATGGAGGTTTCTCTTTCCTTGATGGTGCACAGTCTATGATGTCCAAAACGCTCCTCCAGATTTGAACCCGGTGCAAAAAATACCCGTCAATAAGAGGATTTTATCCTGTCATCTTTTCTAACACCTAAGCCGAAGCATTCTTGCTGCGCTCGTATGCTCTCTTGGCCTCTTCAAACGCAGCCCTAGTCTCCGGATAGATATGAGACATTTCCAGAGACTGTTCCGTGTAACCACATTTGGCATAAAAGCCCGCATTCGCTAAGGAGCAATTGAGAATGCTTTGATAACAACCCACGTTGACGGCAATGCTATCCAATGTCTTGATTAGCTTCTGGCCAAAGTGTTTGCCTTGATGATCCTTTGTGATTGAGATATCCTCAATATGACCGCTGATTCCGAGGTTGTGAATACTATGCGATCAATTGTTAGAACACTGCTCTAGAAGGACGAAAGATGAAGGACGAACAATTTCCTCTCCACGACTACTGTGCCCGTACCGACAATGCGGTCCGTTGCGTCTTCCACAATGACAACGCAGTAATACCACCCCTGTCCATGGTTTTTGTGCCAATCAAATCGGTCAAGATACTGAGCTTCAGAGATCTCTCCGGTAAAAGTGAGAGCTTGGAGACATTGGAAAAAACCTCGCTTGTAGTCGTCGCGAGCGAGGGGCCGGATGGTGTACCCTGCGGGGTAGTCTGCCTTGATTTCCGCCGAAATGAGGGAGGCTTCGAAGATGAAGTCTAATTCTGCCATAATGGGCGCGCAGTCAAGCCAATGATTGACCAAGCGCAAAGGATTTCTCGGTACAGATAGATGACTATCAGCAACTGGAGATTGATAATGTCAACTTCCAGCGAAGTCGGCAAACAGCGGGTACTGCCGGCAATTATGCCGAACCCCATACTATGCCGCGCGTCTCCATTACTAGACGCGATGAATATCAAATAGCAAATAATCGATACAGGACGCTATTACATTATTACAGATAGATTGCTACCTATGAGTATCGACATCACCGAAATGGTCGTTCCGAGACGCGACAACACAGCTTAGGCTTAATTGCCTTACCCAGTTTGAATGTTCCGTTCCCACTCGATACTTTTATAGGCCTCGCTGAGGCACCAGTCAATTGCTTGATGACTAATTTCCATCTTTGGCTGTTCATCAAATGCTCGAACTCCTTCGTATGGTGACTTGAATAACACCATCATCGCTTCATGAGCTCTCACTCCTTTCTCTGGTCATATCGTTCCTCGCCATGATCGATTTCAATCAGCATCATATCACTCTTTCTCGACGCCATGGATGAAATCCTTATAGCATGAAAATCATTCCACATCGACCAGATTACGGACTAGACAGGTTTGTTCAATTCTTGATATACTCCTATCAAGTTCCTAAATGCGGGATGTACTTCTTCAACTCCTAGGTGGTGTTTTCAAGCTCGGTGATGATTGAATGGCTTGAAAATCTTCTTTTGAAGTTGATATCCTACTTGTAACAGCATGCTGAGAAGCTTTTGTTGTTTTTGTTTATCGATCAATCAATCTATGGATTTGCCTAGTGCCCTAAGACGGCTGATGGTCACCATGCTAATAGACATATATGTTACTAGGTCGTAAAATAATCTATCATGAGTACTCCGAAAGAAGTTCACACCAGGTGGTTCGTTTTCTAGTTCAGAGAAAGAATATGCAAACTCCGAATTACTGTTAGAGGTCAGGCCTTTCCAGAAGAAGAGCACCCTGTCTCATAAATCTGACATCTTACACTTCCCCCCCTTTGCACCAAAAGCTCCGGAAGTAGGATGGTTAATTCATAATTGCTCAAAGCCCTGTCAAGAAAATTTGGGAATATCAGAACCGTCGATGTTGCTGATTGCCTTGTATATTTGCATTGATTCACTGAAAATCGCACCAGCACAGAAGTAGTACGAAAATGAAGTGTGCTTAATGGTCTCAATAAAAATGGGAATCATATGACCATTTTCTCTCACTCAAATCACCATTGACCTCATGAATCATATTTGATACGAAATAAAATAAGTGACATTTTAATGATTTCAACTGATGAGAATCACTGTCTTCATCGGTTTACTACTGCACGCTCTATCCACCTCGATCTCGACACAAGACCAACACACCCTTTGATTCATAATGACAACACGATAGCCCTTGGCAAAACAGATTGCTGTGGCTGCTAAGCGTGCTTGCCAGTTCCCCCACGCCCTGACAATGCCGATACCGCCACACTCGCAAAGCATTTCAGCAAATCGATCAACGGATATCAATTTCGGGGCACTACTATCCGTTCTCACGTCTGGACAGGGCGAGATCCTAGTAATCGATGTACTTTCTAGAGCTTTCAGAACATCTAGATCAGCCACCCATTGTCCCGAGTCATAGACAGAAACCAAAGTTTCGAGAAAGTAGGCTTCAATATCTACTCCTCCTGAAAATCCCACATTGAGAGGGAAAATAGCTTCTGTGAAGGAGAGCTGCAACGACGTAGAAGAAAAATTGTTCTGTAGCTGTCCATCAAAATCAGCGTGGTCGATTAGCTGCCAATCATTCAAGGCATCGTAAGCTTTTATCATTGGGTCCCTTGGTGGAACGAGGAATGCTATACCAGCACGACCAATATTTCCGGTCAAGCGCTGAATGCGAAATAGCTGCAAGTCGTCAACCGGGTCACGGAGCAAACTCGATGGCACATACAAGGAATCTCCAGAAGACAAAGCCGTCACACTTTCGAGCGTTCCGGGATCCAGGTTAAATCTGCCGGTTTCCATCATGGCAATGCATGCAAAACTGGCTGCGTAGTCCAACTCAATAGGACCTATTTGTTGACTTATCACCTCGGGTTGGCCAGTGGAGGTTTCTTGGTGACTTTCCCAATTTGCAGTTAAAAGCCAGTGTGCGCTGGCCAGGTTTAGTTTCACCGATCTAACGTCGACAGTAGCTGACTGTGAGCTCTCAAATAATGTCATAATTGTTGAAATGCCACGTAAAATCACTAGGCTAGGGTCTAGGAGTGAGAGCTCTTTCGACAGAAGTTTAGCAAATTCCTCAAAAGAGACAATAGATGGACTGAAAATTTTCCGCTTGATATCGGTGGTGAAATTGACATTGAATTCAAAATCCGCCTCTGCATCCTTGATAGTTTTGTCGTCTATGGCCTCGAGAGCTACTTTTGCAAACTGGTAATCATACGAGCTTTCTACTCGCAGTTGAAGTCGCCTAAGCAGCTGGCAGCTCTCATCTCCCTGTACAGTAACATACCATCCTGCCATACTCTCGGGGTTTAACACGTGTGTACAACTGGCGTTCTCATACCCCCGTAACGATTCTACAGATTCAACGCTTTCCCCTAACAAGAGCAACTGCGTCTCACGCGCTTCCATCACGTTTTTGATGGTCTGCTCTTCCGCGTTTTGTGGCGAAACCTCAACCAAAGTATCATTGTGATGATCATCACTCGAGACTAACACATGATGTTCAGCCCATGGATCGTCGGCAAATAGATCTTCGTCAATAATTAGAGAAATATTATCTTCCACTTGCTCGGCTTCGTCCGATCGCTCTTCACGAGCTGCCGGGCGTTTCCGTATCCATCGCGTATGATTCTTTTTGCTTTCTCCAGAAAGCAACCGCTTTACCTGCGGGACGGCCGTTGCATACTCATATTCCTCTGTTGAGTTCGTATCATAAGCATATTTATAACGAATGAGAAAATCAGAGCTCTTGATAGGCTTGACAATCTCCCGAAAGCACTCAATTTTGTGTTCCAGACTCTTGGCAGTGCGTAAGAAATTATTCAGAGTAAAAAAATTGAAAAAGGGTTCCGAACCACGGAACATAGGGCAGTGGGTTTCGCCCAACTTCCATAGTTTTTCCAGTACCTTCTTCTCAGGCACCATCGTTCCAGGGTTGTGTGTATGCTGCGGTCCATGCCAGGAGCAGTTGATTAATACTAATTCGGGTTCCTTCGCCGCTGTGGAGGCTCCGTTTGAGGGGTACTGGGAGTCCATAATGTCGCAGATAACGCAGAGGTAGTGACCAGTAAATCCCTTCGCCGTGCTCCCTAGTCAGACCAACTGTCAAGATTCCTCGCCCCTTGAAAAGTGAGTCTTTTTGCTTGACATCCTTTTCCTCCGACCCTAGAACAATCATATCTGGATACAGGTGCCATGCGCACAGTCCCAGAATAATGGCCCCGTCCCGAGCCTCCTGTGGGTGTCCGACCAGAAGCCTCTCCATTTGCTGAAGCGATGACTTCCACGCCTCTATAATACTTTCATACGTGTCTGCTTTGTAATTGACGGGTAGAGCGATATTATCCAATATCAATCGAACCTGCGTCTGCTGAAGTGCCATTGCTGAGTCGGCCACACGCAGCCATGCCCGGGCACTGGCATCCCAGTCCGCGAGTTCATTTCGTTGGAAACTCTCACGCGATACCATTTCGAGCGCCGGGTCACCCATTTCCTCATTCTCGGAATTGATCTCCCGCTTTCGTCGCGTAATTAATTCCATCCAAAGCGAGACGGCCTCGGTCGCATCCCATATCCGAGCCAGCAAACAAGCGAGGAGATGGCAGGCGATTGCATGTTTTCCTGATGTAGCGGCTGCCCACATGGAAGTCGCATCCGCACCCACGACATCGGCAAAGAAACCATGCAAGGCACCCCCTTGATTCTGGGCTACAGTCGAGTTGAATATAGAAGATGCTCGAGTCCCGTACGCCTTGACAAGTTCCGGTGTTGGAGGTACTACGTCTCGAAATAAAGCCCCCAGCTTCCGGGCTAAGACATGAGACGGGCCAGCTTCTGCATTGTTGCGTCGCTGGGCAGATAATTGGCTGCCCACGTCAGCGAACTCGCGCGGACTTTCGACTTTGACCAAGGTGAAGTCGAAGTTCAAATTAGCAAGAGCAACACTGGGCTCAAGGGTGCCGTTAATAAGGGCTCCTGTGATCCTCCCGATTGAGGCCATATTCTGAGGCTTGACCGTAATCAATTTACGAAATTCACTGAATTCGAGAATATCTTGTGTTGTGTGTCCTGCGCTTTTTAAATTGATGTTTCGCTACAGCCTCGTCAAGCATATCAGCCTTGCGCTACTTAGTGCTGCGCGTGACTAAAACCACTGTCCGACCCAACCAGGTTATGACTTGGATATGATTTGCAGAATGATTAGCTTTATGCCATATCTTCATTTTTTGCCCTGCGGGTATAGAAGAAAAACACGATGCACTTCATCTGTATGAATAGCTTGCTCGGGAATCAAATACAGGGGACAAGTCGTAGAACTTATCCGTTGGACTTGCCAAACCTTCATAGTGACTAGGACGGTTGTGTCAATCAAACGATATAGAGTAAGTAGATCCATACAAGTGAACCGGATAAAAACGAAATGTGCAACATTTAGCAGTACTGGCTTTCGGGATATGGGTGTTTTTTTCTGGAAGTACTTTCGCTGGCCGCGTGCCTGTGGTGATACAGGGAAGTCTCGAGTTACCATTGCGTCGAAAGTCACAACCAGCCCTAGAAGTCGCTTTGGCGAGTAGGTTTATAAAGCCATTTTTCGCAATCTAATTGAAATGGCCTAAAAACTTGCTAGTTGCTTTGTTACCTATTCCTGATATCCCATTTCTCTTAATTCAGAGGATAGTGATGACGAAGCTCGTAATGTTCAAGCTCTCCTCAATTCTTTCAACTTTAACGCGCAACAACTCACACGGTTATTCAATGTATACTTGCTATGAATGAACAGATATCAAGCTCATGAGGAGACAACAATATATTAGGCATGCTTCAAGAGAGCAAATTTTTCTTCTCCATTGACGTGTACCTGATGCAGCTCATCGGCGGCAACCCCCTGGTCGGATATCCGACTCTCTTCTTTGAGGCTGTTGGTCGAAGCTTTGTATAGATAGTATGCTATGCACTGGTCCTATCCTGCTAACGAACATACAATTTTTCTAATACTAAACCGTAAGTCTTGGTAACACCATGGGATTTATCGGCACATGCCTCTCCTGGCCATGTATGTCATTCGTAAGATCCTTGCTATTTCAATCTACAAATCTTTGGACTAACAGTGTACAAAGTTTGGCCGTTAAATAATCTACAACACCCGCATGATCCTAATGACCATCATCCTCTTCATCATTGGCTTCTTCGACTATGACTGCGACAACTCCGCGGTGGCATGGACCCAAGCCTCGTTCATTGCTATCTGGACGTTCATCTCGCAAACCACGGACGGAGCCATCTATTCCGTCATCTTCTCCGAGAACTATGCAACCCCTTTACGCAGCCGCATGATTGCCATTGCTACCGCCGCGAAGGCCGCGCGGGCCGCCGCAAGCATCGTTTTCACAATCGCGCTGCCCTATATCCTGGCTATCGCGGACGGCTATTGGGGCGGGAAACGCGGGTATTTGTTTGGTGGTATCAGTTAGGCTATTATATCTGATGCTTTTTCAGACTTCTCGAGTCCAAGGGTCGGACTTTTGAGGAAATCGATGCCATGTTTGAGCGTATGGTTCCCCCACGCAACTTCAGGGAATACGATCCGTTGGCAGTCGGTGAAGAGCATATCTGAAGCCGCCAAAGTGGAAAGACTGTCACGAGAGCAAAAAAAGCATGCGAGCTTTCATGATGTATGTAATGTAGCCGAGTCTTTGAGTGAGAACTTGTCAGCGATACACAATAGATCATACTATTTGGACTACCTGTCGTGGCCTCAAATAAAGAAGAACAAAGAAAAATTCATTTTTGGCTTCTCGCAAGACTGATACGAAAGACTGAGAATAAAGACTAGAATACGGTTTTTGGAAGGATCCTTTCAACGACTGATTCGATTATTACCTACCTTCCTTGTTTGTATGTGTATGCAACCTTACATATAGGAGTGTCATATGGCGAGCCGGTGGACTTGTCTTCCTACTCTATCCATTGCAGAAATGGCCATGTCTCGACATGGGCATGACCAGGCTGAACCTTGGCAACATGAAGCGGTATGACAGCAAGTGACTATTTTATGATACACTTTCCTGTTTCAATTCCAGCTAAAATTGACTCAGCCTGGAAAAAGCATTGAAGATTGAACAAGGCCCACGGCTATTGATCAACTAATCATGCATGTTGGGCTTTCATACTTTTAAGAATAAGTTCGTATACATCAAATCAAAACGCGGTGTGTCAAATATCTGCCCTAATTAAGGCGTTTGTAAATAATTCGACATATGGCATGCATAAAAGAAATGATAGGTAAGTCAGGCTGCTTTTAACTCGGTGTCGACAATAGGTATGATTAGTTTTGGGTCTAGGGCCTCGCCCTGCAACCCTATCATGCTATTGTGAGCTGCGTATGCACGGTGATGCACATAGCTACGGCCTTGTACGCTAGGGAATATGCTGCATTCTTTCCAAATGGTCGTTTATTGTGGAACCATATGGTAGAAGCTTGCCACTAATTATTGAACAAACTTGGGCACCCCATGTACTTGGCTTTCAGATGCCTGATCAATGCCCCAATCTTGAGATATTTTTGACAGCCTATGTTTTATCACGCGTGATAATCTGAGAGATTTACTCCGAAACATAAGGTCCGGATAAAGAATTAAGACAGTCATGGTAATGATTTTACATCGATTGCACTGCCACGGCGCTAAGGGTGAAATTTGCCCTTAGTTTGTGGAACCTTTTAGTTACCGTCCCAATCCTTTCAACATTGTCCTATTTTCAGTCCGGGTACCTGATCTGACGTATCAGGATTCACGCCGACCTCCGCGAACAAATCGGGGTTGGTCGGAGTCCAAAAGGGGGACCGACAAGTCGACGACAGTGCAAGAATGAAGTTATCGATGAAACCCCTACCTGTGTTTTGCGATTAGCCCTAATCGCTTTAGGAAGGTCGCATAGCAATACATTAAATTTCGGAAGTATCTGGACAGCCAGTTTCTACGAATATCATATTTCGATTTCAGCGAAACTCATGTCATAATGTGCTCATGACACTATTCAATACGCACTTTTGTAATTTAACTGGACGTGATCGATATCGCCCCTTCACTTAATCTGACAAGTCTTAGGCTTTATCAATGCAGTTCGAGTGATTGTCCACCTGGCTGATTTTCTAGGTCAATGCTTAGTATTTACTGTATTTAGCTTCACGTCCTCTCATCAAACAGGGTTCGTGGAAAGGCGCGGAACCATCAAGTCATGAAGCCCACAGTAGAAAGTGGCACAGTCTGTGGGCAATTCCCTCATCTTGTGTACTTTTCGTCGGAACAGTCCGATTCAAGGCTCAATTGTCACGCTATATCCAGATGCCGGCCATTCAGTACTATATTCACGTGCATCTCTTTTCTTACCCCTCTATTGCTTTTCGTGCAAGTCCTTGGATGTGGACATATTATTAAAAACCACAAGAAATCAATTATAGAGAGCTTGCAAAATGCACAAGGAACGACAGACAGCCAGACTTGATACTGGTATCGAAGCTTGTCGAAGTGATTTGGACTATATAGGTCTTCAATTTGGGGGATCTCACATAGATCACGCCGATAAAGCTCTCCAGATTCCCGATTTTTGGGATTCAGTCGAAAAATATCCTTCTGGTGTCACCATCTTGAATAGTCACGACCATTGGACTCAGTTTCAAAGGGCACATTATACATATCATGAGTCAAAACATCTCGACATATTTGATGGCATTTCTTCGAAACGATCACACACTTGGCCGGGGGGTCACCCAGATTCCGTGTATGGAAGCACATTCGACGAAAGCACTACGCCTTCGATTAGCGTTTTGGGTTGCATAGAATCAAGGACTGAGTATTCCTGGCCTCCGGACGACCATTCGTCATATACCAATGGGGTGGCAAAATCAAGACAACTCAGAACAAAGACAGGAGAGGATAATAAGCTGAGATGCAACATATGTCAGTGGGTGGGAAAGACTCCGTCAGAAAAAAGGTTTCCTGTTTCTGTTTCTTATCATTTGATTGTTGTCTAACTTGATATCTTCCAGGAAACATGACGCACGGCATCGAAAAGATCATCAATGCAAAGAGGACGGTTGCGAGGCGAGATTCGGCACGCGAAACGACCTTGAAAGACATCGGAAATCAGTCCACGGCAGATACCCTCAATGTGGACCGAAAGAAACTTATAAGTGTTTTGGTCGGAATTGTGGACATCCTGAGAAGGTGTGGCCGAGGTTGGACAATTTTAAAGCTCATATTAAGCTTAAGCATAACGAGCAAAATGAGGAGGATTTGCTCTCCCAGTATATAGCCCCAACCTCTCTTTTAAAAGTATAATTCAACTAATAATGCAATAGATCACACGCTTGGTACAAGAAACAGAAGAAAAAAGAAGAAGAAGTAGAGGTGAAGAAAGTATCAAATTTGGAGGCCGTGGATCAACTGTCAAGCTCAAGTATCGACATAGCTCCAAGGAAGGAACCACCGACAACTCCCACCATCACTCCGTCGAAGACTTTGATCAATTCTTTGAACCATAATCCTAGTGATTACTTCGACGACAGGCTAGAAAAGCTGACTCTCAACCCCATTGGACGTCTCCAGAGCTTAAGTTCAAACGTGCTACCTGAAAACTCGCAGACTCTGAGTGAGCTTCCTTACAGTCCACTAAAAGACGAGACATCATTAGCAAATCATGGGGACTGGAAAATCCCCAGCGTGCGTGATATCCTTGGAGATGTTACTCCTCTAAGACATGATAATTCGGTTAACAGAAGAATATCTGGGTCTACCCCTTCCAAAGGCACCTTGCCAGGCGTAGAGTCATTTTATCATGAGGTACGGTCCACAAAGGTGCTAAATGTAGTAGCAGGGATGAGCGAACTTTCTCCTGAAGAAAGAAATTTTTGCTTGGAAATTGCATCGAACTGGAAAGCAAAGAGGACACAAAATACACCCAGATCAGAAGAGGACCATTCAGCAAAGACATGTGTCGAAACACTGGGGAAAGATTATGAGATGGCAAGAGAAGGTCCTAAACAGGAGGGTTTTGGATGTCCACTCTGCTTTAAATCTTTCAATCGACTGTCTACGCTAAAGTACATCCACCACTCGTCCATCAAACTCTACAGCATTGATAACAAACGTTGGAACTAACATTTCCGTGGACAGAAAACATCGAAAAAGACACGAAAAGCCCTATGGTTGCACATTTACAGGCTGTTATGGAAGATTCGGCAGCAAAGCCGATTGGAAACGTCACGAGAGTATGCAGCATGGTCATACTCAGTCCTTTCGATGTTCGTTGCCTCGTGGTAATCATGTCCAATGTGCGAAACTCTTTCTACATAAAAACGACTTTAGGAAGCATTTGAATACTTTCCATCAGGCCGACCATGAGAAAATACTACACCAGATTGCTACCGGCCATATTGGCCCCAAAGATGAGGAGTCAAAATTCAGTTACTGGTGTGGGTTCTGTAAAGAGATCAAGACCGTGGAAAAAACAGGAGTAGATGCTCTGAATGAGCGCTTTGATCATATTGATCTACATTTCCAAAAGAATGAAAACATCAAGAGATGGGTTCCCGCTAAAGGTCACACTGAAAAGGGAGCACAAAAGAGGAGGGATAAGAGTCGAAAGAAGGAATCTAAAAGAACAGCCACGTCTCGCAGGGAAGATGACTCTGGGGTTTTATACGATAATGGCTACAATGACGGGGATTACAGTACTTACGAAGAGTGTCCCTCAAGTGCAGATGAGGCTTGTATTGAAGACAAGTCCCATCCTGACAGTTATGGTGAAAGCAACAAATCTCGCAAATTGGAACAGGTTGAAACAGGCGAGGTTTCGATCTACTGTGTGAGTATCAATACCCCTTGCTTCTTCTGTCCAACGTGTCGCTGATCGATTTTAGTGTCGATGCGATGGGCTCCTACCGATCATGGCCCTACGCTGCGTAGAATGTGAACATGACAGCTGCTCACTTTGTAAACGAGAGAAGCGAGGACCAGACCGATTGCTGTAATCAAATATTTGATTATGTAAAGTAAATTTTTCCAACGTGCATGAGACTACATTCGATTAGGATCCGACAAGTTAGCTCTTACATTTACCAGCACGGCAGTCAAACTAGTTGAGAGGACAGTTTCACGAAGAGTCAGATATTTCTAGATGCCTAGAGAGACATATCAGCAGCGAAAATTGAGAGCTAACTGAAGATACGGAATCTACTTGGGGATAAATTGTTCTAGGGTCAAATATGTAGCTCGGTAACAAGATCTTTCTGAAAATAACAATAAATTCCGAGCAGTAGCAATTACCATGATCCATAGAAGCAGTCCCTAAATCCGCCGAAGCAGATTACGATCCATCTTCAACCTCGCCAAAAGAGCAAAAACAGTCGATACAGCCACAGTCCCGGCAGCATAGAATATAGCCGGTTTATACGGCGCAATTCCATTGCCCTGTGTGGCCCCTGTAGCCTGAATCAGAAACCCAGCAATAGGAGCTCCCAGAAAGTCACCCAAAGTCCATCCCGTGACAGCCATTCCAATTCCAACCGACGCTTGACCCGGTCCCAAGAATCGACTGATAGCTGTGGGCATGGTAACAAAAAAAGCACCATTTGCGAAACCGTTCAATGCACCAAAGAGTAGAAGTAGGGTTAGTGTGGATGAAACCGGCCAGATTGCAAACGTGGTGACTGTATTTAGCACCATTGCAGCGAGCAGCATGTTTGTGGAACCAGCCTTGTCGCATGCGATGCCTGACGCAACACGTCCGAGAGCCATGGATGCATTGAAACAGGCCACAACACCAGCTGCAGTCGAGCCGCTCAGACCTATAGATGAGGCGATATAAGGCAGGAAGAATGCTGGCACATAAAGCGGGAATACACCGATTGCGCCTGCTAAAAACAAGTAGGAGTAAGGCAGACGTTTGAAAGCCGACAAATCAACCGAGGGTTCGGAGTGACTCGATCCTCGCTCCTTCATGAGCAATGCAGCAGGCACACCCGTTGCCAATGACATGAATCCCATGACGTAGAATGTCCATGAGATGCCAACCCTTTCAATGAGTAGCTGGACCACAATCGCCATGACTGTGGCTCCAATAGCGCCGCCGAGTTTGACAAGGCCATTCGCCGTGCCCAACCTAGTGCTGAACCATTGCACCGGCAGGCTATTCGACAGTGTATACATAACTGACCCTCCTAGACCATACAGAGTCCCAGATATGAATAGTCCTGCAAGGCTATTCACAGCAATGCCACCAACGATATTACTAGCCCCGAAAAGCAGCGTTCCAATCAACGCCGCCCATCGAACCCCAATCATACGCGAAAGACGCATCCCAACCAGAGTCAAGGCAACAGTCAACGCAAGGCCAAGCGAACCGATAAATGACAATGTACTAGCCGATACATTCTGCAGCGTGGTTTGTGATAGGTTGCTCTGGTATATACCCCATGATCCGACCCAGGCATTCACCCAGAATGTCTGGATGGCGCAGGCAAAGACTATGGTCCAGCCGTAGCCACCGTCTGGGATTGCTTCAATCGGGGGATGTGTAGAGGCAAAGGCGTCATCCTCGGGCTGAATGTTGGTCTCGGTTGCGATTGGTTCTTGATTGGCTTGCAGGGCGATGTCTTCAGGTATGGATGTATCCATGCTGTCTAGTGACGCTTAGGGCAAGGCTTGCTTGTCCAAAAAGTTCTTTAATTGAATCAGAAGGCTTCCGTCAAATTCTAGGCAGAAATTCTTGCTTCGATTACTTAGGGTAAGAAAATATGAATACAGAAATGCGCGAAAATTTCTAAGCCAAGCTAAGCTAGAGCTGAAGCTAAATCGTGGATTATTTACAAAGTCGGGGACTACATCTGGCCTAGTATGGATTAGATAAAGTGGGTAATTGAGGCCATATAAAGACCCTTGAAGCAAAAGAAATATCGCGTTCATGAGCAACTACACCGAAAGCGACCTCGGAGGCATCCATCATACAATGTACTATTGTAGTGATATTAGAGAGAAAACACCCATAGATGCTCAGGGCAAAGTCAGTAGCAGAGATATCCACAGAAGTATTAGGCCTACAACGTCAACGTATTCTTACGGCTATTTAAGAAGAAGGACCCAGGAACGTAGTGCAAAACGAGGATGGCATCAAGCACAGAATCATGATGTAAATGTACCTAGGTAGTCTAAAATGGGAAAGATGATATGGACTTCGTGGCCGTGTAGGTACCTATGGCCATAGGGCACCGTGCGCTAAATTCTGGGGGTCCTTAATGCCTAAAAGCTCCTAAATCTGGCTCCTGCTAGTCAAGCGATGTTTGCGGTGAAACACCCAAGCGACACAGGGTATAGCCAAAGATACCCAAAATCAACCACCAGCTTACACATTGTAGCGCTTTATGGACTCACCACCGTTATTGTCATCTTACTCAAGAGGGGTTGGTATTAAAATGTCTGAATTAGCTGCGGATGGGCGCCACTTTGTATGGCAGCCAGGACTGGGCAAGACAGCGTCGTCAAAATCCTGCTCGTGCAGGGTTTCATTAAATGTAACGCTGGAGATTCAAGTAATAAGCGATTGCCGCTTTTGAGGGCGGCCATAATTTGACATGAAAGAGTTCTTATTATTCTTTATGAAGACGCTAGTGTCTACCCTCACTTGACGGACAGACTTATGAAGGAAACCGAGCTGTCATGGGGCAACACACTAGCTGGAACGAAGATTTCCCCGCGCTGTTTATTCGGGACATCTCGAGCTATGCTGATAGCCATGCTAATGAACGTTGGCGGCAGTATGCTGCAGCAATGGCGGCGGATATGCAAAGGAGCTACTTGGTACAGTTCCTGCACATCTCATGAGGTATGCAGGCAGTAGGAATGGTTACAGCAAGTTCCAAATCATGAAACAGTTTCAAGATACCCAAACCAGCAGCCAGCACGATAAGTGAATCCATCAATCGTGACAGAAAGCGGAAGGACTACTGTGGAAGTATTGAGATAAATCATCAATATATACTACCGACACAGAGGGAGTATCTACAGTTTCGCCTCCGGCTCCCCAATCAGATCCAAGAACGCCTCATGGACCTGATCTGTCAAATCACTAGCCTGCAGACTCCGTCCCCTGGACTCAAAAGCCCGTCTCGAGCAATCCCTCGTGATCGCACTTCCAGCATACGCTGCCAGAAGCAAAGTCGTAGTCGGCGACATCTTCGTATCCTTGTTCTCTATCTCGGCTTGAACTTCCTCCTTGCTCTGTGCAGTAGACTTGGAAGACTTCTCCCCCGAATCCCATAGACCATCGTGGTATGCTGCACGCCAGGCCATCAAAGTTCCCAGAGAGCCTGTAAGGGTATCACCCTGTCCACCGCTCCGCTTAAGTCCTCCTCTGAGATCAGATATGATACTCGTAACACCATTAGAAATCACATCCTTGGCCCCCTTCTGAATAATCGTAACACCCCCCAACGCCTGCGAGAGTTTCTCACAAGCCTCCGACGCCTTACTCAACTGCTGCTCATCATCCTGATCCTTTGCATTCGGCACCTGCACACCAAGCGCCTTCGCCAGACGACCAAACTCCACAACATTGGGTGTCAAGATACACTCTTTGTACCCCTTGACTAGATCCGGTTTTTCAATTACGAGCATTAGTCCGTCTGCGTCGAGGACAAAGGGCACGGATTTGTTGCGTGCTTCTTTCATGATTTCTATCACGACTTTTTGGGTTACGCCGTCTCGGCCTAGGCCGGGACCGATGACCAGAACGTGTAGGCGGGGTAGCATGTCGAGGATGGGGCTGGCGAGGGATGCTGGGTCTTTGGAGGGGGAGTCTGAGACTGATGCTGTGCTGGGAAGAATGGGGTGGACCATTAGGTTTGGGGAATATGCTTTTATGACCTGGACAGAGTCAGATGGAACATGAAGTTGTATGAAGAAGGACATACCGGTGCAGCTGATTTTTCACATATGACGTGACTCTAGGAAGACATGTATCGTTAGGCTAATTCATCCAGTTGATGTCCAAAACACTCACCATATCACAACCTATATCTCGTCAGCCAAGTACACACATCACCAGAAAGAAGAGGCATACCTAATCTTGCAGACGCCATTGCCGAGAAATACGGTGCTCCTGTATAACTGCTCCACAGTCAATATCCTCCTCAATACATCAGAGTCCGGAATGAGCATAAGCAGTCTATACATACTCGGCACTGCCACCAATGACCGCAACCCGACCCAATTGGCCTTCACTCCATTATTAGCAAATAGTTCCCTTGATCAAGTGATGAATATTATGTATACCTTTGTGAAACTTCTCTAGCATCGGAGGCACCATCGTCCTCACCCGCGCAAGCAGGGTTGTGGATGGTGTGGTGATGTGTATAGGCTTGACGGGCTCCATTCCGTTGATTGGAAGCAATTGCTTGTGCTATCTCTATACTTACTCAAGACTTCGTGCAAGTTGATGTATTCAAATTGCTGGTAAAGTTGTTATTCTTTCATCAGGGTATACACATGGGTTATAGAGGAAGAAAGCTTGTTCTGATATCGAACGTGGTGGGGCCCATTGACACCCATGTGATGTCACTTGCATTCTTCCCCTACGCCAAGATACATACAACAGTACACACACAGCAAGTATCTGATATTAATTGATGATAGTAATAGCAAGTCTGTATGATATATTGATCGCTAACAGCTAAATGACTGAATACCATAGTAAAGCCTCCTCTAACCAGCTACACCCGCTAAAATGCAATAATGATATGGAAAAGATAGGTATCTGATGCAGTATATCCTGTGCCGACGCCATGAACCGCAGAAAAGGATAAATAGTTTTAAAAAAAAAAAAAATAAGTAGCATGATGGCGTATGACCTTGTAAAATCCCTCCGTAAAGAATTCTAACGCCTCGCTCTCGCCAGCGCAGTCAGCTTCTGCTTCCTTTCCATCTTCGCCCTCTTCGCTTCCGCTTCCAGCCGCATATCTTCTTCGTCTTCTTTCTGAGCAGCACGGAGAGCCGCAAACTCTTCTTTCTCCATGTCTCCGTATCCGGCCTCCATATCTGAGGATGCGTCGGAGTAATAATCTTCATAATCATCGTAAAAGTCGCCTTCGTCTTCCTCATCAGTACCTAGATATTCATCGCGGCGAGGAGCCCGACGACGATCTGCATCCTTGTGTTTCGCTGGCAAGTTTGCCGTTCCCTTGTATGAGGAAGGTTGGGCTGAACGGGATGTCCCTTTATAAGCATTCTCGTCAAGTTCTCGCTTCTTAGCGCCAGTATCAACGCCGGGCTTTGCATCAATTTTCTTTCCTGTGTTCGGAGCCGGACTGACTCCAGGTCGTTTCCCTGAGCGTGCTGCTTCTTTTCCTTTGGCGGCCGCCTCCATACGCCTCTTGATCTCTGTTTTACTGATCTTTCCCTTTGGCAAAGCCGTCTGGTGCTTCAATACGCCAACTTTGGGTGCCTCCTTCTGCACTGCTTTGGCTTTGGCCATCAAATCTGCAAAAGATCCTTTTGGAGGCGGCTTCGCGGGTACTGCCGGCGGGGTAGACTTTTTCGCGACTGCAGGCCGAACAGGCAATGGTGCCTTGGGTCGTGCCTTCACATCACTGCCATTTGGTGTCGACGATGTTTTTTCGGGTCGTCGAAGTGGTTCCTCAGCTTTCCGCTTAATTCCCGCTGAGATATTACTGCTGGTAGGCCGATTAGACGTAGGCGCTGAAGGTGTCAACTTTCTAGGTTCAGACTTGGTGACCGTAGTGGAAACGGTGGATGTGCTCGGTTGCGGGGTTATTTTCGGGAGTGAGGTTGGAGTTCCCGTCTCGATAGACGAGAGAACCGAGCTGAGGAACTATCGATCGTCAGTTTGATTGACGAGTCAGATAAACGAGTAGTACATACACTCATGATGATTCCTGTTGCTGTAAATTTCTCGAACGGAATAAAAGAGATCGGTATTGTTTCCAGGTTATATGACCAGTCTTGTTGTTTTCGTTCAGCGCCACCAGGTACCAAGAGCGAACCTCATGATGTTTATAACGTGGAAGTAAGATACAAAGACCCACTACGGGGCGCAGATGTGGTGAATAGGCTCAGCAGTCGGAATGTCGATACTCTCACCAACTGCGAAGCATTGTAGAATACTGTCAGAGTCGCTGTCTGGGTTGGAAGGTGAGAAAGTCAGGAGGCGCAGAAAGGAAAGTCCTGTTGAGCCAGCGACTGACAAGTGACCTTTCTAGAACATTGGTCACGTGGTCCAGCTCGAAGGAAACACCCGGCCCTAATTTAGCAGGCGGTAAGCGGCCGTCAAGCCACATTTGTCGAACTCGCTTACGGCAGGTCACCAGCCACAGCCGCACTTTTTCTTTTGTGGGTAGTCACAGACCTTTCCATCTTAATCTTCTATCACGATCAATTCAATCACCACCTCGAACTTGACGTTTCAGTCTCCGCCCAACTTGCGGTTAAATCGATTGACTCTCCTGTTCGTTTCAAACGCATCAACTTGTACGTCTCTATTTCTGCTGTCGTCTACAGTCCGAAGTACCATCCTACTGACACGGTTTTTCCTAAACAGAAAACATCAAAATGAAGCACTTAGCGGCCTACCTCCTCCTCGGCCTTGCCGGCAACACCTCTCCTTCCGCCTCTGACATCAAGAACGTCCTTGAGTCTGTTGGTATTGATGCCGATGAGGAGCGTCTCGAGAAGCTCCTTTCCGAGCTCGAGGGCAAGGACATCCAGGAGGTTAGTCTTATCACTGGATCATACGAACGAATAACTGCTAACAGATGTCTAGTTGATTGCTGAGGGTTCTACCAAGCTCGCCTCCGTCCCCAGCGGTGGTGCTGGCGGTGCTCCTGCTGCTGGTGGTGCCGCCGCCGCCGGTGGTGCTGCTGCTGCCGAGGAGAAGGCCGAAGAGAAGGAGGAGGAGAAGGAAGAGTCCGACGAGGACATGGGATTCGGTCTTTTCGACTAAGCGCAATAAAAAATCGCTCGAATCAAAAAATACAAGAGAAGGAGATGGCATTCTGGAAACTAGGGTCTGGGGTTATGGACGACTTCAAGTGTTTATGGCGGATTCTAATCTTTCCTACAAGTTACATGTGATGCAGTTACGATATTATGCTACTAGTCCGAAATCCAGTTTGTCACCAATATTTATTTTCTCAGTACACTGATATAAAATCATGAAAGTAACCAATAATCAATAATAATCGATAAGCAACAGCTATCACGTCAGAATGCTATTCGTTGTAAGTAAATCCCAAAACGGCTAGCGTAGGGCTAGGGCTCATAACCTAAAGCGGTCGCTTAGGCGAATATCCACCCTTCAAACTCGAGCGACTCGTAGAGCCAACCGCCCCGTCCCGCCCTCTTTTCAGATCCTTTAGCGACCACGACAACATTTTTCCCTGGCTTTTCGATACCGTGAACGTCGAAAAGCTACCTGAGGAAAATCCATAATCAACAAGATGGCTGACCAGGAATACGTAAGTTTTTTCTTTATCACGAATGGCTAGCTTTCGATGTTGAAGTGAAAGTATGTCGCATGGCTAACGATGATTCCTACAGAACGCCGAGGAGGCTGCCGGTACGTTTTACAATATTTCCAGAGCTGTTTCCGTAATATCGAGATCTACGACTTTTCGACGATGCATGAGACAATGGGTCGATAGACGAGATAGATGATATGATAGATCGGCTGCACAATTCGACTTGAGAAGGACAACGCTGACGAACGTTCACTACAGAGTTGAAGAAGAAGAGACAGTTCCGCAAGTTTTCTTACCGCGGCATCGAGCTCGAGCAGTACGTTTTCGCCATCCACGACGCGCCATTTTCATTTAAAGGAACGAAATTGACAGGTGTATAGACTCCTCGACCTCTCCTCCGAGGAACTCCGTGATGTCGTTCACGCCCGTGCCCGCCGTCGTTTCAACCGCGGCTTGAAGCGCAAGCCCATGGGTCTCATCAAGAAGCTCCGCAAGTCCAAGCAGGAGGCCAAGCCCAACGAGAAGCCCGACCTCGTCAAGACACACCTCCGTGACATGATCGTCGTGCCTGAGATGATTGGCTCCGTCATTGGTATCTACTCTGGCAAGGAATTCAACCAGGTTGAGATTAAGCCTGAGATGGTTGGCCACTACCTCGGAGAATTCTCCATCTCATAGTACGTCCCCAGCTTCACATAAAACATATCAAAAGAAGACGAAAACTAACGATGAATAGCAAACCCGTCAAGCACGGTAGACCCGGTATTGGTGCCACCCACTCCTCCCGTTTCATCCCCCTCAAGTAAACGTATCGCTACGTCTGCTTTCCTCAACAACAAAAAATCAAAATACCAGAGAAAAATTCACGCTATGCTATCATCGACCTTGGTTTTCATTTGTTCTGGAACCGGGAATGGGAATGCGGGTTGATTGGTTTGGCTTTTCTTTTTAATTTATTCCATGTCAAATACTGCGTGAATGAATGGGCTTGGTTGATGCATGAGATATGATCTTTATATGACTAAGAATGATCGTAGCAAAGTGCATATTTAAACATGATACAGTAATTGGAAGGGATCACCACGTATTCCTCTTCTCCTGTTCTATGGTCTCCTTAACAATCTCCTCCATCTTCTTCGAGTGTACCTCAATATGCTTAGCCTTATTCTCCCAAAGCATTCCAGCGTGACACAGATCCTCAGTTACCCATGCAACGTCACTTTCCGCCTTCCCTTTCAACGTCGGATTGGGCCATACAACTTCATTCATCTTCTCCCGGGTGTCTGCGAGGATTTCGCCCTGCACGTTACCATATATCATCCAATTCAGAACCATCCAGGCATAGAACAGCGGCCTAATCTCGTGAATATCGAACGGGGTGTCAAAGTTCTTGGGGTCACCTTGCATTTCCATAATCTTGTCGGCATACAGCAGATGATAAACGAATTCAAGCGCATGTTCCCGGCGCATGGGATGGCCCTCATCTGCATACTGCGCCGGATCAGTTCGCAAGTGTCGAATCGCCGCGTCCACTGCAGACATTTTGTACAGTTCATCCTGCGCTTTGCTAAGCATCATCTCCGCCCTGATTGCTGCGAGCGGTTGCTGCTGCATGTTGACTGCGTCCCAGTCTGCCTTTTCCGACAAGTTACGAATCATGTTAGTCAACCTCCACGCCACCGTAAACCCGCTGTCACCGTTTTTGATGGCCTCGTCAATTTCCGAGTTGGTACTCTGCTCTATTTTGCCGCGTTTTCGGATCTCTTCTGGGTTCATGGTGTCCGTCTCATGCAAACATCTGGTGCATCGGCAGCCGAATCTGTAGCGATCCTTGAGCTCGTGACGGCGTGTGTCTACAGAGTAGGTAATGTCAATATATGGGATAAAAATTTGCTCGTCTTTTGCGATATCTCGTATCGCTCTGACGTAGAGTTTGCCTTTATCAAAGGAATAGCTGGCGTTGGGGTCGCAGCTGTGGTTGAACCGAGCGGCGCCGGGATGGAGATATACACCGCGTCGTCTACCATATGCGGATGTCAAGGTAAATGAATTTGCATTCAACTACACTCTCAGTCTCAAAGCTAGTTATGGGAGTGCTGAGCGGCTCACCTTTCCAAACAACTCTTTCGTCCAGTTTGGATCTAGATCCTTCAAGTTGCCATACTCCATCACAGCTTTCGTCATCAAAGCATGATCTTTGGCTTCTTGACTTTCGCCCTCGTAAATGTCCGGAAATGTGAGGCTATTGAACTCATCCCAGACTTCTTTAGCAATCTTGCCATTCTTCCAGCACAAGACTATTCTCAGAATGGCTCTGACAGGAAGTGGTAGGATTCTGGGATGCAATCTCGCATAAATGGGGCATTCCAATGAATGGCCAGCTTTCCAATCTTTTCGTTGACAATTCTAGTCCCATCAGCCCTGTACTTAACGCTCACGAGGGAAAAGGAAGAGTACCTTAGTACAGTAATACACGACCTTACATTGCACACAAGCCTTGACCAACCCGGATCTCCTAATATCGATACTCCCGCCTTTACCTACATCATAACAACCAGAGCATATATTTTGCAATTGCTTCTCTTCCACGAGTGCAATTGCGGCCTGGTCGAGGACCAGAACGTCATTGTTCTTTGGGATGTTGGTTTTGGCGAACACGCCGAGGCCGATGGAGATGCCGTTTTGCTCGGCGGGGCGGACTTCGGTGCGTACCGAGTTTGCTGTTGATGTTACCATTTTGATATTGCTTTGTATGAGAGTTGAAAATACTAAGATATGAAGGGTGATTTTGTGGAGAAGATGTTGTTGGGTGGATTTTTACTTTATCGATAAGCACACGTAAATTGGTCAGTAGACATGTCACATATACGATAAATACGATGATGTCCTCGCTTTACAGGTATCATTTTCCAATTTTCCTCTCAAAATATCCTAATAGCGTCTTACTGATCCGAGACTACAGACATTTGGTTTCATGTAGCCTACCATTTCTCATGAAATCACCAAACTAGATTTCGCACGGCAACCCTAGCTTATTCACTTCAGACATGATAGCATACCCCAAACCAGGTCCAATGGCCAGATAGACTCTCGAATCAATGCAAATCTACTTCAATACTGCTACTAAAATCTGGAGACGTCCTCCGTGCTCGTCTGTCATGTCATGTCATACGGAAATCATTTCCAGCTGAATGTTGCCTCATCTCGTGTGCGATGGCAAACATATAAGTACCTCTGTCGATCCAGATATCTCCAATTGTCTAGCACCTTTCAGTAACTATATCAATCCCTGAATATTCAAGAGGCTTCCTATTATATAGAATAAATCAACAACAAAATGCAGCTCAAATCCCTCCTCCTCCTTGCGACCACCAACCTCATTTCCAGCGGTAAGCCCTCTCCCTCACCTCAACAAATCTACCTTAATCTAAGCTCAAATACGAATCCAGCAACAGCCGCCAAAATAGCAACCCAATCCGATGCCGACGCCCTCGCAGCCACCGTCACAGACGGCCTTGAGGTTTCATCCTCTTACACCGGCGACCTGATCATTCCGGCCGTCACCACCGTGGTGGGAAACATCACCTACAGCGGCCCTGATCTAATCAATTTCTCAGCCCCGGTGTTATCGGTTGTTGTGGGCACGTTTAATTTTACGGGAGCTTTTAGATCGTATGTCCTATCCCCCTCATGGTAAATTGAATTGATGATACTGATGTTGTTTCTGGAAGATTGTCGGTGCCGAATGTTACGCAAATCACGGAGGCGCTCATTGTCGAGACGAGTAATACTTCATTCGATTGTTCTCCATTTCAGAAGTTGCAGCGCGATGGAATTGTTGGGGGGCAGTTCACATGTACAGTTTGATTCAGTTATATACATATAACCCTCTACGAGCCGCATGGATCTTTCCGGCGGGGCCATTGATGCCTAGAATCGACACTAGTTATATAAATTCATGCTTAATTTTCAGGTCTTATTCCAACCTCAAGCACCTACCAGTTACCCAAGTTCCTGGGTAGACAATAACAGCCAGAATGGAGAAACAATCCTGCACCCGCGACAAAACCATCTCCTCAATCCTCTCCTTCTACACCCTCCTAACCCAACTCCCCTACATTCCGCCTGACAAACTCATGCTCCCACCAGCCACAGGCTGGGACACCAGCACAGAAGAATCAGAACACGACAGCCCCGGCATAAAAGCCACCGAACTCCGGAAGCGCGGCAAAACCGAGTCCGTAATTGATGTTCTGCGGCATCTGCCATATCTAGATCAAGAATACTGGGGGGAACGCTGGACTTTAGCTGATAACACGCTACACATCAACTATGCGCGCGGCCAATTGTATGCCGATTTTCTGGAACGCGACTCGGCGATTTTGCCTCTGCCGGGGCATATAATTTGGCTCACAGAGGGGTTTGAGCGTGCTGGTTATTATCTACTACTCAATACAGAAACGTGGGAAATCATTGAGTATACGCTGCTTGGTGAGAGTATTGAGATTGATTATGACGCGTATGAAGCGCTGCCCGTGTCTCAGAAGTGGACAGCGTATAGCGCTATGCCAGCAAATCAGTATTTTGAGTTGTGGTGGTGGAGGCATGCGACGCTGCAGTTTGTGTTGGTTAGTGATGAGGGTGCTTTTAGAGGGACGGCGCAGTTCTGGTGTAAGGATCCGCGGTATTTGTATGAAGAGAGTTTTGTGCAAGGTGAAGACGCGGATGAAGAAGAAGGCGATGGGGATGAGGATGAGGATTATGTTCCTGAGGATGAGGGTGAGGAGGATGAAGGCTCTAATATGGACACCGATGACTCGGACGATGAGTCGGCAGAAGAGGACGAGGAGATGGAGGATATCCAGCAGGAACTCCGATCACTCTCCCTTGACCAACCCATCCCAACATCAACTCCATCAGCTCTCGAGACTGAAGCTGATACGACACCCAAATGCAGAAAAAGCTTTCTCCACAAACTCGCCCAAACCCTCGTCCCAAACCACAACAACAGAAACAACCCGCGTGCCAACTTCACAGACCCCTGGAACACCGGCCAGCGCGAAAAAATGAAACAGCTCGTCACCATATTCGTCTCGCACGGCTGGCCCGTGCCGGAATATGAGTGGCGCGTGTCAGGGCGCTACATAACCACCGATCCCCAATCCTGGGATCTTGATCTTAGTGCCTTCAGGAGAGAGGAGTGCCTGGAAGCGCTGAGACAATGGTCCAACGACCGAAAAGAGCGTGAACGCGCCGAACGAGAAGCAGCAGCAGCAACTGAAAAAGCCCAACAGAAAAGCAAAGTAACCTCCGTCGCCCGGAAGCTACAGAGGTGGTTCTTAATTCCCACCCAAAACGGCCAGGAGATTGACGAAAGTGTCATCCCCTACGCAGTATTGGCCTTGGTAGAGCTAGACGAACTCGAACCCGTGCCGTACGAGATCATACTCGAAACGAGGATACACAAAATCCTACAAGGGATAGCGGATTCTGCGCCCATGAAAGAGAGGGAAGATTATCGCGAGATTTGCGATAAAGCGAGCCAGTTTCTTAAAAGTTGGGAGTATATTATCAACCACCTTGACGCTGACACTAGGGAATAGGATAAGTGGAGATGGCAATAAATTCCTTTCTTTCTGCTTCTTCTTCTTCTTTTGAGAATGTTGATGGTATAAACATTATAAAACGAAATTTTAACAGATAAACAAAGACTAGGACAAAAGCAAATAGACTAGTTTTTACATCATTTTACCACCTGCAAAATCAGACCAGCTTCGGACCTCGGAGGGAATGCCTTCTTCCCGGGGGAGTTTTTCATTCATGCATTGAGCGAAGAGGACGGCGGTCTATTCATCATTAGTAAATTCTCATTAAACCTCATATAACGAAAAGAAAGGGGAAATACCTTTGGCTCCATAAACAACGGCACACCGAAGTCAACTGCGTTACGGCGCATGACATAATCCTCGTCCAACAAAGTCTTGCCACGGTGCTTGGCCAAGTTGAACACACCACGAATATCATACTTCTGGAATACCTCGCGGAGAGCACGTTTGTCTTCCTTGGGGAATTCGATAACTTCGATGCTAATCGGGGTCTTGGCACGGCTCTCCAATGCAGCCTTGACTTCAGGGCTGGCGGCATAGAGCTTGTACTTCAAGGGTTGCAAGTAATCCACAATCTGGGACAGGGAATCGAGGTAGTCACCACCGAACAAGAGACCCTCGCCGATTTGAGGCAAGCGGAAGTTCATGGTGGATTGCAAAGAAGCCCAGTAGGCTTCGACAAGGTCTTTACCGAAACATGCGATTTCACCGGTACTGGCCATCTCGACACCCAAGAAGGGGTCGGCGCCGGCAAGACGGGTCCAGGAGAATTGGGGCACCTTGGTAGCGACGTAGTCACGTTTGGTGGTCATAAGGTCAACGGGCTCGGGAACGTCACGGCCAACGAGAGCCTTGGTAGCGACGTCGATGAAGTTGGTACCAAGGACTTTGCTGACGAAGGGGAATGAACGGGAAGCACGCAAATTACATTCAATGACCTTCAACAGAGGCTCACCACCTTCGGGGTTTTCGGCCTTGATGATTTGCATGTTGAAGGGTCCGGTGATGTTCCAGGCCTTGGCGACCTTTTCGGCAATAACCTTGACGCGGTCCATGACGGGCTGCTCGAGGGACGTAGGGGGAAGGACAAGAGTGGCATCACCAGAGTGCACACCGGCGTTTTCGACGTGCTCACTGACAGCGTGGAGAATCAACTTTCCGTTAGAACCGACGGCATCAACGTCAATTTCTTGAGCACCTTCGATAAACTTGGTAATGACGACGGGGTGGTCAGGAGAGACGGAGCTGGCGTTGAGGAGCTTCTCCTTGAGCTCATCCTGGCTGTAGATAACGCTCATGGCGGCACCAGACAGGACGTAACTGGGGCGGACAAGAACGGGGTATCCAACAGTGTCGGCAAACTTCTCGGCTTCAGCGACAGAAGTAAGTTCCTTCCAGGCAGGCTGGTCAACACCGATGCTATCTAGAATCTGAGAGAACTTGTGGCGATCTTCAGCCTTGTCGATATCAGCGGGGTCGGTACCAAGAATATGAGCGCCACCCTTTTCTTGCAAGCGGAGAGCAATGTTCTGAGGCAATTGACCGCCGACAGAGACAACGACACCGCTAGCGTTCTCCAACTCGTAGATATCCATAACACGTTCGTAACTGAGTTCCTCAAAGTAGAGTTTGTCAGCAGTGTCGAAATCGGTAGAGTATGTCTCCGGGTTGTAGTTGATCATGACAGTCTTCTTGCCCATGTTTCTCAAAGACAAGGTAGCGTTGACGGCACACCAATCGAACTCGACGGAGCTACCGATACGGTAGACACCACTACCGAGAATGATAGTACCGTGGTCATCAAAAGTGACATCGTGAGAAGACGCGTTGTATGTAGTGTAGAGGTAGTTGGTATCGGCAGGGAATTCGGCAGCAAGAGTATCAATCTTCTTGACCCAGGGACGGATACCGAAGCTCAATCGACGGGCACGAACATCGTCTTCGGTAGATCCAACGCACATAGCAATCTGCTTATCGGAGAAACCAAGCTTCTTGGACTTCATGAGGATTTCCTTCTTGAGACCAAAGAGGCTGCCAATTTCCTTGAGTTCGTTCTGGCAGTCGACAATGTTCTGGAGCTTGTACAAGAACCACTTGTCGATCTTGGTCAGATCATGTACCTTTTCAACGGAGTAGTTCTCGTGAAGCATAGCCTGACCGACAGCCAGCCACCGGCGGTCAGTTGGGTTTCGCAGAGTCTCATCGAGGTCCTCAAAGTGGTCACCCTGGAAGCCGACAAATCGGGGGTCAACTTGACGAATAGCCTTTTGAAAGGATTCTTCAAAGGTGCGACCAATAGCCATGACCTCACCGACAGACTTCATAGCACTGCCAATATCACGCTTGACGTGCTGGAACTTGCTCAAATCCCATCGGGGAATCTTGGTGACAATGTAATCCAGACTGGGCTCGAAGTTGGCGGTGGTGGTCTTGGTGACGGCATTTGGCAATTCGGGCAAAGAGTGTCCCAAGCCAATCTTGGCCGCAGTGTAGGCCAAGGGGTAACCAGTAGCCTTGGAAGCTAAAGCGGAAGAACGAGACAAACGGGCATTGACCTCGATAACTCGGTAGTCAAGACCATCGGGTTGCAGAGCATACTGGACATTGCACTCTCCGACAACACCAAGATGGCGGACAATCTTGATAGCAGCGGTACGGAGCATGTGGTATTCTTCATCGGAGAGGGTCTGACTGGGGGCAACGACGATACTGTCACCGGTGTGGATTCCAAGAGGGTCGAAGTTCTCCATGTTGCAGACGGTAATACAGTTGTTCTTTGCATCACGAACGACTTCATATTCAACCTCCTTCCAGCCCTTGAGCGACTTCTCGACCAGAATCTGAGGCGCAAGACTGAGCGAGCGGGAAGACAAGTTCTTCAATTCCTCGCGATTGTTGGCGAAACCAGAACCGAGACCACCCAAAGCGTAAGCAGACCGAACAATGATAGGGTAACCAATCTGGTCAGCAGCTTCCAGCGCGTCATCGACAGTGTTGCAAGCAATAGACTCTGCAATGGGGATGCTGATTTCATTCAAGGCTTTGGCGAACAGGTCACGGTCCTCACTGGTCTCCAAAGTACGAACACTAGTTCCCAACACTCGGACACCGTATCGCTCAAAGATACCCATGCGGTTCATCTGAACACCCAAGTTGAGAGCGGTCTGACCGCCAAAACTCAGGAAAATACCATCAGGCTGCTCGCGCTCAATCACGTGAGTTACGTATTCGGGGGTGACTGGGAGATAGTATACTTCGTCGGCCAACTTGTGGTCGGTCTGGATAGTTGCGATGTTGGGGTTGATCAGCACGGACTTGACGCCGGCCTCTTTGAGAGCTTTTAGAGCTTGGGAACCTGGGAAAGTCAGTACTCATTTTCGTTACTGTAAGTTGCTGCAAAGTGAATGACTCACCAGAATAATCAAACTCTCCAGCCTGTCCAATACTCAAACCACCACTACCGATAACCAACACCTTCTTGACATCGACTAAGTCAGGCGACGAGTTCACCGCTCCGCTGGCCATATACGCTTCTGCGGACGGGGGCGCCTCGGAAGCCAATTTGTGCAGGCAACTGGAGAACAATCGCAGTTGTTGTGATCGAGAAGATGACGCATAAAGGGCATTTTGTTTCAGGCGGAGGGCAGCTGAGGTGACGGAGCAAGAAGAGGTAGGGATTTTGGTAGAGAAGGAGCGGAGAGAGGCTGCGCGTGAGGAGTCAAGGAGACATCGCTGTCGGAGGATGGAGGCTGCCTGCTGCCCGCAGCGAGCAGAGAGAGCCATTGCGCAATGCGCAGCTATTGTCGATTAGTGTCTCTTGTTTGATTGTCAATTGGTGTCTCAGCAGGACTCGTGAGTCAGGTGTCAACACAGCGTACAATCCAATGCAATTGACTTCAATGCGATGCGACAAAGTACGACCCAAGAGAAGAGAGACTCACATTAAATCCAATGTATGAGTCAGACGGTCTGTGCCAAGTCGCGAGGAAAGAAAAATCGCTATCTCAGTTGGAGGTCGAGTCACTCAGGCAGTTTGAAAAGTGCAGAAAATGGACTGCTGTGATTTGATTCGATCCGCGCCTCCGATAAGAGCTCCGGTGTGCGGACCCTAAACCCAAAAAAAAAATTGCTGGGATTTTTTCTCTCCGCTCCGCCAGTTGCTCCCTACGACTCGTACTAACCAGCGTGTGACTCAAAGCCTCGATGACGACTTGGCTTGCCTCGACGGCTAGTGCAGATTCTTTATTGGGGAAACTGTGGGAAAACTTTTTTGCAATTGAGTTCAAATGTTGGTGATATCCCCGCTCGAGTGCTCCCGTGTCCTACTCAACAGACTCAATTCTTTTACATATATCTAGGTAGTCAACGAAGTCAATTGAAATCTTTGTTCTAATATTCTGATGACATAGCCGATAGTCCCCACGAGTTCTTAAATGTAATGGCGTTACTACATCGATAATTAATATGGAGAAGTGAACCATCGGAATGTCTCCGCTTTGCATCCTTGGGCGAAGTCCGAGGCCTAGTCTAGTAGCTACTGTATCTAGATCGCTGTTCTGCCCCCCACGACTTTTATGTCGAACACGGAAGTGTCTTCTATTCAATCCCAACTCGCCCATCAAGTGCAGACCACGGTCCTTTTGTTGTCTCTATCTTTTCATTCCGCTTCACTCTAGCCTTGCGAGGCTGGACTTCGGCCGTCCAAATATCACTCTCTTGCTGAGCCGGATCACCCTTGTCCTCGTTACGAACGCTCTGTTCTTGATGCAAGATATTGTAAATCTGTTGCAGCTGCTCAGAAGCCGTGTCTGCCATCTCAGCTCCATGCTCGATTCTTTGTTGTATATAATCGCTGTCACTAGACCTGGCCGCCTCGGCAGCAAACGCCCATGCTTGAGCGCGCTCCACAATCTCATCTTGTTTTCCTGCCTTGTGATCCTTTGATATTCCAGTCGAAGCAGTAGGCGTGATGTGTCTGAATTTCGGCTGGCGTGCTAGAATAGGATATTCGGGTAGCAGATGACTTTCCTGACTCAGTCGATCCATCGTATGTTTGAGATTGGTTTTCTCTTTCGCCAACATGCCGATCAAGTACGAGCGATGCAAAGCCATTGATTTTTGGTACTTGGACGCAGGTAGAATGTGCTCTGATACGTTCCGGAATACGTCAATTGATCCCCATTCCTCTATATTTTCGTTCTTACCTGCGACTTCTGAAGCCTTCTGAGCCGGAGGTATGTTCGCTGCACTTTTCGACGGTTGAGACAGACCCGACAGTGCGTCGAGCAAGGACTGACGCGCCTTGACATATGCAACATATTGTTCTTGAATTCGGGTTTTGTATCCAGCAACCGCCAGCTGTACCGTTTCAGCGCTCGTTGTACCATTGTCATACTCTAGCTGGTTCATGGTATCATCCTCCGTATTAGTGATGGCTAGTTTTTCCTCGACCCACTGGACAAGCTCATCGCGTGTTCTCTGCAGTGCAAGGAATTTGCGACCAACGGCATCACTGGCAGGACGTGTTGATGCCTGTAAATCATGCAATTGTTTGAGCAAATGCTGCTCCCTAGCAAGCTTCGCCTTGGCTCGGACCACAGTCTTCTCCAATTTCGATATCAATGCTTGTACGTTATCACTTGACCCTTTCGTCCACCCGTTTCTTTCTATCATAAGCCCGTCCAGGCGGAGATGATGTCTTGAACCGTCTTCCGTTGGCGGTTCAGACGTCGCAGCCCATTCCTTCAAGTGAATATCGAATAGCTGTAGTCTCTCGTATCGGCGGCGTTCACGAAGTAGATCGAAGTAATGGCTAAACACTTCTTGACTGGGGGTAGTGCTGGGAACAGAATTCGAGTCTGCAGGTGACTTGCTGACAGTCTTTCTAGACGTGATCCGATCGAACAGATCATTGTATTCACTTTTCACAGCAAGATTCTCCTGCAATGCTTTTAAATATTCCTTTCGCACACCAGTCACCTCGGACGGTATACGTTTGACACTGGTATTCGCGTGATTTGGAACGACGAGGGACAGATGCGAGGCGGGGTTGGTGACATGGCTCTGGTCGCTGCCGTCATTATCATCCCAGACAATGTGAGATTGCAGGTGGAGAGTCAAAGCCTGGCGAATGCGGAGGACGTCATGACGAGATCGAAGATAGGGAGCTAGTGGTTTGGCAGACGGTGGGATGCTGTCTTCAACCTGAGTCATGTTGGCGTCCCATGCTTGTCTCCAGCTTGTCGTCGACCTATTGTGAATGATTGTGATGGAATTTCCTGTTCAAGTTAGCCGGGGACCTGTATGATTATGTAATGCGAGATATGACCCACGTGACCCATCTAGCCCGTTTCGTCTCAATGGCCAGACTAAGAACAGACGTACACTATGCCCGTTATGTAGTGGATGACTTATAGATCTAAGCTTCTAAAGCCTTAGTTTCAATTCTATTGTCTGATCTCAGATGCGCATCAGCATCTCCGGCCTTGTGGCGGCGAGGCGTTCGGTGATTGCTGTACTAGTTATATGTATATGACTCTGACTAAAGTATGCACTCCGTAGTGCGACGTGGAAAAAAGGAGGATGCGCTGTCGGTGAAAGTTGGAAAAAGAAATTGCAGTGCCAGCTGTCTGGTCTCGATGTTGGATGATTGGATGGAATTGGTCGATTTTTCTCGATAAAATACCGGTTTGACCTGACGATGCCAAGTTTACCATGGGACAGCACGTATCGTACGCGGTCAAAACGTGCCAACAGACCGGATAAGGTTTGTGATTCATGATTTTTGTTGATTTGCGGTCGCTGATTGGTCTACGAGATGCCCATTGCCAGGAACGGACGTCTAATTGGCCAATTGGTCCTTTCTACTGAAAGTCGAAACATACATAATACGTACGTAGTATAATTCTATTATGTGCTATGCTGTCTCCTCTCCAGAAACTATAGCTCTCTAGAGATTATAGAAGATAGAAGTTGCAGAGACATCTCAGTAGCGCAATACGACTCTGTACTACCATCACACACTCTACCGCGTAGTATATGGACTATTGATTCTGCATGCACGTGCATCGATTGCACGATAGGCGATCTCTACTATGTACGCTTGATCTTGCGGCGTCAGACAATTAAATTAACGGAGCGAGTTCGAATGATGCCGCCAGTCCCGCGCCCAATCACAGCCACACCCCACCAGCTAGCCCATCGTGAAGCAGGATTTAGCCATCTTTTCTTTCGTTCTTATTTACTTTCTATGTTGTAGTATTTAGTTTCTGGTATATCTTTTCGTCCATCCTTCCTCTCACTCCGTCCATTCCATCTGTCATTCTTATTCTGTCATACTGTCTACCTTCCGAACTCAGCCCGTTGAACCGCCGCATCGGGATCGTGCACATCCGCTCCGAGACCCTCACATTCCAATTGCATCGTCCATAATAAGAGACCGAGCATATATCATTGCCAACTCCACGGTTTCTTGCATATCGACCCATTCTTATTATTCAATTATCAATACCACCGCCCGGTTGTTGAGCCGACTCGATCCGATCTGTCTAAGCCGACATGGCCGCAATCACCGAACGCTTCCAAGGCTTACGCCGTCCAGGCGCCTCACTTCTCAAAAAGACCCTCCCCTCGCGACCAGACGAGCCAGTCCTCGCGCGCAAAGCTGTTCCTCCGCCAAAAGTTGTTGTTGAGCAGCCTGTGGCCGTTATTTCGCCAACGGCTTCGAGCACCGCCAGTACAACCCCCGTACAGCCACAAGCACAACTCAAGGGTCTCCCACCGACCCCATCTCCTTCATATCCTGTGCCAACCTCATCCTTGCCGCCTACTCCGTCTGCATCCTCGGTGTCGTCACCTGCTTCTGTCGCGACGACGATTCCTGCGCCTTCACCACAATTCCAACCACAGTCGCAACCGCAGTTTCAGTCGCAGTCGCAATTCCAGCAGTCGCAGCCTCAATCCCCTCCAGCGCAACCACAAACACAACAAACACGTCCGCCACGAACGACATCTCTCAACAGTCCCCAGAACAACCCCTACCAAGACCGCCGCCCGCCTCAACACCGCCAAATCACCAACCTACAGCCCAACCAACCCCGACCCAACCTCAGCCCTAATGGATCTTCAGCTCAATCAAAACGACCCATTAGCGAAGCCCCCTCAATTTCCCAATTCATTCCAGACCCCGAACCAGAGCCCGAACTACCCGACTCAGAGCAAGAACCAGACCTGATCCTCGACAACCAGTCCAGCAACTCCAGCGGCAAAACGCCATCCACAAACAGCAGTGACACCAGCATCATCTCCCCCGGCCTAAAGCAGTTCCCGGATGGCTACATCCCACCTATCCCCGAACCCATGGTCATTCCGCCACTGACGAACGTGCATTTCGGCTGTTTCCACTCCCATGCCTCGATGCCCGCGACGAGTAATGTCTGGTATGCGACGGCGTGTATGACGTGCAAGAAAGTGGACCAGGAGGTCAGGCATCGATGCACGTTTTGCTGCATGCGTATTTGTGCGGCTTGTTTTGAGGGGTTGAGAAAGTGCAAGAATAGGGATTTGAGGGAGTTGATGGGCAATTTGTCTTGACCTTTCCTTCTTCTTCATTTGCTAGGTTAATTATCTGGGTGAGCGATAGGCGTTTTATGCTCTAGATAAGCTGTGGGTTCTGTTTATGCATCCTTGTCTTCCCATCTACTACACTGTTCGACGTAATACATTGTTTTGTTTGTTTCGTTGATTTGTCATGCCTATACATCGTTGATGTCATTTCGGGTTCTTTACACTCATGGAATATACCCTGTTTGTTGTTTATCGTTCGTATATCAAGAATAATATCATTTGATCCATTTCTAGCTTTGACAAACACGGACTCATGTAGCGTAAGATTGCTGGGCATAGGGTATATCTATTCTATAAGTACATACATCATAAGTCATAATTTTTCGGAATGGGATCAATCATGATCCTCCTCCGTGATGCCAGGACAACCCTCCATCTCCGCAGAGTCGTACCGATACTTGCACCAGAAACAATACCAATATTTTTCTCGCATATAAATCACCAGCCTCGACAACTTCTCCGAGCTGGGTAACGCATTAAACTCATTCAACTCCGCGTCCTCCTCAGCCTCCTCATCAGGATCAAGGGTCTGCTCCACAAACGCGATACCATCCCCCTCTTTCGGGTCCTGCTGTATAGCATGCGGCTCATCCTCGTCATCCTCGGAGTTAAATTTCGGTAATCTCGGCTTCGGGAAATGGGACCTCGTCTCTGACATCGACGACAACGAATCCTCAAATATCATCCGAACCATCTTCTCCCTTTCGCGTTCGAGACGTTCATGCACAAGTCCCCTGTACAACACATTCACCTCCTTTAGTGGTCTCCCTTTCCTCCCTTTTACTTTCTCCCCCTCCTCTTTGGCAGTCATATCATCAACCTCCAACTTCTCCAAAACCTTCTGCGCACCAACCACCAGGCCTTCAGCCCTCCTCTCCTCCCTCTCAGCGCGCATCCGATCCCGATACTCGCCTTCGTCTGCTTTGGCCTTTTTGTTCACGTGATCCGTCTCCTTTCGGAATTTGCGCTTCTTCTCACTATCTAATCCGATTCCGCCGCGGTCTTCTTTTACGATTAGCCTCAAAGGTTCGGCGCGGGATTGGATCCAGGCTGTGTTTTCGTTTGATTCGTTTAATGTGTTCGGTTCTGAATCGTCCGTATCCTCTTGCCCATTCTCTCCAGCTTTTGTATCAGATAGCACCGCAGGTTCAGGTGCAGGTTCAGGTGCAAATGCAGGAGGGGGCGACCTCCGCCCCAACCTATCCCCCGCTTTAAATCCCAATTTCGCCATCATCTGAAACCCCTTATTCGAGGGATGCAGCACGCTTTCGTTCAGCGCATTTTCGCGGCGTGCGGCTTCGGCAGCTGCCCGTTCGGCCTTGGAGGGGATACGAGCTTTTGCTTCTGACTACACCGCGAGATCAGTACTAATGATTCTTGCGATATGGAGGAGGAAAGGCTGACCTCACGCTGCTTCCGGAGCTTGCGCTGCGTGAGCGTTTCGCGTTGTTGGGTCGCGGGTTCTTGGATGATCATTGACATGTAATCATCTTCGTCGTCATCATTATCTGCAGTCTTGTGATTTGGCGGCATGATGTTTGGATGACTGTCCAGTGTCGCGTGAGAATGCGTAGTTCTGCGGGGTTGGGGGAGGAGAAAGTTGGGGTAAAAAGTCATCTGTGATGAAATTCTGATTTCTATGAGCCTTGAGGGAGGTACCCACCTGCGCTAATCCGCAGACGGATTAGGGTCGACTTCCTGAATAGGAAAACAGCTGTAAATAGCGTCAATTATCTTGTTTTGGAAATTATTATGAATTTTGAGTTTTGGGACGACTTGAAATTAGCCTTAAGTAACCTATATTAGCTGGCTGGGCTGGCTAATTTGCGTCTTATCAAAGCGGATCGTAGCCCTAACTCCATGCCCTAATCATTTCCCCTTAAAAAAAGTGTCTATAGCTTCGCCTTCAGAATGCCATTCTCTGTATACAGCTGCTGCGGCAAATCTCTTTCCAGAATCGTCGTATCAACATAACTCGGATTCAACTGATCCAGCCGCGTCACACCGGTCAGTCGCATGGTTGTCTCGATTTCTTCTCTCAGGACTATTCATCGTCAGCTCACGTCGTCAAATCGAAGTACAGATATAGAAAGAAATACTTTTTATAACTCGCTCAACACCCTCCGTCCCATACGCTCCAAGGGCATACATAAACGGTCTTCCCATCGCAACACCCTTCGCGCCCAGTGCAATAGCTTTGACAATATCCGCTCCCCGTCTGATTCCTCCATCAAGATAAAACTCCGCTTTGTCGAGAAGATGAGGTGCAAATTTTCTAATTTCTAGCAATGTGCGTATAGCGCTTGGTGCATCGTCACATTGTCTTCCGCCATGGTTACTCAGATAAATCACACTGACCCCTGCTTCTTCAACGGCCATCACAGCATCTTCCACGGTCTGAATACCCTTTATCGCAAAAGGGCCATTAACCGTATTCCTCGCCCACAGTTCTTTCAGTCGTTTCACCTCTGTCCAGTCGAGTGTGCACGAATGGTGACCCCTGAGCACAGACAGAGTCGGATCATCGAATTGTCTAATCCATTTCGCTGTATCGATTATTTTCCTGCTGTCTGTCCACTCCCTCTCCGCGAGGTGCCGCTCTGCTTCTTCCCGTTTTGAGACTACCGCCGAATCGACTGTGAGCACGAGCGCTTTGAACCCTAGATCGATCGCAGTCTGGATTCGTGCGTCGGTTTCGGCGGGGTCGATGGCTGCATATAGCTGAAAAAACAGACATCCATCTACAGCTCCCTTGTCGAGTTTCAAAGTTTGTGTTTCCTCACCCAGAACCTTGGCCAGATCAACATGACTAATCGAGCTCACCGTACTCGTGCAATACGGTATCCCCGCCCTCGCAACCCCTCTCACAATACAATACTCCCCTTCCGGATGCGCCATCTTCGCCCTCGCAGCCGGCGCAACAAAAAACGGCAGCGCAGACCGCTGGCCCATTATGGTCTGCGTCATATCCACTCGCTGCACATTCCGGAGTACTCTGGGCCTCAGGATTATCTTGGTCCAGTCGACGCGGTTGTTTCGTTCAGCGCCCAGGTTGTCGCTTGCGGAGTGGAAGTAGGCCCATGCGTCTCGCGGTAGAGATTTGGAGGCAGCGAGTTCGATGTCGTTGACCGATAGGCACATTGATATTGGTATAGGATCTTTTCCTTCCGCCCTGTTGGATTGGGATTTGGTTGGTTTGATGATTGTCGTTGGGTCTACGTCGCCGAGGTGTTTATCTACAGACCTTCAGCATTGATTTTCTTTTTCGAAGGGTTGAAGATACCTTCTGTAAGCGCCCCCTCAATCGTCCCCTCAGCATGAATTTTGTCATATTCCTCTGTAGCATCCTTACCGGCATACCGAAGAATGGCCTCTGCGCCGCCAGGATGCCGATCTATATACTTCGTAACATCGTATGCTTTCCCGTGGACAATGACCCAGCACGAGTCTCTGGAATTGTGTTTTGCAACTTCGGCGCCGTCAAGCATTTTTGACCCCTAACTCTTTTTATTTTGTGTGGGTAGTTGAGTAGTTGAAGTGGTTGTGGAAAATTTCGAGGTAGTCAATAAGCCAACTGGATATTTATCCGTCATCTAAGTTACCGACTGTCGTTCTTATCGGTGTACTTAAATGATGCTACTGACGCTAAAAGTGACGAGCTTCCTCATTTTGCGGGGGTAGCTCGGGGGGAACTCCGAGGTACGACCCACGACCCCAGCTAGAACTATGCATGATTGTTTGGGTATATTAACAATATTGTTCTAGTGTTTTCTATTCAGATCAATGTCCCTAATATCTCATAATACGCTCAATCCAGAGCTCATGTCGTCAAAAAGGGAGTGCAACCTTTCGTCAAACAGCAGACCAGACCACACTATATCCGACAAAAGCCGTTTATACTCGCTCAAGGACATAATTCCAAGCCGGGCAAGCTCAATTCCAAGCCACCGGTGAAGAAATCCTCCTTTTCCATGTGAGTAAGACAACATCAATCTCTCTTCTATAGCTCCGATCGTCAACAACCATATCCTAAGCGACGGATCGATTACTGTATCGCCATGATCTTCCATCAACCCCATCATCGCCTCAGATAAATTCTGTAGGTGCATATCAACAATCACAGGACTGATCCCAGACCGTCGCCGAAACTCGGCTAGATACAGTAACGCGCCTGATCGGACGCATGCCCCTATAGAGAGAGGGGAGTCTACGCGTGCTGAAGGCGAAAGAAACATTCGTACGATGGGGTTGACTAGACGGTCGATTTCGATGGGAGTAATGATTTCCCATAGTTTGTTTCCCAAGGTGGAGTGTAGGAGATTGAGTCTAGTGTTCGTTAATCGTAGAGCTGTGAAGGCATCGATGAGGGGATCGGAGATGTCGGTGATCATTAGGCAGCTCGGTATATGTGATACATTTGAGTCGTGAGTAATTGCAATAGTTTCATGCGCCAGATTGAACATCGGTGAGGCGTCAAGGTCATATGAACCAATTCCATCAACCCTGAAGTGTCTTCAGTAGGCGCAATCCAAGAATCAACAGATGGGCACTAACCATTCAACAAGAGCCATCAACCTCGAATTCAACGAAAACCCTTTGATTTCAAATATCTGCACTATAGCAGCCATATGTAACCTCCACACATCCATATCCAGACACAAATGCGCGTAACAAGCCAATGACACAATCGCCGCGACCAATTCCTCAACACATCCTCCCCCTCCTCCTCCTTCATCACTACCCCGAGTAATGTCCAAACTCAGCCTCACGAAAGCCAACGTCTTCGCATGACCCGCCAACACAATCTCATTCAGAACCGAAGGAAGAGGAGGGTTCCCGTCCTGGATGTGGCTTGTTTCTCGCTGCCAATTGAGAAGATGTTTGGCGTATGTGGCTAGCATCTGGTCAAAGGCTGATGCGTTGCCGATTGTGCTCGGAAACCATTTGTCGCGGTAGATGCGGAGATAGGAGGGGATGAAGTCGGAGAACACTCATAAAATATTAGATATGTATTCGGGTTTGAGGTAAAGACCTAGGGTACCTACTGTGGGACAGGATGAGGCGTGCATTGCTTTCTAGTGGTGTGGGATATCCCAATCCGATGCCCAGGGACGAAGGTATGGAAGTATATAATGATCCAGCAACTTGGTAATCCCCTTTATGAAGTTTGTTAATCTGATCCGAGGACGACTCTTTTGTTTGTCCTAGAGCAATCTGCTCGTCTGTTCTCTCATTTAATATACGACTCTGGTGTACTTTCTTCCGCCTCGAGAATCCTATCTCCCGCATAACTCGCCGTTTTACCTGCGACTGTAGAGCTTTGGATGGACGATTGCATGTCGGTGAAGTTGTGATGAAAAGCCACGTGCCGTCTGGTTTCTCTTTGATCGGCATTCTCTTAAGCCTTCAAATATTGATTCAATACACATATATTGATGTATATATGAAGGTAATGCGTAGATATAGGTATCATGTCGAAGGTATAAGGTTGGTTGGATGGACTAATTACTAGGCAATCCGCTTGCGCTCGGATGATATCATTCTTTGTCCGGTCAGTCTAAGGGCTAAAATTCAGACAACAAGCTGATCTCTGATTCCCCCGACATCGCAAGATAATAATAAATGTCAAAATAAAGACGTACAGCTCATCGCATAACAAAAAGATAACGTGGCGGGCAGAAATTCTGCAAAAAATAAGGGGCTAACTGGGAATCGAACCCAGGACCACTCCCACCCTAAGGGAGTATCGTACCACTAGACCATCAGCCCATGTTATTGTAAGAGTGAACCGGGTTTGCCAATATATTCTAGATTATTACATCAATCATAATTCAGTGAAGCATAGCCCTCGATTTATGCTTAATAGGCGCAGGCTCTAGGCCTAGAACCCGCCGGACGGGCCTAATAAATGCCCCGAAACCGGCGGTGGATTTAGGCGCCTTCCGAGGCTACTAACAAATTCTCCCGGTAAGGGGGTGCATAAAAGGGCGTCTTGTATCTACAACACATCTTTTCAGTGGGTGAAATAAATTAAATCCCTAGAATATTATCTTTGGTGGTTTCCACAGATTCACTCGGAGAAAAATAATACATAAATGCATGTTATATAGACAGCAAATTCGAATATACATATGATCCAACCAGAATCTCGTTGCACAAAGCTACTAAGTCGGGCGAAGTGACAAGGATAATGTGCAGGACTATTCCGTCTTCTCCTCTCCAATATATGCGCTCTTGTCTAAGTCCTACCCATAACTATTGAGTATGGTACCTTCACCGTCAATCCGAACGACAATGTCCTCCAACGAAAAATCTAGAGTTCCTAGGTACCAAAAGAAGGTAATTGCTAACCAAGCTACTAGGAGAGTAGTGTAGATAATGTAGTATTTCCATCCGATGCCATCAACGACAATGGGACTAAAGAAAGTGTTGAAGATGAAGGCCACAATGCAGGATATCCATATTTATGAGACCCCTTGAGCGAAGTCGGTGAGTCCAGATTTCGGCGGGGTAGGAGATTAATAAAGGGGTTCTGCAATATTGACTTTTAGTAAAATTTATGGCCTAAAGATACAGGGAGTTGGATGGCGAGGGAAGATCCCACGTACAAGCGATATCATCAAAATAAAATGAAGATGGATGGCACAAATGCAATTTCAGTGGGGTTAACGAATGAACGAGTGAGTCCGTAATGATAACGTAGGTTCCCAACATGATGGCATTGCTTCGAGGCCAAATGCTTTGAAGTCTTGTGCTCTGGTTTCATCGATCAGAGTGTGATTGACATCATAGTCTCCAGCACAAGTGATATTGAAAGCTTTAAAGAATACGCTGCAGCGTGCTCCTCGTGGGTCGTCTCTGTTTCTGGATCACACTGGAGCTACTCACCCGACGTTCTCTATCTCTGAGACAAAGGAGTGAAAGGATGTAGAATTTTTGCAGAACGAGGGGGGTGTTCTCTACGCAGATTTAGACCTAGATCATGACATCCAAGGCAAACAATACCATGATGTTGTGGTTAGATATCAGAGACTCGGTGTTTTCCAACTTCAGTTCAGCCGGATTCGGGCAGAATCTGTTGTATTTACGCATGAGGGACTCGCAAAAGAAGGACAAGCCCACTGGAGAGATATGAGCGTGGTCACAACATAATTATCATTGTTAGTGAATCTAATATTTTAGATGTTTCTTCCGCTTCATGGCACAATTCATTAGATATATAACACAGCACTGGTATTCTAAAGTCGCTACACGGTTGTTGTACTGGGGAGTAGAATATGATATATGATGCGTATAGCCTTGTTCAATGGCATGAACCGTAATTATAATTATGTCTCTCATTTTTCTGTATATGTGTTGTGTCAGAATTCATTCTGACACCAATAAATCTTAAGCCCTAATCCCCGTCGTAACCACTTTCCAGCTCACATGTGATTGATAATGTCAAAAATTGACCCGCCGTCAACATGGGCTGATGGTCTAGTGGTACGATACTCCCTTAGGGTGGGAGTGGTCCTGGGTTCGATTCCCAGTTAGCCCCTTGCTTTTTGCCAAATTTCGCTATCTGGTAAATTTTTTCTTGGATTCCGGGTGGACTGAATCTTTGGTCATCGAGCACAGTCTTAGTTTTCGTCACTAGTTGCATGAGTCTCCAGAAAAACCGCATACGCAACCGCAATTCCGCATCCCACGCTGGCCAGACCAACGGATGTATACAGAGCAGCCCTATATCCTTCTAGTACCTGGTTTCCGTCATAATTCACCTGAGCTTCGACAGTACCGGCGATTCCAAGACCGATCGCAATAGAATAGTTGATTACAGTATTCACGAGCGATGCCGAAACTCCCTGATCTCTGGCAGGAACTGTATCGCTGAGAATAGTCGCCGACGCTGGGAATGAAATGTCCATACTGCCGAGCATTAGATTCGACTACTTCTTAGAGAAGTAGGATAACAACGTGCTTGCTTACCCCCATGCCATGACCACAAAGGACCAAAAAGTATTAAACCAGTACGATTGATCCACCGGCGCGAACGCTTGGAGTATACAACCAACGAGAAATGCACCACACGCAATCGTCATTAACCAACCATGAGGCACAACATTCATCAACCTCGGCGTTGCGATAGCTGCCACAATCCCTGATATTGCCCCAGGCGCAAATTGTGCTGCAGAGTCCAAGGCTGAAACATGTCGAAATCGTTGAATGATTCGGAATGTGTAGTAGAACCATACGCCGAAACTACTCCAGCCAAGGCCCGTTGTGAGTAGAACTGCTGTGACGTGTCGGTTGAATATGGTAATGTTCAGTATAGGTTCGATTTTGACTTTTCGTTCGTGCAATGCAAATGCGAAGAGACAGATGAAGCCGAGAATGAGCAGCGTATAGACGTATGGTGTTCGCCATCCGTCGATAGGGGCTTGATTCCACGATACGTTGAGAAGCAGTAGACCGGATACGCCTAGTATGGCCCCGATCCAGTCGATTCGTCTTTCCGTATCGGTCTCTTTGTCTTGATTTGGTGGTAGGTCCTGCGGAATCACCCAGACCGCGACTAAAGCATTGACGAAACAACCAACTGAATACATCCACATTACCCACGGCCACCATACGTATTGTGCAAATACAGATCCAATAGCGCCCGCCGTCGAAGTACCCAGGGGCGCTGCAAGTGCAAAGATTGAAAATATCAGTTTCTTCGTCTTGCTCTCTGGCGGGTAGGTTCGACCCGCTATAGCCAGTGCATTCGGCAACAAAAGTGCAGGTCCAATTCCCTGAAAACCACGTACAATATCGAAGAAAATAGAGGAAGAAGTGAGGGCGCTACAACCACCAATTATAGACCATATACCAAACCACGTCCACCCTATTATTAAGACTGTTTTTGAGCCGTAGACATCGCCTAGTTTGCCTGCAATGAGGATGAATGTACCGACTGTGAGACTATATGCGCCAACGTGCCATGTCATTTGTCGCTCTGCACTTGTGGTTGAGTCTTGGTTGAATGTTTGTCCGACGAGGGTTAGAGGGATGAGGATGTAGCCGAATGCTCCTTGAACGAAGAATTGAGTTGAACAGAGGGAAGTGATGAAGAGAATCTCTTTGAGTCTCCCTGTAGGTGGCTTCTGAAAGCTGTCCTTTTGAGGGCGGAGGAGGATGCCAGGTTCAACGTCCACTGCCTGTGGAGGTGTACAATGATTGCCGTTCATAATTGCTGTCCTTGGACCTCAATCACGAAGAATTAGTAGGTGATGAATATTATATTGAACAACCGAAGATACAACAAAATGTAATAGACATTATATATTCCTCGATACCTCTATACCACAAGACTCAAAACGTCACTCTTGGACTGGCTCTGACAGTGCATGAAGATCTACGTCCAAATCGGGTAATTGGTGTTTCGTACACCATTGACCGAATCCAGGTTAGCGTTGCTAGCTGGCCAACCACCGATGCCTTTCGCACTGGACTAGGGCTAGAAGCGTAGAACTTGTATAAACATGGGAGATGTCGAACAATGATTCATAAAGCTGAACAAAGTGACCGGGTTTTCCGTGGATGTCAAGACTTAGTCCTACATCAAGTGCACAAGTAACTTTTGACCAAGGCACTTAGGTACGCATGTCATTATCTACAATCGATTCGTCCTACACTATAATCCTGCCTTATGATTCTGCTAATGATAATTATCTCGACTAGTCGCACACAGAGAGTTTAAATCAAATAAACCTAGATTTCCTTGTTCAACAAAGCCCAATGACTTTATCAGATTCGGATCAAACATCCATTCGTTCAATTGCTCATTCTCAGTAAAAGTGCTGAGCGAAATAGCTTGATCTCTCCCATAATCCGTATTCTGGTAATGATGCTGGTACTGAGGTTGGGACTGTCGCCGTTGAATTTCGAGTCGGTAGGGAAACGAGGATCGTTCGGAAAAAGCATCAGGGGGTTGAATTTTCACTATTTCCACCGGGAAAATGTCTGTTCTTTCTCTCCCGTAACCTATCATAAGGTTTGGTTCATCAGCTAAACTGAGGAGGAACTTGATGAGGATATGAAAGTTTAGTATTGGGTCGTTTCTGAGAATTTCACTAATATTTACCAGTGTCGTTCTTGGAAGTGTGGCGAGATACGGACGTAACCGCGATAATTTGGATGCAAATGCGACTGTATAGAAATTATTTCTAGAGTTATTCTAATCTCTGATAAAGGATTTCTTCACTGCAGTAGGTGATCTCATCTGTACATGTCAGCATCAAAGTTGAAATGCGTTGGAGACTTCTACTTAAACAATCTCAAGGAATGCATGTGTTCAATGCTATTACTCAATAACAAAACGACGTGGAGCGCTATCATTAGCGAGATTTCTGCACGAAAAACGCCATAGGGAATACTAATGCATATGGATATCGGCTCATTTTTCCTATACCTATGAAGTGGCAATGAGGCCCTTGTCTACCGCGTACCCTAGCTATAGCAAGCTGTCCTACAGCTCTAGCGTGAACTTTCATCCTGTACCATATGATTACCTTGCTTCAGTCGACACTGTGGCCGTTCAATACTAGGCAGAATAGAGTAAACAGGATTGCAGTGTTTTACATGGAATTTAGTAGCGGTGGAAAGGCGATAGTCACCATCATGTGAAGAACTTAAAGTAACAAAAGTCGCTGTTGGTGCATTCATGGGAACAATGACATGATTGGGGCGTTTCTAGATACCATTTCCTGGATGCTCATTCCAACGCTAGGTTTGGACAAATATATGTGTGTTCTCTATCTATCGACTGGATATTAGGGATATTTGTCTGATGGGATATTACCACAGACAAACCGTTGCTTTTTGTATTTTGTGAACAATAGCGAGAGTGAAGTTGGGGACTGTGCAGTACTCAGGCCCTCCCCCAATTGGCTGATGTACGTACTAGATCAATGCACTGCAATACTATTTGTATTATACTTGCACTAACAATATGGACGATCATAATCTGCTGGCCTGTATCATCGCTCCACATACCTGAGTCTGTCGAGTGTGTGAACCAATCATTGATTATTGCTATGGTTCTAAAATGAGCTACTTTTTGGAGTGTAAAGCTGTATATAGAACAGCAGAGATTCTGGTCCATACTTTTCCCTTAGTAACAGGATACAGATCCATGTTGAGACACCATAAGGGGGATTTCAATCTATTCGAGATCCGTGTCTGTTGTTACATCTTAGGGAATCGGGACATAATGCTGACTCGGTATATCTGGGCAAGCTCAGTGACAAAGAGTGAATCAATCTAGCTTTAAAGTGATCCATGTAAGATAGGTCTGAATGGGTAAAAAGCTTGATATCCTGGTCACTCGTTGCATTCCTCGATACGAAAGTTGCTGATTCAGATCCAAGGTGTTGAGGAGGGAATTGTGATTGCCGAGTTTGGTGTCTAATGTAGGACATGCTGCACGCATTTGTGTCCGTAGGGCATGGTGTCTAGATTACGCAGATGCTGTGACCGCTTGCAACAATAGCAGTGTTGAGGCGTCCAGGTTGAGGCTCTGAGAAAGGTGAAGAGAGAATTTCTTGCATGTTGGGCCCTCATAGTCAAGTGTTGACTAATTTTTCTTTACCTCCGAATGTCACCAAAGCGCAAGACCCGTCCGACGACTCGCTCACCGGCGAATGATTGCAGGTAGCAATAGTATATCGCACAAACTAAGGCTGGCATTCCGAATAATTCGAGCATTGAGTCACCCTCTGCAGCCAGACATGACATCTCACCGTATTCGATTCCTGTTGCGTTACTCTATCACGCCATATTAGACATTTTAACATGCGTGCACCTTTGAGTGTTGGTTGTACCCCAACATTGGCCAACTCATCCACGTAACATACATTAGTACAGAGTCTAATAGCGCCATACAAACTTCCAAGACTCGCCAAGATGTGCCTCTCCGCGTTTTTGCTGACCGGGGTTCTAGCCGACGCTCAGAGGCATGATCATGTTCCGACGATTCATGAGTGAACCCTTGCAGCTATTCGCTGATACTTGGTGAATACACGATGATGCACGGCTGAAATCTCCGAGTGAGTCAAGAGAAGTCAGACAAAAAGAATGAAGATTTCCATCTTGATAGAAATTAACTGTTCGTAAATGTCCGCTAATTACTAGAATAGTTAATAGTAATGGCCAGGCACACCAATGAGAGCCAGCGGAGTGCTCATCCGTGGTGCACGTGGGAAGCACTCGGGTAAACTTTCCTCGATATCGCAAACAGTGGCTGAAATTTGTCTTATTCGTGCATTCTTAGCGTGCATACTTCAGCCTCTTGTCTTAAATGACGGGCCGAGACTCTGTAACTTAGTCGTTACAGGCGTTACACGGGTACACAGGAGGCACACGGGAAGTACTCCGACTATGCATCTCTCAGGAGTCAATCAGCACACTCACGATCAACACGATCAACAGAGCTTACACTACGTGGTGTCCGCTGCTGCGCGTAAGCTAAGGCCAATTATCTCACGCTCAGTCATCAACGCTCAGTCACCAGCGATCTTAAAATAGTACAGCAAGGAGTCAAGCCCGATCAAGCTTTTTAGGGCTCTTAGTGCGGGTAGTGTTTCCTTAGTGAAGTTTAGCAGGGGGTCTGGTCTCCATTGCTAATCTGTTTGCGGCATGTCGCGTCTTGCGAAATTTCAGCTAGACTTCGGACTATGCTTGAACTGGGGTTAGTCCTGTTGGGTTTCTTTTAGTCTCTTCTTAGAAAAGAGAAATTGAGGCGATGCAGCTGACGGACGGAGAGCTGTGGAGGTCTGAAGACGCCGTTGTGTGTCATGTGTATGTGACTTTAATAAAGCATTTCCAGAAATATTTTTCTTTGACGGTTATTCTTTTCACTTGACCCAAAATCTTGATATATTCACACAATTAATTAGACCTCTGCATTGTCGACTGATTACCTCGACAAGTCAACGACACGACACTCCTGACTTTTCAATCATCTCCGACTTCTCCGAACCGTGTGATCCTTTGATCTTACAGCCAGATTTATTTACAACAGCACGCCTGACACGAATAAGTTGGTACGACACTACAAAGAACCAACTGTTATCTCATTCATTTCAAAGTCCATACTTGACCGCGCCATCATGCATACTCCCCGAATCAATTGACAGGATGTTACTGATCGCGTGCACGAGTCACTCCGCTAACCCCATACTCACGCGGACATTCTAAGGCAATGAATAGGTTTATCCGCCGGGGAAACAAATAAATGCAGGGGAGTTTCCAGTACATACATACATACATACCACATACATACCATTCAACAAAAATGGACAGACCAAAGAGCCCGGATTCCCTCCCTTCTTCGAGGGATGGGAAATCCGACAAGCAGGAAAGCAGCAGTCGGCGCGCAAAAATTTTTGCTGAAATAAGGTCGCTGCTTCCCTTTTTCAATAGCAACAAGACGGAAATCTCCAAAAAGAGGAAAATATTCCGGTATGTAACTATCGCAATGGTGGTCCTGGGCATTCTCGCAATCGCGTTAGGGTTCGGCCTGTCCGCGCTCGCCGCCAAGAATAGTCGCAGCGAGCACGACAACATTGTGCAGTTGGATTATGCCTCGTACAGAGGCTATAAGCAGGACGGTGGCGTTTCGTACTGGAAGGGAATGCGATATGCGGCGCCGCCAACGGGCAGTCTGAGATTTGCTGGGCCACAGGATCCGCAGGTTCAGTCTGATGTTCAGGATGCTACTGCGGTATGTAATGTCGTCGCAAGTGTTTTCGGGGATTGTCATACTAATTGTGACTAGCATGGTAGCTTGTGCATCTCGACGGGCGTTTATCCCATCCCCAGTAACCAGTCTGAAGATTGTCTGTATGTAGACGTCTATGCGCCGACGAATGCGACAAACGCTACAACTCTGCCGGTGTTTGTCTGGATTCAAGGCGGCGGATACAATGCATTGACGAACGCCAATTACGACGGGACCGGATTGATTGAAGCATCTGATTTTAACATTGTGGTTGTCACCTTCAACTATCGCGTGGGCCCGTATGGGTTCCTGGCTTCGCAGGAAGTCGAGCGGAGTGGCTCTTTGAACAGTGGACTCAAGGACATGATCAAGTTGCTGCAGTGGGTTCAAAAATACATTGTCCAGGTATGCCCTCTCTTCCCAGATACGTCTAATAAAAGCTAATAGTGTAGTTCGGCGGTGATCCAAACCACGTTACCATCGGCGGCGACAGCGCAGGCGCAGGCGCCATCACACTCCTTCTTTCAGCATACGATGGCAGCAACCAACTAGACAGTCTTTTCCACGCCGCTATCGCCGAATCGCAATCCTTCGGCCCTCAATTGACGGTCTCTGAATCTCAGTTTCAGTTCGACAATCTGACCGAGCGCACCGGTTGCGCCGACAGTACTCACCCATTAAAATGTCTACGAAACCTAGACATCAACACCTTGCAACAAGAGAATATCGAAATTCCATATCCATCTGGTGTCTTACCACCATTATACCCCTACGGCCCCACGATCGACAACGATCTCGTATCAAACTATACCTTCACCCTCTTCGGAGCAGACAAATTCACCAAAATCCCCGTCATATTCGGCGACGATACCAATGAAGGCACCGTCTTTACCCCCCACAACACATCCAGCGTCGCACGTGCCGATGAGTTTCTCTCTGACAACTTCCCCTTCCTCAATGAAACCGAACTCTCAACCATAAATTCCATGTACATGTCCTCACCCGACGACCCCGTCTACCCTCATGCAGGCGACTACTGGCAAGGCGTCTCTAACGCCTACGGCGAAATGCGCTACATCTGCCCTGGCATCTACCTCACAGACGCATACACAAACGCCTCAACGACACGCAACACAACCTGGAATTATCATTATGCTGTCCTGGATAACAACGCCAACACCACGGGCTTCGGCACACAACACACAATCGAAGTGAACGCAATCTGGGGACCGGATTATGTATCTGCAAACTCTGCGCCGAAATCGTACTCGACGACGACGAATGAGGAGATTGTCCCGCTTATGCAGGGTTATTGGACTAGTTTTATACGCTCGTATAACCCCAATACGTACCGTGCGGCGGGTGCGCCGGAGTGGAATGTTTGGGGGGAGGGGGAGAGGCTGTTCATAAGGACGAATGAGACGCATATGGAGTCTGTGCCGAGTGAACAGGTGATTAGATGCAAGACGTTGGCGGGGATGGCGGTTTGGAATCATCAATAATTCCCATCTTTCGTCCTGCTTTTTTTGTTTTGTACATATATAATTGCATTTTCAAGGTTTCAAGCGCGATGTGCATAGATAGAACTGATGCCCGAAGATACCAGTATTTACTTAGACCATATTCATCACATTTACATTTACATTTAAGTTACTGAAGTGAATGACATGTCAAACTTTTATTGATCCGTATGCACGCTCGAACTATATACACCTTTACAGCAAGTAGTCTATTTCTTCCCCTGTCTAAACTTCTTCTCCCTCTCATAAGCCTTCGCCTCCCGCCCCTCCTCACCCTGAATCTCCGCAATAAGTCGTCGGTACTTCTTCTCGTACGCCGCATCCTTCTCCTTCTTCTCCTTGAGCTGTTCGCGCGCCACAAAGTTTGCATCCTTGCGCAATTCGCGCATTGCGCCCTTGCGTTCGCGTTTGTGCTCTGCTTTGAGTTTTGCCATTTCGGCGCGCTCGCGGTTCGGGTCGTAGTGTTTGTCCGGATTGAAGTCTTCTTCGAATTTGGGGATGGATTGTTTGATGGCTAAGGGTCGGTGGTTGTGGAGGAGTAATGGGCGGCGCGTGTGTTGGGATGCAGCCAGATGTGACTTGAGTTTTTGGAGGGTGGAGGTGAGTTGGGTGACTAGTGGGGATGAGGAGGATTTGGACAAAGATTTCCTGAGATGTTGGAGGATGGTTTTGCTGGATGCAAAGATCTCGATGTAGGCGGATTTGTCGGCCCAGAGGTCGGCGGCTGCGTCTAGCAAGGACACAAAGGTGCTGAGTAGGCTGAGCTTCAAGTCCGAGGATGATGTTTTTGCGTCGTCCGAGACGACGTCCCAGAATCCAATTTTGCGAATCTTACTGTTGATCGACGAAGGGTCAAGTCGTAGTGATTCCTTCGAGTCGCGCAACAAGACAAATCCTACTTGTTGGGTGATTAACGTCGGCGAAAGAAGACACAATGCATTCAGACAGTAGTTCATAAACTCAGGCATATATCGCTTTGCGAGAGTTTGATATTCCAAAGACAGCGCAGAAAGGTATGCTCCTGTTGCCAGATCAGCTGTGCTACCAACAGTGCTCTGGCCGAGATATCGCGCAATGCACAAATTCGCCGGAGTGACAACTGGGTGGAAGTGATCCGACGTCGGAAAAACTGTCATCACTCCTGTCAATAGGACCAAATCACCCGGAAGTAAAGCTAACGGCCGCTCGACTGCCATCTTGCGGAGATGATCTCGGAAAGCATGAGCCACGGGTTCGCTGTTCGTCTTGGCCATCGAATGGACATGTCGGAGGAGATTTTCGATGATATTGAATGAAGTCGAACCAGTTTGATTCGCCATAAAGACAACATGATCTACCAAGACTTTTGAAAAGACACTTAATTTTGACTTGTTGTCGCTGTGTAGTCGGGGGTGATACAAAGCTCGAATTCTCTGCACAATCACTGGAATATCTTTTGCAGCTACGTCTTTCAAGATGGCGAGAAACTCGTCGTGACTCTGAGGGCAGGGATACGTATATGCCAGTCCATCATCGGTCGTTCCAGTTGGCACGTTCTTGCTACCAGACTCCATTCCAACCAAGTTGTTGAGCGATTTTGAAAATTCATCATCCATGAGCCCCTCATCCTCGCTCTCCAGCTCTGATTCCATATCGGAATCACTTTCAACAAATGAAAGATTTTCATCTGATTCCATATCGACAAGGTCGTCATCAATTATGAAATCATCCTCATCTTCAACATCGAGCTCGCGGCGAGCTTCATTTTCAACTGCTGAAGTCAAGCCAAACGCCTTGGCATCATCAGGTATGAAATCAGCACCTTCGTCTTCCATTTGTTCATCTTCGACTCCTCCAGCCTCGGACTCGCTATCTTCGTCACCGCGCATACGTCGCAGTCTCTCTAGTTCCAGCCGTTTCAGCCTCTCGGCTTCTTCCTGTGCTTTCTCCTCTTCAGTCTTTGTGCGATCCGTAGGCGCTGATCTCTTGTCAAAAGCCATCTGCTTCAGTCGCTTGTCATATTCAACATCCGCCTCTACCCTATCTTTGCCATTCAACAGAGCAGCACGATCCGGGTTCATTATCGCAGCATCCTCCCTTGGAGGCTCGGGCTCCTTCGGCGGTGGTTTGACACCACGCATGAGATCAAAAATCTCCGGTAGACCTTTGTCAAGCTCCGCTCGCAAGTCATCATCGTCTTCTTTTGCCTTTTGTCTTTCGTATTTGTAGAGTTTGGACTTGGCGATGACCTCCTTCATGACCTCGGCTTTGGTCTTTTTTCGCAGCGGCTCGGTTTCGTCCTCCGCTTCGTCATCCTCAGAGGCCATCCCGTCCATATCATCGACTTCGTCCTCAGCAGCTAAAGCGCGTTTCCGCTTTCGACTCGCCTCTTCATCGTCTGAAGATTCTGCGCCGCTGATATCATTTTCGGCAAAATCGTCGCCGTTGAGATTGATAGCATCGCCAAACGACAACGACCGTCCACCGTGTGTCAACTCTAGTCCTTCTTCATCTTCTTCCTCCAAATTGAACATATTTTCTTTCCGCATTTTCCTCTGGCTTTCGCGGGCAAATCGTTCCGCTGCTCTTTCTTCCGGTGTCATTGAAGGATCGTTTTCACCGAATCGTCTGTCCATAATGCCGCCGGTCTTGTTGCGCGAATGTAATTCTTTGAGTAGAGTCTCTCGTCTCTGTCTCTTATCAGTCTTCCGCTTGCACTACTCTATTTATTTCAAGGCTTACCCTCTCCTCTCCCAAAGACTTCGTAACACCCGGTCTAGCATAATTTCCCGCCTTTGACGAGCCATCTCTCGTGGTAACATCGAACTTCGCATTCCGTGACGGCGCCTTTATCTCAAACGGATTGAACTGTTCTCGAATCTTTGCCAGGGCTGCATTTCGCTGAATGCGAGATTGCCGTGCCTTGGCGCCGCCGTCCTTCTCATCTTGACGGCGTTGCTTTTGTGACTGCTGCTGTCGGATGACTCCGCTGTCTCGAAGAGAAGCTTTGAGCTGCTTCAACTGAGAGGGCGGCATTGTGCCGTGTGATGTGGGAGTTGTTGATGTACGGAAATCCAGTTTGGATCTAATCGAGGAAAGATGTAAAAATTTATGTCACCGCCTTGATGCGGGAAACACATTCTGCCGCAGCCTGAGGTCTCCACTTGCCTACTTTATCTCCGTCAATCTCCTTCCTGCTTTACTCATGACTTTCTATTTTCTATAACAATGGCACTTCGCTCAGACAATTCGATCTTATGGCTTGTTTTAGGTATGGCCATTCCTCAGTTCTCTCAGCTGGTCACTAACTCGTATGCCATAGGTCTATCGCTAGGCTTTGTAGCCGCTCGCCGCATAGTACGGGATCTATATGAAGTCCGTGAATTGACAGAGATCAAACGACCCGATAACGACGAGAGTGTGATTAGTAAAGGCACCGAAGATGGTATGCAAGCTAGACTGTAAAAATAAAACAGCATGCTCATTTCCCATAGCTCTCAAGCTCGAAACGCTCCAAAAACTGACCGAAAGCCCGAGCTATGAGCTTCGCGGGGCGTATGTCACCTCACACGCTGGAACACTTTGACGGGCATTGCATACTGATATTCTCACAGATCTCTTCGAATCATCTCAGAGCGCGCTACGAAAGAGCCTTCTTGGGACATACTATTAGAAGACCTCACAAGTAAAAACAAACGACGACGCAACCGAGCTCTCGATGCTATTCACTTCCTGTTCGCTAGTCGCACTTGTCAGTATAAACACCTTTGATATGTCAGTTCGTCCTAACTTCCTTTATTCTTTAGTATCTCGAGTAACTCTCTCTCCCCGCGTGAGAGAGATATCCACCTACAAAGCAATCATCGACTGTCTCTGCAATTTCCTCGACGAACACACCATCGAATACACAACCACTGAATCCCCCATTCTACCCAAAACAAGACCACCAGGCGAAAAGAAATTGCTCGCAACACTCAACATCCTCCTCGTCCAGGATATCCCCGCCGCTCTAGAAGCCGGTATCGTTAGTCGGTGGCTCTCGAAATATCCATTTCCGTGCTACCGTAACAATGACACTGCCAGTGGAGCAAACGGGAATGAGGTCAATAGCAACGTTCACAAATATCGTCAGAAAGATATATACTGGCTTATGAAGATGTACTGGCCGGACGATACCTTGATGAGCTCTATTATCACGACGCTCGTCGGCGCACCAGACGGAATTCGACAGTTACGCAAATATGGCCTTATGGGGAGTATAATGGAAGAACCCCACGATATAGATGACAAGGGTGACGATGACGGCGGTCGCGACGATGATGAAGACGCAGATAGTGATGTGTGGATGATAAATGGCGAGAGTACAGCAGGGAGAAACTGGTCGCCGGAGCGTTTGACGTTGCCGGATGAGAGTCTTGAGGAACAAGCTCTTAGGAGACGGAGGAGAGAGGCTATGGTTTTCAGTGAGGATGGAGGGCCGATAGGGAGTGAGAATATCATACCTCCTATTGAAGGCTAACGGTTTGCCTTTATAAATGTACATTAGAATATTGATACCCTATGCATTATGTTTACGAGATAGCATCAAATCATTGAATATTGCATATTGCATGTTGACTTCCTGTAAATGTTACAACCCCTTCCAGGCCGACTTGCTAACATGGTCGACCTTCTTGCGACTAGGCTTTATCATACCCAAGGTCTTCAACTCAGACATTGCGCGATAGAATAACATCAACGCAGATCGCTCATCTTTTTCAGTCTGTTGCTCGTCACCGCATAAAATGGTTGAAAACGCCTTCCACAAATCAAAGACATTGACCAATGATCCTGATTCGAGGTAAAGCTGATATAGGATAGCTGTTTCGGGCTGTCTGGCAGAAAGGTTTCCACCTTCGTGTCCAGATGATGTGTTAGCTAGGTAGTCGAATGGCGTGGACAAGGCACGCTCAATACAGAATCTAGCGCGCGGCGCAAATGTGTCTCGTAGTGGGTTGCGGAGGTCGAATATGAACACTTCATGCAGAAAGAGGTCTTGAGGATTGATAAGTCTCGAAGTCAGGTTTGTCTCGAGTTCTTCGATGAACTTCTCAAGTAACTCGGTATAAGCGGATTCGACGTCGGAAATTTTCTTTTTGGTTTTGGTCAGGTTCACTTTGTCTTTGACAATGGTTGTTTTGACGCTGGTGTTTTGATCGTCGTGTTTGCTGCGAAGGGTTTCGTTTGTGCCTTGTGTAGCCAGTAAACTCTGAAGTTTTTGTTCGTATTGGTCAACATCCACAAGTCTTGCAGACATATTATCTTTTTCTCGAAGAATAGCCAAGATACCTCTAAGACTTTCTGAGTCTACCTTCTGCAGCTGATTAGATAGGTCTTTGATAGTGACAGAATCACTCAGATCTCCAGACACTCCGCGAATATACATTTCCGTATTGCCGTTCGCTTTGGTAAGTTGCAGTGTAGTCTGGAGTGATCGTAGTGTATTCATTTTATTGAAAAGTTCTTTCATCTGAATCAGTCCATCTTCCACAGCCTCGTGCACTTGCTTCCAAAGGGCGGAATCATCAAGTAAAAGAGCGCGGACAGACTCTGCCTCGCCTTCTTCAATCAATTGTTCGCAAAAGCTAGCACATGTCAGCTTACCTATCCTACTCAAGCATTGGAGTCATACCTTCTAAAAGACTTCAAGTTCCGAATAGCATCGCACAGCTCTTTTTGTTTGAAAATGGAAGGCGAAAGTAGAAGGCTGAGAGGATTGGCAAAGAAGTGCGACATGTATGCATACTTGGCTCATTAGCAGAGTTCGATATTGTACGAGTAGCAATATATACCTTGACCTCACGAATAAATCCTTCTGGACTCTGAAAGTGATCCCTGGCCTTCTCGATCAGGGATGTGCTCAGGTGTGGTCCGAGCCATAATCTTGTATCAGGTCCAGTCTGCAACGTTTCGTAGATACGATCAATTGCTCCTTCGGCTTCATGGATCTCAAATTGTTTGCCGTGTAGTAAAGCCACGGTAGAGCGAGGAAGCCGGCCTTCGAAGAGTTCAACAGAGGTCGAAATGCCGAAAAGAAGGACGAGCGGTATTCGATCAACCCAAGAACTAGAGAATCAGCTTTGCAGTCCAATTGAATAATTAAAAATGACCATTTACCTGAGTAACGAAAGAAGATCATTCAGCACGCCGGAGTCGAAAGCCTCACTATCACGAAAAGCCAACACTAATGATTTCGATCCTTGACTTAGCACGTATTGATATAAGACGTTCAAGTCATACGGCAGCATTCGAGGGCCCTATAACTGTCAGCACGTTTCCCATAAATGTTCACTTGCACTTACAGATTTATCCGTAAACAAATTCTGGTAAGCATCATTCCCAGATGTGCTTGTAACTGCAGTTCTGATAATTGTTTTCAGCACTGCTTTTAGATTCGGCGCATCCCCTGATTCTAGCAAAATCACCTGGCCGGAATTCTCGGAGGTCAAACGCCGGTGCAGTATATCTAGGAGTCTGGGAAGAGCTGATACATTCGATCCGATGGTGACGAGCGACGTGGGGATGCAACCCGCGTAACTGCATGTTTATTAGTGGTATTTCAGAATAACATTTCGCGGCAGGTTGACTTACGCCTCCGGCGATGCTGTTTTCACGAAGAAAGTAATGTCCTCCAGGATTCCAGAGTCAAGTTCCTCTATCACTTTCTATATAACCCATTAGACTTGCCGAATCATAAGGCGGTTGACAACAACCTTGCATCGTTCTTCCTGGGAAGACCAAAGTTCTTTGAATGTTGCCTTCCTTCCGTCCACTAGTTCCGACGATTCCTTGCCACCGAGCAATGGAACGAATACTTGCGATTGATCATTTTGATACCGCTTATCTTCTTTACTCGTAGACACTTTGCGCCTTTTCGAGGAGCGTTCGCCGTTGACGGTAGGATGGTAGACGTAAATCCCCTAGATTGAGCTGATTAGCACATAATATACGGATAAAGACAATACTCATACCAAATCCTCACTGCCTCCAATTTCATCTTCCATATCCATATTCAGTTTCCAAAGTTCTGAATGTGCTGTATTGACTCGACAGCTACAGGCAAGTTCGACGCGAACGCGGACAAGAAGCTCCGCGGCATTTATGGCGCTAAACTGTAATTGGCTCGGATTTTTCTATTCTTCAACTCAGCCAGCTCCTTCCTCTTCGACTTTCTCTCTCTTTCTCTCAACTTCACCCTTCATTCATCTACTTCCCCAGCAAATGGCATGATTTTCTATCCTTCATGCTCCGTCAGGTAATCCAAGGAGCAGGGCGATTGCACTACCAGGCCGGCTCCTTCAAATCCTCTATCACAAAGACTCCGGTCTTGCTTCGCTCGTTCTCCGCCACCGCATCGCAAGCCATCAAATATGGCGGACCTAACGACAAGATCCGTATTTTCGAACAGCCTTCGATGGCAAGCAATAAGAGAGTCGAGATAGATCTGGACGCGGAAGCTGCCGATGAGCGAAAAGAGGTGGAGATCGAGTTGGCAAAGTTGGACAAGGAACTGGCTGAGCTCAGAAAAACCCCATTCGATGTAGAAGGCGAATTTATACAGAGCTTGCCGGAAAAGGAGCGGGCTGCCGCTATCGAGGTTATACGAAACTATGAGGCTAAACATGGCAAAGTTAGTGATTGGGGCGTCGAGGAGCAATTATTCGACAAGGAACTGGATGATATGATCAAGGAGGAATTCGAGCAGATGGCCAAGGAAGAAGAAGATATTTTCGACCCTACAAAGCCTGCAGATTCAGATTCGCACGGAGACGGCTTATCGCCTATGCATTCTTACGAACTACGATTTCACAAACAACTTGAACTACATTTGAACAGCTCGGAAAAAGCAAATGCCAAAGAACTTTGGAAATGGTATCAACGATCGAGAGATGCCATCCCATCTTTTCTACAGACCTTAGAACCGGAGATATGTCAGCTATTGTGGAATATACAGCTCCAGACACCGCCTGCCACTCGGATAGCTCATATACGAACGCTAGTCGAAGACTTCAAATCGGTCGGAAAGGAGCTTTTGCCTGATCAAGTTCTTCAGTATATTGATGTGCTGCATGGTGGGGGCGACATCGAAGGAGCTTTGCAGCTCTGGGAAGAATCGCAGGCAATCATAAGCCAAGGAGAGGGTGACATCGACGCCTATTGGAGTACAGGTGTTCGACTATTTGCGGCACACGGTGATCCACAGAGAGCTCAAGACATTGCTTTCGCGTTCCTGACAAGTGATGGTAGTCGACATGCGCGCATACTTATTCCTATAGCTACGTCATGGACGAAACAAGCAGATTCGCATGCCGCCACAAAAGCATGGGCCATATACCTTCAACTCAAGACTTTGTTGGGCTCCGATATGAAAATGGAAGACTACGATATACTCAGCACTGCATTCTTGAATGATGGCAAGATCAATCTTGCTGTTGCTGTTTTCAAGGACATGATGATCACAGGGAAAGACCCCGCAAATGATTCAACTGCAATTTTTCAGAGAGCCATAGGCCTTACAGGAAGCTTACGACAATCAAATATCAAGGAAGAAGTTGTCAATAAGATATCTCTTTCAGCTCTTACCTTCCTACCCCGTCGATTTCAGAATAAATTCTTCTACGCAAGCTGGATGAAGAAGCTTATTGGCATGGGTGAAGTCGACTCTGCTGCAGCTGTTGTCGAGCTTATGTTCGAAAGAGGTGTGAGACCAGATGCAATTCATCTGAATGGTATAATTGGAGGCTGGCTCCGGAATGGAAGCCCTTTGGCCAGAGAAAAAGCCGAACAGCTTGGCTGGTCCATGATACAACACCGGATTGATATTGTGTGGAATAGGACACAACATTTAGAAGTTTCAACCAAACCTTCTGTCCCAGAACTTCCATCTGATACCCGTGTGCCGAAATTTCTGAAGAGAAAAATTCGCCCTGCAAATATTGAGACATTTTCAATCCTGCTACTTCATTACACTCGTCGCGGAGATGATGACATGGTCAAATATTTAAATAAATGTCTTGAGGATGCTCAGATTCGGCCCAACTCCTATTATATGAACCATCTTTTATATGCCGACCTTCGCAGACAGAAAATCAACAGTCTTTGGGAGAAGTTTCAAACCTTAGCTAGGCAAACGGTCCCTGATTTAGAGACTTTTGCATGTCTATGGGACTGCGGCAAGCTTCAATACGATCGATTCCGGACAGCCTACCATACAAATTTCCCTGAAGTGCGTCAGCTATTCGCAATTATGATACGGTGGTATTCTACTCTCGACGCCCGAAAGACGACTATCACTCAAGAAGAATTCTCTCGAGAACTCTACGACCAAATCATTCTTTGCTTCTGCCTTTCGAAAGACCTATGTGGCACTCTAGTTGCACTTTATGTCATGAGGGATCTCTTCAAAATATACCCAGACGAGAGCACAGCCCGCATGCTGATATTACAAATTACTCGAATAGCTGGAAATGTCAACATCGACGACAGAATTGGCCCTCCAGGCACGTCAAGGCGATCTCGAGTCCGGGCACGACGACGACTCTCCACCACACCACAATCAAAAGAGAACATAGAACAAGTCAAAAACATCCTCGCCACTCTCCAGACCAAAAAGGCATCCTTACTTAAAGCCCAGGGAATCGATGTCGAGCATCTTAGTGAAGACGACCGAAAACAATATCAAATAGAAATTTTAAGCGAACTTCTCGTCATGGTGATTGAACGCACCGTCGTTGACCCCGCTGGTTCGGATCGCGATGTGAAAGCTCAGATCGTCGCTGCTATGCAGGAGATGGCTGTTCCAGATTTAGCGATACGATTCAATCACGAGTCGCTGCAGTGATCTTTTGGTGTGAAGGTGTTTTATATTTGCATGTATATTATATAGGATACCTCTCTTCTAGATTTGATAACATAGAAAGTATGATTAATTCAAGGTCAAAAGAACCATGCAATGAATTCCGTGTAAACAAATGCTACAAACGCCGTAATGCCACATACCCAGACTCCTCAGAAGTCATTTTACACATTGAATAAACGAAATGAACCCGCGAATGACGAATTGTATGCAATCTATTTCTTGCCCTTTTTCTTCTTCTTGACACTGCTCGTCCCACTGTTGACTTTGGGTACTTCGGCCTCCACCAAAACACCATCATCATCACTGACAGCCGTTACTGACGGTGGCGCCGCTGCCACTGCTGTTTCACTTTTAACCGGCGTAGCTGCTGCTGCTGCTGCAGCCACAGGAGCAGCAGGAGTGGTAGTAGTTGCACCCTTCTCAGCATCCAACTCCTTCATAAAACCCTCCTGAATCTCCGCCCTGCGTCTCGTCCACCATTCCACCTCTTCGCCGACCTTGGACTGATACTCATCTATGCGTTGACGGAAGAGGTTGTTCTGATCCATTTCGCGCGCCGATTGGAAGATGACTTGGCCCCAGTTTGGGGCGTAGGCGTTTGCCTGAAATCACTGTTAGCATTTCCTTTCCACACCTAAAGGAAAGTTTCAGAGGGAGACTCACCTCGCTGACAACATCACGCACTTCCTCCTCCATCTCCTTCTCCGCCCTCAAAAATCGCTGCCACAGATCATCGCCCACACTACCTCTCTGCAACAACAAGGACAGAGCCTGTTTCTGGTCTCGAATGGCAATAACACGCTTTATATCTTCTGCGGCCCGACGCAAGAGCGCGGCTTTGAGGACTGTTTCAGGCACGGCGGTAATTTTCTTTTCTTTCCCTCCTGCTGATGATGTCGGTTGCTCGAGGTGGAGAAGGGAGAAGTAGATGTCTCGTTGGAGATGGGATGGGAACCATGGAGCGAGAGATAGGGCTCGTACTATTTTCACATCAGCATTAGGGTTGCGCAAGTGAAGCGAGGTAGAGAGGCGTACCTGATTTCCTTTTACGGTAGAGAGACGAGAAGGTCGCGAGAGATCCGATTAGAATGCCAAGGTAGGCGAAGGGTATCGCGAGGCTGACCCAGTCAACCATTTTGAATGCCGAGTTCGTCGTCAGTACGATGAGCGTAGATGCTGTTCCTTCAATCGGGGAGTGTATGTAATGATGCGCAAGATTGAATGTTGTATGAAGGTGTGTGTCGTGGTGGTAATGTTTAAGTTGAAGGGTGTAGAATGGATATGCTGATCAGCGGAGCGTTCTGATCTCCCATTGGCCAACGCGCAGGAAAGGCCAGCCTGGTTCTTTCTTAGGGTTACTAGGGTTATAATAGCTGTATTCTGCATGTGATTGATATTTGATACTTAATTCCAGTCCACGACAAAATCATATTACAATACATCTAAGCAACGCTTCAAGCACCACATGCGATTAGCAAGACAAGAAGAAAACAAACATGGACCACGTCCCTCCCAAGTATAGTAGAAATAATGCCAAATGTACAATGGAACAAACAAGTTCCTCGAAAACGTCAAAAACCGCATGAAACAACAAGAGAATCGAAGTGAGGGTCAGATCATAGATTGTGAGGAGCTATCACCCCCCTCGAAGTCAACTGTTCCTTCGTAGGTTGACTCATGGACATGAACTCCTGGTTTTGTTGCATATCTTGAAACACATCGTTGAATTCTTCCTGCAGCGAGACGGCGACCTTGGTTCTGTCCCAATCACCACGCTTCTTCCAGAGACAATCCATCAAATGGGTGTTGATCTGCTCGAGCTGTTCGACTGTGCAACCACTTGTCCGCAGTGTCAGTTCTGTGCGGAGCTTGTCGATGTAGCCGTGATCAATGATAAGGCGCGGTAATTGTTCTTCGTTATTCAGGAGAGATTTGATATCCGCTGGTGGTGCGGACTGCCTTGGAGCAGTGCCTGGTCGCTGAAGACCGCGTGTTTGACTTCCGTTCATATGACTGTTCTGAGAGTAAGGGTAATCTGACGAGAGTTAGTACATATATACAAGCAGACGGAAAAGAAAACACACCCTGTTGGGTATCAGGAAGTTGCTCCTCTTGAGAAATACGGTCAGGATATGATGTCAAGTCGGGGTAATCCACGCGTGGTCCGCTTCCAGTCACAGGACTTTGTGTATGCAGCTGTGGACCAGTTGATTGATCCGTCTTCTTGTCCGATGTTGTTTGTGTTGTGGAAGCATCGTTACTATAGTCATTTGGCTGAGACCCAGGAGCCATCGGTGTCATAGGTGCCTTTTGCGATAAACTCGAAATGCCAGATTCTCTCCTGATCTGAAGCGAAGGTGCAGTGTTTGACAGTGGGTGTTTCGGCTGAGCTGACTGGCCAAAAGAACTATTCGCTGTAAGACGACCAGAAAAATCTAGCTCATCGGAATTCGTCATGAGTGTATCTCCATCTTCCACACGAGACTGGTCGCTCTTTGAAGTATCGTGTTGATTCAGATCATCCCCGCTACCGCCATGATTCCCATTGCTTGCAGAAATAACATTTGAAAGACGGGAAGGTGTCGTAGGTCTAGCTCCATTCACAAAAGGTTGACCCAACACGATAGGGCCCGTGGAATGACTGGAGTCAGTGTTTCCATGCGGTACATTGCTATTCGGTGGGGGCATGTCGGCTAGAGGGTCGGACTTTTTAGCACGATCGAGAGCTTCCTTCTCGCGTTCCAATTCTCGATTGTATACAGCCTCACACTCTGCTACCAGTGCGGGGTCTGTCTGTTCGATACCACCAATGTCCACTTCGACATTTGTCAATAGTTCGTTGGCCCGCAAAAGACGTTCTTGATCGCCCAAAGCACGAGCATCCTTGGCGATCCTCTTAATGTCACCTAAGAAATCTTTTGGCCTTTTGTAGTAGCCGTTAGATAGGCGTTTTTCTATAGTCACGATTTCCAGGTTGTAGAAGAATCTACCAGTTGCAGTCTCCTTCAAACCGGGAACTCCGTGCTTATCCTGAGCTTTCTCAAAGGGCCGGAAGACCGTTTGTTGTTCCAATGGCAGATCGCTCGTTAGAATAGAAGGGTCTTCCTCCTCGAACAAGTAGCGGATTTGAGCGTCATCGATCACGCCAGTCCTGAATCGCTTGTACTTTTTGATCTGGTCCATGATAGGCTGGATCCTGATCTTCAAGAGATTCAACGTCTGGCGATCTTTTCTCCTCTGTGCTTTTTGTTGCTCCTTGCTCAGAGGCGGCGCTGGCTTTGGCGGCGGAGCAGGTGCAACCTCAAGAGTTTCTAATCTTCTCTTTTTCCGGTTCTCTGGATCAGGGAAATCAAGTGGCGAAGTCTTTAGATAGTCTGTTATCCTGCCGAAATACTCATATCGGGCAGGCTGGCTTGGTGGTGGAAGGGTATAAAGGTTCTTCTGCGAGTATCCAAAAAGCGACTTCAACATCGTTGGATCATGAGCATCTTCGCTATCTTCAAGTACTCCAAGGAGCAAAACTGGGTCTGTTGGAGGTATAGAACGGAGAAGGCCAGTGAATGTAGATACCACTACAGGACCGACAGTATCGTACCACGTTTGCACATTCGGGATGTAGATGACGCTTGGTTTGTGACGCTTGACTTCGGCAAAAAGTTGTACCACAGTAGCCTCTGGAGACCTGGTAGAGTCGCTAAGAAGAGTTGGAAGGTCAAAGGACTGGACATGAAGACCCTCGAAATGGTGAAGAACTGCTCCGGCGAGATACTGCTGTCCCATTCCTTGCAATCCCCGAATGAGAAGGCGAGGTCTAAAAATGCGAGATGTCTCGAATTCCTGATGCATTTGCTCCCTCTTGAAACTAGCTCCACCGTGAGGTTCTTCAAACTCGGCCTCCTCCAAGGCCGTTAGGCGTTTCGACTGGGGAAGAATGTTGGCAAGGATATGCTTGATCTCTACGAAACGATCACGCAACAAGGGCTCCACACTTTTGGGTAATGGGGTGGCACCTGACGATGTGGATCGTTCGGATGATGGAACAATCTTCTTGATAGAGATCATAAAATCCTTGGGAGTGACTTCGATCGTCTTGGGGTCGATGAGTAACTTTTGGCTGGATTTGTAGATCTGTGGATACCGTCTTTGCACTGCATTGAGAGCAGATTCCGTGCAAAGAGCACGAAGATCGGCACCGCCATAGCCCTTGGTCAACTCGGCCAATTCGTCCTTGATAGGTTCTGGCAGAGGCGGATCCCAGTTCTTGGTGTGAATGTCTAGGATAGCACGTCGGCCGTCCTTGTTCGGTAGAGGAAAGTAAAATTCACGATCAAACCGACCAGGGCGACGCAAAGCAGGATCAATCGAGTCAGGTCGATTAGTCGCTCCAATAACGATAACCTGACCTCTACCATCCATACCATCCATCAAAGCCAACAGAGTAGAAACGATTGAAGCATGAATTTGCTCTTGCTTGCTTGATCTGACCGGGGCAAGTCCTATATTCAGTTAGAAAAATGCAGTCATATATAGCATTGATGATCACATACCATCGATCTCATCAAAAAAGATGATACTCGGCTGAGTTTTGCGAGCTTCTTCAAAGAGCAAGCGTAATTGTCTTTCGGCTTCACCAACCCATTTACTCAGAGCATCGGCACCCTTTCTCATGTAAAATGTAACCTTTCGTCCTTCGGAACTAACACTTGATGCCAGAGCACGCGCCATCAAGGTCTTACCGGTACCGGGGGGTCCGTGAAACAAGACTCCACGCGGCGGCACGATGTGAAAGCGCTGAAAGATCTCGGGATACAACAAAGGCAAGGCCACCATCTCTTTCAACTGATCAATATGACCTTGCAAACCACCAACGCTGTCAAAGTTGACGTTCGGATCAATACCCAAAGGATCGGCATCAGCCAATGCTTGCTTGTCCTTAACTTTTCCAAAGTTTGCAGGCGTTCCGGAAAGACCTGGAGCTGCGGCGTCTGCATTGTGAGCTTGCGCAGGTGGCAATGCGATGCCTCCGAGACCTGGAGCCAACGCTCCTGATGCTGTTGGACCACCTTTCAGTTGCATGACTTCATCGTCGCTGCTGTCGCTATCGGCATTTGCAGTGGCACCTGGAGCACCAGGAGGTCCCAAAATAGCGGCAGGTCCACCGCCGCCAAAGGGTCCCGATGTCGAAAAGAGAGTGCGTTGCCAAGCTCCAGTTGCACCACGTCCACGGCGAGAAGGAGACTCGTTCACTGCAATTTCACCCTCCTCTTCCTCAATTGGTAGGATCAAATCTGGTCGAATGAGACGATAATCGACGTCCTTTCTACTACGACGAGGTTTGTCTTCATACGTAATGGTTTCAACGTTTCGTCGGCGACGACGTGATGGTTGCAAGTCCTGGAGTTCCTCGGCCAGCTCCTCCGCTTCATCAACGTATACTTCAGAATCGCGTCCACGAGACTGGGACTTGCGGGCCCGTAGACCAGGCCGTCTACCGTTACTGCTATTATCGTCTTGTGCGGTCTGCTCCTTGCGCGGTGAGGCATTTGAGCCAGACTCTACCAAATCGTCGTCCTCAGACTCTTCTTCGCCTGGCTCAAAATCAGAACTCTCGTCTTGTTTACGTTGAGATGAGCGTGGTGGTTGTTTTTGGCCGCGCCTGCCTGTAGAAGCATCGTCTGCTTGCGAGTTTGCCTCGTGAGCGGGAGACTTTTGGCTCGGCCTGTTCCTTCTCCGTGTAACCGGCCCTTCATCTTCGTCGTCCTCGTCATCGCCTTCCGCCTTTTGTGCTTCATTGTCTGATTCCGGAATAACTCCATCGTCAGCCATTTCCACGTCGGCATTATGGGTGTCTTTCGGTACATCCTCATCATAGTCATTCTGAGGATCATTTTCTAGGACCTCCAACTGAGATTGCTTTGTTTCAGCGCTTTCATCGATAGACTTGATATTGTTCGAGCCATTTTCATCTTCCTCTTCAATCGGAGCCGCGCTTGCCACGGTCTTCGAGGCGCGGCGTGTATTGCGAGGCCCATTAGCCGCAGCAACGATACCCTCTTCGATGGTTTCTACGTGTCGTCCTGAATTGGTCAGTGCATAGATGTCCTCGGAAGGATCACGATTATGGCGGGTGCTGCGTCTAGTAGGTTGATTCTCGTCGAGCATTGCTTGTTTCTTAGCAGCCTTGCCGAGTTTGAGTGTAATCACGGTCCTTCGCTGTCTAGGAGGAGGTTTTGTGTCCTCTGCATCTTCATCTTCATCACCGTTTTCCTCCTCCTCCTCCTCCTCCTCCTCCTCCTCCTCTTCCTCCTCCGATTGTTCCTCGTCATCGGATTCCTCCTTGTACAACGGACGATTCTTGACAGCCTTTCGTCGCCTAAGACCTCTAGCATTCTTCTCGACGGTGCCATCCTCTTCTTCCGATTCCTCATAAGACAATTCATCGGCTTCACTCAAGAGGTCGTCGTCTGATATAATATCATCGTCGGAATCGCGCCGTCGCCGTTTCTTGGCAGGCTTTGACTGCTTTTTGGACTTGCGCGCTGATCTAGATGGTCGTGCGGCATGATCACTATAGTCATCATCGTCCGAGTCGGATTTGTTGACTATCTCTTCGAGAGTGCGTTTCGACGAGAAGCGAGCCATCGTGCTGATATGTATGCTCCTTCACCTAGTCGTGTGACGTTAATCAGACAGCATGAAGTTTGGTGTAGTCGATCTTGAGACTCGAGTACAGTAGTGATAAGTCACAATATTGAAGCTTTAACCGATCATGGCATGGCAGTCGCAATCTCGAACGTAGCGTTCCGCGTAACGAACGAATATCGATCTATGATTAGAGTTTCGCGTTAGCATCACAAAACATTACTGCAATGTTGCGATACAATTACACATATGAAGCTGTCGAGTTGTTTAGGAGGGAGCTGGTTCCGAAGCCAGTCGGGAGCAACAGGCGGGTACGCGAAAAACAGACAGGAAACATCCAAAAGAACCGCACACTGCAATTAGGGAGGCACTTACCGACTCGGAAGGCAGCAAAATGAATTTGGTTTGATACACTGACAAAGCGAGGGATGCTGAAGACCAACCAAGCAGCTAGGATAATAGCAGAGAGATGATTGAGACAGAATGAATGGCGGCTGGGGGCAGCACACGGGCCACATCGCGTGCCCGAGCCACATTTCTCTCTCTTTCTAGCACAACAGCCGCGCTGTGCACCGCCGCAGTTAGTCCTAATCAGGTACTAGCGCACCAGAACATCGTCGGTGCCTGGCAAATGTGGCTGCCAAGTTGCTGTTCCTGATACTACCACCACAATGCGTCCTCAAAGCATTCAACACATCTGCCATGTATTGTCGGGCAATAGAATTTCTAAAGACAATGAAATGTTGAGTCGCAAATCAATCGCCTTCATTAAATATGAGGACATTTTCCTGCCCCTTTCCCCCGGGTATATCGCATCCGTGAAGAAGAAGAAAAGAAGCTCAAAACGACCCCGCACAAGCAACCCAGATAAATATTTCCAAAAGTAAAGCCATGGCGGCTATCGCATTTAAGGTGATGTGGTTCTTCCCCACCACCTCGACCGCGTCTATCCCAACCCAATCCAAGCGCCGTGCGGTCACGTGTTTTGTCATCATTAACCGCACTTAGTCTCTTGTAAGTCTTCAACCCCTACAGAGCGAAGAAGAGGAGACACTATACAACAATGTTCGTAAAAAATACGCTCCGGCTTGGTCTCCCCCGCCAATTCGGCGCATCAATTTTATCGAAATCATCACAACTCCCCCGTCGAGGATTCACATCGTCACTACGACGATCTCAACAACCACAGTCACAACAGCAGCCACAACAACCAGAAAAACCAGAGAGTACCACATTCAAAGACGGCGTTCGTATCTTTCAGTTCTTATCAATGGCCCAAACCCGGCTGAGTTTATGAAATAGATGTCCGCATACCGCCCCTTCGGCGCACCCTTTCTCAAAGTCTTTCTCGGCGCTATTTTCACCTATCAAGTTATTTACTATGTATGGATGAAGCTGGAGACGAGTGAGAAGAAATTGCTTAAAAATGGTAAGTCTTCTTTTCTTGGTCGAGTATGTAGATAGGTTTGCTGATGTTTGGTTCGTGCCTAGAGGAGATTAGAGGGTTGGAGAAGGAGGCCAAGACATTGGCTGCTAATGCAAAGTCTTGATATTATTCTCATGAATGGGGATATGTGTATTTTTAAATTAGTGCATGATAATAACCATCATATGGGCCTTTACAACAACCTTTTGAGAGGAATGACATGTAATAAGTCATGAAAAGAAAACTACACTATAAACAAACTACAAATATCCCAATCCCGCGCCACCTACAGCCTCCAAATCAGCTCTTATCTCCCACTCATCCGCACCCACTCTACCCGCAATCTCCAACTTTCGTGATCGACTCAAGTCCAACCACCTCATCAACAACTTCCCATCAATCATGCCGCGTCCAACGACACCGTCACTCTCAACAGCCCGATAGGCGCGCGGATTCAGTCCGCATGGGTGTTCGAGGGTATTACTTAGCTGGGACTGCAGTGCCGACAGTCGTCGGTAGGATTCTTCCGACAGAGATGTGACCAGAGCCATGGATCCGGACTGCGTGGTTATGAGCGCTTGGTGTAAGGGGGTGTACGAGTCTATGTCCATGGCGTCTGAGGACATTATTGCTACTTCCGAGGAGACGGCGGTGCGTGGGAGGAGGGTAAGGGTGGATGCGAAGTGTCCCATGTGGAATTTGCAGCGGTTGAGAAGGCGGTCGCCATTTGATGATTTAGGGTCTGTTCGGTAATGTCAGTGTGGAAACTTCGTTGTTAAAAAGAAGAGATTTCGTACCTTCTGGATCATATTGAAGGACGTGCAGATTGCAGTCACTGTCTGCCACGAGAATATAAAGCTTCTTCCCATCAGGCAAGAAATCGGCAGTCACCACTTCCAGCTCATCCAAGTCTTTGCCAAAGAGCGTCATTTTATAAGGTTCCTCCTGTATTGCCAGAATCAGTCAGCTCATTCCCTTCATTGGAACTATTATATAGGCTTACCGAGTATCCAGTAAACCATAACCCCTTCAATGCATCTCCAATCAGACACATGCCTGTACCATTCAATTCCTTGATGACGCTGACGTAGCATTGAACATCGATAAATGCTACAGGCAACAAGCTGCCATCGTCCTTCAAACCTCGCACCATACATTTCTGCCCCTGCGCAACAATCATGAACCCTTGACCTCCAATTCCAGACACAGCGGTCAAGGCACCTCTGATAGATTCTTCACCAATGAGTTTGAGCTTAAGATCTTTTCCCGGTTCATCCGGGTCAGGAACAACATCGATCACGTCAAAGACATATACGTTTCCCCTGGCTGCGATGTCTTCGCCCTTGGCGTATGTTGTACCTACAACAATCATGTCTTTTCGTTTACCAGTCTTTTCGGATATTTCGAGGTTGATGTTTTCGACGGCCGTGATGCGTTCTGCAGGGCCGAAAGTGTGGCTATGCCAGTATTAATTCCGTGTCTGGGCAACAATTTAATAGACTTACCTATCAATTACTTTCCATGTCTTCGGATTGAGCAGCTTGATAGAGCCATGTGCGACTTTGGGTGATAAAGATATTTCTGCTATACTGTCAGATACTGCGGATTAATGTAGCGAACATGTCAATGACTAACCCTCAGTTGCCCATTCAGGATGCAACTCGTCATCGTCAGGCAATTTGAAATCTTCCTCGTGAGTTGTCCCAACTACATATGTCCCTGACGCCGTAGAATAAGCCAGATGGTCAACCTGTTCATTCAAAGGTATCCTGCGGATTGGCCATGAAAAGTCGAGCTGTGTGTTATTGTGTAACTGACATGTTCGAACAACGCGCTACTCATCATCAGTATCTTAAGTCTCCAAGAGAAAAAGAGGGAAATACCTCATTGTCGACATATACAAGACCTCTTTCGCAACCAACACTATGAAAGCCACTGATGCCACGGATGAAGTCATTATGAATACTATGCACATGAGGCAAGCTTTTTGATGTCCTGACAATCAAGCTTGGAGATGCCCCAGACATAACGACTGCAGAATAACCACCTATGTCTGACAGACGACGAAGTCCTGGCGTTCTTTGCGGTGAAGCAGATAATGCTGCTTCCAGTGGTACCTTGGGTAGGAAATGGTTTGTTTCTTTTATGTACTTCAGGCCACCACAGCGTTTTTCTTCGCTACTGCTTTCGCGAAATGGCTTATAGATGATAATATCATCGGTAGCGGTTCGTATCTACTCCGATTAGATAGGTATATACAACCCAGGATGTCACATACGATGAGATAAGGGGAAACCGTCGGCAGTTCGCCGAGGTCTGCAAGCAGAAGCTCCGCGATGGTCTCGCGAGAGTTGAGACGCCGAGTTGGTGGGTCTGGTGAAAGAATGGACGATACATAATCGACTCCTTCTGTCACCGAAACAAGTTCCATGGTGGGTAGACGGAACATCTAAAAGAATTAGCAAGGCATGTTGCTAAGCATTGGTTTCACTTACAAATAACTTGCACTCTTGATTAAGCAAGAACATGTATGTGGTCTCCGCACTGCCCTCTTCAAAGACGCTATGTTTATCCGTATATAGACATCCGCAGAGCCAAGATTGGGAAGACACAGTCTCAGGTTTAGTCAACTCATCCAGATCACCACTTTCATCGGAGTGGAGGAGAAGAACAGATGAGTCATCTCTGATAATGAGGAGATACGGGTCTGCAAAACTAGTACTAACCGCGAATCGCTCGTCGCCCTCATCTTCGTCCCAGACGGGATATATTTGGGCCATACCGAGATCTAGCAAGATGTCAATAAAAGCCGGATACTGCTTTTGTGGTTACTTACTCGTATCGTATATTCTCACTTCGCCTGTCAGTACCTGCACAACACGGCTATTTCCAGCAAGAGTACCGATATCAATGGTAGAGTCTCCATTCGGATTGACATCCGGGGCATTGAATAACTCTAGATTGCCTTTATCAACTGCATAGACGACTGTTTCCTCATTCTCCGATGAGTTCGTTCTCGCAACAATAACATAAGATGGGTTGTCTTCGTTTGAGTTTCCAAGTCCGGATTTTGTGTTGCTCGTATGTATGTTCCAGACAGAGTCAGCAAATTCCCCGTCTAGAGTAGAAACATCATCCAGATGAAGTGTTCGTTGCAGCAGAGCAACTCCTCCACTTCCGCCAGAACCGTAAGCTGCAGCAAGCTCCAAGTCGCTCACGCTCTCCTGGGTGTCCTCCACATTGGACTCTCTGCTAGCAGGTTTTCCCACTGTGACAGCACGCAAAGGTCCTAAACTGAGCAATCTATCAATTACTTTAAATGTGTAACTTTCAGATGCTTTGCCATTCGACGCGGCTTTATGGACTGCTTCCTTAGGTGCTGAAGAATATAGATCGTCTTCGTAAATGTCGTCAATCTCTTCGTCGTTCATTTCCTCATCAAAATGATCTCTGTCATCATTCTTGCTTTTTTTCAAGGCTACCGATGGAACACAACAGTCGAGAAGAACCGATTCGGCATCTTCGCTTCCAATGAAGACCTTGCCAGAGCCGAGAGCGACGGCACATGAAGCAGCAGCGCTGACAACGTTGCCTCCAGACTCGACAGGTATCGGGGATACAACGAACCCAGAGACTGATCTTCCATCTATCTTGAAGTGAATCAAAACTAGCTCGCCTGTCGATAGAGTCAAAAGTATGTCGCCACTCTCATTGTTGATAACCTCAACGACTGAGCCTTCCAGTCGGAGCCCCAAATCGGATTGGTCTACCATAGGAAATGCTGAAACCTGTTTAGCAAATTCATTAACTGCCACTGCACTAGCTTTTCCAGATTGATCAATGTGTATCAGCTCATTAGGTCCAATGAGCAAAGCGCCACCGACAGGAGCAGGGAGAGCCATGATGTCCAGCAAGTCGCTTGGCAATTTCGCTATAGACAATAGAGGCGTAGAAGCACGCTGTTCCAGGTCTAGTGTAAACACAGAATACACCACGACATCTTTCCGTTCTTCCAGTAAAGCCGCTGATGTGGCGATGGGTGAATAAAGGATACCAAATGTGGGCTCTCGATATTCATGTAGGAATGTCAGGCCAATAGGGTGGATCAAAGTCGGGTCCAGAGCAGTCAGAGGCAGAACAAACGAAGCCGCATACGGAGTCTGATTAGTCAAGTCACCATTCGTCTTCTTGTCGTCGGTAGAGGGCTTCTTGCTCTGTTCCTGGGCAGTGAAGTCATCCATGTCCATATCAGGGTCGTATTCATCCATGGCCAAGTCATCTCCAGCCTGGTGAAATGGTAAAATAGCGAGATTCCGCACCCCAAAATTGAGCAGAGCACACCGACTACTAGGATCCACAGTGAGGTGACTATCACACTGACTGAGATCAGGCACCCAAGGGCTGAGTGAGATATCCTCTTTCTCATAATAGTGGATTGACACGGTCGAAATACCTTGTGTCTCGGGGTTCCACTCAATCAGACTGAGTTTCGCATTCCTAAACGACAAGAGAAGGGCATCTCCACCGCTCCTTGATTTGAGGATTTTAACGGGAGATACATCAGTCACCGTTCCATAGAGATCATATTCCGCGTGCAAATGCAATTTCGTGTTTTCGTTCTGTGCATCACTACCCGCCTGTTGGCCATTGTCCGGTAATGGAGTAGTGGGTGTCTCGGTGATCCAAGTGTAGATCTGAAGGAGAGATGTTTTGACGACAATGAGGTTTTTTGCCGTGGCTGAAGTGAAGGCTGCAGAAACAGCATGCGTCACTCCCGAAGGAGGCAGCAGTTCAGTATAACATTGCATTATCGGGATCTTTGAAGTGGTTCAAAGCTTTATTTGACGTTCATATGCCAGACATGATGCGATCAATGTACCGGTATCTTTTAAAATCTGCCAATAACCGTCAAGGATAGTTCTAGCCAACGAGTTCAGATGTTGTCTGTGTAAGCTTCCAGTCGTGTTATCATGTAGACATGCAAAGCTACAGCTCGATGCTCCTGCTTTGATGAGGGTGGATGTTGAAAATGATCGTCCAATAAAACAACGATCTTTGTTTTTACTAGTTTTTACGGAGAGCTCCAGTTCCTACGGCAAGCCATAAGTAGCTTGGACGCAGAATGCTGTATGCGTATTGTCATTACATCTATCGTATTTTTCGGCCTCCAAGAGTAGATAGATGATCCAGGGCTTCGTCCGTGTCCCATGTCTCGATGCCAGCTTTGACTCATGCGGATATAGTAATTACCTTGGATATGATCAACCTGTATCTTGAACAGTTGTGGAGCTTACTAGTCTTTCTAAACCTACTACGTAGCACGTATTGTGCACATTCCTTCATCAAGTTAGCAGGTTCAGTCATATATATACACGACTGTTCTATGCACGTATATGCTCCGAAGTTTGGTAACTTACGTACTGCTACAAATCGATAGCTTTGAACCGCTTAAAGGCACATATCAATCCTCATTTCTGGCGCCTAAAAAGATAGTACGTATCGACATATCATATCTTGTTTCCGAGATGCCTTAGTAGCCAGGCAGGCATTACATCATCACTTCACGGGAGTGGACTCCTCATCAACAACCCGGAAGTTTCACCTTAACCACTCCCTCAATGTTCAGCTTCAGTCCAATGGTTTGATGAGTTACGAGTCCACTTGTAGCATCTCATCCGGTTGATTACAACCAGCATGCAATCATGACCGGCATACAATCCTCGTTGATATGGATCGTCTATGCGATCGTTGTCGCAATCCTGTTCGCCGTCGCTTCCATCTTCATATACATCTACCAAACGCCTCGAGATCGATCGCCGCTCGTGACAATAGTCTCCATTATAACTATTACAGCTCTCCTCGCCACCGTACTACTACAACCCGTTGATGTCGCTCTCGTATCTTCGACTACTTCATCCAAGCTCGGCCGCCGGAAAGATTGGGCTTCACAGGAAGAGGTGGATAAGATAGTCTTTTCGCTGAGGGTGGTGTATTATCTACTCTACTCCTTGGATGTGGTCCTATGTCTCTTGGTAGTGCCGTTCACATACTTTTGGTATGAGGAATATGATGAAGTGGCGGTGCAAGAGGGGGAACAGACATTTGGAAAACGGGTTTGGGGCGCATTCAAGTATACGCTTGCTTTCATTCTTCTTGCTGTGATATTATTCCTTGCCGGGTTTTTTATTCCAATTAAAGGCATATCGGAGGACAAAGACCTGGATTTCTTCAAGAAGTTGTTGACCGAAAATCGTGAGTCCAATTTTTGAGGTAGCTTGCCAGAATCTTAAGCTAACCCAGGCAGATGGTGAGAGAGCACTTACCTTCGCGTTGGGTATTCTCCTCACGCTGGGAACGTTACTTTACGTCCTGTATACCTCAGTTGGCTTCGCATTCCTACCCATCACGCTTATCAAAACCGCGCCGTCAATGTCCAATCCAACACTTAAAGCAAACACTGCATCGCAACTTGAGAGCAACCGCGAACGTCAGCGTCAATTGAATGCCCGGTGCGGAGGAGACCCAGATCAACTATCATCCAAAGACCGTAGGGAACTGGATGGTCTTGTACGAGAGGAAAGAACTCTTGTCAGGAGACAACGCTTGATCGAAGAAGCGCAGGGCGAAGGACGCAGCTGGTTGATACGGGCATGGTTCAAGATCGAGGCGGTATTCCGGCCTTTCAAGCTTCTAGGAGGAATCTTACTACTCCTCGTCGCGATTTTTATCTGGGTTTCTATGCTCCTTACGGCAATCGACAAGGCCAAAAATTCAGTATGCAAGCATAATTGCGGATATATCCTAGGACATATCAATGTCTTTAATCCTATTAACTGGCTCTTTGTGCTTTCTGCACGCGTCTTTCCGGTAGACTACGTCCTATTCGCATTAATCGTCTTACTGTTCTTCAGCAGTTCGGTCGTCGGTATTGCGACAGTTGGCATTCGGTTTCTCTGGATTAGAATCTTCCAAATCCGCAAGGGCCACACTTCACCCCAGGCATTGTTACTGGCAACTGTGATGTTGACATTGATCACTCTTGCCCTGAACTATTCCATGTCAATGATTGTTGCTCCTCAATACGCAACATTCGGACCACAGACATTCTGCGATAAACCAACCTACCACCCCGGCGCACAGCCCGACTGTTCCGATGACAAGGACAAGGATCTCATCAAGCCATGCACAGAACTAGCCGACAACCCCGCTGCCAAAGAAGTCTGCACTCCAAGTGTAGTCAGCACATTCTTCAATAGAGTTACACTGAACTTTCCGTATTTCGGAGTCGTCATTTTCTGGGCTCAGTTCGCTTTTCTAGGTATGAATTTCACTTCATTCTTCATCTGCGAAGATGCTAACCGCGTTGAAACAGGTCTGTATCTGATCATCCTTGTGGCCTCATTGTTCCGTACACCGAAACTTGATGAGCGTCAGATAGATGAAGATGCCGAGGAAGCTGAAGAGGAAGGCCTGTTGGCCAGTACGGGACGACGATTTAATGCGACGTGGCAGGATATTCGAGGTGAAGGCTCTGCTTAGCTGTATCCTGACACGTAAATTCATGACTTTTGGTTCAAAACTTCTGGGCGTTTTAATTGAGCTCATCGGAGCGTGTATACGATGTATGCGTTTTTAATCATAAGATAATAATTTCGCACAATGACTATGAGCCCTCATATTTGACAGCCTTATGCCCCGAATCCCCTTCTCCATCCATATGCATCTCCCACCAACACCGAACACAAAACAATTGATCCTCTTCACAACCCAGGCATTTCAATTTGGCCGTATCGTAGCATATACAACAGCAATCCGGCGTTTCAGCGTTGTGCCGTTTGGGTCGGTCCCCAGGTTGAGTCTTTGGTGCTGATGGGAGTGAGAGTGCTGCCAGACGTGAAGATAGATTTTCCTCATCGCCATCGACATCTTGTTGGGGAGTGGGAGTGCTGCTGTCCTCTGTCGGGGACGCAGGAGGAGGATTCTCTGCGAGATCTTTCAAGAGATTTTCAACATATTTCACCGCTTCGGCTTCTTCTTTTTCTTCGGAATCGGAATCTCCGGATTCTTCATCGCTGCTGTCGATGTCCTTGAGAAAGTCCGGTATGTCGTCTTCTTTCCCTTTCCTGGAGTTGCTTTGAGTTGACTTGTCAATGTTTGATTCTGTAGTGGAAGTTCGTTTGATGACTCCGTATACATTGCCGAGCAGATCTGGTGTCTCACTCTCGTCATTCCCCGGTCTATCCTCAAACTGCGTTCCCATATCCTCTGACATCTGATTATTGCGATTATCCAAACTCGCGAGTAAATCCTCAATTGCATCTCCATCCAACAACGCATCAGGCGCTATGATATCATCTTCTGCAAACAATGACCCCGTTGACAAACCATCTAGTTTCGACTTTGGGCCCGTTGTAGGACCTAAAGCACTCGAGGTGTCGACCCCTGCAAATGGGTCTAGATGCGATGCGGTGTTTAAAACCACATTCCTTTACATCTACTTAATCAGTAACCCGACTTGAATAGCCGACGTGTTGGAAGGATCGCGCACCGTTGACGTTCAAGTTGCACTGTAGACGGCTTTAGGGCATTCAACCGCTCTAGTAAGCGTTTATCCTCGTTATGAGGTACGTCAGCCATGTCGATGGCCGACTATGCGATGAGGTTGTCAGGTTGATGTTGAGGGAGTCGAGGAAGATGGAGTTGACAGCTGCCCCACACAAGCTCCAACAAGCTATTTGAGCAGCGCCAGCGCGCTCTCGAATGCTTTGACTACGTTTGCATCTGACATTAAATGAGTATGGTTATCGGTTTTAGGCTTTCGAATGAGGGATTTGGCTTACAGTGTTCTTTCTTCTCTTCTAGCTCTCGCTCGGAATTCTGGACGTGTTGCATTCGTGTCTGGAATCTGCTGACAGTCAGACACAATCCAGCTCCTATATAGAAATCGTTAGAGATATAGGGTACCTTTTGTATGACCGATCCTCATCACGAGAAACAGTGACCTGAGTCCATATTTCGAACACCTACTCCCAAGAAACCCGTCAATCAATGCACATTGCAGAAGAGATGATGGTCAATCACCTTGAGCAATTCCATCGTCTGATGCTGGAGATCCTTGTCAAGCTGCTCATGTTCCTTCAATGCGCTGGAAAACATCTCCAAGAGTTGATCCCAGCTGCATTTCTGGAGATCTTCAGGTTGTAGAGATAGATCACCAAGGCCGCCTTTGGCTGCTGGTTGTGAGGGTTGCTTGGAGGTCATGGTAATTTGTCGGGCAATACAAAGATGTAAATATTGTAGATAGTACTTCCTTCAAAAGCGAGGTATCGAAATCTGAAATTTCAAGTTGTAGTTGAAGTAAACAAAGATGGAAGAGGTTGAAATAGTTTACGCTGTCTGTAAATAAATGCGTATCGATACCGTATTCCGCGGCAGACCTCTTCGCCGATGTCACAAGCTTCACCTCGAACTACATTTCACAACCACTCACATTTACCTTCAACTTTCGATGAAGCACAGGAACAGCAAATATACTACAGCCAATTTGAAGCAGATATATTGAACCCGGCCTCTTTGAGTATCAACAAGTAGTGCTTCACTCGAACCGAATCTCCTGTCAAGTGAATCGCAAAATGTCGCTCGCAACAAGAAGATATATTTCAACCACAACAAAGACATCAAAATGCCTGAGCTGTCCGCTTCCCATAACCAACAGACCAATCTACAGCATCAACATTAACCAGACTCCCTCCCAACTTCAAATACCCGCCTCAGCAACACCCCGCATCCCAAAACCGACACTCACCCAACTCCAACGACACACCTTCACAACCTCTGCAATCCTAAGCAAGAAAAAAGACAAAAACAAACGCAATGATGACGCCGACTCTTCGCTCACAGCAGCCACAACTGGAGGGGCAGGAGGAGCAGACCCATTTGACTTCATACAACTCCAGGCCGGCATCTCAGACGCGCTGACACGATTAAAAGAAGACCTCCAAAAACTACGGTCAGGCGGTGGCGGTCGACTCAACCCCGAAGTCATTGAGCAGTTGCGCGTGAATCTGGTCAAGGGGAGCAATGAGACGGTGCGATTGAGTGAGGTTGCGCAGGTGGTGCCCAAGGGTGGACGGGCTGTTGCTATTATCGTTGGTGAAGAGGATGTACGTCCATCCCCTCTCATCCGACGAAAAGAAAAAATGACACATGTGATTGTGATTGAGCAGCAAGACTGACTACGGTGTTTATAGCTCATTAAACCAGTAAACTCGGCCATAATATCCTCCAACCTCTCCCTCACCCCTCAACCCGACGCCCACAACCCCCTCCAACTCAACGTGCCCATCCCACCACCAACCAAGGAATCGCGCGACCAAGCCGTGAAAGCTGCCAAGGGCGCAATGGACAAAGCCGCTAATGCAGTCCGAAGTGCGCGCGCAGCCATACACAAGAAGTTACAGGACATGCAGAAACGCAAAGAGGCGAGACCGGATGATATCCGCAAAGCACATGATCAGATGGAGAAGCTGGTTGAGAAGGCGCAGAAGGATGTCAAGGATACGTTTGAAGCTGCTAGGAAGGGGATGGAACAAGCTTAAAACACATTTGGGAGATGAAGATTTTGTAAATCTATTGTACATTATACAAGGAAAATAAAAGACACTGTATACTACATTCTCAAGTTGAAGGAAAACAATCAAGGCGTCGCCCGCTTAGTACGCTGCACCGAAGCAAGCAACGATTGAAACTTGCCCATAAATTCGGCTTGCTTCCCTGTCATTCGATAAGTCTCGTTGTTATAAAGCTGCCTCTGCACCTCATCTAGTACCGGATGACGCACAGTCCCCTTCTGCCATCCTTCATACTCGCCGCGCACAATCTGTCCCACAAGAGCTTTCCTATCCTCATCCTTGATGGACGCAAAACTCGAATCTTCCGGTTCAACCATGTCACCTTTGCGTTGAGTCAATTTGTCGGCGCGATCCTGTGCTAGGCGGGTGACTTCTGCCATGACGGTTTTCTTCTCTTCTTCGCTGCTGAAAAACACTCGTTCGCCTTCAAAGAGTCTTTTGGCTAGTTCCTGCGGTGAGACGAAGCCATGACCGTACCGACGACTCATCAAGTTCAATCTTTCCACGACAGTGCCCGTTGATCCAGTTTTCCCTGTAGGTAGAGATGGCCAAGTATCTTTGAGAGTAGTCGCATCGTAGGTTACGGGCGTGTACCGCACAGTCTTGGGCCTAGAGGCATCCCGTACTTCTTTGAATACAGCCTCCACATCGTTTTCGCGACCTCCTTCACTGGGGTCTTCGTCATCATCACGTCTACGGCGTTGACGTCTGGGGCCTGCTGCATTGGCTCCACGGCCTTTGGCATTTGGTCTTCCTGCTGCTCCTCCTGTGGCTCCGGGTCGGCCTCGAATGGGTGTGCCACGCCGAAGTCGTAATTGAGGTGCTCGGATGACATTCGCCTGGTTCGGAGCAACACGTTTTGCGCCCAGGGATCGTGCATCGATGGGTCGTGGGCGATAAGGCATGGCGACCTTTCTCACTGGTGATGGATTCGAGTCGGCTTCATTTTGATGAGAGGTGATGGACGAGAATGCCCGTGTCAAGCGGATGTTGGCATTGCTCGATTTTTGAGCATGAAGTGACGAACAGTAAATTGTTCTGAGAGTTTGTGGGCGAACTATTCGTTCCATCGTGATGTGTGGAACTCAATTGCTGAAAACAATTCGAGACGGATGGATACGACAGAAGTTGTCCGGATAATTCTTAAGTTCGTTCTCCGGAAATTTGGTCATGTGATCCGCTCCGATCAGTTATAAACCAATAAACAAACATCTCATTCCCCTCATTTCATGCGATAAATTGATCAATACACTTCTACACAAATAGACATCTTATCAATATTCTTAATATTTGATTCTGACAAATAAAATGCTCCGCCGCAAACCAACAGCCATAACAATCACCCCCGAAGACCTGATCGCATTCGAAGAAGAACGACTCCAAAAACTAGAGCAAGAAGCAGCCAACAAACTCAACGCCGAGGGAGCAGGCGAGGGCGATGCTCAATCCGAATCCACACTTAATACTTCGGGCAAAAAATATGACCCCAATGATGAGTTGAAGCCTTTGCCGGGGGATAAGGCGAGGATTGTGAGGTCGAGGGATGAGAGGATTGGGGTTGGGAGGAGGACTTGATCGTTCTCGACACTGTTCTTGTTACACTCCTCTTGTTCATTATTGGATTTTCACCAATTTTGGCATTACGCTCATGACTACTGGCGTGTGTATCGCATAGGGCGAACGTCTGCGCCAACATGAATAGGCGCCATGATCCATCGTTAAGCAATACTCGCGATTTACGAAGATCGATGTACGCATCCTGGTGACATGCGCGGTGTCACTAGTCAAAAACGACGAACACACTAACTTATCATTACTTATATGGTACTACCAACGCACCCGTCCCGCCACACACCGTGTAAATACATTCATGGGTATCAACTCGAACAACTCATACATAAACACACACTTCAAAGATACGCAAAAGGCAGAATATGGGAAAGGAGATTAATGTACAAACAAAATCATGTTCAAATAACTTTGGGTATATGACGCAAACGACCGGTCGAGGACGAATATTCGTACATCTTGTCGGATTCAATCTTCATGTAGGCGAAATATGCGCTGTATATTTCCATAGAACTCAACTATCTTGATCGCTTGGCATTATAATTTGTCATGTCAACAGAGTGATTCCATCTGCGTTTGATTCCATGCGGATCATAAACACTCGCAACACTCTGCTGCCAGTCTCGGGCCGTCATGATAGGCTGAATAGGCGGAGGTTCGTAAGTCGCCTGAGGCATGGCTTGCATATCCATGGGAACCACTTTGCCTCCGGGCGGTGTGTACTGCATTGGGTATTGGACCGGGACACTATCTGCAGTCATTCCTTGGCCTTGGGCCGAGAATGGCATCTGAGGGGAGTTTGACGGAACGCTTGCTGTATCAACAGGGAATGCCATATTCCAAGAACTGCACCGTTGTTAGCAATATGACCTATATGTACAGGCTGCAATATCTTACGTGAAGATTCGAGTGGGGTCCCAGCTATTCTCGTCCACAAGCGGGACACCCAGCTGTGGATTAGCCATGTGGCTCTGAAGCATGCTCATGCCCGTTGTCTGAGAAGTATCGGATTTGGAATCATCCGCACCGGTAGGTGGTGTCGCAGAATGCGAATGATATCCCATTCGATGAGGACTGGGCTGGCCATATTGGTTGTATTGGGAATCAATGGCAGGAGGCGGACTGGAGTTGTATTGCTCGGATGGACTTCCATATGGGAAAGATGCCCTAAGTTCGAACGGTCGAGAGGTATCAGCAGAGAAGGCCTGCCTCAAGGCATCGATTTGAGCTTCGATCTCAGGAAGTGGCCATGTCTCGGAACATTTCTCCAATATACGCATATGCCGAGTAAAATAATCTCGTGCATCTGTATAGAATTCGGGGTCTGGAGATGTTATTGCGACCTGACACTGTTAGTCCTTACTCAAAATATATGTTCATGATAACTCACTAGATGCAGCATCGTGCAAGTCAGTATGGCATAAACGGTAAAATTGATGCCCCGTTGCATGAAACGGAGACCCTGTAGGGTGAAGCGAGAAATGATCGCTTCTTGCAGTCGACACAAGCATTTGGCAGAAGAGTAGCATAATTGCATATGCTTCCTCCAGCCCCCATCGGCTGCGCCGAATTTGGATGCCAATAATTGTGGACGATGGACCATTATGATAGCCAAATGATAGTGTGTATGCATGTTACCGACAAAATGCGACGGGAGCCATGGAGGAGAACCATCCTCAGGGTACGCAACCTGAAGATCCTGCGGTAGGCCTCGATACCAGTCGCTGAAAACCGGATTGTTCTGAGTGAATCGAGGCTGGGTGGCCCAGTCTTTTTGTTTCTTGATTTTGTGATATAGTTCCGTGTAAATTCGAATGTGGTATGCGTTCTTTACAAAATAAGAAAATTGCCGGGAACGATCAGTTTCAAACTGATCAACATCCACGGTGTCGAGCTGGGGTCGCATGTCAACCGTATCAGGGTCTACTTCATAATCCGAGCGTCCTGATCACAAATTAGCAACTTCACGTTGGTAAAGGGTTTCAAAAGACAAACCTTGAGGTCCTCCAACCATCACTTCAACAACTAACAATGTCTGCCAAACTCTTGTCTGAATCAGACACTCTACAGGGTCAAGGCCGCATGATATTCCTTCTTTATGGGTGGCATAGTGTTCGTGGAGCTCCAGATCTTTGGACATAGAAATCGCCGTCTTGATTGTTTGCCAGGAACGGTAATAATATCCCTTTTTGGGGTTTGACTCTCGTGCTTTCAACAACAAGAGTAGCGCTTGTATCGTGCTAAGACGCGGAACGTCCATGAAACTCGACTCGTGACCTACCGTCGTCAGCGGGCTGTCAAGAGAGTTGATTGAAGACTTACGAGTAGCTAGCGCAAGCCACTGAGCACCCTGAGCAGGATCTTCGGACATTCTGCCGGCGCACGCAAATAATGCCTCCAATAATAAGGGAGAGATCGAGGAACGGTCATTGCGCCACTGGTTATACAGATGTGAACGGTGGATTACGGGTACGTATGGGTGAATATCTTGAAAGAAGATCTTGAAATACTGCATGACATCTTCGTTCGGTGGCATCAGCTCCGGTGGTATCCTGATGGTTGATCCAGCGCCGGTGCTGAGTGGAGGAAGATTTTCGTCTTCCTCCTGCACAGGAGCACCAGGCTCTGTAAATCCTTTTCGTTGTTGTCGAATATAAGGCGCTACTTGTGTCAGCAGAAATTTCTGACTGCCATATAAGGACTGGACTTACCAATTCCCGAGACCTCAATTCTAAGCTCACCAAGTGCTTCACTAAGGTTTTCAGCAGTAGACTGTTCTGGCTCGACAAATACACCACTATCTGCACTCGGCAGCGGCTGAGACGCAGCCATTTGATAATATTGGTTTGAGTAAGGATGTTGAGTGACAGCGATTTCAGGCGCCTGAGCCGGTGCATACATGCCATGATTTTGTGGAATATAAGACGAATACATTCCATATGTTGGTATATTGCTTGCGAGCGAAGGGTCGTCGGAAACGTAATTGTTCTGCATCAATTCGTGCTGCGGGATACTTTGCTGTTGATTCGCATGGTCTTGAAACCCAGCTGGCTCTGCCTCGCCGCCTTGCGCGGGACCAATTTGCTCGCCATCCTGGCCTATTGTTGGAGGCACGCAGACTAGTTTCAGTCTAAGGCATGCTGTGCAGGGCCATGTGTTTGTTGTGGCAGCGTCGCATTTGATCTTTCTCTTTCGACAACCATTACAAGCGCGCATTACTGGTAAAGGTTAGTGTTACATGATTGTCGCAATTGTTCTGTCCAGGGTCCATACCTTTGAGTCTCTTGTGCCTGTTGTGCTCGTCAACAAAGACATAATCTAGATATCGGTTAGTCCATAGTCATCAACGCGGTGGACGCTGAATCTCACTTTTCTGTCCCTCCCGCGGGGGACCAGTCGGAGGAGTAAAGGTATATTGCTGCATGTCGTATCATATATTATCATTGAACAGCGAACAGCGCAAAAAAACTAGGAATTGTGATATCTGGCCTGAGTTGCACAGTCAACCTCGGGATCTCGACTGAAACTCTATTGGGTGGAGTTGAGGATTTTCGGGGGATGATGTATCGTAGCAGTTCGTACTTCGTAGCACCGTGCGATCAAGACATTAGATGGTATATACGGCGGAAATTTATATAATGACGTCCGTTGTTCGCTCTATCCTCGATAAAACAACGCTTTTCTGGTACTCAATTGTGGCCGTCGTCGAATTTCATGCGGGAAATGAGTGGGGTTGAACGAAAGCGAATCGTTAAATCGTCTCTATCGTGAGGTCGAGCAGTTCAATGCTGGCGAGGAAATAGTATAATAGGCGCGAAGTAATCTTCTGACGATAGTGTCACTCGATGTAAGAATCCGCTGCGCCGCCGCTGAGTAATGTGGGAGGTGGTTGTGGCAATTCCTGTGTGCTGCCCGCGGCACCCGGATTCAGACACAAAATGGCGCGTTGCTGTACGAAGCGACGATGATAACGGCGACGGATCGCGACGCAGGTGGATAAAAAAGACGTAGCGAATCAATCACGCAAATAGACACGGTGGATGGATTCGAAATAGGCCGGCCATCAGTGCATAGTCATATGCGGGGGGTGGAGGGATCTGCTGGAGGTGCGAAATGGGACGTAGCGTGGGCGCTTATGGAGTAGCGAGACGAATGCGCCAGCTCGGATCAGATTAGATGGGTTGAGAGATGGAAGTATATAGGATACAATTGGTAAAGTAGAGCTGAATGAGCAGAGCTTCCGGTAGATGGAGTGTACAGAGATGAAGAGAGATGAGATGATGAAATGAGGTCTAATGAGGCCTGATGCAAGCCCGGATCACAGGTGGGGGGGACTGGGAGATCAGGAAGGAGCGGCTGCTACATCGACCGCACCTCCAGCTACACAGTACGTACCGAGCTTACTCCTACAGCAGGTAATACTATGTATGTATTGTGTATGCGACGCATCGAGTTAGGACGACCCTCCTGTGTCAAATCGTCTGCTGATGATCCAATCGTCGTGCTGGGATCTTATATTAATGATTCTCGCAATTCTCCACCCAACCAACAGAGAACACTGCGCTGGGCTCAGACGTGTTCACTGGCACTCTTGTTGATCGAAGGCTGTTCGTCTCAAGCATCGGAAACGCATCTGTAACTACCGCCAAAGTCAAATGGTTCCTTTGATTTCAGGAGCGAACACGGAGTCAGCGGGTCGCAGTATTTATTCTGCTAGAGTTGTATGAGAATACGTATGAGCGAGGACTGTCAAGTTAGCAGTATGCAATGCTAATCATGAGGCTAGAGTTTAGCTTAGCGAATTGTGCCTAGGTTCAACTTGGATTTAATTACTTCGAACATGCGGTGTGGACACGACGTTGCTACGATGCATATTTAATATATATTCAAATATAAATTTGCAGTCGATCATCTCAGTAGCGCCATTCGGAGAATTAAGACAATTTCTTTGTTGTAGTCGCTAGTCAACTACAGAGTAATTAGTACTTGGACAGTACTCACGCGAATTGACAAGCAAGGTACCTGTGAGACAAGATGATACAAGCTGAAAAATACGAATCGCGGGGATCATACAGAAGCGAACACCGGAAAAGTAAGCTTATCCACGCTCCGTCCGTGCGCAATACCGTACGCTTACAAGCCCGTAATCAATCGATCAAAATCTTATCGCGCCGATCATGGTAATCATAGACTACAGACTACTACTAAGTACGACGCCATTCAATGCTTTCAACATAACGAGATCTTGAAACAATAAACGATAGACCGCACAAAATGGCAGAAATTCAAAACGCAAACCCGACCATCCTGAGTACAACCGACCTCCCAACCCGCCAGCGCAAATCGTCCAAGGCCCAAAATGCACTGGTGGCGGGACAGGAATATTACGAGGGGACGGTGTTCTACAACGATCTCGCGCTGCCCGATTTAACGGATCCATTCGCACTTCGCTCGTCGTATAGCAGCAGTGAATCCGAGAGTGACGATAACGATAATGATGAGAATGTATATGAGGAGCCGATTGACGAGCAGGAGATATATGGTATGTCACCCCACTTCAACCTCCATCTTGCCTCTGGATGCATGTACTGTGTACTGATAGGAATGGAAAATACAGACCTCATCTCAACAATTTCCGATCCCGAACACCCTATATCCCTCGGCTCCCTTGCCGTGGTCTCTTTACCTGATATCGCCATCTCACCTTCTCTACCCGGCAACCCATCCTCTCCTCTTCGCACAGTCACCGTCCTCATCACACCCACAATCACACACTGCAGTCTAGCGACCGTCATCGGACTCGGTGTCCGCGTACGTCTGGAGCAGTCCTTACCGTCTAGGTTGAGGGTTGATGTGCGCATCAAAGAAGGCACGCATAGTACCGCGGAGGAAGTGAACAAGCAGCTTGCGGATAAGGAGAGGGTTGCGGCGGCGCTGGAGAATGGGACGCTTATGGGAGTTATTGGGAAGATGTTGGAGACTTGTACTTAATTTTCCGTCTCCCATTCAGATATTCATAAAATTCATAAAGAATGATGTATTATATGTTATAGATTGATGACTGCGATGAAATGCATTGATTGATTGACCACATCCGACCATACGCCAACTAAATCTAATCATACATTATATTTGATATCATTCATGCTTTTGACAAGAAAGAAAACTACCCCTCAAGTACACCGCTATCTTTCAGTCCGCGCCACAACTCAGGTTCCAAAAATTTGCTGACCGTCACATCCTCCGCCAATCCTTTCCGTCTTCTGGTCTTGAGCACAAAGTCTCTCGCGATAGCCTGCGCACTCGCCATTTCCAATGGTCGAAGCTTGACTTCGCGGTCGAGAGGGTCGCCGGGCACGACACTCCATTTATCAAAGACCAGACTCAGTGTTGCTTGTCCTTGAGTGTGGATGCGGAGATCAGTCTCGAAGCCGAAGGAGTCAATGACCGGGATGAGACCGCGGACAGAGTAGAGCGGTGTGCCGGCTACGGGTCCGTCGGAGAGGACATGGCCTCGTCGTCGCGATAGGACTGTGTATACAGAGGCAACGGCGTCAGCGGGACCGAGCATTTCGCAAGCATATACCGGTTCCATTAATCGTGGAGACGCCATAAGGAAGGATGAATAGACTGCGCGACGGGTGGTGGGAATGACTTGTCCTCCGCCACGGTAGATCGCTTGGTCAGCGAGGGTAATATCTGTGAGTCTGAACTTTGTGTTTCGAATAGCTGGAAGAAGTTATTTCATGTTCAGTATGATTAGAGGGGATAACAACTTACGTTCTTCACACAGAGGACCCTCCCTCGTTCCCCAACTGAAGCCTTGAACAATGGAATCACGAACAGTTCCCAGAAGCTTTTTGTCCACCTGCGACGGCAGCGTGTCATCCTGCAATATATTCGGCCCATTCTCCTCCGGACCAAACGCCCAGATACTGCGTGCTGCTAATCTATCCCATTCGTATTTCTCCTCGAAAAATTTGGCCACTTTTCGAATAGGGTCCTTGATGCGAACACGGCCGCTCTCGATGTCTTCTGCGATACCATCATCTAACGGCTCCGCAATCATGGTCACCTTATTCTTCTTGTTCGGTGTGATAGAGTAGCACATGATTGCGGATGTTTCCACCACAGTCTCGCAAAATCTTGTCACTGGGTCGGACACCTTCAATTCCATCTCGGCATATAGTCTGCGGAGGTCATGAAGCACACAATCCATGTAAAGTTCTCCTGTGCCTAGAATGACATGCTCGCCGGATTCTTCCACTTTGGTGGATATCAAAGGGTAGCTCTTGTTGATTTTGCGAAGGCCATCCAACATTTTCGGCAGTTCAGAGGGATTGATAGGCTCTACAGCAACCTTGAACACGGATTCAGTCATATGGCGAATTGGTTTGAAAACATAAGCATCTTCATCGTACTCGAATTTTGGCGCAACGAGCGTTGCAGTCTTCATGATCGAGTTATCCACACCACCAAGTAACACCCAATTGCCGGCAGGGACACCGTCGGTCGGGAGATTATACCGCGAGTTGGCGATCCAGGTATCAGATATGGTTGCATTGACCATGTCCTCTTCATCGTCGAGAGAATAGCCTTCGCCAAGTACCCTAACCGGTTGCCCGGGTCGGGCAACACCACTCATGACTCTACCAAAGGCGTCGAATTTTGAAGCGTCGGAACTATTAAACAGCTTGGTGACCTGAATTACAAGTGGTCCTTCTGAATCACACTTCGCCATGGACTGCGCAACCCGTGTATCCAGAGGTCCAGTGTAGTAGTGTTCCAGCTTTCGTGATGCTCCCTCCACGGCAGATGGTATGTGCTGCACACACATATCGACAAATCCGGTGGCTGGACCAAAGAATTTCTCGCAGACTATAGACAGAAGCACTTTTGCGTCCAGTTTGAGCTGAGATGGTTTGAGGTAGATGTCCAAACTGGCCAACGTTTCTTTCAAATCTTCTGGGCTTTCACTTATCGTGTGTGAATAGAGCTTGTAAACAGGTTCAAGGACAAAGTTGACAAACGACCGCTTGGACCCTTCTTCAACGCCCTTGCGCGTGAATTTGCGACTTCGAGGGTTATAGAAAATGTCTCCCCACAATCGCTTTGCAAACTCAGTACCATCGAGCTTTGAATGACGCTCAGCGTACATTTTGGCAAATGACTCCAAGGTAAAGCACCAGTTCATCGAGCTGCACGCGAAAGCGACATTTCCTTTCTCCGGACTCAACCGTCGGCTTTCTCCCATTCCTGGGATGGTATTCTCAATGATAGAGTTGACTTGTTCAATGACGTGCTTCAACTTGAAGTAAGCATCGTTCGGTGGTAGTTTGAGCTCAAGGATTAATCGGTCGACCTTGTTGACCACCAGGGTCATTGGCAGATCCTCCAACACTGCATATTTGATGATTTGCTCGGTGTTGGCCTGTACACCCTCGACAACATCCACAACTAGCACGACGCCGTCCGCTAAGCGTAGCGAGGCTGCGACTTCGTCGACAAAGTTGACGTGACCTGGCGTGTCCAGGATATTGAACAAATATGATTTTCCCTTTGTTCCTTGCAAGACGAGAGACATCGGCGCAGCCTTGATAGACAACTGTCGTTCGCGTTCAAGAAAGTGCACATCAGTGTATCGCAACTGTTCGTCTCGCTTTTTGCCTGTACGTTGCTCCAGCCTCTCATTGATGTCGTGTGTTTGCATAACCAACATGTCCATAAAAGCCGTCTTTCCGTGATGTAAATGGCCCGCAATCGCAATATTCCTAATTTGATCGGGGTAATTGAGCAAATCCGCCATAAACTCTCGCGAGTAGAAAACGGGAGGAAGATCGGCTTCCTCTAACGAAAACTTCTTTTGCGTTACCGGGTTGATGATCGGTTCCGTAAGTGGTTGCGCATCTTCTTCTTGTACTAAAGTCTCGACGTCGGCTCCGTATACTTGCTGTGCGCTGGGGTAATATTGTTTGTCTTCGTGTAAAATGACCGCATTCGACGGACCTTCTGCGAAATTTGTGAGTTTTGCAGTCGCGTGAGCTCTTCTCTTCATAGACCTACCATCAACCTCCATCAACTGGTCGGCGGGCTCGACTTCCTCCTCCTCTTCTTCCAGGTCTTCGTAGACATAGCCAGTTGCAGGGACATCTCCAGCTTCTGACTCCTCTGACAGTCCACCCTCGCCAATGTAGTTACCGAACCTACATGCAGATATTAGCTTGAACTTGGACGGAAAATTCAACGAAGGGATTCGATTTCGTGTTGAGGGGAAAACATACTCATCGTAAAGGTCATCCATGGCGTCTAAAAATTGAGCAGGGTTGCTATGACCAGCTCTAACAACTCTGGACGTCGCAAAGATTATATCTCGCAGGCGCAAGCGTGCAAACTGATAATCTTAAAATGATAACCTTGGCAGAATTTAGCTAGGCGGTGAGTATTTTTTTCTGTACTGTAGTAATATTACTGATATGTATACATCATTACATTACAAAGCATATCTTGATGCGGTCTACGGAGTATATTTTGTTCAATATTCTCGGCCAAAAGGAATGAACAAATCGACGCTCACTTGAAATACGTATGTTGCCTAGCACCATTATTGACGCTGTCATCTGTTGGGGGGCGCTCTGAAGCGATTAGTGATATGATACTGATTTCTACACAGTAGAAATCATACTGTTTGCATCCCCGAGTTCACCGACTCCGCTCGACTGTCCAATGAGCTTGGAGACAAGATCCAAAAAAACCGTATTCAAGGTGTATATCAGCTCTTTTTCTATAGCAATGTCATGGGTAATTCAATTTCACCGTAATACGCCGTATCAGGAACTGCCAGCACCTTAGGCCAATCCCCGCTGTGCATCAGTTCCGATAGTATAAAGAGATCCTTCCTTTCGTCTGTCGACCTCTCTACACTCCACACTTTTCAGAATCTCTTTGTTTAAACCCGTACTTGAGAAAGACGATCTCTTGTTCTACCTATTCTCTATACTAATCCTTTTTGTATCCCTCGAATTAAAGCTTCTTTCTCCATCTTCTATAATTTCACCCCCCGCGCTTATCACATTCGCCGCCATGTCTCTCCCCCCTGTGTACATCGTCTCTGCTGCCCGTACCCCAGTGGGCTCATTCCTTGGGTAAGTACTCAATTGCTTTCTTGAATGATCATACGAGATTCAAACCGAAGAAACTTTGCTAATTGCCACGTTCTCTTCTTGCAGCTCCTTGTCGTCCTTGTCTGCTACCCAGCTCGGTTCCCATGCTATCAAAGGAGCTTTGGAGAGGGCTGAAGGTGTGAACGCCGCTGATGTCGAGGAAGTTTTCTTTGGAAATGTGCTCTCTGCCAAGTAAATATCCACCCACCTCTCCGTCGTATCTTTCCCAGGAACTAACAACCCTTTAAAGTGTTGGACAGAATCCCGCCAGACAAGCCGCCCTCGGTGCCGGTCTCCAGGATACCACAGTATGCACAACCGTGAACAAAGTCTGTGCTTCCGGCTTGAAGGCCGTCATGCTCGGAGTCCAGCATATCCAGACCGGCGGTGCCGATATCGTCGTCGCCGGTGGCATGGAGTCCATGTCCAACACACCCCACTACCTCCCCAGTCTCCGTAACGGAGCCAAATACGGCCACCAGAACTTGGTCGATGGAATCATGAAGGACGGTCTTACCGATGCATACAAGCAGGAGCTCATGGGTCTTTCTGCCGAAGAGTGTGCCCAGGACCACGGCTTCAACCGTGAGCAACAGGACGAGTATGCCATCCGTTCTTACCAGAAGGCCCAGGCTGCCCAGAAGAGTGGTGAGCTCAATGCCGAGATTGTTCCTATTGAATTGCCCGGCTTCAGAGGTAAGCCTGGTGTCACCGTTTCTCAGGACGAGGAACCAAAGAACGTAAGCCATTCATGAACTTCTACGTAATGGTACAATACTGACTCTTGTGTAGCTCAACCCTGATAAGCTCCGCGCAATCAAGCCTGCTTTCATCCCCGGATCCGGTACCGTCACTGCACCCAACTCCTCCCCCCTCAACGATGGTGCCGCCGCCGTCGTTCTCGTCTCCGAAGCCAAGTTGAAAGAACTCAACCTCAAGCCCATCGCCAAGATCCTCGGCTTTGCCGACGCTGCCCAACAACCCAGCAAGTTCACCACATCCCCCGCTCTCGCCATTCCCAAGGCTCTCAAGAAGGCCGGTGTCACTCAAGACCAGATCGACGCTTTCGAGATCAACGAAGCTTTCAGCGTCGTTGCCCTCGCCAACGTGAAGTTGCTCAACCTGTCAGAAGACAAGGTCAACATCCACGGAGGTGCTGTTGCTATTGGTCACCCTCTCGGTGCCAGTGGTGCCCGTATCCTTGTGACACTTTTGGGTGTTCTCAAGACCAAGGGTGGTAAGCTTGGATGCGCTGGTATTTGCAACGGTGGTGGCGGTGCCAGTGCTCTTGTTTTGGAGTCTCTCTTGTAATGAATGAAGAGGTGCATTTACCTAGCGTTTAACGAACTAAAAGATAGTTACGGGTTTCCTTTGTTTGTCTGTTAGATTTCATGGAGATATCAATATAGTTGTAATCATTCAATATATTTACTATGACAAGTATAAATTTCTTTGCTCTTTGAAGAGCTTGAGTATCACTCAATTCCAGTATCCAGTAATCATAACAACATTGGAAGGTCTAATCATATTCTGAACTATAAATACATACATACATAAATGTTCTTATCTCTAATTGCGCAATCGCAACTAAGCAAAAGCACCAACAATCGACATGAGCATAGCCCCGCCCAAGACAGCAAGACAAGCTTCCACTCTCCGCCACCCATTGAGCGTCTCATAGCTCTCCTCACTCAAAAAGTCCTCTGCAAGCAACTCCACCAGTCCCGCGAAGAGGAGCAGACCGCTGCTAATGGCATTGGTGAATCCGACCATTATGAGTCCCGTGGCGCTGGCTGGGTCGTACATATTGTGCAGAACAAGGCCAATGGCTTGACCGATTGGTGTTGTCGTGCCGTATGCGCAGGCCATCAGCCATGGTTTAAAGGACGATGGTGGGAAGAGGCTTGGAATCAGAGAAGCGATTCGCGATCCAAGTGCGAAGCCTTCGAATGTTTGGTGGAAGGATATTGCCACGAGCAATACAATGAAAGATGTGCCCGTGGCCACGCTGAGGGCCATGCCGATGAAGATGCTGTGGAAGAGAATGCCGGCTTCGAGCAGGAGGCACTGGAGGAGCTGCCTTTGAGGGTTTTGGAGTTGTGCGACGGGCTCGCTTCCTTGACGGACGTGTTTGGTGCGTCGTTGGTTGGGGGTTGGTTCGTCATCTGCATAGGAGCCCAGTTCTTCCATATCAAGCTCATCGTCGTTACTTGCGGAGGCGCTCTGGCCTGTAGATGTCGGGGATTGAATGAGACTTTCTGTCGCCGCTAGAGATCGTTAGCTTTGTACTTCCCAGAATAGCCAACCAAAAACATACCTTGATCCTGATTCGACAGATGGATATAATCCTCGCGCCCTCTATGTTTCGGCTCCTTCCTATTATCCCTCGAAGAAATTCCTCCAATGAGTTCATCATAATCTTTACTATGAACATGCGCCGCGCCCTGACTGGCAAAGAACATCTCAACTGTGACAACCAAAAACACCGACAACATAGCTATAAACCCGGCCATTGCCGGGAACCCATGGGTCCAAAAAGACGGTAGGCATGAGTTCAACAACGAATTGAAAGCGGTAGGAAGTAAATGGACGAATGCCGTGGCTATGAGGACCCCGGTGCCGAAATGTCTGGAGAAGAAGAGGAAGTGTCGCGGGATAGGTAATCCGGGAAATCGACGCGCTAGAATTGGGAATGAGCATGCTATGAGAGGGATGGTTAGTTCTAAAGTTTCCGGGCATATCCGAGACGACTGATCGACTAACCTAATGTGCTGAGAACAAGGATGAGGAATAATGCAAAAACGTGAGCTGACGTGTTGTAGTATCCAGCTTTCTCGGAACCACATGTCGATCCATCTTCTTCACCCCCAGACGCCCTGGACTCTATACGGCGCGCAAGCTCAGACTGCAAAGCTTGAAGCGGGATATCTTGCAATAAGGACGAGAAGCCATCCGCGTCTATAATGTGTTGGTCAGATGGGGGTTTCAAATCCTCCGAATGAATAAATGCCTACCGGCTCGCGCCTGTATGGCTCCTTCGAACATTGTAAAAGTAATATAGCTGGCTAGCAGATTTGCATTTTTTATTTCCACCAAAAAATTACCCTGAACGCTCCGCGCGGAGAAGCCAACAATCGTCGGGTTCTTATGCCTGGTTTGTCGGATAGCGGAAGTATAGCAGATGTCTCAATCGCATGGCAAGCTCGGAACAAAGAGAGGGCGAGATAGTCCCGGCGCAATTAGAGTATCGTGAAATGAATAAGTGCCCAAGGCATATATCAGTAGAGACAAGATATTATCCAGGAAAAATTGAATGACTGATTGGTCTAGCTGGCATATTTATCAGATCTATCTAAACCCTAGCGTTGTCCAGGAGCCCACCCACGTGATACTTAGTGCGCCCCTTCCGATAAAAATTCAACTGAGGAACAGCATGGTACCTTATATCAACGAAAGTCCTGGAATGACTTTTTGTTAGGTTCAATACATTCTAAACAGCCGAACTGGTTCAAATTCGGTCCTCGTAGAAGATAAATTGAAGAGAGGCCTCGTCGAAGTATATGAATGCACATGATTCTAAAATCCGATATCGGTAACTTATGAATCACGCTAGTGTCGATAGTATACTAACTATTTTCAGACTAGCGCCATTGTTATCGACTTATCGCTTATGCTTATGCCGTCATGTCGCTTCCGGGGCTACGAACCACATGAACTTCCTCCAGTCACTTTCATCTATACTCATATGACAACCTTATGGCGTAAACACTGCCTCGTCCTACAGCCAATACCTCAAAGCCATGAGGGCTGATTCCATCTTTCTCGATCATACTTCCTTTGACGCCAGCACGTCAAACCCATTCCTCGTACCTCGTCGACGTCCTCATACGTATCATGGAAGAACAGGAAACAGCAACAACTTTGTATTCTCTAGCAGACCTAGTAAACGCTGCTTGAAATGAGTTGTAGCGTATGTAACTGTTCTGCCAGCAACCGAACGCCGTTCTACTGTCCCACCTGTGCCCGGAGCCACTTGTATACGCTCAGATATGAGAATGCCCGGGCTCTACTCGAGAAGGAGTCGATAGGGAAAGAGGTAGAGGCGGCGGTAGCTGGAGATACAGATTTGCAACGACGACGACAGCAACAAAATGCAAATGCGAATCCAACAGATCGTAAAGGGAATCCGAAATGGGATGTCCAAGCGGCCCAGACAGAACAGGCTCGGGCCTCTGAACGGATTCGTACGATACGAGAGTGTGTGGACACACTGAAAACTGAGAATGAACAGCGGAAAGCTCAGATCCGCCAGATGAAACTGCAGCTGAAACAACGCCGGTCAGACGCAGAGTCCGCGAACTTCCAGCTCACCGATCGACGGAATGCTGCGTTGGCGAATATTCAGAATGGAATCAAAAGGACGGAACATCTCTGGCATTCATTACATAATAAAACTGCTGAATCGAGGATATTCTTGTGTCGCGAGGCTGCCTTCTTATACGGTCTCAGGCAGGAGGCTGGGAAACGAGAAGGTGGAAGAAAGAGCGAGAAATACTATATTGGAGGTGTGCAGATTGTCGACTTGAGAAGTCTGAATGGTATGTTATAAAACCTTTGGTTTTTCTCTTTTCTAACAGATATACAAGGTGCCTCACCGTCGCAAATATCTACGGCTCTATCCAACATCTCTCATCTACTCATACTTGTCTCCCATTATCTTTCCCTCCGACTGCCTGCAGAGATCGTCTTACCTCACCGTAATCACGCAACACCGGCAATCTTCCCACCGGCAGCATCCTATTCCTCGGCGCAGGATAACTTGAGCGATGTCTACCATCCATACACACAGTTCAAACCGCGCGATACTCGTAAACACCGACCTCGGCCTTTATCAGTTGACAAAACGCTTCCGAAACTAGTCAAAGAAGAAGCAGCGACGTATGCCCTTTTCATCGAGGGAGTCTCCCTCCTAGCCTGGAACGTATCCTGGCTCTGCCGCACACAAGGCCTGAATATAGCCTCTGATTCCTGGGAAGATATCTGCAACATCGGCAAGAACATGTGGCAACTCCTGGTATCACCCACAACAGCCCAAAATTCCAATACCACCACTACAACGAGAGCAATATCTAGCCGGGAGACCGTCTCTGCTCGCCCGAAGACTGCCAACCTACAACAGCCAAAAACTACCATCCAGAGAACGAAATCATTCCCCATGCTAGGACACTACTCGCACGGCACCTCACACTCCTTCCTTGGTGCATCAGAAGGCGTCGAGTTTATGAAGACGTGGAAACTACCTCCACCGGCCAAAATTGCGGATAAACTGAAATCAGCATTACTGGGCGAAATGGCAAATGCAGAATGGGAATTGCTGGAGGAGAAGGAGTGGGATGACCTTGCTGAAGGTAGTCGCGATACAGATACTGCGAACCCAGCTTCAGAGGATAGGAAAAGTAAGACTTCATTGACGACAGCTACCGAAGTCGCCTCGACAGAGGCAGCGGATGATACTGCCAGTATCAGGCCAATGCGTACATCCCCGACTTCAACAACTGCGACTACATCTAGTAGCAATACTACTCGACCCAGCGGAACCAGTGGCTGGACGAAATTGAAAAGCAAGCAACCAGGAACATGATGTGCACAGAAGCGGCATGTACAATACCATTACCACGTTAATAGACTAGACCATTCAAGTTTACCCTACTCTTTTACAAGTATACGAAATGAAACGAATGAACAAAACACAAATTTGATTCTATGGAAAGTCGTAACCCGGATAAAAAAAAAGACCAAACATTTCTCATCGCCAAAACAAACTAAATGTAGAGAAACGCCCGGTTTTTGTTGCAGAAGATAAAGGAGAAAAAGGCATAATCATTACTTTATGACTCGTACATGACCATGTTTTTCCCTTCCTCTGGCTTTCTCATCTGCTCTCCTTTTGAAATCATTGTTTGAAATCATGGAAAAAAGTCATCAAATTTTTAGATCCTGTTTCCCATCTAGAAGGGACAAGAGAAGTTAGACATAGGAAAAACAAGTTTCATTATCATTCCGCAACTTTAAATTTTTGCCCTTTTCAGGATTCCCGCAAATGTATCAAAAGAAAATGACCTCAAGAACTCTCCGGATATTGAAGAAGGTAAAACGGTGTTTCAAAACGATTAGTCGTGAAATAGGGCGAGCGATAGGTAGGTTATCGATGCTTGGAGGGAGAAAGAGGGAGGTGGTTTTGGGAGGAGCAAAAATATTTAGCGGGTGGCCATGGCCTTGGTGATGAGACGCTTAAGAGCCAACTCCTTCTTCTTCAAGTCATCGGGGGTGGAGTCGTCGATCTCGAGCTGGCCCATGGCGTCGCTCAAAGCAGACTCAATCTTCTCCTTGTTGCCACGCTTGAGCTTGAGGGACATGGTGGGGTCGGAGATGATCTCCTCAACACGGGAGATGTAGGATTCGAGTTGTTGACGGGCCTCGAACTTCTTGCTGAATTCCTCGTCGCTAGCCTTGAATTTGGCGGCATCTGTAAAAACATTAGAAATAATCTACAGCTATAGGTTGACCTGTGACATACCGTTGACCATCTGCTCAATCTCAGTGCTGGAAAGCTTGCCAACAGCGTTGGAGATGGTAATGTTTGCAGTGCGTCCAGACGACTTCTCGGTGGCGGTAACCTTGAGGATACCGTTGACGTCGACCTCGAAGACAACCTCCAAAGCGGCCTCACCAGCGCGCATAGGGGGGATAGGAGCGAGAGTGAATTCACCGAGGGAGGTGTTGTCCTCGCAGTTGGTACGCTCACCCTGGAAGACAGGGAACTGGACGGTCTGCTGGTTGTCAACGACAGTGGTGAAGGTACGCTTCTTGATGGTGGGGACGGTTTGACCACGGGGAACGACGGGAGCGAAGATGTTACCCTCCATGGCGACACCAAGGGAGAGAGGAACAACATCGAGAAGGAGGAGGTCAGAGGTCTCCTCGGAGGTGGCCTTTCCACTGAGGATACCGGCCTGGACAGCAGCTCCGTAGGCAACAGCCTCATCGGGGTTGATGCTCTTCTCGAGCTTCTTGCCGTCGAAGAAGTCGCTGAGCAACTTCTGGATACGAGGAATACGGGTGGAACCACCGACAAGAACGATCTCGTCAACGGCGCTCTTGGCAATGCCAGAGTCCTTCAAGACCTGCTGAACAGGGTCAAGGGTGCCAGAGAAAGCCTTGGCGTTAAGGTCCTCGAAACGAGCACGAGTGATCTGAGCGTTGAAATCCTCACCGTCGAAGAGAGAGTCAATCTCGACAGTGGTCTGGGTAGCGTTGGAAAGAGTACGCTTGGCACGCTCGCAAGCGGTACGGAGACGACGCAGGGCACGGGGGTCGTTGGAAAGATCTAGATTATGTCAGCAAATTGTCTGCAGCACTAATGGAAAACATGCAAAAGACAAAAGTGGCAAGTAAGAAACAAGAGAAAGCGTCAAAGATGACGAGATGTGGAAGTGACGAGACGTGGACAAAGACGAGACGTGGACAAAGACGAGACGTGGACAGTGACGAGAGACGTGTGGACAGTGACGAGAGACGTGGACAGTACAGGACATGACTAATGATCAAGTGACGAATACAACGGAGTTTCGCTAACCATTGACGTGAGATTCTAGCAATGTGCCTGGTGCTTCTCTCATGTCTCCTAAAGGAGGACGCCCAACGACTATAGTACTTGCATGGGTGGCACTTGAATGGCATGTCCTTGGTCTCGACGAAGTCTCCGGTCTCGATCGTCGATTTATGACGCTCAATGTGCTTCGCAGTCTTTTCGTGTTGACGGAGATACTTCTCCTCTGTGGTGGAAAAACCACAAGGTACACAGTTGAAAGCCGTCTTGTCGCGAGGTTGTGTACGAGACTCTTCGCTTCCAAGGTGAGGTGTGTTCCTGATGTGGGTGATAGTCTTCTCGTGTGCTTCCCAATCAGACGGATAGGTAAACACCTTTCCACAAGGCTCACACACATAAGGAGCGTCTCCTCTCTCGAGTATCCGAAGGTGTCGCTTAGTCTTGTTGTGTAGGACGAGAGACGCATTGTCACGGAATGCGACGTCACAAACGGCACAATAGTACGTCTTGGTGGCAACAGCTTCTTGTTGATGAAGTTTCGTGCGGGGTCGCTGTTTCTGGTTTTTGCGTTGTTGACTGGCCTTGAACTGGGGAGTTGTATTGTATGTTTTTGCATACTCTTTGGCATAGTAACGAGCTTTGACTTTGACGGCAGCTGCGATCTGCTCGAGTTCCTCAGGGGACACTCCGAGGTCGTGCTCGTTGGACCGAAAACCCTCGAGTAAAGGACTGTGTGAACACAAGCCGTCCCATCCAAACAAGACTCGAGGCCACGGACATGTGGCATCCAGGCCGTACGACTTGTCACGGCGAGGCAGGGCCCAGAAGATGGATGTAAAAGCTGCCTCCATGATGACAACGGCAGTACGGAGTCTCGGTACCTGTCCTGGAGAGGGCATTGGACACCAGGCGAGTAGACTGCAATGGACGATAGAGTATCCATCATGTATATAGTTTTTAACGTGTAGAGCGGCGGACGTTGGAAAAGGACGAGAATAATGAAGGATTCGATTTTTGATTCCTCCATGCTGCGCAGTGCCTGACCCGATATAGAGACCTGGACGACGACCATTCTTTCGAAGGACGAGGGCATAGATACCCCAAGAGTTCTTTGGAGTCTGGTCTGAGAGTGTCTGGTTTGGCAGTGCCTCAAACCACTCAATAGAGGGCGGTTCATTTGCTTGGACAACATCAAGTAGTCCATGACAGAATGTGAAGCCGAGACAAAGGAAGAGAGACGACAAGTCAGGTCTTGTGGGGGCCACAATTGGGAATCGTGGACTGACCCACACAGCAGGGGCATTGAGACAACGCCAACTGACATTGAGCATGTACTCTGCGACATCATTGCCTTGAAAGGTGGTAGACGACATTCCTTGGGGAATAGAGTAGAGAGACGAGAGACGACTAGAGTGACGAATACAACTGACAAGTGACAAGATCGACAAGCGACGAGACACGACGGCGATGAGAGCGAGAGACGAGAGACGACGAGAGAGTGAGGAGAGGGAAATTTTGGGGATGTCCGTGTGTGCCATGATGTTGAGTGCCAGACGCTGTGTCTAAATGGAAAGAGCGACGAAAGAGGAAGGCACGACCATGTCAAGGCACATGAGGAAGGAGTGACTAAAAGGGAAGGAGCCATGGACGTGGAAAGACCGACCACCAAAATGACCACGAAGAGCATGACAACACTGTGCAGAACAACTCGTGAAATGCGTCTTGCAAAGAAACAATGACATGATGCAAGACAGTATCATCGAGTGCGACGAGATTAAAGAGGCCTGGTACGTCCAAAGCCCTTCCTTTGGCATCACAAGCGATGCGGTGACAAATGTGACACTCAGAAAGTGATACACTGACTCTGCGCATGTACGCTCTAGAGAGTCGGAGGAGACTCGTGGGGCGTACTGTAGGCGCCATGGACAACTGCAGGAGACGATATCCCAGACGTGAAGGTCATGGGAGTACTTTTCAATCCTTCCACAGATGTCTACAGCGACAAGAGTGACGAGAATCATGAGTGACGAAAAGTCCTGTCTGACGACGAGCGACGAGGTAACGCTCTCGATAATGCTGTCCAAGAAGACTAACAAGTGACGCGAAGTCCTCTCCAACCAGGAGTCCTGTCTGACAAGAATCACAGGTGACGAGGTAACGCTATCGAAAGCACTGTCCAAGAGGACTCACGAGTGACGAGAAGTCCCGTCTCGTGAGAGACTCGAGAAGCGCGAGACACTAATCTTGAGAGCCACAACACGGAAGCTTCAACAGTGGCAAGAGTCTCGCCAGACACCAAAGGCCACAACATCGGGATTGCGAGACCCACGACATGGATAGTCGCCAGAGACGCGAAAATGAGTAGCGAGAGAGTCATGACATGGTGAACGAAGACATAGAAAGTCGTGTCCAGAGACACGGTATGGAGAGTCACAACCAGGGATAGACATGGAAATGGAAGGGTTCTCACGTAACAACGGAAGTGAACAGAGTACTAAAGGGCAAGAAAAAAAAAGGCGAAAACAGAAAAATAACAAAAACGAGAGAACATGGAAATCCACAAACCTTTTTTCGTTTTTTTAGTGAACTCCTTTTTGAAATGTTCAAGGAGGTTGGTGTCGAAATCCTGACCACCAAGGTGGGTGTCACCAGCAGTGGCCTTGACAGTGAAGACACCACCCTGGATGTTCAAGAGAGAAACATCGAAAGTACCACCACCGAGATCGTAGATAAGGACGTTACGTTCCTTGTCGGACTTTCCGGAACCCAAACCGTAGGCAATAGCGGCGGCAGTGGGCTCGTTAATGATACGGAGAACGTTCAAGCCAGCAATGGCACCGGCGTCCTTGGTGGCCTGACGCTGGTTGTCGTTGAAGTAAGCGGGGACGGTGATGACGGCCTTGGAGACCTTCTTGCCGAGCTTGGTCTCAGCAACCTCCTTCATCTTGGTGAGAACCATGGAGGAGATCTCCTGGGGGGAGAAGGTCTTGGTCTCGTTCAAGTACTCGACCTCGACCATGGGGTTTCCACCCTGGTCGACGACCTTGAAGGGCCAGGACTCGATATCCTTCTTGACGACGGGGTCTTCGAATCGTCGTCCGATAAGACGCCTTGGATTACGTTAGCCCTACTTCATGGCTACCCACAGAGAAACATATTGTGACATACTTGATATCGAAGATGGTGTTCTCGGGGTTCATGGCAGCCTGGTTCTTGGCGGCCTCACCGATAAGACGCTCCTTGTCGGTGAAAGAGACGAAGGAAGGAGTGGTGAAGCTTCCCTGCTCGTTGGCAACTATAAAAATTCAATTGTTAATTGACCCGATCCCAGAAATTTCTGCATTTGTGGACGATCGATCGTGGGCGAGAACGTACTGATTTCAACATTGGCGCCCTCATAGTTGGCAACGCAAGAGTAGGTAGTACCTAAGGCGAGTCAGCGATTGATGATCTTTTGACGAACTGTGAGTTCTCCGTCGCAACGTGGGATTTTGCAGATTCTCATCCCAGCCGCACAAACGAGAACAACAAACTCACCCAAGTCAATGCCAATGGCACCCTCGTAGACCTCGTCAGACATGATGTAGGAGAAAACGATCAAAAGGATAGAGAGAAATATAAAAGAAAGGATACTTTTAGAGAGCAAACACACACGATTAGAAGTGAGGTTGCTTCTGACAATTATATGTGCAGGACGAGAGATGGAGGGGCGGACGGCTTAAGGAAACACAGCGATGGAAATTTTTTGATTTTTGAATTTTCAGACCCATTTTTGCTTCTGCCGAAAACCAATGATAATAGCCGAATGCTAGATTAGTCTAATAGTCTCTCTTCGTCTTCCCTCCAATATAAGCTATCACGTGATGTACTGTTCCGAGTTCTCGACCAATCAGCGAATGGATGACTGCTCGTGTGAGATTTGGTGTTAGCCTGGCCACTTTGAGTGAAGGGTCCGGAACAGCTACGTCACGTGATATTGGACACTAGATTTGATGGGACAGACAAGATTGGGAAGTCTCGCGATTCGAATTTGGAAAGTTCCATGTCGTACTTCTTTCGTGATTCGTGTCTCTCGCCGCTCATATCTCACGTCTCTGGCGAATTTTTTATGTTGTGGCTTTTGGTCTCCGTCATGACTCGCTATGGCATGGCTCTGGCGACTCTAGGAGCTTCCAATGACATGGGTTTCTCGTGATTCATGTCTCTTACTCCCGTCTCTCATTTCTCGTTTCTGGCGGGTCTCCATTGTGACTCGAGGTTGACGACTTCTCTCGCGATGTGTGTCCCAAAGTTGGTCTCTCCAGAGACTTTACTCTTGTCGCCCGGATAGAATATGAGTTCGAACAGGACCATCACAGTCCTCCATTGGGGACGAGACCAGATATGAGGCTGTGTCAAGGACTGGCCAGGTGGTATATTCTTACGAACATTTTGGAATCAGCCACGATCCCCTAAAGATGCAGCAGCAGAAGAAGGAAGGACTTTAGTCTCTCGTCAATCATGACACTCTTGTGTTTATCTGCTTCGTATCCTCAACTCTGGTGAAAATCTTGCTTCTCCCTCGTTGGCGCGCTTGGTGGAGGCTTACTGTTGTTACGAGTCCCCTGCATCGACCAAAGTACACCTTTCGCGACTCATTCACATCGACTAGTCATCCCTGTCACACTATTCATATTTGGAATTACTGTAATCCATTTATGACACTATGTATCAATTGTCTCTTTCGACTCGGTTGACCGATCCCTCACGATTCTCGCTGGCGAGTCTCGTCAGACAGTCCTTTTGACAGTCCTTTTGACAGTGCTGCCTCATCACCTGTGATCTTGGTCAGAAAGGACTCCTCGTCACATGGGATGTCTCGTCATTTGTGATTCTTTTCAGCCAGGGATTACTACTCGTGATTCTTGTCATTTTGTCGTTGTAAACATCTCTGGCAGTTCTGAAAAGTACTTCCATCGCCCTCATGTCTCGTCCATTATGATGCTTGCAGTATTTTCTCGAGTTCTATGCGACTACAAACATTGTCCAGTCCAAATAATACTTTTGGGTCCCATGTCGTTCTTGTCTCCGTGTCTACTGTGATATATTGGAAAGGACTTTCAATGTGTTCTGCGAAATGTCGGCATGCTCTCTGTGGTTGTTGCTTCCGCGTCCATGGCCCCTTCCTTTTTGGTCGCGCCTTCCTTGTGGTAACTGCCTCGACATGGTCGCGCCTTCCTCCTTTGTCGCTCTTTCCATTTGGGCACCGGACCATCATGGGAATCCTTCACCCAATGTTCTCTTATCCTCCTGTTCTCCCCTCCCCTCTTTGGCTGTCTCGTCGTCTCTGGTCGCCTCTCGTGCGTCTCTCGTCTTTTGTGTGTCTCTTGTTTCTCGTCATTCCTATTCTGCTCTCTGTCAGAAATGTCGGATCCTGCAGGAGAAGACAGTGACATCGCGGAGTATATACTCGACGTTAGTTGGCGATGTCTCAATGCCCCAAAGGCGGTGGTTAATTCACGGTTTCCAAAAGTGGCATCCACGAGACTTGGGTTGTCGTCTCTCTTCCTTTCGCTCGGTTTGAAGTTCTGTCGTGGACTCCTTGACGTCGTGCAGGCAGCCAAACCACCCTCTTTTGAGTGGTTCGAGGCACTACCAACGGAAATTCCGAACAAGTCTTGGGGTATTTACGTTCTTATTCTTCGGAAAGACGGCCATCGTCCTGGTCTATACATCGGGTCAGGAACTTCGGAGAATAGAGGAGTTAAAAATCGAATTCTCGGATACTTTCGTCAGCCTCATCCAGTAAATCCTTCTCAATACACCAGGAAGTATCTTGAGGAAGGATACTCTATTATCCAGTGCAGTTTACTTGTCTGGTGTCCAATTCCCTCTCCTGGAGAGGTTCCGAGACTTCGTACCATCGTCGTTATTATAGAGACAGCTTTCGCCTCTATTTTCTGGGCCATGTATGACTGTGAGAAGTCGTATGGCGGCCTAGATTCTGTGTGTCCATGGCATCGAGACTCATTTGAGTGGGACGGCTTATGCTCCCACAGTCCCCTAATCGAGGGATTCCGGAACAACGAGCGAGACCTTGACTACTCCCCTGAGGAACTGGAGCGCATCGCAGCCACACGCAGAGACAGAATCCGTCGCCAACAAAGAGATTCATATCGGATAAAGTTTTCGAAAGGTTTCTGGTGGAGAAAGTATTATAGTCAACAACACAGAGATCGGATTAAATTCCTAGCCATGCGAAAATACCAACAGACATATCGACAGAAAGCTATTGCAGACAAGACATATCGACAGAAAGTTATTCCCAACAAGACATATCGACAGAAAGATATTGCCAAAAAGACACACTACTGTGCCACATGCGATGTCTCCTTTCCCTTTAGGTATGACCTCGCCCGGCATAATATCAGTCAGCGTCACTCCAAGGGAGCACGCGCAACCTATGTGTGTAGACCTTGTGGAAAGTCCTTTGGCTACAAACATGGTATAGAGAGACACAAGCAATCTCTGATGCATATCAGAAACACAACTGAGCTTGGGAGTGTGAAGTCTCGCATCCAATCTCATCTTGGAAACGCTTTCATTTGTGAACCTTGTGGAAATTTCTTCAGGTATCCATCTGGTCTGGAGGCGCATGAGAAGACTCAGAAGCACCTCAGGAACACAACCCAACTTGGAAGCGTGGAAGAATCTTGCATCCAACCTCTCCCTAGAAATATAATCAGCTGCGAACCTTGTGGAAAGTTCTTTTCCTATGTGTCTCTGCTGAGGATACACAAGAAGACTTGGAAGCATCTCAGGAACACAACCCAACCTGGAAGCGTGGAAGAATCTTGCATCCAACCTCTCCCTAGAAAGATATTCAGCTGTGAACCTTGTGGAAAGTTCTTTTCCTATGTGTCTCTTCTGAGGATACACAAGAAGACTCAGAAGCATCTCAGGAACGCAGTCCAACTTGGAAGTGTGGAAGAATCTTGCATCCAATCTCTCCCTAGACAGATATTCAGCTGTGAACCTTGCGGAAAGTTCTTTTCCTGTACGTCTAAAATGAGGGCACACAAGAAGACTCAGAAGCATCTCAGGAATGCAGTCCAGCCTAGAAGTATGGAAGAACCTTGTATCCAATCTCTCCCTGGAAAGAAATTCAGCTGTGAACCTTGTGGAAAGTTCTTTCCCTGTAAGTCTGAGCTGAGGGTACACAAGAAGACTCGGAAGCACATCAACCTACAGCAGTCAATGATCCAGACTGGAGACGCTGTTGAGAATGGGGATATCGCTGAGATCGAAGACAAGCAGTATAAGTGCGACGCATGCAACTTTTCTAGTTTTTTCTTGTCCAATTTTAAAAGCCATGAGAAGACTATGAAGCATTTCATCAATACTTCATGTCAATGATTAGTGTCTCCTGTTCTCTTTGTTCATTGCCACCTTTCGTCACCCTTCTTGTTTTCATTCCCTTCGTCGTTAGTTACGACCCGTCTGTTTCCAGATCTTATTCTCTACTTATCTCTTTTGAGATCCCATTTAGTGTCTCGTCTCCTTCCAGATTTGTGTTTCCAGATATCGTTCTGTCTCGTCTCTTTTCAGATCTCATTGTTTTTCACGTCCTGTCTCTTTCCAGTCTCGTCACTGTCCACGTCCCGTCACTGTCCACGGTTTGGACTGTCACTTGTTGCATGTCCTGTTTGTTTCCTTGTCATCACTATCGATGTTCTACCACATTTACCACTTTAATATTTATGTGTTTGCCTTGTCTCTGACTCATCGCTACTACAGTTTCTTAGCTATCATACATGTCATATAAGCAAAATTCAACAATGGTTATTCTGACTGTGTCGCGTGTCGCTACTTTACCGTAAAAAGGACTTTGGATAGCCTAGAGATCGGGGGTATCCCTATCCGCGTGTACCAAGTTTTTGAAATTGTACGCCCAGTTCTGGTTGGAAATAACTATAATTTACCTAGTCTACTCTGCTGTATACACCCGGGGGCGATGGCACGGTGGCGCCGACCAGCAGGTCCTAAGGCCTTCTCACGTCTTTCCTGTGTATTGAGAGCGTTCGCTTCGTACGGGCGGGAGTAAAGTCTGCAAAGAGCACTTTTATATCCTATTGTATGTATAAACATATAAAAGGTATAGGGAGCACGACATCATACTAAGCTGGGATGTTTTTAAGATACCTGTTCAACCACATAGTTAGCAAGTGGCCTTGTGATCTTGTAGGGATGGCATGGCCCAGATAGGAACGCTTTTGTGTGACAAGGGGCCCTTTTGTTCGTTAGAGCTAGGCTTCATTACAAGTTTTTCAATGAATGCATGAAAAATGGCGAGGTTCGTTATACATTGATATTGATTGATGATTGTGCGAGCCAAGATCGAATCAGTAACCGTCTATCGTATCACTCTGAAAAATACAATAAGACGCTCGACATCCTTCTTCTCCTCGTGCCCTCTACCATAGCCATTGGCACCTTCCTGCCCAGCGCCTCGCAGCGACACCACTTGAAACTCAATCTTCGTCAGACCAGCAGCCAGCCTGACATCATAGCTTAATTCGGACGGAGTAGAATGAGGCAGTGGAGACATAGGCGCTCTCTGCGGCCCAAACAAGGCAATCAACTTCGTTCGCCTCTGTGCCGAGTTTGGCGCGATGCTGAGCGACAGTGATACGAAGCTCTGAGATGCGGGTATATTCACCACGACTGACTGCTGTCGCATCACCGGGGATGCGGGAACATTAAGACTGAATTTCGGATGAGGACCTAAGCTTGAGTGGGATTTCATGCTCAGATTCTTGATCAATGCGTCTGAGACCCCTGCAAATGAGTAGTGCATTAGCGCCTATACAAAAGTAGGACAGATATGAAGTGGAGGTTTACCTTCGTCAGCTTTTCGGAATAAGGACTGCACAGAAGCGTAGCTTGGACGTTGCGGTACAATGGGCCAAGAACTGAGTTGATCACTCCCATTTATTGACGGGTTAGGGAGGCCTGCGCCGGCTGTTGATGGCATCGGGGTTTGGGAGGGCGAAGGTGATATTATCTTGCCAGGCATTGGACTTTGTCCAAGACCACCTAGTCGTGAAGAATCTGGAGTGTCACGATGTGCAGCCGAGCCTGGTCTCTGCACAGAATCACCATCTAGAGATGCCAATACGGGCATCTTAGCCTCGACCGAAGAAGATTTTTGGCCAGCAAATTTCAACGTCAGTCGTGGTTCTGGGGTTTTACTCATTCCCAATTTGAGTTTGATACGCGGATTCGTCTCATCTACGGGGTCATCCGGTACAACACTCTTTGCTTCGGCAAGACGACGCTTGAAATGAGCCTACTTTTACATTAGCTCGAGAAGTATAATCACATTGAGCGAAGCACTTACCTCCAAGATGTTAGCGAGGTCGACAATCTCGCTGTCTTCTTCGTTAAACTCTCGAGCATTCCCCCATACGTATTCCATTTCATCTGCGAATAATTGCCAAGTTGGAAATGCCGTTTTGTGGCTGTGTGGCTTTCTTCCTTCGATTCCGCGGACTTGTTTCAATATACTGCGCAAAGAGACGGGATGTTGTATGATCTCGTAGTATTCTTTGTACAAGTTCTTGTCCGGCTTGTAAAGAAAGGGGCCTCCTACTTCTCTTCCCCTATTGGAAATTAGCATGCATTTTAAATAAATAAAAATGGTGCGGAAACGTACTGGTCGTCTCTCAAGGGAATCATTTCTGATATGATCTTATCTTGAGCAAGCTGTATCGTGTTACCCTCGAAATTCAGCTCTTCGTCTTCGCCTTGGTCCATCGCCTCGTCAGAAGCTTGGTCGTCTTCTGCATCTGCTTCCGCGTTTTCTTCATCTTTATCACCATCTTCCTCACCATCCTCATTTTCAGGCGTCTCCGTCGACTCATTCTGGTCGGGAATAGGAGTTGGGAATGGTGCGTAGTTAGGGTCGTTGTACGCTGGATTGATTTTCGGCATAGTGCCTGTGACTATCTTTCGAATGCGCTCTGCATCGGCAAAGAGCATCGTGCCTTTCTCGTTGTATTTTTTTGCGTTGCTGACTAGTCGTTTGAGGTCACTCTCAAGCTCTGTGAGGGTCGCATAGCGATGCTTATTTAATTTCTCCTGTTTTCAGAGCGTGGTCAGCTGAGACACTTTGATGCGAGATTGGCGCCATTACGCGCGCGCCAAAAAAACCAGATGACTATTTCGCTGACTTACTATCACTTGGTTGAGAGATATCGGAAGTCCGATCACTTTGTAGTAGTCCGGGTGTTTTTTCTATGACAGTTGTCAGTCCTGCTCCCTGCTTCTGCGATAGTATCCAATCTCACCTTGTCCGGAAGCTCATAGAAGTTACTCGCGATAATCCGTCCACTGCACAAAGTGTTAGAAAGCTTCTTCTATACCGATAACGTGCTGTCTGTACCTCTTGTCTGTCGCATGTTTGATGTCGTCGATAAGCTTCAATCCAACTTTCGTGGTCTTTTGCGGGGTCTCGATCTCATCGCTGTTGTCATCCTATATCAAATGAATAGGACATTAGCTTCTAGCTGGTGTGAGAAAAAGTTACGCAGGTAACGAGCTCTTGTACTTTATACTTGGAGGTCGAGACAGGACCATACGCGCTTCAAACTAATATCCGGGGCAACTTACAGAAACCTTGCGCCTTTTTGACTCGGGCAATGCTGTTGGCTCTGGGCCAGTAGAAGTAAATTTGCGCCTCATGCTCATCCTAGGCGAAGGACTAAGCACGAGTTTGTTTCATCAAAGAGAAATCGCCAGGCAAACGATTATGTCACGTCACACGCGGACTTTTGCGCCAGTAATTAGGATGGATAGAAGATAAAAAGGACCGGAAATCCAAAAATAGTAATGTATTGCGACCCAGATTATGGTGTTGAACGAACGAAATTAAGGAGATGTCTGTCAGCGCGAAGCTGTTGTGGTGCGACGATTTTTCGTGGATTGGATGTTCTTGAGGGAACGCGGTTGTGGTCGGGATATGCTGGCTGGCTGGCTGGCCAAGGCTCCAAGGCACCAAGGCTGCCAGGCACGCGATCGGATATGTCGGTATTGGTATTGTTACCGTACGATAACCTCCAGGAGGCCTCCCCGCGCCTTAATTTTGTATCAAGAATTTTATCCTACAAAAAGGCACTTAAATATACGTACTAATCTACAGAGGTTGATAAATTTTGAAAGCTGTTATTTCCAGCTCAATATTATTCTGGAACGCCCGGTTCGCTTTCCAGGTTCTACTGATGCGCCCCCTGAATAGGGCATATTCGTTTACAATACTGTAAACAACTGTAACAATAATAAAAACAATAAAACATCTTTAACTAGCTCTTTTCAATCTCATTTCAGTCCCGCCATAATCAATTCCCCTCATCCTCCAGATCCAGATTGTTTTCAATCGTCTTCTCTTCTCTACAGGCTCTCTCCATATTCCACTTCAACTCGCCGTCACTCTTGTGCCGACCAGATCAAGAAAACAAGCTCAAGCAACCGCAAGAATGTCCGACAACACAATCGACGTTTCCAGGCGCAACAAAGAGCCACGGCCGCTAACAAGCTCTGAGCATGAACGCCTCCAGGAGTTCATCGATCTAATTCATTATAGCTGTAATGCCCCTTTCTGATGGTCGCTGATGTATTAGCTAACATTTCCACCCGATAGCCCGGTGAATAGGGTCCCTCGCGTGGTTCCGTGCCAAATTTTTGTCGTGGCGTTGCTGATTTGTGAGATACAGCTATTCCGACAACGAGTACGAGTACCGACACGTGCAGCTACCCAAGAACATGCTCAAAAAGATCCCTCAAGAATACTTCGACGCTTCCAAAGGAACCTTGAAACTGCTCTGGGAGGAGGAATGGCGTGGCCTTGGCATAACTCAGGTACGATGTCATCCGTCGAAGCTTTCGATCTGCGAGGTGCTGACGATCTGGCAGAGTCTGGGATGGGAGCATTACGAGGTCCATGAACCAGAGCCACATATTCTCCTTTTCAAGTAAGAAACCATCGAGCAGCATTATGTGTCCTACAGAATAGCTAATTGTTTCAGGCGGCCTATCAACTACCAACCTCCTGCGCAATAGACTATGCAATCTTCAACCTGATTCGCGCCGTCTCCCTCCCTCCCCTCGGTGACGAAGGAAAATTACCAACATGATAATGGTTTCACGAATTGATTAATGAACTGTATGCGAAAATAATACTCGGGGTTACAAATGGATGCTTTGCTTCTTTAATCTTATCGGAGAGCGTGCGAATGGCTGCTATTCTGCATATAGTGTGTTTCTCTTCTCCAAAGCCAGATGACCTCCTTTTACAGCCGTGGGTGGTAATGGCCCTGTGTTAATTCTCAAACGACATTATTACGAAGCCATTCGTCCCATTGGTCGGGAGTGAAGCTGCTGCTGATGCTCTTCTCTTCGATTCCCTGCGCGAATGATGCAAGATTAGTATCTAGTATCCTTTCGAGGCGCAGCGTCTATTGATGTCGCCTTCGGACATTGGGGGGGCGGATATACTCACGTTGAAGAAGACAGTAGGAGTGACATGCACACCAATGACGCGATTTGCCTGGGAGACATGTTAATAGGATACCCCCTACTCATTACTGTATCAATATGGATTAACAGAAAAAAACATACCTTGACTATCAATTTAATATCATTCGTCACTCCATTCCCTTTGTTCGCACCCTCGCCTGCTTCCTTGATAACAAGTAGGTCATAGACCTTCTTCTCATCCACGCCGACGGTAGCCGCCAACGCCGCAAGACGTTTATACGTATCATTCCTGACCTCGTTAACAACCTTCTCATCAAAGTAATCCCTCTGCTCTTTGAAAAGAGCCTGACTGAATTCCCAGAATTTCTCGGGAGCGACCTTGAGTACCGCGGCACCGGCTTCGTGGACGAGGGTGGAGGATGGGTGCCATGGCTGGATTTGCTGTCTGAAGATCACTTGCACTTTGGAGCTGTATTTTTCGGCGATGAGTGGTTTCACGGAGGTGTAGAATGTGTTGAAGATTTTTGCGGAGAACTGTATTGCACAATATTTAGCTGATTGATTTCCTATGTCTACATTTGGGGGAATGTCGTACTGGGCAAACGTAGTCAAGATCTGTATCACGGAATTAGTATACGGTTGGTTATAAGCTTCAAGGAGTGTCACTTACAAAGCTCGATAGTATGCGGAGATTGATCTATGTTTGTAGCGGCCAATTTCTGGCCCTTGAACTTTGGTGGAAGAGACATTGTGCTTGATTGATACACCAGAAGTGCTTGCTTCTATACTGGGTTGGATGTTGGAGGGGCAAGGAGGGGGAGTATAACGTACTTATAGTATGCTCGTTGTCTGATGCATTCCGTCATTCGCGTCATCTACACGTGCTTGGAGCAGATCAACCCGCTAGACCCGAGCCCTACTTTGAGTCTTTGACACACTGAAAGCATTGTTATGCATAGTGTCAATGCTCCAATTGCTATAAGCCTGATCTTTTTCTCCCCAACTCTCTCAAGCATTAAACCGAAAAGTTATAGATGGTTTTAAAGCTATAATATTTTCTGTATTTATTTATCACTCTTGAGAATCAAATTCCACGGTTTATGGTATAGGCTATATTCGGACAAAGCAAGAGCTGGAATCAGTTATTGAATGTCAAAAATACCATCCTAAGGTTCTCGAGGCACGCTACCAAGCATCATAAATCCCAGATTTAGAGTAAGTAGAATCAACCTAAAGCAGGAGACTTCTTAAAGCTAAAAGCTTATATAAATCATAACATTATTATATACATATCCACTCACCCTACATCCGTGGTTGACTGCATTCAGATTAGCCATCATACTTTGTTATTTTTAATTAGAATCTAGATTAATCTTTTTAACTATCTACTTGATTGATCTCTTAATAGATGTTTTCTAAGTATAGATCTATATTTTCCAGTATATTTCGATTTGTGGGGGTAAATTGTTGGCCTAGGTATTTCGATACAAAGTGCCATCCACCCATCTGACTCTCAACCTGTTCCACCAAACTCACTTAGGCAGAATAATGAACGAGGAAAAAGATTCCAACCCATACCAGGTGAGTAAAATAGTGTTCTATTTATACGGGTGTAGACTGACCACGCGTTCTCGAGTGGGGGTTCGCAATCTACCGAACTGTGTATACACCTCAATCGGATGAACTATGGCCTTCGGTGCTCGAGAAACTGGAAACGTTCATGGAGCTCAGTTGCAAAGACCAAGCTTATCGAGAGGAACTGCCAAACGTTGTGATCTGGGATCGGGATAAGTTCAACAACGCATCCTTTGACGACATTCGAAAAGACTTTAAAAGACAACTGCTTATTCCAGAAATGGGTGACGATGAAATCAACTTTGAGGAAGATACGGAGACAGAGGCTCGGAAACATGAATTACGTCACCAAAAGAAGCTGAGCTGGCAGAGGAACTAGGCGACGATGCTCTTGCAGGCGAGGTTAATGATTGGTATTGCCTTGTAATTGATGATGAGGTTTTTCATTCTATTCTCAATGCTCCAAAGCCTGCGGAGAGGATGAAAATGAAATATGGCGAACACTATGTCAAAATTGTTACAATATATGAAAGATCTTTGAGAAATGAGCATTGGCCAGGATGGGGCAGGGTTGATTTTAGGCTGCTCTGGTGGCTGCTTGGTGAAGATGAAATTGAAGTATGGGCTCCAGTTCCTGATCCTCAGCGCGAGGGTGTATATGAACTGCCTGTCATCACTGGTGATTTGTGATGGGTATGTGATCGCAGGAAAGCCTGGAATACAAGACGTGAAGCCACTCAGGGAGTCAGGGTTAGCGTAATCAGGGTAAGGCATACTCTTGACAGTGTTTCTATTGAAGTGCATAGTCACGATGACAGCAAAGGCGGGTTTCAAAATGTGACCAAAGCGGGAGGATTGGTAAAGGCGCCGGTTCTCAGATATTGAGTTGCGGATCTTGGGTACATACCTCTACTCTTTCTACTTTTCAAACCTTCACAGTTACTAAGTGACTTGAATATACCACAAACTATTCATTTCCAGGAGAGCAAGCTTCAGTCTCACTTATGGCCGCCAATACCGGTGGGAAGGCGCCACCTAGGGTTGCTACCTCAAAGCTGGTAGTGCTGTACTAGGCAGATCAAAGACTGGCACACAAGCAGCGAAAGAAGGGCAATGTCGAATCGGTGTTTCATTCTGGAAATGATCTAGGGTCCAGACGAGGAAGATGTATGGATTTTGAAAATTTGTATAAATGACGTAAAAACAGAACAATTTGCTAGATAGATTGACTGTTTATTCGGATGATCTTACAAAAGCCTTTTTTTAAAATTGAATGGGACATGATGTTCACTGCTAAATATCCAGCCTTGTCATTGTTAGGGTGAAGTTCCCTGCGCTACCGTTCTTGTTTCTCTTCACATCTCTTTCGCGCGATTCTCGAAACCAGAATTGAGAAGAGCCGATTCACTACCGCAAGACACTCATGAAGTAATAGGATTTTTCATGCGATGCTAGCCACCTTTACCAAGATTAAGTCAAAATCACCATCTTGGGCGTCCACACACCAGACGCTACTATCAGATGACAGACAGATGCTAAGAAGAGGCCCCTACTGTTTTATTCCCAGATTGAGCTGTGCATGTCAAACGCCTCGTGTCGAAACGGCTCAAAGAATTGATTTTCGTACCGGCAAAGAAGACATTGATCATTCACGATAATATCCAAGTGGTTTTTGGCCATCTTGCCGGAGGTCCTTGAGATCAACCATCAACGAGCACCACTTCTTCTCTGCAGGATCATATTCACCGAGAACCTCAACTCTGCATTCTCCTTTGGGACCCTTGATGCCCACGGGTCCGCTGACATAAAACACACCGCGCGGCGGTACTTTGCGTTGAAGCGCTCTGTTTCTCATCAGATGTAGCCTGAAAGTAAGGTAGGCAAGGTAAATGTCGGAGCCTTTGTATTGAGAGGAAAGTCCCTGCACCAACGAGAGTACTGGAGGTATGCGAGAAGCATCAGGCTGAGACTGAGGCGTCGACGTAGTCGTCGTCGCTGACACTGCTGATGGGTCGACCTCCTCAACAGTGCCCGAAGAAAGCGATTTCTCCCAGTCGGCAAAACTCTGCAAACTGACGCTGGTTGATGGGTTCAGGTCTGATTGAAAGTTGATCTTCTTCAGTTGCATGATAGCGTCTCTGGTGGAGCGATCCTCAGATCCAACATAATTTTGAAATTGTTGTATCTTTCGCTTCCAAAAAACCGTACCGGCCGCATACATTGCTGAAGCCACAGCAGAAGGGAATAGCGCTGCTGTGAGTAATTGGCCTTGCTCCCGGGAAATAGGTTTTGATACCAAAGCTATCTCATCATCCGCGATTGCCAAACTAGTTGCTCATGTCAGATACCATAGATATAGAGACAGGTTGGTGCCATGCTTACCCGATGGTTTCATACTGCGGCGGGGCACGGAATGGTGTATGAGCCAGCAACCAGCTCTCCCCAACTTTGAGTGGCTTTCCTCCAAGAGCACGTACGAATTTTGGTTGAAGCGACAATTTAGCAAGCACTAGATCTTCCAGCTCCTCTATAATAAAAGATCAGCCTTCTGTTTCTCAGTCAGAGACCCGACTCCACTCACTCATCAAGACACTAGTCTTTTCCGCGTCGTTGGTATACTTCTGAATGGCTTGCCATTCTGGATCGCTTTTCTTGTACAAATCACCGGGACGAAGTCGAGGCCAGCTCAGGGGTATAAAGGTGACGTCCTCATCCTCATCCTCGTCATCCAGCGCCTTTCTGTTCCTTTTGTTTGCTTCAATGATTCTGGTTTCGCTCAATACTGCAGAAGGAACACCAGTCGAGGGATCGCCCAAAGTACTCTGTTCTAGTCGTGCATAAACGAAGGAAGTCCAGATCTGGAATGCGACACCGTAAACGAAGACGCTAGTAGCAAATCGTCTAAAGAGAATTAGCCTTGCAAGATTGGAATTTCGATAATTGTTGACCTACCTGAACCATGGCCTCTTTATCCTCACGGGTCGAACGTTTACTATGCTGGTGGGCCCTGTAGTGAAAGTCCGACACTGGCGGAGGTCAAATCGAGGATTGCGAGGGAGATAGCGCACCCAGATCATTGCCGGAGATGTATTCGAGTAGATGGATATGTGGACATGACGATACTCCCAAAGTCAGGTCAAAGTCAGGAAATGAGCGATGACTTGTGACTGAATGCTGGAAGCGCAAATGTTTCTTCGTCGCTGTTTGTCATCCCAGCACGTGATCGCCCGGATAAAGTGAGGAAGGCGGGAGACGTCGCCAAGATATCGGCGGAACATCAATAGCTCCCAGTTGCTCCTACGGCATATCAACCTCAAACAAGCACCACATCTTATTGAATCGCCAGGGAACGGATCGAATCGAGGCCGAAAATCGTCGACTTATGATCCCACCCGTCCGGGGACTACAATAAACGGCTTGAACAAGCCATCAACCGGCTTATATCAGCTGCCTATTGTATACAGATACAGTCACCATGTGGCCTACACTGAAGCTTCTTCTTCCCTGTCTGGCCGCCGTGGCCAGCGCCGCGTCAGCACCGACCGATGGATCCATAATCCTACTCGATGCACAGCAAGCTACTACATCTGCCATTGCCAGGGATGTGGTTCAAGAAGACATTGCGAGATTGTTCCTGCAGCAACGCATTTTATCCACCGAGACCGCCACGCCTCCCAACAAGCTACTTCTCACGAGCTCTGTTCTAGAGCTACTGAACATATATGGAGGAAATCAGTATAGTCTTTTCCAAGATGTGCCCATTAGCGAGCAGCAGAAACTCCTTGTCGTGGTGGAGGGAATCGTGAAAGATAATAGTAAGTTAGCTTTGCTGCTATAATCATCTCATGTCGGAGGAAGTTGCTGATTACGATCTTCAAAATAGCCGCCGTTACCCCCAAGAACACGAACAACGCATTGAACATGCGTTCAGTCTCTCCAGACTTCGTCGATAGCACCTTCATGGATACCGTCTCTGAATGGAAACATTGCGGATACGAAGCTAAGACGAATAGTGACGTTCAGGTACGTACCACAGCCTGGAGGCTGGAATTTCTCAGTGAGCTTACAATGAATGATATAATTAGGAGCTTCAAAGCTGTCTAAATCAACACCCAACCTTCATCGGCTCCCCTCAGAAGCCAATTACTCAATTACTAGAAGGATTGCCTTTGTCGTCACTTGAAGCTTGGTCCGATGCCGCTGGCAGCAGAGAAATTCTTAGACTGCGATTCAACGTATGTCAAGCCATTAAACCCAGCTACTTCTTGAGCCCTAACCGTTATCAAACAGGAGCACCTCGGCGATGCAACAACCGCAACACAGTTCTTAGCCTCACTCTCCTCTCTCTTCGATAACCACGAACAAACCATCCTCCTCGTCCCACAGCAACAAGCTTCCCCCTACTCCTCTACACGCAAATCGCCTTCAAAGAAAGACATCCACCCCACCGCCAGACCCAGACTACACGCTCAATCCCGCAGAAGCCAAAATCTTGGAGCATCCGCAGACTACCTCTCAACACTCATGCCAGTCTGCCACAGCACAAACGATACCTGCACCAGCACCACCAACGCCTGTTCCGGCCACGGCGTCTGCTATCTCAAATCCGCCGGCGTCAAGGACAATGATTGCTATGCCTGCAAATGCGACTCTGAATGGGGTGGTCCCGCATGCCAAAAGGTGGATATCAGCACGCAGTTCTTTCTCATTGGAACGGTGAGTGTTCTTGCCATCTTGGCTGTGGGTGGCGGAATTGGGTTGTTGTTTAGTGTTGGACAGGAGGAGTTGCCCAGTGTTATCAGTGCGGGTGTCAGCTCGGTGAAGACGAGGTAGGGATAGTACTGATCCGTACAGCAGGAGGTTGATACTTGGTTCTTCTTTCTTTGGTCTTGTCCTTTTTGTTTGGGGAGATATATCATCGAATTCCAGTTTGCTATTGCACTATTTATGAGTGAATGTATAAATACTACTCTTTCATCGATTTACTATTGATACCTAGTTGTCAGTCTCTGACACGTAGACTACTCTGATATCTACAAAAGACACAATTCAGATCTTGATCACCTTTGTGAGAATGTACCTGTTGCATATCCAGCGAGTATTGCAGTCATGACATAGAAAAGCCCGTAGGTGAAAACATCCTAGAAACACCGATTGCTGAATATGGGAGGGGAAAGAAAATGAAGAATCCACACATACATAACATAACGTCTGCCAGTACCTGAATGGCAAGTAAAATGATATCAACATATCATGGACCGATACCGCACTGAACGCCAAACTAGACCAAAGAGAGAGAAAGTAAAACACAAGAGATATGCAACCCGACATTGAGCGGATGGAAAGATGAGCGTGCGCATGAGGTGAGTAGATAGGAAATTCGTTAGGGTTGAGTAGGAAGGGTATAATCTGAGGATGAGAGAGGGCGGAGGAGAAATGATGAGATGAGGGTTGTGATAACGGTAGAGAGAAGCTTTTAAAAATTATTGCACCTGTGAAGTTGTGCCAGCTTCCAGTTGACCAGGTGTACGAACTTCGGTAGTTTGAGGTGGTGGTTGAGGGTTTGATGTGCGCCAGAAGGCAAGCCTCGGTACCCATGCGGGGGATCGCCTGGCACGAGCTGGTTCACTGACAGGTACATTTGGTGATGGTTGGGCTCTACTAGCAGGCCTCGGGTCTGACTCCTCTGTGGGTGGAACTGTCAATGGTGCACGATGGGCGAAATAAAATCTTGTTCTAAACGGGTTGATGCGATCAACGCTGAATGCTGGCTGTGGGGGTCTGAGTGCAGCAGCGGTTCGGCCTGTTGTGCGACGTCCTCCTGCTCTGGCATTTTCTAGAATTGCATCTTGTCCCTCAGGCCGTGGTTTAGGAACGTAATAGTCAGCCTTACACAGAGGGCAACAGGCTCGACGGCTGGTCAACCAAGGATCGAGACATGAAGCATGGAAAGCGTGACCACATGTGAGACCCCGGACATCATCATCATCTTCAATGAGGTCAAGACAGATTGCACAAGAGTCACCAGGACTAGGCAATAGTTCTGCCGGAACTGCTCCTTGGATGGGATCATCATTTTCATCATGCATTTCTTCACCATGCATTTCTTCTTCATGTTGGGGGTGTATGGCGCTAGCCACATCGGTAGTCGCGCTATTTGGCTGAACTTCGGTAGTCGTAACTTCTTTCGACTCTGTAACCATACTAATTTGTTCAGCCACAGGACTGGATGGTTCGCTAATAACAGAATCTGTTCGATCGTGGCCTTTGGGCGCATAGGCTTCCACGTGCTGCGCAGTAGCGGATGGGTTGTGTTCACTTTCGCCAGCCTTTGGAGTTTCGGGTCTGTTACCAGGCGCAGCAATTCCTCCCTCACTTGGAAGACCTCTGTCTGCGCGAGAAGAACGCCATGCTTTGTATTTCATTAAGGGGAATCTTTCATTCACATCTTCCATGGACATCAATTTCTTTTCCCTTCTTCTGCGATGTGTTCGAGGAACAGCCGTAAGATCGATAGGCTCTCCCGTTTCTTCATTTCGTAATTGTCTGTTTCTTTGGTTGTATCGAAAGCAATATTTCACACCGACGATGATCCTAGATGCGTATCAAATTAACAAACGCTCTGTAGATGAGTCGCCACCCGGGCGCATATACGGACCATAAGTTTGTGAAAACAACGCCAAACCCAAGGGCAACAAAGAAGAGCAATGGAGAACTGCTGGGGCCTCCTCCACCGCCGCTGTCACTGGTGGAAGTGCTGGTCGCGGCGGAGGTCGAGCTGGTTGCTATGGACGTTGTGGACGACATGTTGTGAATATTTCGCGAAACTGAGGATCGTGACCTGCACTGAAAATATGCGATAATCAACAGCAAAGAGAGATCGAGTCTGTTCAGGATGCTGCTTTCTTTCTGCGTAGTTGTTGCCCGGATGCTGTCGGATCCTATAGATGGAGCCGCGCAAGGGCAGGTTCAATACGGCGACAGCCCTGACTACTACACCAGCGAGCTAGTAGCCTGTCGTAGCATCGCATTGAAATATCATTGCACGAAGTTGGAGTTCATCAAGGCGCCCCGACGAGAGGGAATAGAGGTGACGATGTCCCTCGAGAGACTGGAATGGTTTCGGATGTAGCAAGCCACAGCCGTGAAATTGGACCCCAATTATGCAGTATGCTGGACCTTGGTAAGCAAGTGGTGTCGCTCAGCTGGTGGGCGGGTATCGTGCTTTTCGAATGCCGAGCGATGAGACCAGCGAGAGTCGTGGATGTTGTTCGTGTCGTCTGGGTGAGGTGGTGAGTTGACAAAAAGAGGAGAGAGATGAACGTAGAGCGTCGTCTCGACTAGTTCGTTGGCTTGAGGAGGGAGCGGTACGAGGTGGAGAAGGGCTAACTAGTCTTACTGACAGTACGTGATTGTCACGGCGTTACCAGATCGACGTGGGGGCGACCGTCAAGGGTGGTGATGCATATAGTAAATTTCAAAAGAAGAAAAAATAATGAAGGTTAAAATCAATAAATAGGTCGAATAGACGATGGTAAAAACTACGCCTTCAGTCACTCGACAGAGAACCAACAGCCAGCGATTGATCTGCGAGGCGAGAAGTCGAGGTCATCATACGACCCCCCTCGTAAGTTACACTCTGGAACTCCGTCTGTAGCAAGTAAGGCACAATACGTTACATACGTATATTACCGGGCTAGCACGCATCAGGAAGGACGGGGGCTGGCAACCCCAGGCATCAAGGCACGCAGCGGTCTCGGCGCATCGGGGCATGCAAGCAAGAGAGTGGATCTTCGATTCATTCATATCATTTTCGACGATTTCTACTATTGTCAATCCACAGTATCTTCATTTTCACATTCAACCTCCATCCTAAATCTGCCGCTCATATACACAATATGGCGGAATCAAACGCCCCCCAAGCGCCCAATCCTGTAGTCTTTTTCGATATAGCTCTGGGAGGTGAGATTCCAGAAGAGGAAAAGGCTCACATGCTATATCCTATCTCTTTTCAGCCACAACAAAAACATGCGCTAACATGAACCGCAGGAGAGCCACTGGGCCGAGTCAAGATGGAGCTGTTTGCCGATGTCACGCCCCGAACGGCCGAGAACTTTCGTCAATTCTGCACTGGCGAGACGAAGAACAATCTAGGCCGGCCTCAGGGCTACAAAGGGAGCAAGTTCCACCGTGTGGTATGTATCTCCAAACAGTCTCTACTCCACTCTTCTTTCGAATACAAGTGCTGATAGGCATTGTGCAGATCAAAGATTTTATGATCCAAGGAGGTGACTTTATCAATGGTGATGGAACAGGGAGTACTTCCATATACGGAGGTCAAAAATTTGCAGATGAGAACTTCAATCTCAAGCATAACAAAGAAGGACTCTTGAGCATGGCAGTAAGTACCACCAATTACTTCTATATAAAACCTTTCGTGTTCGGTTGGTCCTCCTTTCTAACATTTCTGTAGAATTCTGGACCAAATACAAACGGTTGCCAATTCTTCATCACCACAGTGCCTACGCCCTTCCTGAACAACAAACATGTTGTGTTTGGCCAGGTCGTGGAGGGTATGGATATTGTCCACATGGTCGAAAATACTCGGACCACAAGGGACAAACCGAATCAAGACGTGACCATAGTTCAGTGCGGAGAGATGTGAAGGAGAAAAAAGTTTTGTATTTGAATTGCAATGTGTAATGTTAAGAAGATACCTAAAATCCCAATGCATCCCCATAGACTCCTTCCTGTCTCCTCGTCTCGATCCGCTCTGTTTTTTGACCTTTACTCTTTTTTCTTTGGACGGCAAATTGATTGGGTATCAGACTAGAATGTTTCAAAGCCGTACTCTTTACAATTTGAACTTCTCAAGGTATGCAGTGGCAAGTGCAACACCTTCGTCGACCTTATCAGGATTTGTCCCATTGCCAATGGCTGTAGGAGCTTTTCCACCAGCCTTTCCACCCACAGCTCCAGAGACGGCGTTCGCCCATTCACTTGGGACGAGACCAAGATCGCTGGCGGCCTGTAGAAGCAGCGAGTTAGTACCGATTACATGGGGCTGATCTATAAACATACCTTAGACACATGGCAACCGTGTGCGACCTTGTTTCCACTAGGGTCCGGTGCAAAAAAGTAGACAGTCTTATCAGCCATCTTCGACTTGATGAAGTTGATCGACTCGCTAACAACCTTGGCATTGGACGTCGCTGGCAGTTTGGCAACGAAAGTTGAGCGGCCTTTGTTTTCTTCGGCATCAAAGTATGCCTTGATAAGATCCTGAGCTTTCTTCAGCTCAACTTTCTGTTGAGCTTTCTGGTCGTCCAAGACCTGCTTGTTGATACGTGCAAACAAGTCTCGGAACTTGGCCTTCTGAACAGCAGAGATTGAGAGTTGATTGAGTTCCAATTGAACTTGTTTCATCTCGGTCTCTTTGGCTGTTCCATGCTCCATTGTTCGAAGCTTTTCAAGGCGCTTTTCGAACTCCACGGCGGTCAACTGCGCTTGCAAGGCTTCGTCGCCAGTCACTGCGATGATTCTTCGAATGCCCTTTGCAATACCAGACTCCTCAAGAATAACGAGCTCTCGAATTTCGCCAGACTTTGAAACGTGAGTACCTCCACAAAATTCAATGCTGATGTCGTTCCATCGTGGGTCTTTAACGTCCTTGAGAATCTCCTCAACCTCAACACCAACCGAGACAACACGTACGGGATCAGGGTACGTCTCACCGAACACGGCACGCACGCCGCTGATCTCGCGTGCGGTGGCTAGAGGCACCTCTTTCGAGTAAACACCGCAATTCTGTCGAATGTATTCCGTAGATTTTCGCTCAATCTGGTCAAGCTCCTTATCAGATACTCCCGCCTTGTGTGAAAAATCGAATCGCAACTTTTCTGCTGCAACAAGAGATCCTTTCTGGTTGATACCGTCTCCCAAGATCTCTCGCAATGCAAAATTCAAGATATGAGTTCCCGTGTGGTTGTTTCTGATGGGTTGGCGACGGCGGTCGTCGAATTCGCTCGTAACAGCATCCCCAACGGCGAGAGATCCGTACTTGATGAAACCTGTATGAAGGACGTAGCCACCATATGACTGTACATCACCGACTTCCAATTCCGCCTTTCCATCAATATAGATGGCACCAGTGTCATTTTCTTGGCCACCTTGTTCGGCGTAGAAGTTGGTTCGATCAAGAATAACGCCAATCTGCTCGCCCTCGGGTACATCTGCGGTGGTTTGAATGAAGCTCTTGCTATAGTAGATGGCCTTGACAACAGACTCTATTCTCTGAGAGTCGAATTTCGACGAGTCATCTGTCTTTGGCACTTCGTGCATGTTATCCAGCTTGCCCAGGTCATGAACATCGAGTTTCACAGTCTCTGCAGCAGCCTTCTTCTGGCCTTTACTGGCTTCCTTGGCCTTCAATCGTGCGTCTTCAAATTCGGCTTCATCAATGCTGAGACCGCGCTCCTCTGCCATGATCTGAGTCAAGTCGACTGGGAAGCCGAAAGTATCGTAGAGCCTCCAGACATCCGCGCCATGAAGCTTGTTAAGACCCTTTGACTTGGCCTGTTGAGCGTAGTTCTCGAATTGTTTCTCGCCACGGTCCAATGTCTTAGAGAATGAAACTTCTTCTTCGTTCAAGGCCTCGATGACATCGGCCTGTTTTTCTTTAATTTCCGGGAACATGCCTCCCATTTGGTCGACGAGAGTGGGAACGATCTTGGAGAAAAAGCTGCCAATCTCCACGTTGAAATATTTGCGCGCATACCGAGCTCCTCGTCGAAGAACTCGGCGAATGACATAACCTCTTCCCTCATTATTAGGGTATGCACCGTCGGAGATTGCAAAGGTCAGGGTTCTGATGTGGTCAGCCACCACTCGGTAGGCAGTGTCAACTCCATCGGCATCCTCAGCTCCAAATCGCCCTTGGTATTCGCGAGCACCTGTAATCTCTTGTATCGTGCGGAACAACGGCATGAAAACATCAGTGTCGTAGTTTGATGACTTGTCCTGAAGAACGGAGACCAGGCGCTCAAAACCCATACCGGTGTCGACATGCTTGTTCGGCAAGGGTCTTAGTGAGCGATCCGACTCACGGTTATATTGAATGAAAACGTTGTTCCAAATCTCGAGCACATTCGGATCATCCTGGTTGACAAGAGACGCCGCATTTCGGCCGCCAATTCGATCATAATGTACCTCGCTGCAAGGACCACATGGACCCTGGTCACCCATCTCCCAGAAGTTATCTTTCATGTTACCTGGAAGAATATGATCCTCCGGAACGCCGACTTTCTTCCATAATTCTTTCGCCTCCAAATCTGGCTCGAGGCCTCCTTTTGCGTCACCCTCGAAGTATGTAACGTACAGTCTGGAAGGGTCGAGGCCGAATACTTTGGTGAGGAGTTCCCAGGAATAGGTGATCGCTTCTTTCTTGAAATAGTCACCAAAACTCCAGTTTCCAAGCATTTCAAAGAAAGTCTAGATTAGTCCAACAATCAGTAACTTGATATAGAGCTAATGTCCCTGGGACAAGCTGCCGGGTCGAAGACTTACGTGGTGGTAGTTGTCTTTGCCGACATCGTCAAGATCCTAGACTCGTGAATATCTACAACCGTATAGAACTTGCCGTAAGACTTACATTGTGCTTTCCACCTGCTCGGATACACTTTTTAAGGTTAGCCATATGTCTAATAGCAATGAGTCGCCCTGTCCTACCTTCTGCGAATTGACCGCACGTTTGAGCTGCGCAAAGTCTGATTGCGGATCAACTGTTCCTAAGAAAATTGATTTATACTGGTTCATGCCCGCATTTGTAAACAACAGAGTCGGGTCAGAAAGAGGCACAACGGAGGAGGAGGGCACTGTTCATACTTGGTGGTTAGTTTGAGTCATACTTTTTACAATGAGGGGTCGAGGGGTGCTTTCGTACCAAAGGTGTGGCCTCTCTCCTTGAAATAACCTATAAACTCATTTCGTACGCGCTCTGCAGTCCACTGACTGGTCTTCTCCTGCGACGAAGCCATGTTGTGTACGAAGCGATGGCTCAAGTAGCGAGGGGTTGAAGCAGTTGCGGAGAAATGTGGGAGACGGAAAGCATGGAAGAATAAATTGTTGCGTGGCGACCCCATCGTCCCTCACCAGAACACCAAAACCCGCATCGAAAGCTCCTCCTGCTTGGCACTCGCAATCAAAACAACAAAAGCGAACAACTCACCCACTCATTGTCCCGACGTTGAAGAGAAGTGTGTGCGCGTGAGGTCAGCAGAATTTTGGCGTTGGTTTGACACGAGGTAGGGAGAAGGAAGAACTGTTTTGCCAAGTCGATGCCGTCGCTGTCCTCCAAGGACTCCTCTCCTCTCAAGCGCCATGCAGAAAGCGACCCCGAAGGGGAGCCGCCCATCAAGAAGCTCGAGCTACTGCATCTAGGTACTGCGATGATAACATTCATATTTGTTTCCTGTCAAATACTCTTGAAGCTCGCACTAACTCATTGGCGCAAGGCTCAACAGTCTCCGCAGACGAGCAAGCACAAGACCAAGATGAACTGACCGATAGTGACAACCTCATGCTACTAGACGATACGAAGCATACAAGTTATATTTACGATATTGAGCGCGAATTAGCCAGCATTGAAGCCGAGGAGAAACGGATATCCTTTCTACCAGACATTGAAAAGGTGTTGAACGCGATTCCCAATTCCGTCCTCTCGGAACCCAAGCCGCAGGAGCAGAATGAGCTCGTCCTCTATCACGTACCACGCTCGTTGACGGTCACCGAGGATCAAGACAATGTTCGAAAAGCTATAATTGAATCGAGAGCGAGGGCGAGAGCAAGGCAGGCGGAGAGCATCGCTTATTCGCCCTCGGTGGTGCCACAGTCGGATGACAAGGATAATTCGGTATTCACATTCGAAGCAGACGACGTGATGGACGTAGATTCACTGCAGCAATAACTCGTCTCTCGCCCAATCGGGTCTATCACAAGTTGGATAAAGTCGGATATACTTTATCATGGCGGATGTTTGTCTTATGTTAAAAATTATGTAATATTCATAGCGTTCTGTGTTGCCGCAATTAATAATGTATAGCAGATTTTGTGTTTAAGTAGAATAGCATTCACGCTTCCAGCTTTTGGTAAATTCTCACTCCCTCTCTGCGGTACGGAGCAATGTTGGCTCATTCATGTTTAAATTACGTAGAGCGACGCGGAGCTGTTTTCGGAGCAACCCCGACAAGTTGAACAAACCCTCCCAACTTGCTTCAAACTTTCTTCCACCCTCCACCTCATACCTCACACCTCCGCCCACTCGCACACCCAGTAATCATGACTGAAAAAAAAATCCAGCACGCTGGTCCGAGCTTACCTCCAACTTTAGAAAAAGCCCGCTCACCAGCGACAACAGATGACGAGGGCGTTGCCTCCAAAATAGTCGGTCCGAGTCGACCACCAACTCAGTCGAACGCGGATAGCGAGCAGGAGGCCCAGGACAGTGACGATAGCAGTGACGACGATTTTGGTCCTCAGTTACCACCAGCTGGCGGTCCAAAGTCTGGTCCTTCCTCACACGAGGCAGAGTCGAAGCGTCCACCGCGCGTGCACGATGGAGACACAGAGAATCCGGCAACGAAGAAAAGACAGAGGGACGATTGGATGCTTGTCCCTCCGGAAAACTCCTCATGGGCATCTGGGCCGAATCCCGCCGCTCTGACGAATCGCAAATTCATGTCGGGAAAATCAACTCGCGGCGGTAGAAATACGGACGGAGCAGGCTCAGTATGGACGGAGGATCCAGCTCAAAAACGGCAGAGACTCGAAAATGAACTTTTGGGTATCAAGTCAGAGTCAAGTGCAAGATCCGCGGGATCTAGAGACCTGTCATCCAGGACAAACTCGGCCACTGCAGATAAACTGAAGTCGCTCACTGTAAGTACATCTTCTCTTCAACGCATGAAATGACCATTAATGAAACTAACTTTTCAAAGGACAAGGGCGGCAAATCGTCATTGTATGAAAGTCACCAAAAGGATGTTCAAAAGCCGAAGGAAGACGACCCCAGCAAGCGAGCCTTCGACTACGAAAAGGACGTTGCTGGAAAGACGAGCATATCGAGCGGAGCACGTAAGAAGTTGTTGAACCAAGCTTCTGATTATACATCCAGATTTTCTGGCGGTAAATACATTTAAAGAGTTAGTATTATTTTCTCGTGAATATGGGATCATGCTTCATGTCCATGGGTACACCAGTCTCACGTGAGACGAATTGATGTCTACAAACGCACGAACAGTCACCTCGGAACGGACTAATTCAAGACATCGCACACGTTCGGGTTATATCTATTCTGCAAGGCGACTGAAAGAAGGAAGAGATTACTTGAAGGCGTGATGCTTCCCCTGACAATCGCCATCTTTTAGCAACTCGACGAATGCCTGTCAATGTCACGGATGACCTAGGTCATGTAACAGGCAAGACTATGCTTCGTACATACATACTCGTCGTACTCAACAGGTGAACACAAGCACTATGACCATCATTGCTCTCGTCTTGAGACTCACGAAGTAGAGCGAGCCACGGATGAGTGCTGCATACGACGGTAGTGCCGTTCAATTATTACAGGACGATTGTATGGACCGGAATTCAAGGCTGAAATTACTAACCTGTGTGGTCCAGGTATTGTTTTGGATGATGGAAATGATGACAACATCAAACTCTGTATGGTTTTTTTGGAGAATTAGGAGAATGTGCCATTCAGACCGGTTGTATGAGGTCCTGAGGTTCAACAAATGATAACTTATAAATTCCCCATAATCAGTATGAAACGCACAGATTATGTACAGATTGTCTTGGATCCCAATCAAAATGATAGAGAACAAAAAATATTAAGGTAACAAATAGTATTGATCTTCTATAAAAAGAGAAAAAAGAGAGAAAAAGTTAACTCCGACACGGGGAATCGAACCCCGAGCTGCCGTGATCGTGTCTTTCTAATGAGAGACGGCGATGTTACCGTTACACCATATCGGATCATATCGGATTGATGTGAGGAACGGTACAAAAAAGGGATATGATGGCTGTAAGAAATGTATTATCAACAAACTGTTATGCGTTGAGACTATGTTGGATTTTCTGTCGTATACAAAAGTCCTATGTCATCGACCTATTCCTTCTGGTCCCTATCGCGTGCTTTAGAACCTGTAACGCAAGAAGAGTCCATGAAATGAACGATCCTATCATATAATTAAAACAAGGCGTTGACAAGGACTGGATTGGAGACATCAGGAAGCGGGGTTTTCATGTCTAACGAATATCATGCCATGCTACCCTTTAATCCTATCATACAAAACATTCCTTTGAAATACCTATCAGGTACCGCACCTGGCGTCCACTTCAAGCATATAGAGTGGCCCGAGGGCAAGGCTAAAAAGGGCAAACACTTGGTTTTGTACAGTCAGGCTCTCTTTTGAACGGTGTCGCAAACTTCGGAACTAAAATCCGATTCCATCAAGTTGTCAAAGGCATTCCAATCAATCAAGTCCCAGTCGATGTGTTCATACATCGATGTATTGTTGAAATCGAACTCACATGACATACCATCCTTGTTTTCAAACACAGCAATTACCGGTGAATTTTCAGCTTGGTCTTCAGCATAAGATGACTTTGCCTCGTTCTGCCGTTGAATGAGCTTGGTATACTGTACTGGAGTAAGCCCAGTGATTTTCTTGAACGATCGATGAAGGTGACCCGGTGAGAGCTTCATATCTGACGCCAGTTGCTGAAACTTGAGTCGCCGCCCGCATAGTACAGCATTCGAGATATCTTTGCATGCTCTTTCCACTGCTCGTAGTCGAGGATCGTCTTTGCTCTTAAGTTGGGGCTTGCATCTCTTGCAAGGTCGGTAACCTGCTGCCTCCGCACGTATAGCATCGTCGTAGAATTCAACATTTGCACGACGGGCGAGGCGCGACGGACATGAGGGACGACAGTAGATGCGTGTCGAACGAACTGCGTAGACAAAGCTATCATTTGAGTCTCTGGCTGTCACTATTCGCCATCGAGATGCTTCGCAATCGCCAGCGTCAAGAGGAGGTAGCAGTGACATGATGAGGTATCGAGGAGTTTGCAATTTTATGTGCCAGCATGTAGTTCATCATCTTCGTTGTCACCTCGACGGCAATGGATGTTGCAGCGCCTAAAAAGCGATTGGCCATATTTGGAGCAAAGACGGAGCTGGAAGTTATGACCTGGAATTGGCCAATTACAACGCAGACTATCCGTATCCATGATCCTATTGGTCACTTCCAGAGTAATGATGCTCAATCAGTCAGCGTATTCTCGATGTATATAAAGCGAGTATTCGAGGGACACTATGAATTTCAAATAGAGCTACGTCCATTATTTCGGTGTGCCTGCGCTTGATTCTCATAGATACAATCATTTCTCGTTTCGCGACGATATGGCAGAGACACACTCCATCATCACGCCTGCTATCATGTACTGGGGCACCCCAGTTGTCCTGATCACGACAGAGAACGAGGACGGGACTACCAACATTGCACCAATGTCATCAGCTTGGTGGCTCGGTCATCGTTGCGTACTGGGACTGGCTTCAATGTCTCAAACCACCACCAACCTTTTGCGTAACAAGCAATGCGTTCTCAATCTTTCTAGTGACGACATGGGACACTATATCAATTCAATTGCAAAGACGACTGGAAGCCCCGTGGTGTCTCCGTTGAAAAAAGTGCTCGGATACGAGTTTTGCAAAGACAAGTTCGCACGTTCTGGCTTGACACAGCAGCCATCCGATCTGGTGCGGCCGCCGCGTGTCACCGAATGCCCAGTACAGATGGAAGCCGAATTGATGAACAGCATGGGGCTGATGCACGATCTGCCGGATCGAAGGGGGGCTTTGCTAGCCCTAGAAGTCAAGATTTTGCGAACACACGTTCGAAATGACCTACGCCTGCCTGGCCACGCCAACAGAATCGACCCTGACCGCTGGAGACCGATGATAATGAGTTTCCAAGAACTCTACGGCCTCGCACCGAAATCAACCCAGTCAAAGCTTGCAACCATTGACGAAGAAAAGTACCGCGTAATAACACGATCGGATGTTGTCAAGCAGGGTGGAGATATGGACGGCGTCAATAGCGATGAATCTGCTGCCCACGATGAGAAAGCGGATTGCGTCGACAGTTTGCTTGTGATAGGAAATGCGCCTTTGAAGTGACTTCCACGTGCGGGAGAGCTTCATTTGTCAATGAGAAGAAACCGAGACTTGTTTCTGAAAATTATGGTGAGGAAGACCGTCCATATCGCGCCCTTGATTTAGCCTCTCTACAACTTTTTTGAATCTTACACAGCGGTAGTGCGTATGCCTGTGTCTTTACTAGGTAGCTATTAAATCCTTCGCAGAGTGCAACACAATAGAATTGACGAGGAAGCGTCTCTTGCCTGCCTGCCCACATCACACACCATCCCTTTATGTCCTCGCAGAGGGAGTCGAGCATAGGTATTGAATAAAAGGTGAGAAGGGGGGCGGCCGATGCGCCAGCACGCATATCCTAAAGATTCAGCACTCGATTGTACATTGGCTAGACCTATGATCGAACTGCGCAGGGCCGTGTATGCCACATAGATTAATAGATGGTTAAGAAAAGTGTACCACAGTGTACTATAGCTCCATTCCCTGCACACAATTATACCTCCTTAAATCTCACGTAAGACGATGCCTGCCCGCCTGCCCCTCCAGATCATTGAATATCTCAGTGATTGTACTGTCCTGATAACAACAGGGGGCATTTACATACATGAGGGCAAGTGAGGATGCAGAGAAAATGAGATGTGGCAGATATCTCTAGCTACTAGGTAGGGTATAGGCATTTGTACAAGGGCCGTCCCTGCCCCGGTCTAGTACAAACTCCTGCAGAATTGAGATACAAAGAACTACATAGTATACAGGTCGGTCACATTGGTGGCTATCTGCCACCTTCTATACAGCCAAATTGCCTAGAAGGTTCACGTCCAAAAGGTCGACGCCGGTTCCTGCATAATCAAATTCTCTCAAAGAGGGGATACGCTCCAATTTGAACATTCGACCGCTGGTAGAAACCCAAAGCCACGTCCGTTCATAGCGGAGATCATTCGGGAACACATCACTGGGTGCTAGGAGGCCCGGTGTTAGGCCGCATATCGAGGTGATTTTCTTTCACCTCTCCCTTTTACCTTTGAGCGGGGGAAAGAGTAGCCAACGTCGCAATTCAAACATGAACGAGTATTTTCTTGTGAAAATCCTTTACTTCAGCTTCTAAATGGACGTCTCCAGTGTTGATGACAAGTCTCCGGACGTGGTAGGAGCACTTTTTTATGGCGGCGCACGACAGCTCTGGCGCTTCGTCGACGTCCTAGACTCATGAGATGGTCGATATATTTAGAGGTGTATGGAAGAGGAGAACGCCTACTAGAGCACTGACTTGCGCGGTGCTACCTGGGCCGGACAATTTAAACAAGTACTTTTATTTCTCATTCATGAAACACCATGTTCCTTGACGCGTTCACCGCAGACTGACATGTGCGCATTATTCACTGAAATGCTTCGGAAGTAAATCATCTACTTTTCATTTAGAGAAACCCAGTCATCAACCCTCTTTTGGAAGTCTGGATTATACAGCCAAGTCAGGTCGAATTCCTCTCTGGCAAAGTCGCTCTCGACATCAACGACCGTATGGTCGGATGGCATCCGTCGCATATCAATCTTCTTGTTAAGTTCAAGAACCTTATCAACCCTCTCCTGGCGATATGTCTGCCAGAAACTCAAAGCATCCTGCATGTTCCTAATTTTCTCTGCTTTACCGAGTAATAATGCTAAAATGTAGACATCTTCAAAAGCTTGGTTGATACCTTGCCCTGAAGATGGGGGAATAGCATGTGCAGCATCTCCAACGATGAGTACTCGCCTTGTCTCTGATGCCCATTTTTCAAGTTTAGGAACAACGAAGAACGGCCATTTATTGACCTTGGCAGGGTCGATCTGAGAAACAGCATTCTGGACAAACTCAGGGAAATGCGCGTTGTCGGACTGCAAAAACTTCAAAGCACCTTCCTTATCAGCGACAAATTCGCGATCCCAACCAGATTCACCCGCAGAAACACGTTGCTGCTTGCCGATTAATACCTCAGATCCATCGTTCTGTTGCGGGGCAATGACAAATGCCCCCCGAGGAGACATTATTGTCACTGGAATATGGTAGTCTTGGGGCAGCTTCAGTTGGGTTGTTGGTACAGCTGCCGTAATACCCGCCATGCCGATGAATTGAGGCTCTAGGTCCGGATATAGGTATTGACGAACTGTAGAATGAATACCGTCTGCACCAATAAGAATACTAGCGGACGCTGTGCTGCCGTCAGTGAATGCAAAAGTTACACCATCCGTTAGACTGTCCTCGACGATGTTGACGAATCGCTTTCCAAAATGTATTGGAATTTCTTTTTCTTTGATTGCTGCCAGTAGCTCATCGATGAGCGCGTAGCGGTAGATACGAAGACCATTATATCCATATTTTTCTTCACTTCCGAAATCAAAGGTCTCCAGTAGCTTGCCGGACAGATCTCGAAAATGAAGGGTCTCGAAACTATAACCTTTCTCTTTCACAGACTTGTAAATTTGTAGATGATCAAGGATGCGTAGTGCATTAGGTGACAGCATGACTGCTCCACCGATGTTGAGAGGACCTGGTCGAGATTCGTAGATGGTCACTGGAATGGATTGCTGGTTTAAAGCCAATGCAAGGCTCAAGCCGGCGAGACCTGAGCCTATGATGGCCACATTTGGCTTTGTATTCGACATTTTTCTGACTCTTGATGGACTTTTCTTTTAACCTTTCATATGCATCCCAAGTAGATCGTGGGCAAGCGGCGCTTTATATGCCAAGATATGCCAGCATGGTGGTCAGAATGCCCCCCATTTCGTTCAGCCGCAGCTGAGTTGGATCAAAGTGCTACCAGTACACGACGATGCCAGACATGAAGATAGCATTGATTGGACCACAGTGAAGCTGATAAAGACAGTTTAATTCAAACCAGCAAACGATGTGGGTAAAGCATATATGTAAAGCATATATGCAAAGCCGCCTCGGAATAACTACATGTCAAACGTAGGAAAGTCAAAGGCCAAGCCACTTTAGCTCCAACGAGGCAATAAAATGTGAATCTGCGTTCTTGTAAACGTTCTCAACTTCCTAGATTTGCTTACAAACTATACATAAAAGTGTACTTCTTATCCCCCAAACGCCTACTATTCACTTGCTCATTCTCGAACTCCGCCAAACCCCAGTCCGCAATCTTCCTCATCCTATATCTGTTCACCTGTTGAAGCAGGATCCTATACGCAATATAACCAATCAATGCAAAGGCAATGAAACCCAGAGATGCATAGAACGGGACCAAGTAACGCGGTGCATAGCTAGAGCGGAAGAGTTGCGATCCAATGACGCCTGCGAGGTTGCCGAATCCATTGACGCCAAGAACCAGAGATCGTTTGTTGGGATCTACGACTTGCATTAGTAATTATTCTCAATTCGTGTTTATGTGAATGAATAGACTGACCTGGAGTGTTGCCGCTAAGCCATGCCATCGTTAAGGGAGCGGTAATGTAACTACCCATGAGAAGAATGCACAGCGAAACATAACGTCCATGATTGTCCTGAATTGTGACTGTCATGATCAAGCCGATGAGACAGATCACTAATCCACCAATGATGTGGTAACCTCTCTCTCTCCTGTTACTGTTGTTAGATGCTAGGAACGTTTATATGGTTGCGAGGGGAGCCGTACTTTCTATCAGAGCTGAAAGTAGCCAGGTACAATCCGACTGCACCACAAATATACGGCGGTACAGACATCTGAATAGACGCGTTAATCTTGATGGAACATTTGTAGAGAACGATCGCACTCACCAAATTCGCCTGGATGGATGTATAGCCCAACCCAGTTACGACCAAGGGCAAAAACACCGAAAACGCCTGACTTGGCACACTGGCACAGATATTACAAATTAAGACGGTCCAAAGTTTCCAATCCTTTGCTGTTTCGATCACATCCTGTTTGCCCAATCGTTGCGATCCGTTTCGCGAGAGGTAATGCTCCCCATCGATACGGATCCTTTCTTGGGCAAATTCTCTTTCAGCTGGTGTCAAGAACCATGCTGATCCGGGTTCAGCGGGGAGAAATATCCATGCCAAAATCGCGACAAACATGGTCAAGGCGCCTTCGATGATGAAGAGATATTGCCAGTTATACAACGAACCCTTGAGGTGGAAGACGCCGTACGCTAAGTCGATTAGTTTTGTGTTTCATGATAAAGGGAATTCTTTGGGCTTACCAATGGCACCCGAGAAAGCCCCTGCTACTGCATACTGGCCGTAGAACAGTCCGATGCGAACACCCAGGTCGAATCTAGTGTAAAATGTGGATAGATAAAGCACTGCAGTAGGGTAAAATCCAGCCTCGAACAATCCGATTAGAAGACGAAGGGCAATAAGTTGACCTGTCAGGTGTAGTGAGCATGGAAAGCACAAGACTCATACTTGAGATATTTATCTACCTCGACCGTGTATAAAAGCATGAGAGAGAGTTATGGCGCCCCAAACAATCTAGATAGATATTAGTAACTTTTCTTTCCTTGTAGCCCGTCAGGGCTTCCATATTCCCAATGCACTCACCATGAGGGTCGGAATCCAGTGCTTAGCACCTACAATTCTACCACATGCGGCAGAAATAGGTTGAAAAAGGACGAATGTGATAAAAAACAAGGAGACGGCATTGTTGATATCATTTGGGAGTACTCCAATGTCATGTGCGAACCCTTTTTCAGGAGTAGTTATTAGTTTCTCATTCCTTGTCCTGGGACGTTCAGCACATACCTTGTGTTGCAGCATTTCCAACGTTTCCACGATCTAATCCATTGAACAGGTAAAGAAGAGACAGGAATGGAAGAAGGAATATATCCATCTTTCGGTTGATTGAGCGACACAGCGCCTTTTCTTCTGCGCTCCGGGGATAGTAGCCATCTGGGAGGTTCTCATGTGGCATTTCTGCAGCGTAATGATTGGGCTTGACTGGAGGATGTTCCTCGTGGACCGAGCCATCTGCGCGCTTGTCGTCTTTTTCCATTGTGTTTGTGTCGAGAGATTTCTGTACCCTTGTTCCGTTGAGATAGGTTATCCTGCTGTGCAATGGGTGCTGAATCTGGACGGACACATGATGTCTTTATATAGACCCCGTTCAACATAAAACGCAGAAAGTATATGAGGTTGAAAGAACTTCTACTCCGGGGTCTCCACATGGTCATTCATGATTCTGGGGTATCCGCAGTTCGGGTACATTACCCGATATGCAGAAAATACACTCAACGTCCAACGGGTGGTGTAGCCGGGACGGTTCTCTGACCCGGCAATAGTGGCAATAGTGAGAAAAGGTGGTAAGATGTTTCCCCGGTGGTCTCTCTATTCAAAAAAGATGGAAGTGACTGAAGTCAAGTCGTTTGGTTCCAGCATATATATGTATGAGCCCGGCGGTGTAAGACTTGTTTCGCCTGACAGAGGTACCGCTTATCACTTGTGAAGCGTATTCATTTTCGATCGTAACAATGGGTTCAATTGGGCCAATTTCGTCGCTATTGGCGTCTCAGCCAAGGCTGAAGACCATTGATTGGGGTTCAAACGGCGTCATGATCTCTTTGGATCAGCGAGGAACAGTATGATGAATACTTTCTCAGCATAAATACAAAACATGACTGATTTGTTCCAGATTCTTCAACTAGGATTCTATCATCCAAAACATGGAGTTGTACTTATCTCTCCATTTGAACAGTTCGACGGCGACAAATTCTACGACCCTTCCTATGTCAGACGCTATAGAGCGCGAATGACCGAATGGATCAAAGATGGCAAGAAGGGCTATGGATTACGAGTTGGAGATGAAAGATCATCAGCACCCAACGATCCCCCAGAGATCTCCCGACATCGCGATCATTTGACATTAACGTACCAGACACAATCCGGTATACACGTCCAGACGATATTCACTATAACAGATCACCATCACTTCGAACAGACCACTGTCTTATCTACAAAATCAGCAACAGCAGTTTCAACCGCCGTAGCACTTGATTTGGGAATGAGTCTGAATCGAGCGTCATATGGACAGCTTACAGAAGGGGGCCCGATTCCACTGCCAGAGTCATTGAATGTATTCACAACTTCAAGAAACAATACTTTCTCTCTCAACAACCCTAATTTGGGTGTGGGTATTAAAGGACGTTTCTGGACTAATCGATGGGATATTGAAGCTCTCAAATTTGGAGACATAATGAAAGTATCTCATGGGGAGCCCGTCAAAGCTCAGAGGAATACCAATACACTGGTCATTTCTACAGACTACCCAGCAGTACTAAATTTTACTATAGAGCTCCCTGTTTATGCACGCCAGCCTTGTTTCCCCCTTTCTCTTCAGATGCCAACCACACGAGCGTGGCACATAAGAGACCCGGCGACAGTCACCATCATCGAGGGCAATCTTGAATATATTCTAGGCAATTGCATGATACCAATATCCGAAAACAGCACGTGCATAATCACAGATCATGTAGCACTACCACTGGGTTGGAATAGGGACAATTAGTATGTCAGCTCCTCCTATTCAGTCGCATCAGGTATGAGAACTGACTTCTCTGAAAATTCAGTTGGCAAGTCCGATTTCTTCTCGATGCCTACGACAGAATAGAATTTGCCACAGATTCATTTACATCTAAAATCTACAAACAAAATTGCTACTCCAGCGTCAAAGCTCACTTAAACTGGGCCTTTCGTGTGTCGCAACGACCGCATCGCTTTTGGCATCGGTCGTACATCGCCAGCGGTGTTCCAAAAGATGGGCCAATTTTCCAATTAGATCAGCAATGTTACCCTATCATCGAACTCTGTGACTTTTTTGATTACACGTCAGGAGAAATGGAGACAAAGCCGTTTGTTGAGGACATACTGCGGAAGGAGGAAACCATCTTGGAAATTATCGATGTACTCCTAGCCAGACGAGATACCACGACGAATTTGTTTCCGACTGACGAAACGCCCGGCGATGATCCTGTGGAATACCCATACCATTTCTCGAGTCACATTCTTCTATGGTATACTTTCACAAGACTTGCAAAACTTGTGGAGATACTAAGAGATAGGAAGGGCCTAGAGGCTTCGTGGCTGAGGCAATTGGCCAACGAGACACATGCCGCCACGATCAAACACTTCGTCGGATATAATCCAGTAACTGAGAAACGGATGTTTGCCTATCTTACAGATGGAGCCGGTAAACATGCCTTTTATCATGATGCCAACGATATCCCTACCTTATTCGCGCTGGAATGGGGGTTCGTTGATGATATTCCTGATTCTGAGGCTATCGAGACTGGGAAATCTCTCTGGATTCATACAATGAAGTTCGGGTTGTCCCCAGCCAACGAAGGAGGGTATTACGAAGAGGGTCCCTTTGGAGGCTTAGGAAGTGTTCATACACGCGGACCATGGCCACTAGGCTATTTCCAAGAGTTAGTGTTTGCAGAGATGACTGGAGATCTAGTAGCTAGTCAGAAAGCTTGGGAGAAGATCAAAGGCGTGATGTTTTTTGATGGGCTTTTTTCCGAGGCTGTTGATAGTTACACGGGCGAATGTACAAGTAAAGCATGGTTTGCTTGGCCTGGAAGCATGATTGGGTCCGCTTTACTTCGGGATAGGAGTGGTATTGTGATGGATGGGCTAACTCAGGGATAGACCTTAGCAGTCAGCAATAATCATTAATAGAGTTAAATAGATGCCTAATAGTTCCCACAATCTAGCCAAGTCATGAATTCATCGAACATGTCCCCATACTCAGTAGTTGTTAGACTGAGCTCTCCAGGAGTAGTACCCAAGCCACCGTCATCATTGACAAATTGTGGTTGCTCAAAGCCATTCGCCGAGACCGAAGCGCCAAGTACCATTGATTCTTGCTGGTATCGATTTGGATGTTGCTGTTCTTGCAGTGGTATGCCTGTAATGGTCGGAGTCGTCCTAGAAAATGTTGTAGCGCGAGATATCGCTCCACCAAGCTTCTCACACAATTGGTGGAAGTCCTCGAGAACCATGAAACAATCTCGCGAAAACTCATCATTGCCTTTTCCGTACTGTCCAGCGCTCCGCAACATATCCCTTATGAATCTAATTTGTAGAGTCGTTTGGAAAGGTGCATCCTTGTTATAGCTTTTGTTATCTCTGTTGTTATTATCGGAGCAGAAGGTCAGGAGACGACGGAGTTCGAGTATTATAGCGGCATTAAACCCGTAGTGTATATCATACATGGCGAATGTCAGGTTCCTAGGACTCAGACTATCAAGAAGTTGACATAGCAGTTGGACATTTCGATCCGCTGCTTCTCGGCACACATTTATCAGCGGGTCTTCGACGAGTTTTGTGTTTAAGTTGAAGGATGCCATGGAGTTTGGTAGAAAATGTTGAGCAATGCTTTGTCGAACTGCGGAGAGCAGAAGTTGCCTAGTGACAAGAACCAATGCCTGATGCCCATCAGCAACGGATTTTGTTTAACGCATGACGAGGTGTGGCATAGAAACGAAGAGAGAAGAGACATACTTGATTATACATCATATGTAGAGATATAAGATCTCTGGTGACTTCAGTGGCACAAGAGAGTGCCGTATCGAAGGAAGACGGCAACTCAGCACGCCATCTTTGCAATTGATCGACAAAATGCGAGATCTGACTATATTCCGGTCGATGTGACCCATTGCCACCATATCCATATATCTTGCTCACCGCTTGTCCAATGATTCTACTAAGCAGAATATGGAATCTTAACCACTTGAGTATGTCAGTCAGAATTAGGCAGTCGTGATGGCAAGTTGTGCTCACGGAGTGTCATCAGGTAGACCGACACTGATATCATCGTCTGATAGCATGGATGGCCTACCGAGAAGGCAGCTTAATGATCTAGAAATGATTTTAAGTTCTCATTCGTGTGAAACGGAGCGAAAATGTCACGAATGAAATGACCTACCTATCCAGTACGTATACGGTCCAAAACAGTCGTTTCTCCGATTCTCCAGTCATATAACTTTGATGGAAACCATATGTAACTGCTACATGTCCCGCAGTCCGAATATGAGAATACGCCCCGTCTCTTCTGTTTTCGCCCATCAGATAGCATCCTATCAAGCACAAACAAGGAATGTGCTGTCTTGTAGCTGACTCCAATGGCCTCCCTAGCAGAACATTGGCACGTGTATAGTATTGTTCTGCACAATTGGATACAGACGTTATTGATGACTGTTGAGCGGCAAGCGCAAGGGCGGCGTTTAGCGTGGCGAGAGTTATCGGAGTCAGGTTTGACGTGTTATCCGTTACCATGTTATATGCTTGTTGTAGGATTCGAGATAAATCTCCCCAATAGAATATTGTGAAATCTCGAGTAGCCTTGAAACCGGATAAGGAAGAAAGAAGCTGCTTTGCTTCCTCATATGGGGGTAAAATATATGGATCAACACAGGGCAGGGAAAGTGGACGAGAATCATAAGTTTGATATCTACCCACTAACTTCGTGAATGAATCCTCAACCTGAGGTTGCAGTGCATTGTAGCCACCATGGTCATCACCGCTGCCTCTTCCGCTGGATACAAGGGGTAAGACGGTCAAGGCAAATTGGCGCAGTTGGTCAAGATAAGAAGCACCCGACGCGATACCAATGAATCTTTGTTGGCCATCTGGGTCGGCTAAAAACCTTCCGCCATCAATCACTTCGTCTAGTGCTAAATTGTGGTCTGAATATAACGAAGACGACGTCTCGGCTGGAAAAGCTGCAGGGCTGTCATGGTTTCTTATTGTCGTCGTGGTCCGGGACGCAGAGTCAGAAGGATGGTTTTGACCTCCCCGCACTCTACTCATCAATTCCAGTCGTTCTTTCGATGAAGGAACTGCTGCAATTAAACATTCTTGCAGAAAGCTTTCATTTGTCCGTAGGTCGTCGTACGTCGCTCGGGATATTGTAATTTTCTCCTCTGACCGTGATGGAAAGACGCATCTTCGTCCTGATGTTTGACAGGCTGTGCAAGGATCTTGTCCTGTACACTTGATGCGTCGGATATTGCATGCATTACATCTGTAGTGACCACGTTAGATCAAACTGCCTCCTCAGCCACAAAGCTTTCTGCGTACGCTTTTATGACGCGCTTCCTACGATCCGGCGAAACTTTTCGTCTTCGTCTATTGGGTGGCAGGCGTTCCATTTTCCAAGTATTTTGATTAAGCGCGGGCTTATGAAGCTTCACAAGCCGCGTGAGAGAGGCGACTTATCGACGCGTGGAATGAATCGTGAATCACGTTCGGGTACGGTACCCGGAGGATTTGCCTCCGCGAAAGTCAATTTTCAAGATTAGGTTAAGAAAACCCTAAAGTTACTAGGGTAAATACCAGTGACGGGGTTTTGTAATTAGTTTGGGCAAAAAAGCATAATAGTGTGCTGTGTGCAATGTAGTTTATAGTATTATTATACATAATTCTTAGTATAAAATAATAATAGTCTTTTGACACGATTAATAAGATAGATAAGTATTGAATTTTTTTTACTTAAGCTAGAAGTCTTTCTTTATAAATGATAATAATCTTTTTTTTAATAATATATATTAATATACTGCATTTATAATTATTTTTCCAGTAATTTAGAGAGTGGTTATGATAGATATTAAATCGAATTAGTAATTATTATAGCTAATTAAGTAGAAGCAAATAAAGTATTAAAATAGCGACCTTTAGTGGAATAGAAGTATTTATAGTAAGCAAAAAACATCTCCGTCCGCATGAATCGAATTTTTGAAATTGCGCGCCCAGATCCGGCCAGAAACAGTTATAATTTTCATAGTTTATTCACCAAATCCAGCGCTATCGACTGATCCTAGTTTAACTAGATAAGTTACTAGTAATAAAAAAGAGTGCTATAACAATACTATTAATAAATAAAAACCTTATCCTATAGCATATTTATTATAATATAATAGTACTATAATAAAATATATATAAACTCTATATATAAAAATAATATTAAGAACTAGAATAGCTTAAAAAATAATTTTTATATTATATAAAGAATACATAACAGAAATTTAAATAGAATTAGATTTAAAAAGTAAGATACTATATAATTAATATTATTAAAAATAAAATTATAATAATAAAGTAATTTATAGAAATAATAGATCTAATATTATAGATTATCTAATATAAATCAAGTTTATACTTTAATAAGCTCTATATTAAAGTATTCATCTAAGAAGATCGGA